GGTATGCTTCGTTCAGTTACGTATTGCTCGCTCTTGCACACTCCTCTATACCACCAAACGTAACAGCAGGTGGTATTTCATTGTCTCAATGACTTTTGCAGCAACATGTCTTGCAACCTTTTTACGTGAACAGCCAATAGCCATTGTATAGAAGCAGCTTTATTTACGTGCAGCAACTTGCTTTGAAAGTACATACACATTCCAATGGGTGATTCCATATCAGCAATCAAGTACATGCAATACAAGCAATCTTGTCGCCTAGTTGATAGCAATGAAAATGACCAAGAAAGAGATGGATCAGCAGGATGGGAAAGGATCACGTAACCATCGGTAAATACAAAGGCTCTTTATTATTGGGCTTGCAATGTTTATGATGGATGGATGCATCAACTCAGCGATGGGAAGTTTTGGAATATTACTTTGGTTATTGATGCAGATACACAGCAGGAAGTATGAATCGCAATCGCAAGGATACGGCTGAGGATGACGATGATGGATTGGAAAGACCATTTTCGAAGGTGCTTTACTGCCGCAGACTATATGGAATACTCGACTCAATGCATGCAGCAGCTATTTTTGCAATCGTGGATGGGATGTTTATGATCGCAGCAACCAAGAATATGACACAATTACCCTGTTGACTCATATGTGATTCACCTGTACCTTATTCAAGTTGTAATGCTGTACCTTTATAACATTTATTTGATAAACATCCACACTTCCATTCATATTCTTCGACTTTTTCATTGAATGAAAATTGGATTCAAGATAATACTTAGAAGGACATCATGCTATAGACTCATATGTGCAAGGTGTGGATCACTTGGTTGACTTCTGGACCGAAAGGGAAATAGAAATTTGAGGCTCGGAAACCGAGGTTGGATCATTTATCTCATCCGTGTCAGATGCTTTTTGCCTTAATCAACTACGTTCAAAGAAGCATTGATCGGGTGTGATACAATGTGACATGAGTGCATGAATATACCGCTAACCTTAACAGATTTCAGCTAACGCTATATCATGCGGCCTTGTATAAGGATCGGCCATGCTCCATGCAGGCTACTATAAAAAGAGTTGTTGTATTATTCAAATGATTGAAGGATTGGGCATCATTCTTTCTTTGGAGAGGATTGAGCCTGGACTCTACGTAAGTGATGTCGCTTCTTGCCATGGATCGAACTGGCCTTGCGTGATTTGGCGGTGCTGCTCAAGATCAAAGGATCGCCCGACGTTGCTCGTATGGTGGTGATTTGGTTTGTGAATTCCTTCTGATTGCTTTCTTCCTTTGAGAGAATCGCCTAGTGGTATACAAATCATCATCATTCCCGGTATCAGATGGTCTAACTTGCCTGCTTTCTTATTTGTAGAGATGTCGATTACGATGATTACCACATTCACAACAATGACGATTACGATGATCACCCCATCTGCAACAATGACAATGACAATGATAACGACAACGAAGTTCAAAACGAAAGCCTGCAAGATCCCATTCTTTCAACTTGTGTTTGGATGTTGGTGTGACGGATGAGATTGACGACTGGTGACGGTACGAGTACGAATGATGACGGAGGACGACTACGACGATGGTGGTGGCAATGTACAGTAGCAAGATAGCTAGATGAAATAAAGCATTGTTTATTTATTACACGCTTGTTGTTGGAGGGATTTGCTGGCTTGTGGATAACATACTATTGCTTCGAAGATGGAATAATAAAGGTGGTCAGATTATCAGTCCCGTAGAAAGTACATGGCTTTTGAGATACAATAAGGAGGAGGAGTGGGAAGTGGGATGAGCTTGAGAAGAGAAAAAGTGAAGAGATCCCTCCATTGAAGTTTCAGGATAGTGACTCATTCAACATTATCTTTTTACATATACAAATTGGTTTATGCCAGCTCGACTTTCTCCTACATGCAAATGCGGTATACACAAACACACCTTCATTATTGGATGCTGTTTTACTTACGTACCTTCACAAGGCAATCATCATCATCATCCCGTTTTTGTGTGTAGCAACCTGTAAAGGACGCGTTTGTGTAACCACCCACGTGCCGTTTCACTCAGCTCTTCATGTATTGGCTGCAACCGACACCATCCACTAGGAAAAAGCAACTCCATCACGCTTACAGCATAGGTAAAACATAAAGACGCCTGTATCTTCAAACTTTACAATGAAACGTGGGGTTTTATTAGAGCAATGGGCTCGGCTTGGCCAACAGCACCTTGTGTGAAAGTTCGCGTTCAATGTCGCAAACGGCCAAAATATTTTTGGTCGTCGAAGAAAGTTTCAAGAGGTCGACTAAGATCCAGTTTGGCTGGTGGCGACAATGCCCGAATCTGGGATCGGCTTAAACGATCAGTGAAACTGGCACCCAAGGTGCAGTTGGCCAAGCCGAGCACATCGCTCTATTCAAACCCCCACCTTCGGTGTAAGTTTAAATTGCAGGCACCTTTATGTTTGTAAGCGTGATGCTATATGAAGAGTGGTCTTTGTTCATTCTCTGAAGAGTAGGTGGACCCTGGCAGAGCAAAAGATGCAGAAGGACCTCTTTGGGTAACTCAGCTAAAGTCAAGGACTTCCGGGACAATGCATGACAGGTACGCAGCAGCCTCCTTTATGTCATACATTGGCAGCTAATAGCGGCACTTTGAACATTCCCAACTTTTGTGCATTCTATTGTAGGTGGACGATGCTCTATACAGACATTCATTTCCATGATTAAAGTAGGTTGATCGAGCTGATTTGGTTGAGTTACGCTCTCACACAAGATTACATCGGTTGAGCTACATCGAGCGTGCTTTATGTCCAGAGTGATGTAATCTCTTGGCGGCAGCTCAACCAATCAGCTCGGATCTTCGCTAATCATGGTACGATGATGTCTGGGCAAGGGCATCGTTTATACAGTGGATCTCGCAACAATGATGGTTGGATAAAAGTGGCCGTTAGCTAGCAATACATGCCATTCCTAGATGATCCATAAAGTAATTATACATTGACTCTTTCATTGATGCAAACGTAGCTGTGTTACACAACACGACCCTCTGCATCTTTTGCTCTGTCAGGGTCTAGCTAGCACATTAGACAAGGGGCTCCCACTTCTCCTTATAGCATCACGCTTACAAACATAAAGGTGCCTGTATCTCCACACTTTACAATGAAACGTGGGTTTGAATATAGCAATGGGCTCGGCTTGGCCAACAGCACCTTGTGTGAAAGTTTCACGTTCAATGTCGCAACTTGCCCAAAAAATATTTTTGGTCGTCGTCGTCGAAGAGGTCACGACCCCCAGATCCAGTTTGGCTGGTGGCGACATTGCGAAATCTGGGATCGCCCACGATGAACTTCATTGACACAAGATTCCTTTGACCCCGACAAGCACGTTGATCTATTAAAGAGCCCACGTTTGATTGCAAAGTTTAGAGATACAGGCGTCTTTATGTTTTTACTATGTTGTAAGCGTGATGCTATATGAGAAGTGGTCTTTGTTTAATGTAAAGTAGCTAGACCCTGACAGAGCAAAAGATGCAGAGGGTCGTGTTGTGTAACTTGAGTCATTCAGCACAGGCGATGCATGATTCTTGTACACTATTTAGGAATAGTTCAAAATGCCGGCTAATAACCTAGTCCTCCCATTCTCCATTGTTGCCCAATCCAATACATATGAACGATTGTCCTGCTCCAGTCCAGCATGCACATCATTCAACTTTCATGATCCGAGAGGATGTGATTTGAGTTACGCTCAAACACAAAACATCATCCAATTTCACAAAAATCATTTTGCAAAGTTATTTGTAAACTGCCGGGTAATAGCCCAATCCTTCCATTCACCTTTGTTGTCCAATCCAATGCATACGAACGATTGTCTTGCTCCAGCTCATTATCTTTATCATTCAACTTCCATGATTCGAGGTGACATGGTAGCATGGCAACAATGGCTGTTGTTGGATCATCATTATCATGTAAAGTGTAAAATGGCACACACCCTTTTGCTATACATGAGGATCATCGTTTCTTTTATTTACGTGTACCTATTGTCTATTGTGAGGGTGATGATGACGATGGGTGGATGGTGTGTGTGTGGGGTAATTGAGTGGCCTCAGTGTAATAGCAGTAGGGGGATTTAAACTTGGGGGACAGCAGCTCCTCGACTTGAGACAACGCTTTCTCTTCTCTTTCTCCCTCCTCTACTTTTATCCCCATTCACAACATCCCGATCAAGGTAATGTATTACAGAAGAGTGCTATTGTTGGCTGTGAGGTATTGAATGAACATGCATAGTCAGGGAATGCAGTGGAGGTGGTTGTAGTCAACGTCATGTCGTCGCCGTTATGGCGCTCTTACACACTTGGTGCAACAGGTACATTCAAGTCCCCAATGTAGCAGAAGATCGTATTCCACTGACGTGTTAACTTGCATGTATAGATGGCAGAATTCAATAGCAAAGACGTTGGCCCATTTGGCTTTTCATTCGGCTCGACAACGCTACACCACGATGCAACCAACAACAGCAACGAAATCCTTTATGAATATGCAAGAGGCAAGTGCAGTGAAAACAATGGAAAGCGCGTTTATTGTGTATGTTTACTAATGATGAACGATGCTTTTGTTGGATAGGCATCATCATCGTCATCTCATTGATCCCATGCCTCATACAGCTGCTACTGCTATTGCTAGTGCTTCCACTTGTTCTTCTGTCTCTTGTTCTTTTTCGTCTTCCTCCTCCTCATTGCCTACCTCGATTTCGGTGCCTCCTGCCAAGCGCGTTTTGTCTCGCATCGATCATATCACCCCTCTTTCTTCTTCCTCAGTGACAAGCGGTGACGACGACGACGACGGCGTCGGTGATGATGAAATGAGGATGAAGGCCCTTGGTGTATGTTGAAGGATTGGAAACCTTAAGCGTTGTCAAGATGCTCTCGTTTATTTCTTCGCCACGATCATCTAAGGGAACATGTTGACACCATACACAAGGTATTCATTCACAGCAATGCGCGCCATGGCTCTCTTTCTCATTGAGTGTATTGTGATGCATTCAGAGACAACCAATAGCTTGTCGCGTCGACGACTGTGATGCCACTTTTTACAGCCAACAGCAAGAATACGCCCATTTTCAACGTATGCACGTAGTAAGTACTTGAGATTCAACCACCCAATGTCTTGTTACTTAGATAGGATATGATGAATAGCGACGACATCATTGTACTCATCCTGGTTGTGAAGCATCTTTTGGCAAGCCTTCAGATTTACAACGACACGTCTTGTGCAACCACGAAAACCCGGATCTTGCGGATGTTTTGATCGAGGAGGAGACTTCAAGCAAAGACTTGCAAGAGCTAGTGGATCAATTGGTTACCAGCGATTCGAAAAGTGGGAAAGGAACAGCAGCAGTAGCCAGGTTGTCATCTTCTACCAATGTTGTCAATAAGGAAATTGGGGCCACGGATCAACTCCTGACACAGTCTCATACAAGTGCTGAGAAGACACGGAGGACTGTATTCTACAACGTGCCCTGGTAAGATTACCCTCGATCTAGTTACCCTTTTTCGTATTGTTAACATTTCCTTTATCACAGCATGACCAGCTCGTATTTGTTGAGATGATCAAGAACATCCCATTGCATGCCACCGTATAATTCTTGACAAATCCAATATCGAAGAAGCAACTCGCGTGATCACCTATGTCGAGGATCCATCAACAATGCGTACACCATCATACCTTTATGCCATCAATGATAGCAGGATGCACATTGTAACGGCAAAGTGTAAGTAATGACCTGATGGAGGAAATTGCAGAGGATTGATTTATGACATCAATGTTACAGGGATTGCTGATAGCATCACCAATTGTGGATGGATGAAGAACACCATAAGGCAGCAACACCATGCAAAGATGTAAGTATCAATGATGGAATGGTTACCAAACACTCTTGGCTCATACGTATATCTTCAAGGTCTTAGGAGACATCCAAGTAACCCGTATCCTTCAAGGCATGCGCTTGAGCGAGCATCAAAGGTTTTTGGAGCACGCACCTTAGGCTAAAGCTCAGCATCTCGAGGTGAAATAGGCACATCCAAGATCGTTCAAGACTTGACCAGCGACAACAATGAGCCCAACATCGCCATTTGTATTGTCACTGACGAGGAGGCGTTTGCCCAGGGGTCCAAAAATGTCCAAGTTCGCACGATCAAGTGCCTGGTTGAAGTTCTTGCTTATCAACGAGAGACGAATAGAATTTGATACGTTGCAGTACATTGGATAGCAATAAAAGATGTTTCAGCTCGTTCGCTTCTAAAACATAATCATTTGCAAAGTAACACACACCATCGGCTGCATTCACGCTTTCGACATCCTATAAACAACAGCGAACATGGCAAGTATACGTATGTACATCAACGCTAGTATGAAAGCATGATGGAGATTCATTCTATCGTGGTACACAAATGATAAAATACCGCCACAGCACCATTTCTTTCATCTTTTTACGACTTTCAACTCCATTACATGTAGTGACAAGATGGAATGGTAGTACAGCCCAAAAATCACCTTGTATGTCAAAACCCATCATGATTGCGGCTTGCATGAAATAACAAGGGTCATTGTATAGAAGTGTCCAATCTACGAAAGAAGAACGATCCTCTCGACTTACATTTATGGTCCTATGTCCGATTAGCACAACGTTGCCTGCTATGTATTATTATAAAGAGAGATACAGGGATACAAGAATTGGCATCATCCATACTTGCCCTTTGCATAATTCAAGTCATGGGTAAAATGAGAAACTCAAAACATACATAGATTGCCTTTTTACAACTTCATATCCAAAAGGGTGAAGTAGCTTTTATTCTTAGTGTCTAGGTTGTTTACTCGTTGACTTGCTGTAACCTTATCGAGCGCCAACGGTCCCAAAAATCCATCGGAACCATTGAGGTTGCTGATAATGTTTTTGAGCTTTTTGACGCCGGCTCCTTCGATCTTATTCTTCCTGTTCAGAATAGTTACGTCGTAGCTGGTTTCCATGTCGATATTTTTCTCCATCTTAAGCACACCCTGTAAGTTGCCTGTTAACAACATAATAATAAGTATGGGATTTGAACCATCATGAAGCGTGACAATATATATACATATGTACCTATCATTGTGTGTGCAGCGCTGTTCGGGTCAGAAGGTGTGATACCAAGGACTATAATGAAGTTGATTAATAAAATAGGATGATACGATCAAATGAGTGGAGTACACCTACCTTGTGTTTGCTGTACAAAATTTATGTACGTTGTCTCGTTACAGATAAAGCTCGTTTTGATTGCTGGTGGTGGTGGCGAGTCAAGAAGATATTTGCGGAGGGCATGAGCAAGGTGAGCAACTTGCTCAGAGGTCCAGGTGCCTCTCGTCTTCGCGACCGAGAAATGCAGCTTGTGGTGGGCTACAGGTTTCGCGAGCTTACTCACCTGCTTCTTCAAGGTTTTCAGCTGCGATTGTGCCTTTGATGGTCACGTAGTTAATGGGAGCAGGTCCCTTAATCACGAGCTATATGACGAGAAAATGCTATTATAAACTTTCTTTTGTTTTTTGAGTGTACGTATTTACCAATCTTTGCATTAGCTTGATTAACACATCGAGCTTTTTGGATGCAGCATCCATCTTGAGGATGGGTCCATCTATCAAATCAGCATTCACTCCTGTTGCTTTGGTTTTGATCTTTTCCATGAACTTGCTTCCTGGACCTAAGGTATTTGCAAATCAAAAGTGAATTGGATGATGATGTTGTACTGCTATTCTTCTCAAATTACGTACCAAAAAGCTCAACCAAATCAGGTTGTTCTTCTTTCCAGGATACATGCTTCTTTCGGTTGGGACCACCCAAGGTGTCAAATTCCTTCAACATGCTCCAAGCATCTTCATCGTCAATATCATTGTCACCGTCATCATCACCGCTTGTCGCCGAAGAAGAAGAAAGAGCGGTGGAACCATCGTGTGTGAGACAAACACGCTTTGAAGGAGGTACAGAAATCGAGGTGGACAATGAGGAGGAGGAAGACGAACAAGAGATAGAGGAAGAAATGGAAGCAGTGGAATAGCAATAGCTGTGGCAGGGGTAAGTGACACGGGCTCTGATGAGACATCGGCAAAAGAAGTACAGTATCACGAAGAGTATTGCTGTCAAATCGCCCAAAGGAGTCGAGCGCAAGGAGATGATGATGATGGCTAAAGTTGAATTGCTTGATCAAAGACCTATTCAGTTCATTATTAGCAAACATATACAATATACCCTTTTCATTGTTTGTTTCATTGCACTTGCCTTTTCCATATACATAAAGACCCCTTTGTTCTTGGTTACTGAAACTGGAAACCATGGTGTAGTAGTGTTGTTGAGCCGAAACAGAACGCCAAACCAGCAAACGTCTTGAAACCAAACTTGCTCTCTATACAAGCTGACGCGTCAATGGAACCAATTCGGCTGCAACATTGGACTCTGAATGTACCTGTTGACACCAAGCGTAGAGCGGGAATAGCAACGAGCAAAAGGAAGCAACAATATCGCCATGGCAACCACCAACCACCAACCACGCTCATTCCTCAGCACTTGGACACACTCACTCCCTGACAATGCATGTTCAGAACTACATTAACACCTCACAGCCAACAAGAGGACTTTTTTATAATACATTACCTTGATCGAGATGTCGTGAATGGAATAAGGAAAGGTGGGAGAAAAAGAAGAGAAGCGTTGCCTCAAGTCGTGGAGCTGCTGTCCCCCAAGTTTAAATCCCCCTACTGCTATTGCGCTGAGGCCATTCAATGACCCCACGCACACCATCCACCCATCCATGATCATCAACCTCACGATAGACAATGGATACACGTAAATAAAAGACATGATGATCCTCACGTATAGCAAAAGGGTCTGTGCCATTTTACACTTTACATGATAATGATAATCCAACAATAGCCATTACCTTACTACCATGTCAACTCGAATCAAGAAAGTTGAAGGATGGGCATGCTGGGCTGGAGCACGACAATCGTTCGTATGCATTGGATTGGGCAACAAAGGTGAATGGGAGGAATGGGCTATCAGCGGGCAGTTTAGGAACTAGTCCTAAATAGTGTACAAGTATCATGCATCGCCTGTGCTGACTGACTCAAGTTACACAAACACGCCCTCTGCATCTTTTGCTCTATTATACTCATACTACTTTACATTAAACAAAGACCACTTCTCATATAGTATCAAGCTTACAAACATAAAGACGCCTGTATCCCTAAACTTTACAATGAAACGTTGGGGTTTTGAATAGAGCGATGTGCTCGGCTTGGCCAACAGCACCTTGTGTGAAAGTTTCACGATCAAGCTTGCCAATCCCAGATTTCGCAATGTCGCTGCCAGCCAAACTGGATCTGGGGGTCGACCACTTCGACGACGACGAGCAAAAAATATTTTTTGGGCTGTTTGCGACATTGAACGCGAAACTTTCACACAAGGTGCTGTTGGCCAAGCCGAGCACATTGCTCTATTCAAAACCCCACGTTTCATTATAAAGTATGCAGATACAGGCGCCTTTATATTTGTAAGCGTGATGCTATATGAAGAGTGGTCTTTGTTCATTGTCAAGTAGGTGGACCCTGGCAAAGCAAAAGATGCAGAGGGACCTCTTTGTGTAACTCAGCTACTTTGCATGACTGTAAGGATGGAAGGATGATATTGCATACTATTGACAATAGCCCATACATTGGCTGCTAATAGCCACTTTTGTGCATTCCGAACTTTTGTACATTCCATCGTAATGGAACAATGCTCCCCCTCCAGACAGTCATTTCCTTGATTCAATTATCTTGATCCGAGCTGATTTGGCTGAGCTACGGTCAAATAGAGATTACATCAATCCATACATCAGCATACATTCGAATGTCTCAGCTGATTAATCCTGGTTCGACCGTAACTCAACCAAATCAGCTCGGATCAAGCTACTTGAATCATGGAAATGAATGTCTGGAGCAGGAGCATCATTCCCGTCACGTGGATTTCGCAACAATGCTGATTGGATAAAAGTGGCTATTAGCTGCCAATGTATGACCTGAAAATGAGGGTTGTGTACCTATCATGCATTGTCCCTGAAGTCCTGACTTGTTAGCTGAGTTACCCAAAGAGGTCCTTCTGCATCTTTGGCTCTCCAGCGTCTAGCTACTTGGCAATGAACAAAGACCACTTCTCATATAGCATCACGCTTACAAACATAAAGGTGCCTGTATCTCCAAACTTTACAATCGAACGTGGGGTTTTGAATAGAGCAATGTGCTCGGCTTGGCCAGCAGCACCTTGTGTGAAAGTTTCACGATCAAGCTTGCCAATCCCAGATTTCGCAATGTCGCCACCAGCCAAACTGGATCCGAGGGTCGACCTCTTGAAACTTTTTTCGACGACCAAAAAATATTTTTTGGGCTGTTTGCGACATTGAACGCGAAACTTTCACACAAGGTGCTGTTGACCAAGCCGAGCCCATTGCTCTATTAAAAACCTCACGTTTCATTGTAAAGTTTGGAGATACAGGCACCTTTATGTTTTACATATGATGTAAGCGCGATGCTGTATGAAGGGTGGTCTTTGTTCATTGTGAAGTAGCTGACCCTGATAGAGCCAAATATGCAGAAGGGCTTGTTTGTGCAACCCAGCCGATTTGCATGACAAGAAGTGATACTGCATGATACTTTTACACTACCTAAAAGCACTCATACATTGGCAGCTGATAGCCCGTTCCTCCCATTTCCTTTGTTGCCCAATCTGCTGCATACAAACGTTTCTCCTGCTCCAGCCCAGCATGCCCATCCTTCAACTTTCTTGATCCGAGTGGATTTGACTGAACAACGCTCAAACACAGAAGTATCATCCAATTTGAGAAAAATCAACCCGATTGATTATATGTAAACTGCCAGCTAATAGCCCATTCCTCCCATTCACCTTTGTTTCCCAATCCAATGCATGTGAACGATTCTTCTGCTCCACGCCAGCATGCCCATCCTTCAACTTTCTTGATCCGAGAGGATTTGTTTGAGTTACGCTCAAACACAGAAGTATCGCCCAATATGAAAAAATCATTTTGTAAAGTTATTTGTAAACTGCCAGCTAGCAGCCCATTCCTCCCAATCACCTTTATTACCCAATCCAATGCATACGAACGATTGTCCTGCTCCCGATCATCATTCGCATCATTCAACTTTCTTGATCCGAGTAGATTTGATCGAAGAACACTCAAACAAAGAAATGGCATTCAAACACCAATTTAACCTACTTTGTTTTCCAGGTCTTCCACTTCCCGCTTCTTCCCTCTTCCTTCCATTCCCAACTGCAACCCCATTTAACTACAATCACCTCATGGGAACGATTGTTCTGCTTCAACCCATCATGTCAATGCTGCAGCTGTCTTGATCCGATTGCCTTTGACTGAATGGCAAGTGCATGGCGTGTGCACCCCAACTACAACCGTTCCTTGACACAACACGTTCTCTTGTACACTCCTCTAACACAACCGATCGTAACAGCATTCATCCAGCAGTTGCCATTAGCAAGGTCTTGATTCCATTGTATCAACAGCGTTCTTTACGTGCAGCAACCTTCCCTGAAGCCCTTTTCACGTGGACAGCAGATAGCCATTGTATAGCAGCAGCTTTATTTACTTGTAGCAACTTGCTTCAATACAACATACGACTTCTTGTGGATATGGATATGGATGTTGGTTTGGTGTATGGGATGGAAGGATCAGGGTATATACAACGCATGGGAAGAGGGTCTTTGTCCTTATGTATCCACTGTTGGCAACCATTATGTTTGACGGTATCATCCTGAACGGTGGTGCATGCAATTATCGTATTTGACGTTATTCCAGGGCAGCCAACATCATCATCCTTTGTGCAACCTGTCAACTATGTACAACAATTATCATCCAACTCCATAATGCGCCCCCATGCATTAAGTACCATGAATCCGTTCACCTTTGCACAATGCGCCATCAAGGAATAGAAGCTTGCCGAATCGATGAATTCCCCAACGAAGCAACGCTTTGCACTTCTCGACCTATCTCTTGCGAATGATGATGTTGGATTTAAGGATCACTTTAGCGAATACGGGATTGCGTTGGCCAATCGGGTATAAGCTTCTATAACGCAAGGGACCTTCCTTCTTCCTGAGTTGAACTTGTCATCGTGTGTGGTCACTTGATGCATTGTAACATAGAGAGATGTATGATTATAGAAGTTTAAATCACGTGCAAATTCTGCAATAAAGGAAAAACGAGAGGAGGAGAAAGGATTCATTGTGTTCTGATCAAAGGCTGCATTCGATAGCATAACACAACACATTTTTTGATGATTAGATAGTCATAACATGCCTTCCTTCTTTATGCTTTATTCTTGAAGATGGTTACTTTACTGATATACAGAGGGAGATGCTCTTACATCATTAACTCGTTAAAAGTATCGGTCACAAAGATTAGGTGTCTCTATCTTCAGCTTTACTTTATGCATCTTGATACCATTTCAGCCATGGTGGCACCCAATGGAAACAAAACGAGACGTATAGGAAACATAGAGATGATGAATTGATTGATGATGTTACACTAATATCACCGGATGTTGAGCTGGTCTCTTTCAACGGGATCCGTATTGTTTCTAAATCTAGAAATACATGCAAGGAAATGCAAGTTATAACATGTAAGCACTGTGCGCTGAGAAAAGGGGGTGGGTGAGTAATTGGGGGTGTTGGGGGAAAAGGAAATGACGGGAGTGACGCACAAGACACATCTTTGATTTCATTATGCACTGAGGGTGGTCGAATCAACCATAGAAACAACGAGAGAGTGTAACATCGAGCTTTACATGAGTCTCGGTGGTAGCATGATAAAATGAATAAATGTGATTGTATTGCATGAATGACGTTTGATAGCATTGTAGCAAGTGTAGATCTCTTATTGACAGATGATAATAATGAAGAAGGAGAAAGTGTGTGTACCCAAGCCAGGCATATCGGCGCGTGAATGGTAATAAAGTTGGTACATGAATAACGTGGTCCCTGACTCTTTTTCCTCTCCCCAACAAGTTTGGTTAATACACTTCACATAATACTCTCTCGTAAGTGCATTCATTTATTCGTGTAGCTTCTCTTCATTGACCCGGTCATTGAAGCCCAGTGCAGGATTTCCATTCCTTTACACGTCGTCTCTCGACCTTTCTTGTAAACGACAATCGCCGACTACTGCACTAATACGCGATCGTTCCAGCCCTTGTTTCAATTGGCACATGTCGCCTGTACCATAACCGTATATACAACCTATCGCTACTATTACGACATTGACGCATTTGAAAATGAGCAGCACGTCCAACAAAGTAGATGGTGAGCAGTAATTGTCGATCGCCTCTCTTTGAGAATACTACTAACATAATGAATGGATATGATAGAACCAACCAGCAGCAGTCTGCAGGCATGGCTGCAAGCACACCTCGAGAACTACGTGGAGCTTGGATTCTTGAAAAGGATTCCTGATGCATCATCATCATCATCATTGTCGTTGCAGGACGACGACGACGACGACGATTTCAGCTGCGTGTTGGCATGTCTCGCTCACCGATTTTGTCCTTCATCGGTACCTGATCTTGTTACTATGCTCCAACAACAGCAAGAAAATGTGGCATCCACCGCTATTCAGATATTCCATGACGAGCTCGATATACCCAGCGACATCCCCAATAGGATCGAGTACCTTGACAACATTCGCCATGCAGTGGAGCAAAAACAGGAACCAACCGAGCAATCCATGCGACTCACAGAGACCACCTTGGTTACCGAGACACAGCATATTCAGGTCACACGACGTACCCGAGAATATTCATCATCGGATGATGAAGAATTGGAACAGCATGTATCCAATGTGCTCAACCATATCCATCAATTACGCACTCAGCTGAATGACATGACCCTCAAGACATCATCAACATCATCATCGCAACGACATAAAGAGGAGAAGGAGGAAAAGATCAATGAGGAGGATGATATGGCAATGCGTGTGGATCAATTTGAGAAGGATCTTGCCAGATTTGAGAATGAGGATATGAGTGCTTATCGATCCTACATCAGCCATCTTGACGACGATGCACGTGCAACAGTAGCATCACGTATCCAAGCAGTGGATACTGCTCATTCAGCATTGGAGGTACAACTTGAGGATGATTTCAAAGCCATTCGCACAGGTGTGCTCTTTTCAAAGTTGACATTGCCTATTCGACATGAGCTCGAGACTGTACAAGCCAAGATGTTAAAGACGACAACGACCGAGGATGGTATTCGAGAGCTTGAGGAACGTACCCAGCATGCAGGTACATTATTGGATACCATGGAGAAGGAATATGGAGATGCCATGTTGAACACCCAATCGACATTCTCGTATCGTTCCCATTTTGAGGCACTACGCCAAAAGCATCGTGTGGTGTGTTCCTGGGTTGATGAAGTACGTGTATGGTTTGTGGAAGCTGAACGTATCCGACGATGGATTGAAGAACGTATTGAATTGCTGGAGAAGGATGCATTGGATGATCCTGTACAGATCCTCTCTTTGCAATACTCACTTGAAAAAGTGGATGAATTGACAACGCGACATGAAGCAATGGAAAAGGAGGTGGAGCAATTTGATCATGAGGATATGACCCGATTACGTGCACACGTCAAAGCACTCACTGGTGTTGACAAGCAACAAGATGACAAAGATCTAAGTCCCGCTGATACAACTACCATCGAGATCACATTCACCACCCTTATGACCCTGGATCGATTGATGCATATGCTTCGAAAGAGATCGTATGAATTGCAAATGTTGACGCTGCGAGTGTTTTGGGAGCAAGAGCATGCTACATCTCAAACATGGGTTGCTGATACGGATACACAAGTGGATGCATTGTTGGCAAAGGCACGATGGCAATTGGATGAGGAAAAGACCATGTCGTGGGCAGATGCAGATGGAGTCAAGAACAACGTGGTTCGAGAGTTGTTGGATGTTGAGCAACGCATAGCCGATTTTGATCAAGGCCAATTCACCACAACAGTCAACATGTATCAAGACATGGACAACCATTCCAAAGTCGAGTTGCCAGCACATCTTGAGTCTCGACAAGTAGCACTTGAAGAAGCATTTGAAGCACTCACCAAACGCGTCGGCTATGCACGTCAAGTTGTTGAGCAACGAATTACCGTGGTGGATTTTGTGTATCGTGCGGATGATTTGATGAATGAAGGTGGAAGACTCAAAGAAGAAATGGCGATTGCCGAGCAACAAGCTGTGGTTGGGGATTCGGATCGGGAATTTATGGATCGTATTCGACACTTTCAGGAACAAGCGGTACAATTGGTGACGAGTGTTGCTGTTCGTATTCGGTATCCCGAGCATGTGTTCCCTGCCTCAGATATCCAAGCCAACGATGAAGCCAATGCAATGATCCGATCGTTGATTAGCAATCGTAAATCAGCTGTCATTTTATTTGGCGACATGCTCGATCAGAAACTTGCTGCATATCAATACGTCCTTGAGATGATCACCACTGCCGATCAGCTCCATCGTGAACTACGTCATATGCATGAGCTTATTGAAAATCAAATCAAGTCCATTGCTCATATCAAGGATGAGGTGCTTGGTGCTCGATGTCCATTGACCCATCAAGATGCCGAGAAGTTGACAGCTGAATGTACTTCACAGCGTACCAAGCTCGAGTCATTACGAGAGGGTGATGTCAAGATTATGCGTGATGCAGTAGATGCTCTTAGGAAAGATGTGGTTGAATTGAATGCATCAGCTGTGCCTATCAGTCGATTGGATGCTGCCATGGAACGCCTTGAGCAATTGCTGAAGGAGTTGGAGGCATCACTAGCATTGCATGAACAAGAGCTACTTGGATTGAAAGCACGATTGCAATGGAAAGATGGGTGGAACGAGACTATGCAGCAAGTTACAACCATGACTCAAGATGTGTGGGACCTTATTGGTCGTATTCAATGGCGTGTGGATACCGTTGAGCCTGGCAACATGGATACCGTTGACATGGAAACAGCCTATACGCAAAAGCAGCAACAGATCGATGATTTCAAGCAAGCCAATCACTTGGACAACATAGCGAGCTTATTTTCAACCATGATGAATGCGCTTGATAGCATTGTGGAGAAGGCGCCTGAACATTTTCAACGTCGACAGGATTCATTGAACAAGGCATTCGATGAGCTCGTGACATTCTTCGACTTTGCTCGTCACGTGCTTGATCAACACAAGGCATTGGCGGAATTCAGTGATGAAGCTTCATTGGTACATCAAAGTGGATCCAAGCTGGTAGAGGATTTGGAAAATGCATTGCGCAAAGTGATGAATGAGGATACGGAGTCATCCTTGTTTTCAGAGCCAATTCAGGATTACAATCAACGTGTACAAGGTTTATTGACCACATTGAACGAGAAGCCTATTCCATATCCTTCGAGACCAGCTACGAGTGCTGCCGATTCATATCGCACATCAGCTGATCATGATTACATTCATGGAGAGATCCAATCGTTTGTTCAAGGTCACCACGATAAGCTGAAGCAATTGCATGAACGAATGATCCACCTTGAATCCTTGTTTATCTCAGCATTGGAATTCAGGACATCGATTATTTCTTGTGCAAAAGAGGCTGAGGAATTGGATGATCGAGCAACCAATGTTATTCAGACAATCTTGCCAGATCGACAAAACCTCGCCATGGATACGATCAATCTCAATGCAGCTGCAGATCCAAATGTGCTCAAGGAACGGCATGTTGAAAATGTAAGAAGCACCGAATCAATTAAGGGAGCCCTTGGTGATTTGCAAAAGAAAGCCGTCAACCTCAGTGAGTCGATTCAACAATCAGATGTTTGCACACATGTCGAGGATACCATGGTCAGCACAGCCATGGCCAAGTTAGAAGGCAACTACCAGGAGCTTATTCAACTTGTGGGGCAACATGAGAAGGAGCTGGGTGTCTATGCTGATCGCCTCGATTGGGAGAAGAAATCGGATGCTTTGCTTACTCAGGCGCACAATCTTCAGGAACAGCTGCGTAATCTCGATGAAGAAAAGAAAGCGTTACACCTCTCGTCAAGAATTGATGATAACAAGTTGTCCGAGAACCAGCAACGATTATGTGATCTACAGCAACCATTGGCAGATATCTTGAATTTGAAGACATCCATGGATGAAGCGAATGCCGTTATGAATGCCAGCTACGACACACTCCATACGCAACCTATTCCTCAGCTTGTGGTGGATCGACATAACGATATCCATGGTGTAGTTGCACGTGTATCTGATCTTGCCGATCAACTTGAAAAGGAGCTTGATTTGATTGAAAAACGACGACAATGGGAACACTCGGCAGATGAAGCATTGGCATCCAGCTTAGATCTCGAACAACGCTTGGAAGAATTTATTCGCAACGAAGCACGCTGGCAACAAACTTCTGAATTACATCATCTAGCCGACTTGGATACCAAATTTTCAGAATGGCAGGATGCTGTGGATTCTCAGGGTGAGAGATTGGCGAAGATCAGGTCAACATTGGATGATCTCTTTGAAAACCAACACTTGTACCGATCCGATGCATTATCTCGACGCAGCCATGAACTTGAAGGAGCACAAGATCGATTAGCCAGCTTGTTGTCATTTGGATTTCAAGTCAAGAACCAACATCAGCAATATGCAGAATGTATGCAACAAGCTCAACAACTCGAATCAAATGCTGAGACATTGCGAAAGCAAATTGAAGATGGCGGCGACACTATGGCGGAGCTTGAGAAGTTTATGCAAGAGGTGGAGTCATTTGGTCATACATCATGCAACATTTCATACCCCGTTCGCAATTTCAGGGGCTACGATGTACGATCTCGTAACCAAGACGACACTGCCAACACAGTGATGCAAGAAACGTTACATGTACGCCAATCTCGTATTGAACAACTACCTGCTGTATTGAAAGCAGCCGTGGAAGCTCAGCAAATGCAGAATGAAAAGAAGGCTGCTGTGGATGCTTACATGACCGAATCACGCAATTTGAAAGAATGGATTACCAGTAAATTGGATGTACTTGATGATGTATCAGCTTTGGACGACACCAGCTCAGTACAAGACCTTCGCGCAGCTGCAACAACCATGGATGCTATTCATTCGGCCGTGCAAGCCAATGATACCACCTTCAGCTCACTTGGTGTCAAGGCACTCAAACTCGAAGATGAAGAGGATGTCCAAAAACAACATGCAGAATTGACACAGCTTTGGCGTACATTGGCAGGTAAAATTAGTGTATGATTTATTGCTATTATTGTATGTAGTAACACCTACCATTATCATTAGAACGCTTAAGCACGGATGCCAAGGATACTTTGACCACTCGATTGCACGCTGCTGAATACAACGAATCGACACAGCAATTGAGTAACCAATGCCGATCGATCCAATCTGCTATGGATGATATTCAAACGAGTGATCTTTCCGAGACCAAGCTTGGTGAATGGCGTGACCAAATCGATTCGCTCAAGACGCAGCTTTATGAAACAGTGGGTGTTCAGGCTACCAACGAAGCTGAGCGTGAGACATACAAGCAACTCTCTTTGGAGCATGGCAAGCTATTGACTACGCTTGATGATTTGAACAAAAAGCTACGCAACCGTGAATTGTTGGATGATTATCGCAAACGTACAGATGCACTTGTTGCTTTCTTCAAAGACTCCACTGGTCGACTTGATTCATTGCAGCAAGAATATGGTGTTATCACTGGTGCATCGGATGATGAGAACCAATGTCGCTTGTTCAATGACGAGTATAATGCCATGCAGCGAACGGTGCAAGAAAAGATGGAAGACTATCGAGAACAGCAATCATTTTATCGAGCATTGCAGCTGCAAGAGATTGATACTAGCAACGTGGAAGGCGAACATGAAGCATTGGATGAGGCACAAAAGGCACTTGTTAGCAAGTTGGATGCTGTTCGATTGGCTGCTAGTCTTGCTACTCAATGGAAGGATCTTCATGCTACATTACATGCTGTTGAGTGTGAGTCGACTAAAATCAATGACATGGGCTCGATGAACGATCAAGAAGAGGATGATACAAAGGAAGCCGAATCACAACTCGCTGCTATGGAGGCTCGACTTGCTACAGCGTCTGCCATGAGTGACAAGCTTTCTACTACTGCTGACGATCACAACAAGCAACATTTCCAAGAACGTTACAACAAGGTGTGCGCTACTATTTCAGAAGCGAAGCAGCGATTGGAAGCGAGAAAAGCCGATGCCAAGGAACGTGCCGATTTGGCAGCATTTGTGGAAGCAGCCAACAAGCTCAAAGAAGATGCAGAAAAGGAGCAACAACGTGTACAAGAACGTACGGATGGCGTAGCTGCAGTGTATCAAGAAATTGGACAAAAGCAACAAGATACACAGAGTGCATTGGAGCAAGAATATCGTAAGCGGGTCTCTAGCACTGCTGTCACTGAGGCGGATGTTTTTGATAAGCTTGTGGAAAAGTGTGATGAACTTGCTGCCAAGCCGGTGATGGACGACACTGCCCTATCGAATGCACGAAAAGCTGTGGATTCACTCAAGAAAGCGATTGATGATGAGAAAAAGATCAACGATATGGTGCGACGTGCATTGGGTCATTCCAAAACAGCTGACAACATTACATCATGGATCAGCAATTGTCGCAATGCTATTGAAACAGCTGCGGGTGATATGGAGTTATCGGATGACAAGTATATTGACGAGGATGTGCAAGATATCCAGACCAAGATGGATAATTTCACGAGCGTTGTTGATTCATTTGTTGAGATGACATCAAGGATCATGAATGATGCTGTTACCCAAGGTGGTAGTGCTGTGGCCAACGAGGTGGTACAAGTCCGTGCACAACGCGTTGATGTTGATTGGAAAGCGCTCCAAAAGGAATTTGCCGATCTGCAAGCCGCTATGACACGTACATCCAAAGGGATTGCTATTGTACGACAAATGAAACGTGTCCTACAGCTATGCGGTGATGCACGTGAGCGTGTGGGACGACTTGAAAGCAACTCTACTCGATTGACAATCACGGGACATGCACTTTCAGATATGCTACGTGAACAAGATGTATTGGCTGCTCAGCAAGAATTGGACACCATTGAGGAAAAGGTGAATAGTCAAGTGGCTCAAGAGCTCACAAAGTTGGATGAGATGCTTGATGATCTTGAGAATGCGGATGATACCTTTGCACAACAACGCAATGAGATGAGCTCGGCAGTATCCAATTTGACAACGGCGATGGAAGAAAAGAAACAACAACTTGGACGTGCATTGGATGTGGGACGATGTCTTGTGATTACGGATGATATTGAAGTATTGGTGAGCGCACTTGAAGATGCAGCTACAAAGGCTTCGAATGGCAACAAGGAGAATAGCAAGGCCGATTTGCAGGCACGTGTGATTGAGTTGGATGCAAGATACAAATACTATGAACGCAAGATCGTGCAGAGTTTGGACGCCGCACAGTTAGCAGCTGACGACATTACGTATGAAGACGACCGTGAACTTGTATTGCGACATGTGCGTGAATTAAGGGAGCGTTGGGAAGTGATTGATCGACAAGTGCAATCACAAAAGGCTGAGCTCAACAAGTCGCTTGCTGCATCAAGGCCGCGTGTCAATAGGACACGCAAATCATCTTTACCAACACGCAAAGCATCTCATTTCTTACGTGACCGAGACCGATCTCCTTCACGTTTACCAACATCTACATCTTCTTCACTGCATCAACAAAACAACAACAATAATAATACATCATTGCTTTTGGCAGCTTCGAGTCGTTTGGCTAAATCCACATCAAGCTCACATGTGCCAGCACCCTCACCAAGACCAAGTGGTATGAGTCGTAGTAAGCTGGTACCTCCTTCTCAACGACGTACAGCATCGAGGTCAGCAACGAATGCTAAACCACCAGCACCCTCATCATCAGCACGACCATCGATTCATGTGACACCTGCAAACAAGTATGTGGCTGATCCGCACAACGATCTGGATATGGAAATCGGGCGCATCGTGAACGAGACCCCATACAAGATTAAGGTGAAAATGGTTCCTGGTGAAGTGGGCCGTTATTGGTTTGGTGATGCCAATCCAAAGTTGGCTTATTGTCGTGTTCTCAAAAGCAAGATGGTGATGGTGCGTGTGGGTGGTGGATGGATGGAATTGACCGAGTTTTTGCGACAGGTAAGTGTTGTTGTCGTCGTTTGTTTATGACAACAGACTGACATGTGGTTTTTGTTTGTTATTTTAGCATGCTTTGCTCGAGGGCGACTTTATTCCCAGAAGATCCGCAGCAACAGCAGCAACTAACGCCGTTGGTGGTGAAGAACAACAAGAAAATGTACCAAGAATAAGAGAAGGCTTTATTGAAACACGAAAACAACGACAACGTATTCGAGAACGATCGCCATCATCAAGTTTCAAAGGAGATGCACTACCACCTTCTTCTTCCTCCTCCTCGTCAACCACTTTACTCAGTCCACCAGCACCTACCAATAGCAGCGGTGGGTCCCGTTCTACACCACAAAACGCACAAAAAGGCTACATTGATGGAGACCGATATATCACAGTGGATCGATATGGCAATCAACTCGAAGTTAAAATGACCAAAGCTACCATGCATCAAAGCTCAAGTTCAAACACTCGACGTAAACCAGCAATACCATTAACACAACGAAGTAAACAATAGACAAAAAGCTTGTTTCCTTTTTAATAAACCCTTACTACTACTACTACTCGCACATGGACCATCATCATCATCGCAGCAGTAAAAGAGGAGCGGATAAGGAAGCGTGTTTACATATAGCGAAAAAAGAGAGTGAGAGAGCGAACGGGCGCATCTTGGCGGGCAAACATTGGAAGGTTAAAAAAAAAGAGGAGCAAGGGGAGAGGAGGAGGAGGAGACATGATGATGTTGTTGCGTGTGAGAGAGAGCAAGTGCATGTGTTGATACGAAACGGTGTGCACGTACTTGAGGTTCCGCCATCCGTTTGCTATACAAGAAGGATCACCCCCAACTTGTTTGTGTTCTTTTTTCCTCTTTCTTTTTGCTCTTTGTTCCTTCTTCTATCTCTCTCTCTCTCTCTCTCTTTTCCTCTTTCTTTTTATTCTCAAGGCAATCTCAGTGCTCTCATACAAAAAGACCCCTTTTTTGTATACAAGTCTCACATTACAAACGATTTATTCAACAACAACAACAAAAAGCGTATACACGCACACACACAAAAGAGAGAAAGACTCGTCCCGTCTTGTTTGATTACCATGCCACCGAATACTGTGTCAAGTGTCAAAGCGGAGAACACAAGCATCTATGATTCAAGCAGCTGCGAAAGGTCGTACATGAGGTACGTTTGTAACGTTGTTGCCTGTTTCAGGATTGGCCACTGACGCCCAGACCCGAAATCACGCACATAATAGTCAACAACAAACACCGCCCTCGCCAACCCCCCGTACTGCTCCTACTGCTGGTATGGATGCTGAACATCGTAACGCATATACAACACCTCCAAGTGACTCGCCACCAAGTGCATCTTCACCAGCACTATCTTATACAAAATACGCTGCATCAGCATCCACTTCTCACCACCACCTTCCACCTTATGCTGCTGCTAGTAATAACAATTACCACCATCATCATCATCATCGCCATGCCAGTAACAACACAAGAACCTCCTCATCAGAATACTCACTTGTGGAATCAACAACAACACCAACAGCAGCCACCATGATGAATGAACCAGCGGCATTATCATTCACACGCACCATGTACAATAACAACATTCTATCGCTTGACAAGTCTTCCATGTATGCAAGAGCTGTTGGGGGAGAGGGGGGAGAAAAGGGGGAGAGAGGAAAAAAAAAACCAGATGATTCATCGCATGTTGTTGCTTACATATTTCTTTGTTGACATGCAGACTCCAAGTGGATTTGCGTGCACGTATTGATCGTGGTTTCTTTTTGGCTGACAATGATTGGACTTGCTATCGTCGCAACTACTTTCAATTAAGCACTGCATTCACACTTCAAGGCATTGGTGTCATTTATGATGGTCAATCCTTACCATGCTGGGTGAAGAAGCAGCAACAACAACGAGAAGTGAAAAAGAATCATGGTGATGATGAAGGCAATGAGGAGCAGCAGCTACTACACGCCGTGGAGCGTTTCATGGTGGGAATTAGTTCACATGTGGCCAACAGTGACAAGGCTGTGGAGTTGGTTGAATACTCACCCAAGCGTGACAAGGGCCCAACGAGTACACCCCAACCTCGTCCATTGACTCCAGGTGGTAATTTGACACTTAGCTCGGTCAATGGAACACCATCCATTGCCACCTTTGAACGTATCCAATTCAAATCGGCTACAGCCAACAATGGCAAACGTCGTGCTGCACAACAATACTATGTCGTCAGTGTCAATCTCTATGCTCAGCTCAATACTGGTGAATTGATTTCTGTTGCATCGATTGATTCAACTCCGGTCGTGGTGAGAGGAAGAAGCCCTGGTCATTATGCAGATGGTGCTGCTGCTGCTGCTGCTACTACAGCTGTTACAGCTACAACAGCTACAACAGCCACACCTACTACTGTACAAGCCGTGGTGACTACCACTACTACAACAACACCAACTCCATCACAAATTCCTATTCCTCCCCCTGCTGCTGGCAATAATCATTCGATCGATCATCATCAACATCATCAACAACATCCACAACCACAACAAGCGTGTTTGCCACATTATGATTATATGGGTGTGCCATATGCAGCTACACCTCAACCTCATCCACTTCCACCTCCATCCTATATGGCCTTTGGTGTGCATGAGCGATATCATTCCTCTCCCGATTTGCCAGTTGAATCAGCATGGCATCGTGGTTATCCACCACCACCTCATCCTTCTTATTGTTATGACACTACTGCACAACAACAACAACAACAATCCACTCATCCACGACAACAACATCCAAGGTAAGTACATACTTTGTAATGTGATGGTAAGGATAAGCATAAAGTTAAAACTTGAAATGGATTATAGTCTTCCTCCCCCACATCAACAACAAGCGTACTATCATGACATGTGGCGTCATATGGCTCAACAACAAAACATGGCCGCAACAGCAACAACACCAGCAACCACTGCTGCTGATGTCAAAAAGAATGAAATGGTCATGAAACGTTCACTTGACGACAGCGACATTGATACGTCACGCAACACTCGACTTCGCTCATCTTAATCAATACCTACCCCCCGATCTTAACACACCCACTTCATCCAAAAAAATTGTAGTATCTTGTTATATTGTATGTATTATCCTCCCTCTATCGTGTCAAAATAACATTTGTGTAAAGAGTCGTTCTTCCTCGTGCGCATTTGTGTAACAAGTGATTTATTACAGTAGATGAGGAAGGGGGGGAGAGTAATATGATCATTAATGCATATAGGGCCCTTTAAAGAAAGAACGTTGTCTGTGGGGTGGGGTGGCAAGTCGACAAAAGTAATAGAATTGAATGAAAGTAGGCGTTGTAAAAGGATTTAAAGTGCGTGCGGGTGGGGGTTAGGCTTTAATGCAGCCAGCTTTCCTTCTCTTTTCCACAAGCAGTTTTCTTTCCCCGCATGGACTCGACCGTATACAACTCGCTCAAACGTTTGCGCATCGACGACACTGATGAAGACCGACAAACGAAACGTCCCTCAATGGAGTAAGTAATGCGATCTACGTAGGCAAGGGAACGCATGGCTGATTGCGCGTTTATTATATACCCCCCTAGATCGTGGTCGTCGCAACGTCCTGGTGGCGGTCCTTTTATGAGCACGCTTCAGGCAACACAACACAACAATGGCGCAGCAAGCAACTCACATGATCATGGTGCGTTTAATAATGTAAGCTCTGCTGCTGATACGAGTGGCGTAGTGCATCAACGCTATCATCATCATCATCATCAACAACAACAGGTTTTCACGTCGTTCATGGTGTCAACCAAGACAAACACCCAATACAACACCATGAATCAAGTTTTGAACGGTGTCCACATGAATCGATACGGCAATCCACAACGTCAGGAAGGATGGTGGGTGATGGAGGAGGAGGAGGAGGAGGAGGAGGTGAATGATGGTATTAACGAGGTGGAGATGATAATGGCAAGTGATGATAGCAACGGTGCAGGTATTGATGATAGCCAACCCATGGAAGATGTATCCTTTTACTTGGCAGCCAACACAATCCTACGCGAGGCATTCTTGCAACGACATCGACATCCTGATGATGATCCTTCTTCGTGAGCGCTCTTCTTTCTTTTTTCCCTTTCCCACCACCAACTACGACTGTTTTTTGTACAAATACCTCCTCTTGACCCATATCCTAGTAAATAGTTCTATCCCATGAGACGTCCTTTGCTTATATATCCCATCAAACTCGTTCTCTATAAAAATTGTGAATACATACAATAAACCGTATACAGCGTATGTCTGGTTTTCACATGTGTCTTGTGCTCCACCACTAAAAAACAGCGACCGGAAATCGTCGTTGATTGAATTTACCTGCTTGGCTTTCTAACGAATTGTTGCAAAGTGAATGTAGGAGGATGATGATGATGGGCAATTGTGGGTGTGTGGAGGAAAAGAAATGACACGTAGACATCCAATGTAAGGAATATTAGTATGACTAACGAGGAACCACTCCTTGTAAATCAGCTCATCTAAGCACAAATAACATAATTGTATTATGCTTTGTGTCGCCATCAATCATGTCAGCGGCTATGTGCCATTTTTGTATGTGCAACATTTATCACTGGGGGCACACTGACTGACTCGATCCGTGTGTATTATATGCTTGCTCATGTTCGCCCCCGCTCTCTTTTTACTAAAAGTCTATTTTCGCTCTTTCTCTCCCTTCTCTTTTTTTTTCCATTCCTTTTCTTTACTTTCCACTCTTATTCACCTGACATTAACACGTCATGGCTTCCTCCTCAGTTCTCACTTATTCCTCCTTCGATACCATCGAAGACAACTATCACGTCGTTCGTCGCGTCTTTGCCACTGGTAATTCTTTATTCTACCTACCCCGTGGGGGGGGGAGGTGCACAGACATTCATGGGGCCTCATGTCAAAAACTCTCTCACTCATTGGACTTGTAATCAGGCAAGACACGTAGCCTCAAGTTCCGTAAGACCCAGATTCAACGCTTGTACGATCTCGTTCGTGACAATGAGGAACGTTTCTATGACGCCCTTGCCAAGGATATGCGTAAGCCTCGTTGTGAAGCAATGAGCGGTGATGTTGCCCCTGTTTTGGAAGAATGTCTTTATTTCCTTGATGTAGGTGACCAATTCATTCATGATGATTGTGGTGGATACTCATTGTTCCTTTTTGTAATAGAACTTGGATCGCTTGGCAAAGGATGACAAGATCAAGCCTCGTTTGAACATGAATGCCATGGATACCTTGACCATTCGCAAGGAACCCTTGGGTGCTGTCTTGGTCATTGGTAAGTTCAAGATAAACCATTAGAGATCTAGAATCATAACAACTCATCCTCCTCTTTTACCCGATGCTCTTTAGGTTGCTGGAATTATCCTTTGCAGGTTAGTAGTGTTTGTGTGTGACAAGAGAAAGCATAACACATGTTTAATGAAATATCACACACACACACACAGCTCTCTATGGTGCCCGTGGTAGGTGCCATTGCCGCTGGTAACACCGTGATCCTCAAGGTCAGTACTACAATTACTATTACTACTACTACTACATGGCACACATAAGCTCATACATGTGATTAATGATAGCCCTCGGAGATTGCACCCCACACTGCTGCTCTTCTTACCGAGTTGATTCCAAAGTACCTCGACAGCCTTTGCTATCGCGTCGTCAATGGTGCCGTGGATGAAACTACCGAGTTGCTCAAGTATCATTGGGATCACATCTTTTACACTGGTAGCCCTATGGTCGGCAAGATTGTCATGAAGGCTGCTTCCGAACATCTCACTGGTGTTACCCTTGAACTTGGTGGCAAATCGTAAGTGTTTGGTCACATCATGTTGGGGATTGGGAAACAAACATACGCATGGGATGTTGGGATAGAAAATGTATACTTACAAAAATCATGCAGCCCTGCCATTATTTTGCCCGATGCTGATTTGCAGATTGCTGCCAACCGTATTGGTTGGGGCAAGTTCTACAACTGTGGCCAGGTAATTAGAGAGAGAGCTTCTTGGTGTTGCTGTTGGATCATCAAAGCTAAACAACATGTATGTGTGACATTGTTAGATTTGTATTGCTGTTGATTATGTCCTTGTTCCCCAAGACAAGATGGATGAGTTTGCCGAAGCTTTCCGTAAGACTGTCCAAAAATGGTTCGGCTCCAATCCCAAGGAATCGCCCTACTATGCCCGCATGGTGTCTGAACGTCATGTCAAGCGTGTCGTTGGCATGCTTGAAAACCGAAAGAGCGGTGCCATCGCCGTTGGTGGTGACTATGATGTTGAGGACCGTTACATTGCACCCACCCTTGTGACCGATGTCAAGTTCAAGGATGAAGTTCTTATGGGTGATGAGATTTTCGGTCCCATCTTGCCTGTGATCCCTTACTCCAACTTGGATGATGCTATCCACATGGTCAATCAAAAGTAAGTGTTGGGGGTAAAATGACATACTTGGATGCTTCCGTAGTAGATCTATTTGTGTGCTCACGTGTTTTTCTTAGCCACCCTCCTCTTGTCCTCTATGCTTTCACCAACAAGAACAAGCTTGCCAAGAAGAGTAAGTGGTGATGTGATGTTTGGTATTCAAAAGGGAGTAAACATGTGCTAATATTTGATATCTAGTTTTGGATAACACCCAATCTGGCGGTGTATGCATCAATGACTGTTTGATGCACCAAGCAGGTAAATTGAAAACAACATGTAGATCGGATCATGTTATTGACATGGCATTGTGTTAGAATACTCTCTTCCATTCGGTGGTATCGGTAACTCGGGTATCGGCAACTACCACGGTGAGCGTTCCTACCGCACATTCACTCATGAGCGCTCTGTGATGGCCAAGAAGCTTGGTATGGAAAGCTTGATGGGTATGCGTTATCCCCCTTACACCGAAAGAAGCGTTGGCATGTTGCGTGCCTTTATGATCACCTCCCCTCTCGGACTCAAGATCAGAGCCTACAAGGGCATTGTCAAAAAGTTGGTGCTCTTTATCATCCTCCTCACCTTGTACTATAAGAGAAGATAAACAATCAACATGTGCAGCACCTTTCTTTGTTCACATCATACCATAGCCCCGCCAAACTACAATCTCCCCCTCCAACCATCCCCCGCTATCTCTCTCTCTCTCCATCATTCTTTAAAATCATCTTGGCGATACAATGTTTTATGCAAATTGAACACGTTATAATCTACTATAATCTTTTTGGTGTGGTGTTGCATGGGTTGCATGATGATGGGGATTGTTGTGTGTCGTGGCTTTAAGCTTACTTGGATTTTCAATGTGACCATCTACTTGACAGCCGTGGTGCCTTACATGTTTCCTAGACCATGAAAGCATATCGTGGCAGACGCGTTTGCACGTGTCATGTACCTCGACGACGCTCAATTGGGCTCACATACATCCTAGTCGAAATCAAGAGATGCGGGGTTAGCTACATAGAAGCAAATCCATTCATTAGATCAAGATCGTTTTATGCTTCAGGCACGTTTAATAAAGCTGTACTTTCCACTTGTATGGTTCATACAACAAAGATGATCTTTCATTATCCTACGTGTAAAAGACATCGTCTCTCATCGTTACGTTAACGAAGATCATGTATAGGTTGAGCCCAGCCAGATTGTAAATGTGTATTGATCGAATCATAAACCATTAGAAGCTACACCTGTCAAATGTTATGTATTATTGATGCATAATCGCTTGTGAAACCCAATCTTCTGCTGCCTACACCACCCTTCTAGCCTACATAGTGTAATGACGCAGCAGCTCGGAGACGCTATATCCGAGATACCATTGCTTGATCAATTTCATATGTCAAATAGTTTACGCGAATTGTTTATTCGATATGTCATCAGGAATTTGATAGCTACATGATGTCAAAGGAGTGTTACAAGGATGTGGGGAAAGGGTAAAAGATGCTTATGGAAATCACGTTTGTCAGCGTTAACATGTGAAATTGTTACACCAGTAACAGCGATCCTTTGAATATATATGCAGAGACTTGTCTTTCTTTTACTCTTCCATACACGACACAACACGACGACTCAAGAAGAAGCCATGCCTGAAGTTACATTTCCCGTTGCCTTGCCTTCCACCTCCAACCATTGGATGACGCTCCATCGCGAGGGCCCATTGTTCCTTTTGCATTTGCACAACAAAGACAACCGATTCACCACCGACTTTTGCAAGTCAATCATGACAGCATTGCAAATCGTGGAGGACATTTCGCTTGCCACTGATGAACCCGAGGATATGGCACTTGTCACCTATGCTGAAGGCAAGATTTACAGCAACGGCCTTGATTTGATGCATGCTGTTGGATACCCACCTTTTATGGAGAACTACCTCTTGATGTTGCGACGCATGCTCACTTTTTGCATTCCCACGGTTGCCGCATTGAATGGGTACGTTGATGTAACCATACGAAAAGAAACAACGTAAACTAATGATGTCTTGTTATGTAGTCATGCATTTGCTGGCGGATGCATGTTGGCCCTTGCTCACGGTAAGACAACTACCTGCCAATGAATTTCGAGTCATTACCTAATACGAATTGTTTGTGTTGCTAGACTACCGTGTTATGCGCAGTGATCGTGGTTACATGTGCATGGTAAGTAGTAACAAACAATGAAATGGATCAAGCCCATCTAATATCGTCTTCAGAACGAGGTCGATTTGCCATCTCCTCTTGCACCTGGTATGGCTGGATTGTTACGTTACAAGATGACACCCAAGACTTTCCGCGACATGGTCCTTCAAGGTCACCGTTTCACTGCCAAGGAAGCATTGGAGAATGATCTCGTCGATGAAATTGCCCCCGAAAAGGAGGTCCTCGATAAGGCCAAGGCACTTGCCTTAAAGTGGGCTCCCAAGGCCAAGTCAGGCATTGTGTACAGACAACTCAAGGAAGAGGTAATGTATATCTTATGCATGCATGAATCAAGAGCTGACGTCAACTTGTACATAGATGTATACCGATGTTGTCCGTTTGTTGAGCATTCCTTACAACCGCCTTGCCCCCAAGATGTAGATTGTTTGTCTTTTATAATACATCACAACGGCCGTAATGTTGATCATGCAAAACGTGTTGTCATTATATATGTGTACATTCGAAAGCAATGATTGGGTGGGATAATAGAGTACAAAAAGGGTGGGTAGCAAGCATGAAATCCCATTTAAAGTTTTTCTTCGGAGTAACTGGTTTTGGACAAATGGGATTAGGCAACAAGGTGTCAAGCGATCTGATTCATGTTGTATCCTGTTAGATCTTTATCCGACATTCGGATCAAAGTGACATTACCAATGTACCGAGCAAAGCGTGTAACATCAATCAAACAGCTCATTGATGAATCGGATGAGGGTTCCGTTCGTGTGAACAATAAACGATGGATCGAAGAAGCCGAAGATTACCAATGGATCTTGATGATGAATTCATCCGCATTCTTGTCAGCAGCTTCGCACAGTATAACAGGAAATGGGCTTGTTCTCACTGAATCAGGCTATTACACAAGTGTGTGGGGAACAGCGGGATTTGTGCAACGATCACACACTCAAATCACGGATGTCTTTTTCCATGGTATCCGATATCCTTATTGAAAAGAGCTGGTGACAATGGGTGTTTTATACTATCAAGCGCTGTTGTTTGACAAAAAGACACCAATGGTTGGTTTTCCGAAACGCGATGCTATGAGAGTGCTGCATGCATGTATGCATCCAATCGAACTGAGTTTTTCCCAAATCAATCTTTTGTGCGATGGGAACGCCAGCTCCCTGATCTACATCGGCACCCACAGATTACCCGTGTTGGCTTTTTTCATTTTTCTTTCCTCTTTCATTCGCATCTTTTTTTGGATCCCTTTTCTATTTAACCCTCCTTCTCCTTTCACCTACCTTCACTCACAACCATAACCATGGCGACCAAAGAAAAGGAGCAGGTGGAGATAACAACGACCGCAATTGATGCGGAAAAGGGTGTCAAGGCCAATGGCTTAATACAAGAAGAGGAATATGAGCCATTGACACCACAAGAAATGCGACGTTTACGTTGGCGATTGGATCTTCGTATCATTCCATTTTGTGGATTACTATACCTATGCTCATTCTTAGATCGCTCTAATATCGGTATGTAAGAGGAAAAAGGAGGAGGAGGAGGAGGAGGATAAAGCGATCATGCACCTACATGCGTGCTGACAAACGATCCTGTATCTTGCAGGAAATGCCAAGATTGCTGGTATCACTGAAGACTTGAACATTACCGAATCCGAATACAACGTAGCACTATCCATCTTTTTTGTTGGCTATGTAAGTACGCTTTATGTATTTTACTACGTACAACAACCTTACTAATGCTATACCCTAAAGATTATCTTTGAGATCCCCAGTAATCTCATGCTCAAACGTGTTGGACCCAACGCATGGATTCCTTTGGTGATGATCTCTTTTGGAATTGTGCTCGCATGTATGAGTACAGTCTCTAACGGAAGCGGTTTGCTGGCAACGCGCTTTTTCTTGGGAATTGCAGAAGCAGGCTTATTCCCCGTAAGTGCTAATGATGCGTCTTTCTCGTGGTCAAGGATTAACAAGGGATTTATCACATAGGGCGTCATCTTTTACATTACGCTATGGTATACTCGACGAGAACAAGCAACACGCATTGCTATCTTTTTCGGATGGGCAACGGTCGCTGGTGTAAGTCAATGCTCCTTTATTCCTATTTTGGAAAAAGTCAACTCACTCAATGTTTGTATAACCATGCACAACAGGCTTTCGGTGGTGTACTGGTAAGAAAGCAAATCAACAATGCGAGACGTCATACCAATCATATGCGTCTATACAATAGGCTTATGGTATTATGAGGATGGATGGTCTTCGTGATATGCGTGGATGGCAATGGATCTTCTTGATTGAGAGCATCCCTACATTGGTCCTTGCATGCGTGACCTACTTTGTTTTGCCAGGATTACCAGAGACATCAAAAAGTAGGTACAGCCTTGCATGTGTGTGAATACAAACGCTTATATGGATTTGTGATAGTTCTTACACCACGTGAACGGCATGCGATCATCCAACGACTTCAAGATGATTTTGGTGCAAAGTCCGAGTCAACCCACTTTTCATGGAAGCAATTCAGAGCTGGATGTACGGATTGGAAGGTTTTAGCGCACTCTTTGGTTTATATATGCGGCTCAATTCCCTTGTATGTATAACAATGCCTGTACTTGGTGCGATGGATTAACAATCATGGTTCGTATACAGGTACAGCCTTAGTCTTTTCTTGCCAAGCATCATTAAGGGTATGGGATTCCAGGATTTGGAAGCCCAAGCCATGTCAGCTCCACCCTATGCTATCGGTAAGTCCACGCCTTTGATCCTTTATTACTGTATGGGTATTACAAGGTTTGCTAATCGTGATACTTTAGCATGCGTTGCCACTATCTTGTTTGCCATGCATGCGGATAAGGTTGGCGAACGAGCATTCCATATTGCTGTACCATCATTTATTGGAATGGTTGGATACATCTTGTTGATTGCATTGAAGGATAAGGGAGCTGTGGCTCTTTATATTTCGGCATGTATTACAACGACCGGTGTATTTGGTCATGCATCCACAATGCTTTCTTGGTTCAGCAATAACTTTTCAGGGCATACAAAACGTGCTGTTGCATCGGCTATCATTATCTCGATTGGCAATGTTGGTACGTAACATCTCGAACCAAAAATGGGGTTGTTGTAAAAACATGAAAGTTGACATTGATGGGTATATCAGGTGGAGCTTTAGGCGGCCAAGTGTATCGAGCGAATGATGCACCTCAATACATTCGTGCTCACTCTGCATGCGCTGCATTAATGTTTTGCCAAATCGTCATTATCCTCGTTTACAAGTACCTTTTGATTCGAATCAACAGAAAACGCGATAACTTGACACCTGAAGAATATCGCAAGGCATGCGAAGGAGATGAATTATGTGATTTGGTAAGAGCAAGGCCTAGTATGAACATCATCAACATGCTAATGTGTGCATCACGCCTCTTTTAAAAGCATCCTGACTTCCGGTACATTACTTAGACCGATCTTGTATTATACATTTATATTACTACAGCGCTTCTTTAATACTATATACTATTGCAACCCCTACAATCTACTCTTTATCCTGCCTCTGTTTCAAGGTATTGATGGCTCGATCATGCTCCTTGGAAGCGTCGTGACTACAATGCCGTTATGGATTTCCGTGTGGGAAGCGTTGCTATGCAATCGCCTTGTGTTACAGTTTTGTCACCTGGTAGAGATTCTTTGTCACTATGTATAGGCGGTGGCCGAAGAATCATAGGTGGCTTTACGTTGCAGCCCTTAAACGATGAATGAAACCTCGTTTTCGGATACTTTTACGTAGGCGGCTAACAGCTGTATCAATCATGCATCTCTTTTCCCTTCTTGATCTACAGCAGCTCATATTGGCAGGACTTCGTCGTTAGCATTATCACACATCCCCTTCAACCATTGTCTCTATTCTATGATTACACCATCCGAAGCCCACCTTTTGGGTATGTCAAATAAACCCTATACTGAATCTATGCATTTTGCATGCTCATGCAACGGGCTATTTAACCAATCCATAGTTGGTCTTCAAAGCCATACTGGTTGCTGTGTTCGTTGTTGTTTACATGAGGACCTTGGTTGTCCATTGACGTATGGCTGAGATACACGCTGCATGATTCTTGTGTACCCACGAATCTCAGGCACTCTTCACTGTAGCTCTTTATTTAGTGTTCTTTCAAATACAAACATGGTAATCATGATAGCAAATAAGGACAGATTATTAGGGAAACAATGGAAAAGAAGGCTGGATAGTAATATAAACAATGAACCAGTGGCAATGGGGGGGAGAGGGGAGGATAAAACCTTGTAGTCGGCGGGGTAGACGCGTCGCTCCTTCAAGGCCCTCTTTTTCTCCTTCTATTATCTTTGACACCAATGAGCAAATGACGTCCCATTCCAAGTCCATTGACAGTAATCCAAGGCATCTTGAACAAGGTAAGGTGAGGAATCAGGTGCACGATGAAGGGTGCCATTGCAACTAACCTTGAGCAACCACCGATCAGAAGCCTCTTCGTTGCCATTGACACCGACGCGTTTATCAACCCTCGAATGGATATGAAGCACCTATCGATTCTTGTGCTTGGTGTGTTGCTTTCTTACGTTTATCCTTGTTCGAACGATCCAAACGACCTGTGAGAAAAAGAGATGTCATCTACAACCAGCAGCAGTAACTCGATCAAGATGATCCAGCTGTGAAGGTCATGGATATCGGTGGATGATGATGCCAAGCAACAAGGATGTGTTTTCATGACAAGAGTCCTCGCTCAAAGATCAGCGTTTTGGATAAGATTGCCATGTTGACGGATTTTTAAGGTATTGGTACCATTCGTTACGATGTTGATATTATGCTGCATTCTCATGATTGGATTCAAGAGTCGAATACTGCACTATCACACAGCATGTGGATTATACCGAAAGCATCACTATATATTCTCTTGCTAGGATACCCTGTCATAGTCACATTTTTCTTCGCTTATCGTATTTCAAAGTATTAAAGGGATAAGGCAAATGACAATGACCGTGACATCAACAATATTGGAATCGATTTTGAGTGGGTGGATGATGGAAAGGACATGTGACTTAATCCCGGGGCTAAAGAATGGTGTATGATGCGGACAATACCTTAAGCGGTACTTCTTCTAAAACAAAGGATGCGTCAAGTCATTGCTGAGCATACCCAGTTCACAGCCTTGTTGACGATGATTTTGATCCACCTTAGAAATGAATGTACTCCCTTCTTCTTACTTGAGGTCATCGGTCTACATCAGATACCTCTCCAACGCTTGTAACCTTGGATAAAGCACCCATAAGATACAAAATAAAGCAACCCCGTCCAATTTCTTTTCCAAGTACCCAAGAAGAAGAAATATAAAGTGTTATCGAGTTCTTATGTCAAAAGGATCAAAAGAACAGCATACAAGCTTATGCTTGGACACGTGTGTTGTACAGCAATGATGCTTGAACCTTGAGAGAATCGCAAGCAAATGAGATGCTTTTGGATGAAGCGTGTTGCATTTGTGCTCATAGATTTTGGACTTGGTCGTCGTGTACGTCGTGCCTATAGAGGTTAACATTCAGCAGCTTTCCTTCTATACGTATGTGAATGGGACCAGTGATTTTCCCCCGTTCATAGTGCTTTGACGGTTTTCACCATTAAACCTGATACCACAATATATTGCATTGAGATTTTATTAAAGGCATTAAGGCTGTAATCATTATTTCACTATGCAGCCATTAATGATAACAATATCCTAACTGGCCATAGTTGGTCCGTCCATCAGTTTGGTGACTCCTTTTGTTGTGCAACCCATCAATCATATCTTGCGTTGTTCAAATTAGTATCGCTTACATCAGCATTTCACAGGAAACAAAAAGTAGGTAAAAAAGCAGATCACGCAAAAAAAGGTTTATTCAAAGTGCCATCTCCCAACTGGTTGCATATTGTTGCTGGCGTGTCTTGATGTTTTTTGTAAGGCGACTTACCGTGACCTTTTCAATTGTCAAACGCCCAAGCCAATCATGGTTGCTTGTCGTTTGCAAGCTAGCAATGGCGCTAGCAAGCTTGATGGTATCATTAACGTAATTCTTCTTAGATTTCCTGTTCAATACTGTTATGTGCGGCGTCGTCTCCATGGTGAGACCTTGATGACCACGAAGGGCGCCTTGCAACTTGCCTATAATAATAACGACAATGAATAGGGATTTGGATTATCATAGAATCAATTCATACCAATCAATGTGTGTGCTGCACTATTGGTGTCCAGCGGACACACACCAAGGACTGTAAATAACAATTGATTAGTTTAAGCGGGTCTAAAAAGAGGGTGCATGCAAAATCAAGATGAGATTCTGTACAAGTATTTCTCTTTATGTGACATACCGAAGGGCTCAACAAGGTCATCTTGTTGATGCTTCCATCCATATTCCTTGGTGTACTGAACACCACCAAGGTTGTCCCACTTGCTAGGACACATTTCGGCCCAAAGGTCATCATCTTCGTCATCAGCAACAGGCGAAGAGGTCAATGTGGAAGAAGAAGGAGAACAAGAAGACGACGACGAAGACAAAGAAGAGCAGCTGCGCTTGTTGGCAGGAGTAGTGGGAGATGAGGATGATGAAGAGTATGAAGATGAAGAAGAGGATGATGATGAAGAAGAGGATGAAGAGGATGATGAGGATGAAGAGGATGATGAGGATGAAGAGGATGATGAGGATGATGAGGATGATGAGGAGGATGATGATGATGTTGCGGCATCGTCATGAAGACAAATGCGCTTGGCGGCGGGAATAGGAAGAGTGGGTATAGCAGAAGAAGAAGACAATGAAGAAGCAGAAGTAGCAGAATTGGAGGAAGCAGAATTGGAGGAAGCAGTGAGCTTGCGCTTTAGCGCAGAGGCTTTAGAGTTGGAGGTGGACATTTCAGTAAAACTTAAAGAGGTCAGAAAGGGGAGGAGCAAGGCATGGCACAGCAATGGTCGCGCTTTGTTCCCTCTATGTACTATCATTCAAATCAGTATTGTTTTTTGTTCACACCTTCCTTCACGTTAACCACATTCTTACCTTTGAACACGATAATACGTAATTCCTTTGACCAAGTTTATGGATCATGGTTACATGAGCCTTGCAACGATCGGTATATTCTTAGATCAGCATACGCACCGATGTCAACGTAAACCATCTTTTCGGTTGCATCTCGCTAGGTAGCTACATAAAAAGGGATGCGAAAAGTATATGAGTATATGCTTCATCAAGCAAAGAGATTGGGATTTACCTTATCAAAGAGCCAAGGATCACAGCGACAACATGGAAAACGGTAGCAATAGGATAACAACGAAACCTTAACATCATAACGAATATTAGCACATGGATTGCCCACAAAAAAATATCTCCATCTTGATACTCACCAAGGGCTTTTGGAGGTGTCAGCAATCAAAGAGCGCCGATGATGGAAGGAAAGAGAGATGTGGGGAGAAGGCAATGGGCGGCAACATTCGTCTTGTTTATATCTGCATGGTGGGCGTGGGTATTACTGGGACCCGAAAGATGATAAATGAGTGATGATGATGAGTTGATAGATTGCCGGGGCGCCTGCACATAGAGCCTTGATGTGATTGAATGTGCATCCATAAATCAGGATCTGTGATCGACATGCTGCCAATTTCCATCATCCAACAATGGCGTCAATCAAATCATTTTTGCTGTGCTCAAGTTCCACGAAGTAAGACGCTGTTCGAATATGCCTTTGTAAGTGGTCGTTTCGAAACGAGAAGTCGTTGGCATCTTCATAGTTGATAAGAGTACAATGCATAGCTTTCTTGCTTTGCGGCAATTTATTGTTGCTGCCATGAGCACCATCCAACATGATCATCCTAGAATAAACGCAATGTGTCATAGTAAGTGAGCCATCCTATCCACTTTCTTTTTCAACATCGCAAGAGTAACGACGCAAAGGGGATTTTGGTGCTCCATTGTGGATAATAGTGAGGAAGAATGCATACGTTGTCAATAGAGGGAATATCACCATGATCGAGTTACTGCTGGTTGTAGATGACATCGTTTTTCTCACAAGTCGTTGGATCGTTCGAACAAGGATCAGCGTAAGAAAGCAGCACACCAGGTACAAGAATCGATACGATAGGATACAACTACTGCTGCATGGTTCATTCGAGGATTGATAAACGCGTCGGTAGCCATGACGACGAAGCTTCTGATCGGTTGCTCAAGGTTAGTTACAATTGCACCCTTAATCGTGCACCTGCTCCCTCACCTTACCTTGTTCAAGATGCCTTGGAGTACTGTCAAAGGACTTGGATTGGGACGTCATTTGCTGGTTGGGTGTCAAAAGCAATAGAAGGAAGAAAAGAGGAGCTTCAAGGAGCGACGCGTCTACCCCGATAGCGAAGTTTATATCCTCCCCTCACGCATTACCACTGATTCATTGTTTATATTGCTATTCAGCCTTCTTTTTCATTGTTTCCCTCTCCATTTGCTTTTATTTGCTATCATGATTACCATGTTTGTATTAGAAAGAACACTAAATAAAGAGCTTGGGAGAAGAGTGCCTGAGATTCATGGGTGCACAAGCATTATGCAGCCGTGTATCTCAGCCATCTGCCAATGAACAATGATACAATGTCATGTGATTTGGATGATAAAGCGTGTAAGACTCTTTATTGATATAAAGTAAAGCCACCTTAAAGCTTAGGTGGTTAAGGTGGTTTTGGATTGCAAGAATGAAAAAGAGAAAATGTGCCAAACAAAAACACGAAAGAGACGAAAACAAGTGAAAGCGAGACAATGGCATTTAGCAAATCTGTTTAAAGTGGCCAGAGAACCAAACTTACAAGAAATTGAGATAATGGGGAGAAACACCCAAGCAATGATAAAGAGGATAAACGAATAAACGGTGGCGTTTGGAAACTTGGCTAGGGGACCGATCGACGATTGCATTGATGTATTGGCCAAATGATAAACCACTGAGTGGATACGTGCTGTCATCGTGTTGTTGCGTTTTGGGACCAAAGAAGCAGAAACTTTGTTTCCTTGCTGTAATCTTCATCCAAAAAACACTGATGGGCGGTAGGAAAAAGGGATAAGAGCGGATGGATACGGTATGTTTCAAGACAAGTTTATTATTACGGCGACGAAATGAGCACGTGCTGATGTCAGCTATTGCCCTCGCCCGATCCAGTGTATTAGTGTGCTAAAAAACCTGCTGTGCGACAGGAAAAAGGTGATGGATAAAGATGCATGATGTGGGGGTTACTATGCTAAGGTATGTGGGGGTCAACGAGTTTCAGTTGTGTATGATGTGATTACAAAGGTTCTGTGGGGCTAGGCTATCCTAAGTGGGGTATGTGGAGGAAGGTAGCGATACGGTATGAGGGGAGACCATTCAAACGAGTGGTTGAAGGATTGGCTGAAGGAGTGGCAGGGTAAATGCCATCAGCTAGATAATACCCCATCGGCCTTGTATTGCGTGCCTACACAACGCCCCGTTGGTTCCGCTTCAGCTCGTTCCGATATGGTTGGTTATCCCAAACCGCGCTTAAATGGCCATTGATAATGAGTGTGTATTCGGAGTTGAAGGCGATATGGAGAATGTCCAGGCTACTTGAGGATCCTGGGTGGCCGATGCTTGCATGCCAGATCCACAAGTCATAGGAAGCAACAGCTTCAAGCACAAAGCTTGCATGCTTTGAGCGGCCTGTGTAAGCACCATGGAAGACAACAGGCCAAGTGTCCCATTGCCAATGCATACAATCAAGGAAGCCCAGCATACCAGGGAATCCACGCTCTTTGTTTTCTGCAAGCAAACGTTGTACATCATCTTGGTTGGGTCGTCGCAAGAATTCATCTCCAAAGATGGTGTTCAAGTTGTCGCATAGAGATTCCAATGCGACTATTTGCAGGTATGGATCCACTGTATCGGCTCCAACACCAGTAGCAAGTAGTTGAATACAAGCTGTAGCCCGCACAAGAGGTGACAAACCTGGCTTCTTGCACGCGCCATAAAGCCGAGTATAAAGGATTACCCACCTTTCGGACATACGAAAACGTCGTCGAAAGTACTGATAATAGCTTTGGAAACAAAGTCGTTCTTCATCAATCTCTCATCACGAGCAACCATGTAGTTACGGGTATCTTTAAGGTTGCGCGTCGCCAGATTCTTGAGTCGGTTCATTATCACCCTCATCCTCATCCTCATCCTCATCCTCATCGTATTTAAGTAATTCTCTGAGACGTTTCATACGTCTTGCGCGTTGACGTTCCTCGTCTTCATCAAATAGAAAATCAAGCATGCGGCGAGTAGACATAATAAAGTGTGCTAAGAAGCTGAAAGAGAGACAACGTTGAGATGATTTGACCTGGCTGTGTAATTATTCGAGTAACGACATGACGTGTAATTGACTTGTGTAACTTTTAGATATAGGTCCAATTAAAGGTCCAACCATTGGAGAGGTCATGTCAAAGCTATCAATTGATCGGGCTCAGCTTGGGTCGTAATTTAGCTCCAACCATTGGAGATCCTAACAAGCTATAAGCTGATCCATGCTTGACTTTTGTATCTCTGAAAATAAGATGGTGATTGTATTTACACAACGTGCGCCTTAACTTATCCATCTATATCACGATCTCTGCGGCACAAGGAAAAAAGGTAACAGATGCATGCACTTTATTAGTAGAAAACGAAACCTGTATTATTGAACTTTGCCTCGTCTTATACAACTATGAGGCTTGAATTGACTAATTACTGTTCCTCCCATAACATCCTTAAGAGCGACAAGTAGAATGATAATAGCACATTGCAAGTTTATTATTTCTTTTTCTCTGGTTGTTCATCTTTGCTAGGATTTTCAGCTGTGGAGGGTGTTTCTTCGGTTGTTGCTGCTGGTGATGGTGACGATGATGATGATGCAGCTTGTTGCTGTTGATGTGCAGCGGCAGCCATTCGAGCCATTTCTTTTTCAGCACCCGTCATTCGCGTATACACATAATCTTGAGCTATCGTTGTCACTGCCATCCGGATCATTTCAACCATCTTGTCTTCAACCCATTCACTCTCTTCATATGGAACATCAAGCCATGATTGAGGCATGGATTGGGAATAGGTCTTGAATCGAAGTTGGTGTGTAGGATCAACAAGGAGAACAATATAAATAACTTGAGGACCATCTTCAGGATCCTGTAAGGAAACAGGCTGGATCGCCAAAAACACAGGGCAATTGATCACTGGAACAGCACCGGATTGTGGAGTGTATGTCGTCTTTTGTTCGGGAGCCTTGTAATGCGTCTTGATAAGATGATCCAAATTTGCCTATTGAGATCATGATGAATGAGTCCTCCACTCCCTCGTGAACATCCAATGTTAAAACCCACCTTGGCCAATTTAGTGCCTTCAACCAATCCTTCGCACAAGTTCAAATTTCGTGTAGTCGTAGGCTCCTCTTCTTCCTTGTCACCCACTTTACGCACAACCACGTGACCTGATTCAGTTTGTTCCATAACGCGTGCAAATGCTCGATAAACAAGAGCCTCCAATCCCACGTATCCCACCATATCATGCGACAAGAACACTTCCACTAGCTCGTGCTCTGAGATGGGTGGCGCCACCGTCTCCAAAAGCGTTGTTGTCAAATTACGAAGTTCACTGCCTAAAGGCCATCATGGTTGGTATACACTCTGCATGATCTTGTAAATAAACCTTTTACATACCTAATTTACCAAGATTCTCCTTATTGACAAACTGCTTGACGCGATCTTCGAGCAATTTAGCTGTGCTTGGCAACTCGACACCGGATTTGTTGATTTGTTCAGTGGTCGTCTTGACAGCCTGGCTCCAAAGGTTGTTACCCCATGCCATCCATCCACCTCCACTATTGCTATCAGCAGCATCATTGTTGCTCGTTGATTCATCATGAGTGTTGGTTGTTGTTGTTGAAGCCTGTTGCTGTTGCTGTTGTTGTTGCTCTTGCTTGGAAGCTGCTGTACTATCAGCATGTGCTCCAGGATACTGTGCTATTTCATCGAGGAACGACATGATTTCCTTGTGATCGGTGGTGGAAGAAGCAGATGGTGCTTTGGTGGTATTAGCATCCGGTTGCGATTCTGAAGACAAGTTCAACGATTCCAGGAACTTTTCAGCTTCTGACAAGCTGTCATTCTTGTTGCTGGTGTCGCTTTTCTCATTGGTAGCCATGGCTGCTCGTAATGCGTGCGTGTGTTGTGGTGTGGATACGTGTGTGTGCGTGGGTATGGGAGTGTATAAGAAAGAGAGAGAGAGCAAAACAAGAATCGACTTTAGCTTAAGCGCGTACACGTGCCAAGATCTGAAATTGAAAGAGACCCTGTGGGATCGAAAGCTTTCCCATCTCGGAAGTAAAATGATTTATGCAACAAATGGTAACTGCATACAGATGCATCTTGATCCAAAGCAGCTTGTAGATGCTATCCAAGATGGCTTGCTAGTATTAGATCGCCTATTACATATATCGTTTTCATTGTTCCTGATAGACTACACGTCACATGGCCCCATACCACCTTTGTTGATCCAAAGACAAATGGTTAAAAAAAGCCTTTTGATTATTCGCTGTGCGGATTACGCTCTTTGTTGACATCAATCTATTGTAGCTTAGTTTTGTCAACACTCTCTCATATCACGTGCACCGTTGCTATGACGACATGACGTTACCAGTATGCTGCTTTAGACATGTGATTATCTATGGTTACTTTGACTTCAGCTTCCCGTCCCTGATAATTGATGTTTGACCCCTATGAATGAATGTGTGATCTCTGTTCACAAACAATCTCATTTTTACGTATATCATTGGTTGATTTTAGCTAGGCTGTGTTTCCATAGCAACCGAATTATCAACAGCTCAACTACGACATCCACCACTTGTCAAGAATGCATAAGCGATAGAATAGCTTCCCAATAAACCTTGCTAAGACAGCAATGCTTGATTGTTCAATAACAATGATTCATATTCAACATGATGAGGCTGGCATGCAAGGTGTGAGCTATAGTTGACCACACCATCATGTGCTGATATGGAAGATCAACCAGCTTGGCAATGTATTCAACGACCGAGCGAACCCAACTCTCTCACTTACCATTTGCTCTGATGCTCAAATACCACATGATGTAGCATTTACAAACTTTTGTTGGGTCAATTGGTTGATTGTCGGAATATGCTTCCGAAGACGCACGGGCCATGTCATGTATTGCTTTGTAATTGCAATCCACGATGTCGTTAACAAATGGCGTATGCATCATTCGATAATATGAATTATAGATGAGTTGAGACAATGCAACAAAAGGACATTTTTATATTACTACAATTAGACGCTGTTAACTAGACTATTAGTGTGTGCCCGAGATGGGTGGAGATTTAAAACAAAAAGGCCAAGTGGCAACTTTTTTCCCTCTTGGGTAGGTGGGAGGGAATGTGTGTGTGTGTGCGTGTGTGTGCAAGTGAACGTGTATGTGAGTGAGTGTGGGTATTCAAATGTTGTTGGGGGAGAGGAGCGTGGGATGTTGTTGTGTAGTAAACGAAATACAAAACAGGAAAAAGGGCAACATGCGATCATGCGTGGTGGTGGTGGAGTACGTAATAACAATAATGATGATATGAATGAAAATGGGCATCGTCGTGTGGTGATCGTGTTATGCACGCTCCTTGCCTTTTCTTGATCGTTTCCAAGGACGACAAAAGAACCATTTTCGTTTACCGACTGGATTGTTGTGGGACAAGCGTTCTTGGTGAAATGTAGCACGAGTCAAAACCGGGAGTGAGATCCGATGAAGCAAGGCATTTCTTTGTTGTTGTTGTTGTGGAGGGTCGTCCTCACTGTTATTATTATGTTCCAATCCACGATTCCATATCTTTCTCCTCCTCCTACTCCTTGTCCCGCTTTTCTCCTCTATAACGTGTTCCCTGTTGCTGTTGTTGTCTATCGCTTGGTCATGGTGCTGCTGCTCCTGCTGCTGCTGTTGCTGCTCTCGGGTATTTGATGATGCTGTTGTGGTTGTGGTAGGGTGGTCGGCTACTAATCCCTCATCAATCGGTTCCACAGGTGAGTATTTAAGTGGTTTGGGAGGATATTGTGTGATGACAGGGGGCTGAATCATTGCATAATGCACGGGTGGTCGACGAGGGATAGAGATTGTCGTGTTGATGGCGATCTTGGAAGGGGGATAAGGATTGGGCGAAGGTGGTGGTATTGGCCAATGTACAATATCAGGAGTGTCGATTGGATCATCATCATCATCATCGTCATCATCATCATCGTCGTCACTTTCATGATCAGCAAGAACCGCCTTAAACTTGGCACGAAGATAAGCTGATGATTGTCGAAGTAGATCACCAGCAGAACGGCTACGGATCGGCGTCTTTGTAGTTGTTAATGAGCGAGATTGATGTTGTTGTAGGGGATGTTGTTGCTGATGAGGTGGTGGGACAATCAGGGTTTTGCCATTACTATTGCCACGATAATGTGCTGCTGCTGCTGCTGCTGATGTAGTGTTGTTATGGTGACTCGTGTTGCTACTTCCAATGCTGCCAATGCTACTTTGTCGGCTGCTTCTATGAGTGCTGCCATCAGTAACAACGCTGCTGTTGTTCCTAGGTTGCGACTATTGGCGACGCGATTAAGCATTTTCAACAAAAATCCCGTGACAAATGAAAACTTACAACTTGCACGTTGACGAGCTCTTCTCGAAGCTGCGAATGTCGTTTGTCGAATTGGTCAATGAGATCACGAGCGAAGGAATCGGCAGTGTCATTGATGGGCATGGGTAATAGCCATTCCCTGTTGTTGTTGTTGTCTTGTGGTGGTGCCGTCGTCGGCACCGGCACCGGTGTAGAAGGGGCGACGGAAGCCGACATGGCGCGTATAGAACAAATGCGCCCACGACACTATGATGATGACTGATAAACTTTAAAACAATAAGAATAAAAAGTGATGTGGTGTATCGATGTTATTAACTCTGTGAGTAAAAAAGAGAGAGAGAACGTTGTTGATGTTGCAAAAAAGAGAAAGAGCAGCAAAGGATATGGCACTTTCAAGTTTCCTCGACGCCACATAGTTTTGTGTCGCATGCACGTGTGTCCCCCACTCTTCACTTAATCTTTCTTTCTCTTTCGTTCCCGTTGTTGCGGGTCCCATTTAACTTTTGCCTCTTTAGACATTGCCTGCTTTTTTTTACCCTTATCCTCCCTTTCATCTTTGCTGTTGTTGTAGTAGGAGAAACAAGTCAAGGAGTTCTCGGAGATGCTTCAGTTTGCCACCCGTAGCAGATGTCACGCTTTGTGAAGCACTATTAAAAGTAATCGCGGCACACATATAAGAGAGAAAGAGATAAAAAAACCGGTTTTGAAGCCACGTGCATGACAAATAGATACGCACCTCTTTTAACGCCTATTGCTAAATAAACATGACACCAGGCTGCTGCTTGCTTTATTGCTGTTTTCTTTCACCATCATCACATGTACAAATATACTCTCACATTCTTAATCTTAGCGAAGAAATAAATGCCCTGATTTCATTATTGTCGCAAATAGTCAACGTGAAATGCAGGTCTTGATGTCCGGGGGGGGTAAAAGAATATAAGCCCTTGCATAGATCATCGTCGTCTTTTTTTCTTTTGCATCGTACCGATAGCAAGCTAGCCAAGCCTAATGTATCCTAGTGACACGTCATCCTCATATCCTTCTCTCATACTGCTGAGTGAAAACAACGTTGTACTAACGCTGTGTTAAAGGTATACAACGTTGAACAATTGCGGAATGTCCCGGCGTGAACCGATCATCTGTGTAAGAGTGCTCTCTCTCTCAAAGCTTTTTGTTGATTATGCAAGGTAAGGCACGCGTGGTGATATACACAAAACAGGCTGCAGTGCAATATGTATCATGTTGCTTCTCGCATAATACTGTAGGATAGATGTGTATGCGTATGGGCAAATGCCTGTGCTGTTGCAGCGAGCTGGTTGTGGTCTAAAGACAAGATGAGGAGTAACCACACGAAAAATGATGTATGCTTTCTTTCTCTCACGAAGGCGACGTATCGGGTATAGATGGCCCCCTTTCAATTACACCGGAAAGAACCCTTGTATGGTTTAGCTATGTATACGATGTCTTTTTTTTTATCGCATCATGTTGTTCTATTTCACACCAATGATCCTATATAGTTTACAAAGTAAACATGTCACCTTTTCAAGCCGTTTGTTGACGATGACAAGTGTCAAAATGTGGCGTTTTATAGCTGCATCATCCTACGTCATGCTCCCGTACCATGCTAACATCACCTGGTCTTCCAAATGGGTCTTTGTTTACCGTCGTAAGCAAGATTTACCATTTCCATCCACTCATGACGATGCTTAATATTACTGCCATCATCATCCAACATTCCTGCACCCAATTGCTTATAGCGTATGCGTGTGCCAAAAGGTGTTTGTATTCCAGATACCATACATACATTGCTTCCTAAAAGCCTAATCTGTGGATGGTGGTCTCATCCTTTTGTGTCTCGAGCGAATCGATCTTTTCCCACCATTTGAACAAAAAGGAATCGCAAATCAGCTTGAACCATGGCGTCATGGGCACATCTTTGATAAAGTGCATCAGCCTTCCTTCTCTCTTTGCATATCATGACGCGTCGTAATACTTACCGCTATCATCCATCATGGCGCGTAATTCTTGTTGTGTGACATACTTGGTGTTGCTGACTTCATTTGGATTGACATTCAAGGTGACATTGCTCTTGATAAAGAAAATGTAGTCGACTATGTACCATAAAGGTGAATATCCATACTCGCTCACACAATGACCAATTGCTTACTTTCATGTTCTCCCCAAGTACCATCGCTGGGAGCGACATAATGGATGCGAGTGAGGTATTCAAAGTTGTCCAGGGGTACTTGTTCAGGTGGGATGCCAAGTTCATGTTCGAGTTTACGCTGAGCTGCAGTGCGTGCCCCTGCATGCAATGCATCATCATGTCAGTCATTTCGAAGTCCATTTATTCTTAGTTGCAATGTACACGTACCCAATTGATTTTCCTCCACCAATTCAGAAGGCGTATTGAGTGGATGAGAACAGCAAGTGTTGGTCCACATGTTGGGAAATGTAATCTTTTCAGGTGCACGCTGTTGAAGCAGGAGTCGATTCTCCGAGTCAAATAGAAACACGCTGAATGCACGGTGCAAGAGACCTTGATTGATATTCTCCATCAAATGACCTATAAGCAATCTCTCTCTATAAGTCTTATAAACGTCCATCATCATGAAGTCTACACTACTTACAAGTCTTTTTGGAATCAGCACCGACACGGTTATCATTTTCATCGATTACAATGCACATTTCCTCCATGAGACGAGCTTGTTCTTCATCGTATTGAGCCAAATCAACAACCATGATGAGTGAATATAGAAAGAGTGGGGAAAGAAAAAAGAGAGAGAGATGTATAATAAGGATGACACGTCGAATTCTGAGAAGATATAAATACTGTGGAGATAGCGAGAAATGAGAACATGTGATATGATCAGGCTTGAAACTTGGACCTGTAGTGCAACGTCAATGTACGATGATGGGATGGGATGGGATAGGATGTTGGGGGGAGGGGAAGAGAGACAACGACACGATCAATCGAATCGAGAATACTCTGGATCACCATGACATTAAACAAAGATGTTGGCGTATGTGCGTTTGTGCAACAATCAAAACGGTCTCCTTGCTCCTCTCCTCACTCACTCACACTATGCCCCACACCGCCACACCCGCCAAAGCCCTTGTATTCTACAGCCACACCCCTCTTCGTTCCACTGATCAAGTCCCTTCAGTACACGAACTATGCATGCGTGGTTGCTCAGGCCAACTGATGCTCGAAATGGGCATTGACACCACTCGACGCGGTAACATGATTCAACTCTTGGGTCTCGGGGGTTGCGATTCGATCCAACAGGTACGACAACTTCTTTCCACGATCCCACAACGAGGGTGATTGACTCGTTCGCTTATACTAGATGCGAGAACAATTGGTTGCAAGGTACATAGGCGTATGTGTGTATGTGTGTATATGTATCATTGACTGTGTTTGTAGATTTGGCAAGCTCAAGTTGGGAATTGTATCCGAAGCAACAGAAATCCAAGAACTGGCAACTGCATTAGGGATTCCTTTATTTGATACCATCCTACAGTCATTGGATCACGTGGATTGCTTGGTGGTGGACTCACAATGGGATGTTATCAATGACACCCTCAATACGGCTATTGACACTACCCCCAATCTCTTGAAATGCGTGGTGATGCCAGCTACTCCCATACCTCGTACAATCGATTCACAATGGCAATCACTCGTCCCTCAGCAAAGTTGTATGACAAAGAATGGTGTATTAGTCGACGTATCTCAAAGGTATGTAACGATTGACAAGAGAAAAAGCGAAAGATGACAATGCTCACCTCTTGAATCCTAGTGAATCACTTGTTTGTGCGTATTTGCATGAAGGATCTACACGACGAGATAATACCACTGAATTCAGAGCAGGTCTTATTCAACAACAAGGATGTAATGGGTCCATTCTGGCATGGCATTACTTGGCAGAGATAGGTCAAAAGCTAGGCTATGTCCCCAAGTACGGTGCATAAAATAAAAGACTCTGATTTCAAAAAATGATATCGTTCACTTCTCTTTTCATTTCTTTTCTACCGGATCATCATGATGCTTACACGAGATAAACTTGCACAGCACAACAAGCACTTTGCAGATCATGGCCAATACGCACTCGACCGCATCCATGCCTTTGTACAAGAGCAATGCCTTTTACATGATCCCAATGAACCAGCTGTACCCCATAATCCTGGCCCTTTGACTCGCATCCATTTGGCTAAACAACGACCCAAAAAGTGTCGATCAGGTATAACAAGATTGGCTTTGTAGAGATAGCATTTCTAATGCCATCCAGTATAGAAGGAGACAAAGTAACGATTGAAAGTGGAGATGAGGAATGCATTCAACGTTATCCAGCACCTACAGCCGCCTGCCATATGCTAGAGGTATAGTATTTAATGATCCAATTTCTTTTTACTGTATTCTTCTTTCGCTCTTTCTCACTTTTCTTCCCTCTTGAGAAATTCACATCGCCCAACGTTCAAGTCAACAGGCTTACTGTGAGTACATGATGGCGTTTGCAAGATTTATCTTTGATTAACGTATAAACGATTATAGATGCGTACGCGACGTAGAGGATTGTTCAACTATGGCAAGTCATCGGCCAAAGCAAAGACAAGAAGGAAACCAGGTGGTAAGTTACTATCAAAGGGTACAGTACATATCACCAACAACAAAAGAGTAACATCCATCAACCCTAGTACAAGATCTGGTGTTCTCGGAAACCGCCTTCCTTGGTCATCGACAGCCGCATCCATCCAAATCAGTATCCAAACGATTGAACAAGAAGCCGGCATCATCCTACATGTCATTCGAAGCCTCTTCTAGCAAGTTGTATTACATGAATAGCAGCCATGGAAAGGTTGAGCATGAAGGCAACAACACCAATAGCATCCGATCAATGCATAAGGAGATCCATGGCAATCAACAGCATGAACAACCTTCCTATTCATTTGGAAAAACACCCGTGCACTACTACCACGTTGAAGGTGGTGATGATGATGATGATGAATTGCACGGCAACTATGATGGTGGAATGATGGAATCACATCCATATCAGCTATATGCAGCAGCAGCGGCAGCAGCACCAATGGTGCCTGATCGTGATGCCCAAGAGCAGCAAAATTATGAGGAGTACATGCAATACTACTACTATGTGGATCAGCATCCCAACTATTATGATGCATACGAGCATCAAGCATTGCCTGAGCCATATGATCCTGCTGATTTACAATATGCGTATTATGACAATGATGCACAAGATGGCTATTACTATCCCACCTACTATTATTCAGAGACCCATCCATATCAGCAGCAGAGCTATGATCACGCTTACTATGGTGATGGTGAACAAGGCAATTATGCACAAGCGCAACAACAACAACAACAACAACAACAACCAGCCGTCGAAGAACGATGGATGCCACATGCTTATACATTGGTGACCCTTAACGATATCCCTTTGGTGCCACAACAACAACAGCAACCCCACCCTGGCTTACGCCCTGTACGATTGCCAACACCACTACTACCACCAACACCAAAGCCAACACCTCAAGGTCATGAAAAATCACCAATTGATGATGTACAAACGTTATCCACAGGGATGTCTTTGTCTGACAAGCAAGATCCAGTGGATAAGACAATCGCTTTCCTCCAAGCATCCACAAAGAAGGCATTACAACCTGACTTTAGTTCCCTCTGGAAGCAACGTCCATTGCATCGCTAGTAGTAATCCTTATATTATTATCATCTTTATAATTGCGAGCTCGTTTATGTATCAATAAATAAAGTTTATGATGTAAATGTAGGATTTTGACAAGTGCGGCATTGATGGGAGGTAAATCATCGGGAGGTCAAAGTGGAATTTCTTTCTCTTTGTTCCTTTTCCCTTCTTTATGGCAGCAACAGCAAAAAAGCAACAGGACAAACAAGCAGCCAAGATCTTGAATGGTGGCAGTGCACATCAACGCAACACCTTGGACTCGCTATTGAATCGTGCAATCAAGTTTCGCAAATCACGCTATGTCGACGAGAAGCTCGAGCTCTTTAAGAAAAAGTATGCACCCATCAACGATCGCTCCACGATCCAGTCCTCCAACGCTGTCAATCTCGCCAACGACGTCCTTCCCGGCATCGACGCCAATGGATTCGAACAGCCCAGCAAAGTATTGTTCAGCAAAGAAAAGCTCAACCCTGCATGGGCCACGATCCGGCCGATCGGTGCAGGCCTTTCAAGCGATCTTGGTCCTACTTCGGCTCTCAACTCAGTCCTTCAAGTTGTCACCTATACACCCATTCTCTGCAACTATCTATTAACACGATGGCATGGAAATAATTGTATGTAAATGCAATGGGATGCTTTTATGGACGAGGCATACTCATCTCCTTACTTATTAGGTACCATGCATGACTATTGCTTTGTTTGTGCACTCGAGGATCATGTCTCTTTGGTACTCAAGAATACAAAGGATACCATTACACCCCGTCAATTCATTGGAAAGCTCAAGAGTAAGTCATGATGAATACATCAATGCTCCTTTTCACTGACCCAACAACACTTGCATTTAGAAATGCCCAAAGGGACATCAACGGATGCTTTTCATGTGTGGAGTTATTTCATGGATCAAATGCAACATGCTCTTTTATTGGAGAAGAGGTAAACAGAAAAAGAAGAAGGATGTTAAAGGCAATCAAATTGATCGAAACTCCCTTAGTACGCAAGATGAACGAATCAAACAAACAACAGCATTATACCAGATGTTTGGAGGCTTCATGCAAAATCATTTCCTGTGCGACACATGTCAAAAGGGTGGCAACGATTATGATGCATTTTTACACCTCTCATTGAACATCGACTCTGCAAACACGGTGGAAAAGTGCTTATCGCAAAGCATCCGACAACAAAACGTCAAGGGATACAAATGCCCAAGGTAAGGTGGATGATGGAAGGATGAGAGAGAAGCACAATGGTATTGATAATAGGTGGCCATTTTTAGTTGTGAAAAGGAATGTTCAGGAAAGAGGACCAAGAGTATATACCGTGCACCTCCAGTATTGGCTATTCACCTTGATCGTTTCGGCAAGAATGGCAGCAGCAAGAATGAAAAGATGGTCCGTTTCCAGGAGACTTTGGATATCAAACGTTATATCACCACGACCGAGCAAGGAGCACTTGAACAATCTCAGTATCATCTCTATGGTGTAATCACCCATCGTGGCGCTTCACAGCAAGGTGGTCAATATGCTGCATTCGCAAAGAGTTCCAATGGCTTATGGCATTGCTTTGAAAATGAATTGGTAAGAGAGTGGATCGTTTAAAGTATGATTGCAGGGCATCTGACCATGGCTGTTGTTTTCATAGGTGCAACAAGTAAGCATCAATCGATTACTGGAACAGAAAGCATACATGCTCTTTTACACCATCCCTCGATCCACCAAAAAGGCCGACAAAGCCAAGCAGTCAACCACCCCTACTGCCAAGGGTCTAAAGTCTGTCAAGGTCAACTTGGAAGAGAAAAAGACACAAGAGGATGTTAAGGAGAGCGAGGAAAGCGATGTGGATGAGGAAAAGGAACAAAGTGAGGAGGAGGATGAAGATGAAGATGATGACGAGGAGGAGGAAAAAGCCAAAGTACAACAAGCGTTGGATGAAGCAGCTGCACAACCCATGGCTGACAGCAAAGACGCCGTGGTGATTCGACATGATGAGACGATGGAATCAAAACGTGAAAAGTTGGATCAGCTTATCAAGCGAGAAATGGATCAAAGCTCGAGCGCCAACGCCAAGGAACTTTTACTTTCCAAGTCGAGCAATGCTCAATTTCAAGGCGATGTTGAAACATGGGATGAGAAGGATGCTGCCACTGAAAAGAAACGCCTAGCATTGATCAAAAAGACCAAGACCAAGCGGAAACGACCTGATCAGTATGATCTTGACTATGATCGTGGCAAGGTTAAAAAGGTCAAAAAGAAGAATAATGATAAGTTTAATAAGCCCAATGTATTCCAAATGGCTGCTGAATCAATGCAGCATAATAAACGTTAATAAACATTGTACATTATCCCATCAATCATAAGAAGTCTCTATTTACAATCTATTTTTGTAGTGGGCGTGGTTCAAGTCCAATCAGTCAAATGCCGCTCGCCATTTTGCATGAATGTGCTCTCCACGTGATCCTTTCTCAAAACCAACCCCCCAGCACACTTTTTCCTTTCATGAAATTTGACCATCGTATCTTTTTTACATGAGGTGTATGATGAGGATGGTTTATATAAACGAGCTACTTGTCTTTCAATACCAAATAGCTTGAATCATTTGTACACTTTTCACTGAAACAAGCTCGCACGGTTTCAATAGCCTAACGATATATGGATGCAAAGTTACCAAAAGTGCTTCCACACCACACGCATACACTACACAGCATGAATAACATGATCCCATTCAAGTGTGATAGGCAGAAAAGATCAGGATGGGTGTTTATGCATTATGGAGTACAAAGCTAGATTAGGTCAGAAATGGGATCCAATTACCAGGCTTTGATGTCATCTGTATGACAACCACCAGCCAGATACCATCTTTTGATGGTTGTACAAGAGATGGGTTGTGAAACCATTCCAACGCGTCGTCGTCGCCGCCGCCGCCGTTGCCATGAGCAATCAAGAATCCAACAATGTCGTTTATGATTATCAATGGCCGTCGTTCATCATGCAGCTATACATCCAACCCTATGACATGTTGGCATATGCCTTTAATCAATTGAATGAGAATGATACAATGGCTAGGGGTGGTCATCTAAATGCCTCTCTTTCTATGTTACAGTCATTGGTGGAAAGAAACGGTATATCCCCCATTTACATATACTTTCAAGCAGATCCATGTATGGCTGACTTTTGATCCTTCCCTTCTCCCTCCTCTCGTTTTTTGTGGGTTCTCTACTTTTTCTCCACGTTGAATTCCCAAACTGATTTCGCAAAGTGACCCATACGTCGAATTCAAGACGATTGTCGGCATATCGAAAGGAGTAAAGCAATTGTGTACGATGCAATTCAACTGGCAACCATGCTAAACTCCAAGCGCTCGCAAACGGTAGTGGACAATGACAAGCAACCTTCTTGCAGGCCTGTGCATCCGCTCCCATACAGGACCATATACCAAGAGCTCATTTGGAGTAAGCAGCAGCACTCTATGCACTTGATTCCTACCTACTCAACTTGAGACTTACATGGATACTACGTTGTTGCCTAGGTAACCGGACTGTGATAGCCGCGTCGTCAGCTGCTGTGGTCGGTGTTGTAGCTGGATATCCAGTAAGTGATTATTACCACCACCCACGTAAAACATGATTCATGATGCATGAAAAATTCCATAGTTTGATTCTATAAAGACACGAATGCAAACCGAACCCTATGACTCAATTACTGCTTGTGTCCGACAAACGTACAGGGAAGAAGGTGTACGAGGCTTTTTTAGAGGTATTCTTATCATACAATGTTTGGATCCAGTGCACTCAAGTTGTTTCATTAGGTGTATTACCGCCTTTGGTGACCGTGAGCATCATCAAGTCAATCTCGTTTTCAGTGTATGAAGAAACCAAGACCTTTCTCAAAGCCAATTATCCGTTTTTTGCACGTGATGACAATCTACGATCGGTGATGGCCATGTCAACGTTGGGCGGTGCAGCTAGCGGTGCCTTTGTTGCCACTTTCAGCTGTCCTGTAAGTCCTACATCATGCTCATGGTATACACATGAATACTGAAATCATTTCAAGTTTGAGCTTGTCAAGATCCACAAGCAGCTGGAGATTCTTCTGTTGCAGGCCAGCAGTATATCAACAGGTGCTACTGTGATGCGTGAAAGGAACAACAAGAGCAACAATATTGGTGGTGGATCATCCAACAACCTGCCAACCACGTCAAGTTGGCATTCAGCCAAGGAAATTGTGCGCTCCAAGGGCATCTTAGGATTGTGGTCAGGCTATGGCTTACACTTTTGTATGTGGGGGAGATCGATGGGATGATGATGATGATGACACGCACATAGAGTAGTAACACTGCTTTTTTTCATTTCCTAGTGCGGGACACGTTGGGTACTGCTGTCTATTTTGGTGGCTACGAGACAACCAAATTTCTACTTTCTGGTCCTGAACGAACAGCGGGTCCCATGACACAGTTTCTGGCAGGTGGCATTTGTGGCATCTTATGTTGGTTGGCCGTGTTTCCTATTGATCTTGTCAAATCATTGATGCAAAAGGAGGTGTTATCGCCATGTCGCAAATACAGGAGTACCATGGATTGTGTTAAAGATATCTATCGTTCCAGAGGTGCAAGTGGATTCTATCGCGGAATTACTGTGACCTTGATTCGTGCATTCCCGTAAGGCTTTCGTTTTTTCATCTATCCCTTTGTGGAGGGTGAGATAGATAACTAACTTTTTTTATTACCATAGCATCCATTCGCTCAACTTTTTGGTCTATGAGCAAACATTGCTGCTTGTCCGATACGCCTCCAATCATACCCATGAACATGTTTCATTGTAAATATGTGTAGTACCTACAACACCCCCAGCTATAATATGCAACCCAACCGCCATCCTCATCACCACCACAACAAGTCGCTATAGAGCGAGACACATCCATCCACACACACGCACACACGCACTTGTTAGGGGCTCGTTGAAATTTGAAAATAAACGCGAGAAAAATGCTGACATGGCATAAAAAGCATGGCTCGATTCGGTTGTCCTTTTTCATTCTACAGCTGATACCGTGCACCCGTTGTTGACATTATGCGCCATAGCATTCTCTTTTACAGCATTGCAGTGGTCGTTAGCGCCTTGTCACACCAAGCCATGGTTGCTTCAGCAGCAGAGGAATTGGGCTATGGCACCTTACTCCCTGAAGAATACGACCGCCCTGGTGATGAAATTGATGCCGATATCAAGGACATGGTTTCAAAGATGACACTTGAAGAAAAGATTGGTCAAATGACTCAACTCAACCAGGACTTGGTCCTTGGTGCTGATGGTGTTCTCAATGAGACAGCCGTGGAATACTATGCACAAAACTACTACGTAGGCTCTTATCTCAACCAACTTGCTCGGTACGTACGTAATTGTTCCTTATCTTGGATATGTTGCCAATTGACTTTCCTATTTCTTAGTGATGGCATCAACTATGATCATGGAGAATACGCAGATTTGATTGAGCGTATCCAAGAAATCACATTAGCTGCCAACTCTACATACAAGATCCCCATCATTTACGGGTACGTTGTGTCCCCTTTATGCAAGTCAACATTGCTAACATGTTCTTTTTATAGATTGGACCACATTCATGGTGCGCATTATGTTGCCAAATGTAAGATTCTTATCAACCACAACAACAATCAACGATTTGCTCAACGACTACTATGTGAATTATAGCTACCATTTTCCCTCATGGCATCAATCTTGGTGCTACTTTCAATCCAAAGCTTGCCTATGAAACAGCTGTGGTAACAGCACGTGAAACGCGTGCAGCCAATGTGCAATGGTATGTGAGATTTAAAGTTTTCTGAAAATGCGACAACACCATGAACTTACTTTTGCAAAAAGGACATTTGCCCCTGTGTTGGACATTCCAATGAGCAAACAATGGGCACGTGTATATGAGAATTTTGGTGAAGACCCCTACATGTCATCCATCATGGGTGCTGCCGCTGTGCGTGGTTACCAAGGCCAATACAAATCGGATCGTACCAAGGTAGCTGCTTCCATGAAGCACTTTATTGCGTATGGTGCTCCTTACAGTGGTCAGGATCGTGACACTACGGTGGTATCGGATCGAACCATACACGATGTCTTTATGCCTGGTTTTCGTGCTGCCGTGGAGGCTGGTGTAGCTACAGCGATGGAATCCTATATTGATGTGAATGGTGAACCCGTGGTGGCCTCACACAAGTACCTGCAAGAGATGTTACGTGAACAACTTGGATTCAAGGGGATGCTGGTGACCGATTGGGCCGAAATTGAAAACCTGTACACCACCCACAAAGTGGCTGCATCACACCGTGACGCCGTCAGCATGTCGATTGGTAGCACTAGTGTGGATATGTCCATGGTGCCTAGCGATATCATCTTTTTCGATGAACTCAAGGCCCTCGTTCTTGATGGTGTCATCTCCGAAGATCGTGTGAATGAGTCCGCTGAACGATTGTTACAGCTCAAAAAGGATCTTGGCTTATTGGAACCCGATGGATGGAAGGCTGATCGATCACTTGAAATTGGAAAGTCTGAAGATATTGAGCTGGCAAGACAAGCTGCACGTGAATCGATCACTTTGCTCAAGAACGATGATGATCTACTACCCCTCAAACCTGATCAACGTGTGTTGGTGGTAGGACCAACAGGAAGTGATTTGAGCCACTTGGCAGGTGGTTGGACCATTTATTGGCAAGGGTAAGTAATGTATACGTATGCTTTTATGTATGATACTAATCTATCCTTTGTTTACATACAAAGAGCAACGGATGATGGTTGGCAAGGAAAAGTTGATGACGAGCAATTTTATTCAAACGGCACCACCATCTATAATGGCATGCGTGCAGCTGCACCCGAGGATGCTGTGATTGATTACATGCCAGCTTTTGATGAAGAAGGCAATGACCTCAATATGGAAGAGGTGCTCAAGGCTGCTGAAAGCTATGATGTGATTGTTGCAGCCATTGGTGAACGCGTCTATGCTGAAGCACCAGGTGACATTCATGACATTCGACTTCCACGTGGCCAAATTGACCACATCCACACATTATCCAATACCACTGGCAAGCCGCTTGTGACCGTATTGGTGGAAGGTCGACCTCGTGTATTGGAAACCATTGCAGACGATTCTCAAGCCCTTGTTCAAGCCTATCTTCCAGGTCCATGGGGTGGTCATGCTATGGGTGAAGTGTTGTTTGGAAAGGTGAATCCTTCTGGTCGTCTTCCTTACACCTATCCCAAGAGTGCTGGTGATATCAACCTTAGCTATTGGCGTCAAGCAAATGATGTTTGGGACCCGCTCTTCGAATTTGGCCATGGTCTTAGCTATTCACAATTCAGCTACAGCAACATCTCATCCACAGATGAACCCGTGCTTGAGAATTCGGATGATACAATCACTGTTTCAGTGGATGTTACCAATGATGGTCCTTATGATGGCATGCATACAGTCTTAATGTTTGTGCAACAGCCTGTGCGTCGTATCACACCACCTGCCAAATTGCTCAAGGGATTCCAAAAGGTGGATCTTGCTGCTGGTGAGACGACAACCCTTCAATTTCAAGTGAATGGTGACATGTTCCGTTACACTGGCCTTGACAATGTTCCTCAGGGCACTATTGACAATGGTCCTGTCAAGGTGTTGATTGGCGAGGATGAGTATGAGCTCGAGATTCGTATGTAAACATCAAGTTGACAAAATCATAAATAAAATGGGAATGAATTCCTCTTTTTTCATTGAAGGGAAAGAGCATTTACTTTTTTAACGTAATCTGAAATGGTTTCTACTACAACTCCAGATGCAAGTTGCTCAATAATAAGCTGCTTGATGGCATCAATGTTCCCCTGCAAATTCTCATACACCACAAATGCACTCTTCTCATCTATTCTATCCACAATGTGTTTTCCATGGCTCTCGAAAACTTGTTGTAGCGCTTCATCTGAAGGGAAGGTTGCCGTTGGCTCGCAGAGTAAATAAAATCCATCGATTGTCTCGTCGATCTTTTCAGGTCCAGCGAAATCAAAGCAAACAAATCCCGTACGCACCATGGTCACCTTGTTGGCAAACTCTGCAAGCACAGATGTGGGATCACCATTCTTGTCACGAAGAGGATAATAAGTCGATCCATAATTGTAGATTTCATCCGCAGGGTCATCCTCAAGCCATTTCGAATCTTCCTCCTCTTCATCATCCGAGATATCCCATCCATTGGCTTCTCGATCACCACGTTCCTTCTTTTCTTCCTCCACGTTTTCTGGTTCAGGTGGCGGTGGCGGTGGTGGGTTGACTTGGTTCTCTATAATAACAATGATGAAGTCAATCATGTGATACTACTATTCGGATATCAGGTACTTACCAACATATGACAACAGCTTCAAGAATGAGATACCAGTGATATAAGCATCATAACCTGCCTCGTGATTCATGTCGTTGACGTATCTCGGAAATTCAATATCCATGTCTAAAGCAAAAAACAACCCCACTTAGTGACGATGTAATAAAGAAGAATCCATGGTGGACTTACCAATACGAGGATTACTGAATATGTCGCGGTTGGTCTCTGAACGCAAGATTTCCAATGATGTGGCTGTTCCGATCACAGGCTATATATATGATATGAGTCTATCTTTTGCTATTGGCCCTTGATAGTAGTATCCTTTACCTGCAAGTAAGGTGAAGCTGCGCAAATGTACTTTGTGTCCGCTATGCTATAACAAAACCATTAGACGCATATTAAAGTGGATACCAATCTTGACTTACCATGGGAAAAGTCTACGAGCCAGCTTTTTGAAATCTTGTACGTCTTCAGGAAGGGGCTGGATGAATTGGGCAATCACGTGACACATATCGAGCAACATGTTGTGACCAACGACCGGTTTACGGGATGCAGAAATCATATCAATCACTCGGCGGAAACCCACAGCGCCCGCACAATCTTTCTTAATACGCTCATGGTAAGTATGACATGTCATTGTACAAAACACCACCCCTTCCAACTAATGAAATACCTTGAGTTTGGTCATCTGATCTTTGACACGCTTCTCTCGCTGCTTTTCAGTCAACTTGACCACGCGAATAAAACCATTTCGACCTTCAGCAGTGAGATCAGGATACCTGATAAAAGATCGTGTAAGTAGAAAAGGTGATATATAGCTCTCTTTCTCTCTTCATCCCTTGCTACTCACTGTTTTCTCACTTCTTGATAGATTAATCGACGTTGATAAGCGTTGCGAGTCTCGATATTGACACCATCCTTATCATCCGTTTTGCTGGGATCTTGAATCCAGGCATCAATTCTCTCCCTAAAATGACATGACATGAATACATTGGATCCATCCAAGCAACAATGCTAAGTTACTTACTTTGCAGTCGCAACAAAACCTTTTTCCTTTTCATCAATGCGGATATCAGGCAAATCTTCAGACATCTTGCGTCGAGCTTGTTGTACATAGGCTTCTTCTTCGGCCACAGTCAAATAGGGGATGCCTTGATATATCCACTAAGAATGTTGAGTGAGTGAGTGGATGAGTTTGAAGGATCCTCCGGTCAACATGCCATGACTTACCTTGTTGAAATCAAATCCTTGTTTAGATAAAAAGTCAAATGCTTGTGCCTGAGTTAGGAAAAGACGATCGGGTTGGATCTTGCCGGTCATGCTGGTAGGGAAGATGTAAAAGTTGAAGGCTTTGGCGATATAGCGACCTGAAGGCTCGTCCCACTTGAAAGTACACAACCCAAACTGGATAATAATAAAACGACGTGTTGCTTCACGGTATTCAGCATATCGATTCGCCAATGTGTCTAGACGTCGTGATCCACCGGGTCGATGTAGCCCTGGAGATAAAAAGAGTACGTAGTAATGAGCTTCACTGCCAACGTCCCAAGGTAGAATCACGTACCTGAAAGCTCGGTGTCAATGGCTACAAACTCACACTCATCGATGGCCTTTTGAACTGCAGGCAAGGACGATTGGAATTGATGGCGAGCAATTTCCATAACGCGTGTATGTGTTGTATGTGTGCTGTGTGCAAGAAGTGGAAAACTCGCGTCGGCAGATCAACTCTTTTTTACCAATTCATTACTTTAGGACCCGCTCTGTCAAGCGCATAAACAAATGCAGTGATCATCTTGATGGCTGTGTATCGTATCACATACTACAACATCCCCCCCCCCATTCACCTTGTTAGCATCCTATTACAACATCCAATCATAAATGTGTCACTATTCACTGGTCTCTTATTGATTGTTCTTTGTTCAAATATAATACTTAAAGCGCTCATTGTCTCTTCCTTTGGTGATCTTGTATAACAAAGAGAAAAGATCACCCTCTCTCCTTATACATACGTATCCATGGCAATGACGATGGTTGAGTGAGAACGCGAAACTAAATAATTCTCCTTCATGATTTTTGGTACTGGGGTGTCACAAGCTGGCTGATGATAGTTACCTTTGATCCGACATGTAGCAATGTGTGATCCCAAAGCTGACAAGTTGTGTAAAGAACACAAGGATGTAATTCATTCATCCCTACGCTCATTATGAAAAGCAGCTATTGATTGTTATTGTCTAAAAAAGTTAGATGTAGTATGTTCCCCCTTCCCTCCCACACACGCGTGCGAATCTAGGACATGCACCAAATCGAGATCAGCTTGTCACCCGACTGGATCCTACTCGTAGTTGATGACAGTCTGTGTGAATACATCTGTACCCCGTGTGTAAATCCCAGGGGATTGCCATGGCCTATAAATATAGTAAAAGTCGCCACAATCATCCCTTTGGTTTTCCAAACATGTGGTTCAAGTCAAAAAAGCTAAACACACCTGCATCATCACAAGGCAGTAACAGCGACAAGAATGAAAAGGCCGTAGTTCACCACAACATTGAAGATGAAGAACATGTAACAACGTCTTCAGGTTCTGGTACAAGCTATATCCCACCATCCAAGCAAGAACTGAGGCGGCTCATGTGGAAGATTGATTTACGTATCGTGCCATTCGTCGGTCTCCTTTATCTTTGTTCTTTTCTTGATCGGGTCAATATTGGTACGTAAGCCGTAAACAACGTCGTTAAATTATAGATCAGACATCTTATTCATTGAGGGTAAAACTAGGCAATGCCAAAGTGGGTGGTCTAACAGAAGATATCAGCATCACCGAAAGCGAGTATAACTGGGCCCTCTCTATTTTCTTTATTGGCTATGTAAGTTTACGAAAACTTTTGATGTAAATGTACAAGGTTTAATGTACCAATGCTTTGGGGTCACAGTGTGTGTTTGAAGTACCAAGCAATCTAATGCTCAAAGTGATGGGCCCACGTATCTGGATCACGTTGATCATGGTGATTTGGGGCGTCATTATGGCAGCCATGGCCGCCTGCGTTAATGGTCGCCAGCTGATGGTCGCTCGCTTTTTCCTTGGCGTAGCTGAGAGTGGGCTATATCCAGGTGTTATATTTTATCTATCCATGTGGTACACCAAACGACAGCTGGCGCTGCGTATTGCCGTCTTTTATAGTAGCTCCACGCTCGCAGGTGTAAGTGCGATGATCTTGTATACGAAATCTTAACACTAATGATGGCTTTATAGGCGTTTGGTGGTGTGCTGGTATGTATTCATCAACAATGGCTGTGTTCAACATTCCCCTTATGAGTTCATTTTATGCATACTAGGCCTATGGTATTATGCATATGGATGGTGTACGAGGATTGCATGGATGGCAATGGTTGTTTATTCTTGAAGCGCTTCCTACTATTGTTCTTGGCCTGCTTTGCTACTTTGTGTTGCCCGATTACCCAAAAAAGACATCATGTACGACACTTTGAAAGTCTGACAGGCTTCATGGATCTCACGCTGTTTTCTGCTTACGATAGTTTTGAATGAGCGTGAGCGCGAAATTATTGTACAACGATTGCTCGAAGATGTTGGTCCCGCTACTGAGACTCACTTTTCATGGCGCCAAGTATGGAGCGCCCTGCTGGATTGGAAAATGTACATGTACTCTGCCTCCTATATCCTTGGTGCATCCGTTGTCTATGCGCTAGCCATGTTCATGCCAAGTTTGGTACGTGGTATGGGCTTTACCGATATCAATGCTCAAGCCATGTCAGCACCACCTTACGTGTTTGGTATGAATCTCTTTATTTTTGTACCAAAATGGGATGGCAGAGACTTATTGTTATTATACACATCCGGTAGCATTCTTCCTTACGGTGTTTAATGGCTATAGCACTGATCGTCTCGGGGAAAGAGGTAAGCATGAAGGAATGCTTCTTTATGGATATTGACATCACGTGCTGCTGTATAGGATACCACCTTGCTGCTGCAGGCTATATCTCGTGCATTGGTTTTATTTTGCTTCTCACACTTCAAGGCCATGGTGTGGTAGCTCTTTATATTTCGGCATGCTTGGCAACAGCAGCAGCATTTGCAACTAGTCCTCCCATGGCTAGTGTAAGTATAAATCATATGCGTGTGTGGGAACAACATAATGACTAACAAGAGTTCTCTTACATACAAACATCCAGTGGTTCAGGTACGTATCGTATCATTTCAGCACCTCCCAAAAGTGATTCCCAAAAGTCTAATATTAGCATTTGTTAGTAATAATTATGCAGGAGACACGAAAAAAAGTGTAGCCATTGCAGCCGTGTTGTCCATTGGCAATCTGGGTGGCTTGATAAGTGGCCAGGTGTATCGTGCTGATGATGCACCACAGTATTTGAGAGGACACAGGACGTGTCTTGGGCTCATGCTTGGTGGTGCCACCATTGCTCTTATACTCAAGTACTGCCTCTATCGCATCAACAAGAAGCGAGACAATCTCACTGAAGAAGAGTATCAAAAGGCGTGCGAGGGCGAAGATTTATGTGATAATGTATGTATCATTATCATGGACGGCCGCTTTATCTTTTGTGTCTGACACTTTCTTTTTGTCTCTTTTGAAGCATCCCGACTTTAGGTATATCCTTTGATGATACATAGATGGCGTGTGATATAAAGCTTTTTTATTGATATCAGCAAGGGAGGTTGATATAAGATGTTTGAGAGGGAGAGAAAGATGTGATAGTACACACAAGAAGCTAGAGCGAATGTTTCCCTATTTTATGAAGAAGGCTGCTATACATTACCATACTACAACGCAAATGTCAGCCATGATGGTTTAGGAACCATCTATATCCAAATACTGATAGTAGATCCTGCTCACGTACCACTTTCATCTGCAAGGGAGCCTTGGTATCAATCGCTTGTTTCATCATAGCCTTGAGGTAATCGCCGCCTGATGCTAAGGTAGAAAGAAAGGTATGAATGCACCATAGTTGTGGAATACCAATGCCCATTGCATGCTAACTTACGGTTAACCAGAGATTGCCAAGTACTGTCCATACGCTTGTAAAACAATGAGAGGCTCGATATGCTGTTATCCCGGAATGATATTTGTAGACCTTTGACGAGTACTTCAAGTGTTATATCCGCTAGATGATGCGACTATAAAATCAATAAAAGTCATCGTGCCATCCATGCAAACGGTACCTGATAAATGAAAATAGAGCGTATGGTTCAATGAATTATGATGCACTTGAACGATGATGGCAGTAAGAGGAGTAATGACTGATGCGGCTGCTGCTGATACTGATGCTACGATTGGACTAATTGCACGTCAGTGATTGTTGTCAATATCCATATAGAAGCTGTATAGTTACTCACACGTCGGACGCGGATGCTAGCTTAGGTCCTGAATTGGGTGGAGTAGAGTCTGATGCTGCAACACTTGCCACAGCAGCAACAAGAGCTTCCAAGTTTGGATTGGGTGGAACTTTGGGCGTTGGTTGTGGTGCGTTGCTATGTGGAAAAAGTGCTGCCGTGTCAACAGGCCGCAACGTCGATAAGGTTTGTTGTTGTTGTCTAGCGTTTAACCTCATAAGGTCAACTATGCTCTTGACCACGGCAATATTGAGAGAAGCGAGTGTTGATGCGTAAGTTACGATTGTGTTGATATTATTGTTGGTCATGAAGGTCGCTCTTGTGCGTGGTCAATTGGTTGAAAAGACCCTTCTTCAATGCTTGCTTAATGAGAGACCGCACAGAGATGAATGGGGTATATTGGAGACGCGATTGGTCGAATAGATTTGTACTGTGTCAACGCACAAACGATATAAGGCACGAGGCCTGGAGGAAGAAAAGAGTAGAGAGACAACAGCGGCTATCGAAATTTGATCGTGCGCATGTGTGATACGACTCCCTTTTCGCATGATTCTAAATCATCTATGTTATGGGATATCGGCAAGATCTGATCGCAAAAAGGAACATGAGTTATACTCTCTAATACAGCCTTTACCCATCAAGTTGCACATAATGATTCAAAAAGACCCTTCCATTATCACAGTATTTACAAGTGACATGCAATGGCGTTTCGCTAAAGTAACCCTTTAATCCAACATCATTCGCAAGAGATAGATTGAGAGGTACAACGAGTTGTTTCATTGGGAAAGATACTCATCTATAGGGCAAGCTTCTATCCTTAGGCCGTGCATTGTGCAAAGGTGAATGGATGAAGATGAGGTGACGCCTGATGCGTGATGGCTTATGGAGCTGGATGATGATTGCTGTACACGGTTGACAGGTTGTTGCACAAAGGATGATGATGGTAGCCGCCATGGAATAGCGTGTAAAGTACGATAATTGGATGCGCCAACGTTCAGGATCATAACGTCAAGGTCAAGTTGACAATGGACACACGCTTTTTCCACGCATTGTATATACCCAATTCCTTCCATTCCATGTACCATACCATAATCCAAACCAATATCCATATCCATATCCATAAGAAGTCGTATGTATTGAACCAAGTTGCTACGCGTAAACAAAGCTGCTTCTATACAATGACTAAAGGTTGTCCACGTGAAAAGGCTGGAAGGCAAGTTGCTGCGAGTAAAGAACGACGATCGAAACAATGGAGTAGATGACTTGCTAGTAGCAGCTGCTGGAATGAATACGCTGTTACATTTGGTTGCGGCCAAGGAGAGTGCAAAACGTTGCGTTGTATCAAGAAGGGCAAGTGTTGGTTGTCAATCGCTTGCTTCGTCATTCTTTGTGGCAATCCAATCACGCTGAGATATATACCATGCATTGCGAGAGTTGTTTGCATACTTGATAATGTGTATCGATGGCCGTCAGATATGGTATACTCCACGTCAACCATCACGTCCTATGGTTCACGATATAAATTATCATTCGTTGATCAACAAACCCGTCCATACTCTTCTATACCTTGATATGGGTGACTCATGATACAGATCTCCTGTGGTAGTGTGCTGTTGGATAATGACGCGTGTGTTGGGTGGATGAAGAGGTGATAGCAATGATTATATGACATGGCTGTTGTGTGATGGATAAAGCTGATCAACATGCTGGTGCAATATTACGCAAAAAAGACATCCCCTGGAAGTAATTGCTCGTTGTCACCAAGCTTGAAAAAGAACCCGAAACGCTAGTTTCTTTGCATGTTCGCTGCACGACGCGTAAAGAATGAGGTGCCGCAAGGTGCCATGTACGTGCTGTTATCGTTTGAGAATAAATCGTAGCGAAGAAGTTGCTGTGGATGTCTTTGTCCAGTGGAGTGAAATACGAATGAAGAGAAAGAAGAGTAGACGTGAAAGGGATACCCAAATCTTGCTCTGCCCAATAAAAGATGCACGGTAAACAGTTTCCCAAATCCATAGAACGATACTTAGCAATGATAACTGCATCCATGAAGATTCCAAACGACCAGATCACAAGTAGCTTGCTGAATAGCCCCCATACTATAATAAAAGAGGAGGTCGGTAGGCGTTGTAGAGAACGGATCATCATTTACCAATGATAGCCATGTGCACGAAAACATGTTGGCACCCAATGATAGCTGCATCCATCAAGAATCCAAAAGGTACAAGACAAGTAGCTTGCTGAATAGTCCGCATACTATAATAAAAGAGGATGTTGGTTGGGATTGGAGCCCAAAAACGGATCATTCACTATTTACCAATGAAAGCCATATGAAAAAACCCCTGTCGACATCCAATGATAGCTGCATCAATCAAGAATCCAAAGGGAACAAGACAAGTAGCTCGCTGAATAACCCACATGAAAGAGGGTGTTAGCAGGCGTTGAAAGAAAGAATGGATCACTATTTACCAATAACAGCTTCATCCATGATAATCCCGATGCACCAGAAGACAAGTAGCTTGCTGAGTAGACCACATACTATAATAAAAGTGGAGGTTAGCAGGGGTTGAAGAAGAGAACGGATCATCATTTACCAATGATAGCCATACGCACGAAAACATGTCGACATCCAATGACAGCTGCATCCATGAAAATCCCAAAGAACCAGAAGACAAGTAGCTTGCTGAGTTAAACCACATGCTATAATAAACGAAGAGGTTGGCAGGCGTTGTAAAAACGAATGGATCACTATTTACCAATGATAGCCATACGCACGTCAACATGTTGGCATCCAATGACAGCTGCATCCATAGCAATCCCAATGCACCAGAAACATGCAGCTTGCTGAATATCGCACATACTATAATAATAGAAGAAGAGGTTGATTGGGATTGGAGCCAAAACACGGATCATCCACTATTTACCAATGACAGCCATAAGCACGAAAACATGTTGACATTCAATGATAGCTTCATCGATGAAAACCCAAAGCAGAAGACAAGTAGCTTGCTGAATAGACCACATACTATAATAAAAGTGGAGGTTAGCAGGGGTTGAAGAAGAGAACGGATCATCATTTACCAATGATAGCCATACGCACGAAAACATGTCGACATCCAATGACAGCTGCATCCATGAAAATCCCAAAGAACCAGAAGACAAGTAGAATGCTGAATAGTCCGCACACTATAATAAAAGAGGATGTTGGTTGGGATTGAAGCCAAAAAACGGATCATCCTCTATTTACCAATGATAGTCATATGCACCAAATCCTGCTGATATCCAAGTCAAGCCGATTCTTTGCAATCGTCCGCTTGTTGATAAGGCCCGCTACGGTGGCACTCGGCTTGAAAGCGATGGAACGATACTTTATGGGCATATGCAGTGAGAAGGTTGAGTAATATTGATACCACCAAAGAGAGCATACTTACATGATGCCGAACAGCCCTTACAAAGGGAGACAACGAGACGATCCTTGCTGCGGAGTGACGTACATATGGCTAAAGAGCGATGTGAATGGCAATCGTTTTTCATTGGAAATCGAATGCAGCTTGACGATGAATGCCATGAGGAGATGCATAAATGACCTTGGTAACACCAAAGATGTCAACGCGGACTCTCATTGCTTGTTGATGACATTATCCATCCATAAGACGCGTATAGTTGTAGAGATTCATCAAAGTAATTGCCGATAATCAGAACCACAAGATGATCGAAAGCTTGTTGACGCCAAAGGTATAAACCTGCTCCTTGTTGCTGACATGATCGATCAATAAGGGACCTTTGTTTCAGGAGGTTCACCAAATTGCAGGTAATGGGAAGCACCAGATGGATGATGGGATGAGGGTTGATATGGCACCAAAGATATGCATGCTGTTGTTTGTTGCTGATACAATCCACTCACAAGAGACTTGCATTGGCGGACACTCTTCAGAGAAATCGCCCGTTGCTTGGTAACCAACCACCCGAGACGCAATAAAGGTTGACACCACCAAAAGACATAAACACTCCCCCATGGCAGACATGATTCACCTATAAAAGATGCACCATAAACAATTGTCCCAACTCATCCAACAATACTTAGCAATCATAGCTGTGATCTCGTAAACTCCAAAGCACCAAAAGACAAGCAGCTCTCTGCAATGGTCCCTCTAAATAATGGTAGGCGTTTCAGCAAAGGTCTCCAAAAAGCATGAGAGTCATACATACCTGAACCACGCAATCATCATCCGCAGACTTGGGAACCAAATAGGCCATCAGGATGTAAAGTGATAATAAAAGCGCACAGCCAAAGAAACGTCATTGTACCGGCACTCTCCTGTGGATCGACGCGATGAAGTGCATCAATAGAGATACCCATCTTCTCTCTAAAGGCAAGGAGATCAATAGCCGTAAAACGATGGAGCCGTGCGAACAGAGGATGCATTTTTAAATCCCTGAGGCCGCAACATGAGTCGCACTGTCCCCGGGCACAACATGTAGAGCTCCACAGGAAAGTGTAGTACAATGACATCCTTGACGTGCAGCCTTGATCATAATAGCATCGCCGGAAGAGGATCTGCCACTGTATGGAGTTTGGTAAGTTCACTTGATCCAACCAATCCCATAATGATGCACTGTACCTTGAGGTATTCCCAATACCATTCCATTGATGCTTGCAAATCACCTTGTATCCATCCGATCCAGTATGTGCTGCTGCTGTTTTATGGTAAGGTTGGTTAATTAAGTGGCCTTGCATTGTAGATCAAACACCATGCATACCATTGAGCCAACGTACAGCATTCTTGCTTTGATATCAATGTATTGTTGTTGCTGCCACAGGTACCATAAGCCAACGTATTGAAGCTACAGTAAATGTAATGTAAGATAACAAGTAAAACCAATCCACACGCTATTGTTGTCAGCATACCCAAAAGAGGCAATGCAAAGACGTGTTGAGAACCTCATTGTGGACAACTCGGTAAGGAAGACACACGACGCCGTGAACCATGGTGATCACAAGGAATTGCAACCAAATACACCATCCGAAGGCAATACAATAATCAACCTGCAGCGTCAAGGTATGCCACCATATGTACCATACTCTCATTGGATCCTGAAATTGGCATCATAAGAGATATCCACCTTCTCTCTGTAGGCAAGGAAATCAATAGCCGTACTTGGATGGAGGCCGTGTGCACAGCGGATGCCTTTTCAAATTGGCCTTGCCATCGCATCTTGAGTCACACTGTTTCCGGGCCAAAATTCCCCAGGAGAGCATAGTACTACACAATGACATCCTTGACGTGCCGATTGATCAAAATAATCGCCCAACCAGAGCCTGACCTAATATTTCTTTCGTAAGCACACTTGAAGGGACAAACCCCACAATGAACACTCTTACCTTGTGGTATTTCTCAATAGCATCATTGCCTCAAATAAAACCATATCTCCATGTCATCCATATTGTCTTGCTGCTGTTTCACTGTAAGGTTCGTTAATTAACAGGCTTCGCTTTGTAGATCCAATACCACGCATACCATTGAGCCAACCATACAGCATTCTTGCTTTGAGATCCGTATCCTGTTGCTGCCAGAGGTACCATCATCCAACGTATTCAACCTACCATAAACGCAATGTGAGATAACAAGTAAAACCAATCCACACGCTTTTGTTGTCCGCATACCCAAAAGAGGCAATGTGAAGACGTCTTGAGAACTCTCATTGTGGACAACTCGGTAAGGAAGACACACGACGCCCTGAACCATGATGATCACAAGGAATTGCAACCAAATACACCATCCGAAGGCAATACAATAACCAACCTGCAGCGCCAAGGTATGCCACCATATGTACTATACTCTCATTGGATCCTGAATGAGTCACACTGTTTCCGGGCCAAAATTCCCCAGGAGAGCACAGTACCATACAATGACATCCTCGACGTGCTGATTGATCAAAATAATCGCCCAACCAGAGCCAGACCTAATATTTCTTTCGTAAGCACACTTGAAGGGACAAATTCCATAATGGACACTTTACCTTGTGGTATTCCTCAATAGCATCATTGCCTCAAATAAAACCGTATCTCCATGTCATCCATATTGTTTTGCTGCTGTTTCACTGTAAGTCTCGTTAATTAACAGGTTTCGCTTTGTAGATCCAATACCACGCATACCATTGAGCCAACGTACAGCGTTCTTGCTTTGAGATCCGTATCCTGTTGCTGCCAGAGGTACTATCATCCAACATGTTCAACCTACCATAAACGCAATGTGAGATAAGGAGCAAAGCCAATCCACACGCTATTGTTGTCAGCATACCCAAAAGAGGCAATGCAAAGACGTGTTGAGAACCTCATTGTGGACAACTCTGGAAGGAATGGACGCAACGCCTCATTGAATCTCGTACAAGCGAGAGAACACCAACCTACAGGCGAACTTTAGTACCACAATGTTCAACTTGAAGAATAAAAGGATTGCAGCGATTGAACTTACATGTTGTATTGGATTGGAAGCTTGTGTCATGGGTAGATCGCGCACGTGCTTGTTGTAGCTGAATGTGTCGCCATTGACCACCTGTTCACCCATTGACGGTGTGCATTGCTGGCAATGCCAGAAGTTAGTGGTGTGGAGAGTGTAAATGGAGTTGGTCTTACCTTGCATCGTTGTGAAGCGGGAGTGGGAGAAGGTCGTTCCTTTCATTGTTCCTGATTTGTGCACTCCACACCGCCCCGCTTGTAACAGTGTGTACCTTAACAACATCCTTTAAGCTTGGGTCGATAACGACAATAAGAGGTTACATGTGAGTAGTAGCCCTGGAACAAGCTCCTTATGGCTTACTGTGAGGACGATTGGCGTCTACTATTATGTCTCTGCGCATCGATTCGTTTATGCAGCTAGACTCTTAAATTTGTACAACCAACATGTGATCTCCCTCTACCAAACGTAAAAGAACATGGTACGTTCTTCATCAATTATTGATTGTGTATAGTGAACGAACACTGCGGGGGTTTGCTGACATGGCTATTTTTTATTACAATCAATGTCATCACTATCAACAATGCAGCTATGGTAATACTTTTTTGTTGTTTGACGGTGTAAGTCGTATGGCCTTTTCTTTTAGATTGTACGTGCGATTGCTTCTTTCGTCTCCCTGGATACGATGCTTACATGTCACCCTGCTGCTTTCAATATGTACATAGCAATATCCCTATAAGCTTGGACCAATAAATCACACACCTCGGTATTTTTTCAATTGAGCATACTGCGGTACAAGTGCCATCAGCAATGAAGAGCAAAAACCAATGCATGGCCCCTACTACAGCAAGCCATGCATGCGCGTATAACTCATTGCTGTCATCAATGTTTGGCTTTATACCATTGGGATATTTGCAATTGATTGATGTAGTGAAGAAATCGCCTTGCGCTCGACTGTTGTCGACAATATCATCCTTTACTACTTTCAGTGATGAATGTGACGCATTATTGGCCTCGTGAAACTTGCACACATGATTCCTTCAATCAACCCGGTCGAGCAACTTTGATCTATTGAAAACCCCCACGCTTGCTTGTAACATTTTGAGATATGGATGTCTTTATGCTGTAAGCGTGATGATATATGAAGTGGTTTTTGTTCATTGTCAAGTAGCTAGAACGTGATACAACCAAAGATGCAGGCGGGCGTGTTTGTGTAAACAATCCATTATGCAGGATTGGAAAGGGCAATGTAGGATGCTTTATGCATTATTTAGGAAGAATCATGTATTATTAGCCAACAGCCACTTCCTCCCACTTCGCACTGTTGCCTAATCCATTGCATGTGAACAATTCTCCTGCTCCAGCCGAGCATCTCCATCATTCAAGTTTCTTGATCGGAGCTGATTTGACTGAGCTACATACGCTCAAACAGCGAGTACATCCCGTTGAGATAGGTAGCCCATACGGTATACGGATTGATGTATTCGTTGTTTGGGTGTAGCTCAGACGAATCAACTTGGATCAAGACAGCTGAATCATGGACTTAAATATCTGGAGCAGCAGCATCGTTCCGATGTCAGCCAATGGAAAAAAGGTTGGGATTGGGAGGAAGTGGCTGTTAGCTGGCGATACATGAATCGCTGCTAAACAGTGTATAGGCTACCATGCATTGAGCCTTTAGTCTTGGCTTCTTTGCTTTGTTACACAACACGCCCCTCTGCATCTTTGGCTCTATCAGGGTCCAGCTATTGTACAATGAACAAAGGCCACTTTTCATATAGCATTACGGTTAGTACAGCATAGTAAAAACATAAAGACGCCCATATCTCAAAACTTTACAATGAAGCGTGAGGGCCTTTAATAGAAGAAGGTTGCTGGGCGTGGTCGAAGTAACCTTGTGTCAAGTCTCAAGTCCATCATGGGAGCATAGGTAGGCCGTGTTTTATAAATGGATGTTAGCGTCACGTGTGTGCTCGATGATAGGTGGGATAAAAAACTACCAGTGGGATGGATCAAGATAACACCCTTTATTTATGACATTCTAGCAATCAATCTACATGAGACCCATATACTATCACGTCTTTTTGTTCAAACGAGATGGATGGCATAGATGCATTTGAGTGTCTTCAAATCTACGTCACGCAATTTCCGCTGTAGGTTTTCTCTTATTCAAGTTCCTGCATTCCAATTCAAGACAACACGCTTTACTCTCGTCTCCGCGCTTTGTTCCCCATGCAAACACCCAAACATGACGACGACGACGACTCTGAATTCTCTTATAAGGTCCTCGATAGCAACAAACGGTTCCTCCAATCATCAAGAAAGCGACGACTATTGCTTGATGGGTCTTATCAACCGGTCCATCCATCAGCCAGCATAGCATCTTACCACGACTTGAAAGACAACAACAACGACAATCTGCACTACTCGATTACGTCCGGTTTCCTCTCACCAAAATCACCCGATTCGCGCGCTTCCTTTGAGCAAGACAAGTTCTCTGATATTTATGATACCCCTTATGATGATGGATCAAGCGTGTCCCAGTGGCAACTCACAGGTAAACAATATTGCTATTTGTTTTTTAGCTGAAAAGCTAATGTAAGGATTGTATAGATGAACTCCCTTCATTGCCATCAGACAAGCTATACAAGGCCATCCCAAGCAGTGTACCAAGTTATATACGTGTGAATCAACTATTTATATGGGCGGCACAACTTGTTCGGATGCAACAGGGTGAAAATGGGATATCTGGTCAATCTAGTCAAAAAGCGGATAGGATTGGTATGCTTCCATGTCATCTTTGTTGTAGCCAAGTTCTCATTCTGTGTGTATCTAGCGAATCGAGTACGTGATCGGTTGATTGAGCAATTGATCGGAGGAGAATGCCAACCATCATCATTCAGACATCAAGAGGTGAGTCATGGTTTACATCACGCGTATCGAAAATACAATGCTGATTGCTATACTTTTAATAGGTTGATGATTCAAGCTTGAGTAAAAAGATGCCACATCCTCGAAATGAAAAGAATCGAGAAACAATACGTGATCTTCAAGAGCATTTACGGATGTATGTATATCTTAGAAGTGGTGATGGAAAGTGAAAGGGCTGACCCTTGCCATGGTTAGGCTACTCAAAGAGAGAAGTGAATGGGAACAAGAATCCACAAAGGTGTTCAGTGATCACGCAGCCACACTTGACGAATGCAATACACACGATGGAAAGGAAAAGTTGACCAACGAGATATTGGATGAATTACCCGATTTTCAAAAACAATTCCTCGACAAGTATTGTGCTGAAAAGGAAAGCGACCAAGAGACATCATCATCATCATCACGGCCCGTATCAACAACTCAGGCGATGAAGATCCCTCAAAGGCTGCGAGACAATATACCACGAATGCGACAAACTCTATTTGTACTACAGCAGCTGCAAAAGAAGGCTAGAAGCTATTGCAATGACAAGACGAGAGAATACGTGGAGAAAAGTGATACCAAGCCAAAGTATATGCCAAAGGATGACAATCTCATGGTGCTGGATACTTCCAAACATGATGATGAGAAGAGGAAGGATGGCGATATCGAAATCCTAAGGTTACTCGGTTCCTCAGCAACCTTCTAGTCATTTCATATTCTGCTTGGATTTGATACTGCGCAGATAAAGCAACATTTGTACATATTAGCATCTTTGTGGGTAAATCTACCTATCTAATAAACCACTGCATATCTATGACATCCATGAGCTATTCGTATCGAGTAATGTATGTCACATGAAAACCAAACACAAGCGTAGAAATCAGCCATGACAAGTGCAAAAACAAGTTGTCTATTATGCTATACTTGCTATCAGCGTGAATCATGTTGCTAAATTTTTTGGAAGGCATGTCATATATACAGTTAATGTTGGGGGGGATGAGATGATACATGGGGGAAAAGGTTAAATGGAAGGGCGTGGTTTTGCATATTACAAAGTGGGTTCAGTGGTGGAAAGAGCAGCCATCAAATCCATCATGCCAGCTATAGAATAGAAAGGGGGAATGTTAACAACATCCAATGTCTCTCATTGTTCTCCTCATCACCATCATCATTTTACTTACATATACTCGATGATCCCAATTGATGCTGATAGTCTTCGGGTGAAGCACTAATGATCATTTCCGGATAATGAAGATGGGGAGCCTTGCTATGATCCACGGGTTGAAGAGTTGGCATTCCTTCAGCTAATTGTGATAACATTTCATCGGCCCATGCTTGATCGTGTACTTTGTTTGGTTCATGTTGCTGTTGTTGTGATGACCAATAATTGTATTGATTGGCTGAGTCATTGGCCGCATCACCGATATCTGGTAATCCTTTAGCTCTACGCCATTTGTTGGTGCGGCTCAAATCGTAGTCAATAGTGAGATACCAAAACTCGCTGAAAAACTCTGGTGGCAATTCCCAATTTTGTGCAAGCGTTGGATCTTCGCCATGCTGTACGGCACCATTCAATAGCAATGAAAAGCACCTGTCATAATCCATCTGATCTCGGAAAATGATCATCCTGTCACGCATATGGGGAGCGGGTATCAAGTCAATACGTGAATCGTGAGGAATGGCTAATTGTAGCAGGGTTGGTTGTAAACGTGCAGCTGACTTTGGGCATCCAGACATAACCATCCTTGATTGACAACGCAATTGTAGTCGCAATTTCTGGATAGCGCTAAGACTCTGGGGCTCTTCCAAAAGTGGTTCTTGTGGTGCTGGTGATTGCTGGTGTTGTTGTTGTTGCCATGGATTCGTATCTTTTGGTTGCTGTGTTTGGAACATCACTTGTTGCGGTGGTGGTTGTTGATGCTGTTGATGATGGAAACTTGTGCCATCCTCATCTTCAGAGTCCTCATGTTTGATAATGATACTTTCACTGCTTGGTGGAGATGGTGATGGTGTTGCTGGTTCTTGAGTAGTATTCCTCTCATGTTCCTCATATTGCATATCCTCATCCCTTTGTGTCCCATCCATATTGTTGTTGTTGCTCGTATATGCATTGTTGGCAAAGTGGGATGCCATGGCAGGCTTGAGATTGACATTGTTGAGGGTGTAAGCGTTGACATATGACTCGATAGCATGCGGTGATGAGTGAGCCATCTCACTAAGGGCTTCCTCGGATAGATAGGGTGAATGAGAGGGAATGAGGATATGATGATGCATGCACACAAATTGTAATGTCAAGACAACGCCCTTGAGATACCAGTTCTCCACTCGAAAAGAATCAAGCATAGCTTGGGTTGTTTGAAGTTCCTTTGTTGCTGCATGATGCTTCTCACGAAGAGACTTGATGGTTGTTTCCAGGTCACGTAAATGTCGTTCTTTCCTTTCACGGAATGCACGTTGAGCAGCTCGATTTTGAGCCTTCCGTAGCGCTGGAGATGCTGGATTTGGCTTACGACCTGGCTTTTTTCTAACCTTGACAGGTTGCTCCCCAACACGTCCACCTCCCTCATTACTTGCTTGTTGTGTACTTGTGTTGTGTTGTTGTTGCTGAATGACATTGACATGCGAAGGCGAGATCTCTCCAAGGCAAATAGGTGGTTGCTCGCTTGGTTGTACAGAAAGTGGTGTTGTTGTTGTTGATGAAGAAGGTGACCAGCCAGTAGTATTGCCGTCGTTTGGTTCGTACTCATCCATGACAGTATCCATCATCATCGGTGATAAGGGTAAAAGAGAAAAGAAAAGAAGGCGGGAAGAAGTGGGTGAAAGAAGGAACGGGCCAACACAAGGGAAAAAAGATGTACGCCGACATGAAATGGATTTGTCAAGCTTTTTCACCTCTTATTGTCCCCCGCATTTCCCTTGTGTCCCAACATCGATTATTATGATACTACCAAAAACACACATGACCCCAATAAACATGGGATTAGTTATATACTTTTTCATGATGTTGAGTGGACATGATGAATGATCCTTGGTATTGGATTCTCTCACGATTATGCATTTGGTAAGCAAGATTTTCTGTTACTTCTCTCCACATAACACTGGTAACTGTGCTTCAAATATGTTCTCCCCCCTTGGACCCCGCACGGGGAGTAGCACCTCATTTTAGAGTTCAGTCGCCGATTATCTCCATTCTTCATTCGGATCATCATCCCGCTTAGGACAACCCATCATCACTCTTCATTGATGCATGGTGGATCCTTTCTCAAATGATGTACGTGTAAAACATGGCTGAAGATTCAATCACGTGGTCACAATGGGTCTCTCACATGAAAAACCTATCATCCCAATCACATACATACCAGGGACAAGCTGTGCTGCAATCCACCAAGAAGAAGAAAGAAGGCACCATCAGCAGCAGCTCAATGAAGAAGTTGGGAAAGGCGACAAGCTATTATTCTCGGACGACACGTGGTTATCAAGGTTGGGAATGATCGATACTTGTGCTAGGGCTCAGTTGTAGTAGTAGTAGTGCACGTCTTTCACGTGTGCAATAAACATTTTACTTATGCGTCACTGATAAATACCCACCGCTGATGTTTGTGTAAAATCATATGAAAAAAGAAGAGCCAACAAGAACTTCTTGCTTGGTAGTACATTCTTTGGCGTAAAGCACGACATGGCCGCTCCGCTCTCTTTTGTCCCATTCGTTGGGTCATGCATCATCAAATAAAAACCGATGCACAATGATGGAATATGGAATGACATGGGGTGACCAGATTTAGACATAATCTCTCTCCCTCCTCCCCACCCCGCATCATTGCTCGCTCATAGGATTCTTGACGCCCATATCCATCCATGCATGCACATGCTGTAAGGGTTGTTGTTGTATACATAGCAACATTCTTCTTTTTGCTGACAAGGGATGTTGGCATGGATACATGATGTTATGTATAGCAACGGGGTTCTTTGTAAAGAAATGATTGGTCCAAAAATCACAACAACGAGTGACCCTCTGATTGAACCGGCTTTTGCCTTTATACAGAAACAATGCAGCAGCGATTCTAGACTGCAAACTTTGATGACCATGCTAATGATCTTTATGGGCTGCTTAAACTTAATGACAGCAAGGGGGGAGCAGCTGAAGCACACATCCCCGTATTCGTGCAATTGCTTCTGTCATTGCACTTGTCTTTTTCCCACTGCCTGTTACAATAACATAGGATGCTTTGGGGGACGAAAGTGGATTCCAAGGAGCAATTCAAGATCATTCAATTCCGAAAATGGGTGAGAGATGAGGCGCAGGTATGTAGATGACACCCCGATCCCCGTTATAGATGATGATGTGGCACTCCCTATTTCATGCAGCTTAATGAAATAGACTCGAGAACAAACAACCATATCAGGAGCACAATCTGATGTTCTGGATTGATCCTTTTTTATGTATCCGAAACCTGACAGTTACAACATAGAAACAAACACGGCAATGTGGTGGGATCATATACACAAGTAGCATAAGGCATAGAGGGAGTGATGATGTGGGAAAGAGCAAACACAAAAGGTGGGGGGGAGGTGGATGATGGGATGACGAATGTAAAAAATGATGGGTGTTCAAAAACACAGGAGTGTGATATCGTATAGGGCTATACAAGAGATAAGAAAAAGTAACCGGGCAAAAAGAAGAAGATGGATGACGAACGACAAAAAGATTGAAATGACAAATACGATGATGAAAATAACACGCACGCATACATACAGCTAAATGGCATGATATAAATGATGGCGGTGTTGGTAATGGTTAGCATAGCCACGGTGCAAACGATGATGCCGAGGAAGGAGAAGAAACAGGGCTTGTGCTATCACTGCTAATACTGCTGGTAGAGCTCAAGCTTTCAGTTTCTTCGAAGGGTGGTGGTACAGATGTTGGTGTGGCAACGGTTGCTGGAGAAGGTGGTGTTGGAATAGGTGGCCACCAATTAACAAGAGCACGGACATCCACCTTGCGTTTGGCAGCCTTGACAAATAGCTCAGCAGGACGCACCTTGGTATGACGCAAATAATAGCTCTTGCATGTCTCGCACCAATGGCCCGTGCCACAAAGATTGCGATACCATTGATGTGTCTCATGCACACCACAATTGGCGCACCGCTTAGTAGGCGTGTTTGTGTACAAGCTTACCACCGATCCAGATGATGAACGACGATCATGTTGATGATGATGAGAAGAATGATGGATAGTGTCATGTGCCGCTGCTGATGACTGATTGGCCACAATTAAACGTAAAGGTCGAGGCTCATCATGTTTGAGCTGATATCGATAGCATGCAACACATAGACGACGACGTGATGCTGGTTTGCTGTTGCAATTGTGACACATGGGCTTGCGCTTTACAGGACGTGGTGCTTGCAAGAGATGAATGAGACGAGCATAATAGCTGTACCAATCATTAGGTCGTGGTAGTGGATGATCATCAATGTTTAAGCCGACATTGTCAAACAAGAAACGAGCAAGTTGTACAGTCTGGTGAAGGCGCGCATGATCAAACGTATGCAGGTTGAAGCGGAACAACGTATTGAGCACACTATTGAGCCTGTAAATGTGGTCTTCCTTTGCCAACAACGCATTCTCCAAAAAGCGAATATCCGTACGCCCTGGGCTAGATCCATGCTTCGTATAGCGGAAAAGGTGCAATAGCCATGTTGGAAAAAAAATAAAGTCTGGTGCCACCAGCCGACTTTTGCTATTTTCCACCCTAAAGAACACCGCCAACAATCGCATTTGGTTACATAGCTCAATCGATTCTATCGGCCGTGATGCTTTGCCGGTTCCAATGTGGCACCTAAACGACCCATTCATGTGTCGTCCAATAACCTTGATATGAATAGGCGTCCTAGTAGTGGAAGTTGTGTGGTCGTTCATTGAAGTGAACGATTTTGTTGTCGGCCAAATATAACCATCGGTCAAGCTGTTGCGATCTGCATTTTGCTTGAAGGTGTATTCAGCTTCATGCAACACCTGTTCCCAACGTAGCATCAACTCATCATCGGGAATGGGACGTTTGTTGTCGATGAAGCTACCAGCTTTTGTGGTCGTGTTGTTAGGTGATGCCGATGCTTCTGATTGTTGCGGCGGTGGCTGTATGAGCAGTTGGCTGATATCCATATGCTTGTATACGCGTTATGTGCTGAAGAAAAGACCAAGATGAAAGAAAAAGTGGTTACAAAAAAGGAAGTGAGACGGATGAAAAAAGAAGGAAAGAAAGAGAAACATAAAATGCAAACTATTTATGCTTAGCAAGAGAGCAGGAGCCTACTAGGAAGCAACGACAACACCTGCTGGAAGAAAACTCAGGGGTGGGGGATAGAAAAAGATACCCACCCAACCTTCTTTTTTTATTGTAGACTCTGGGAGGTTCTTTTTGCTTTTCAGTGGCAGATAGGGTCATTGGCTTTTCTTTGTCTCAAGGTAATGTTGTACCTCAAGCAAACCTGTTCAAGTCATGACACCGTCATGGCAGGACCCTGAACAGCAAAGTACATATTCATCATGCGGTGACACCGATCTAGCAGCATTTACTTGGTCTATTGTTAACTCTTACAAACATAAACACGTCAAGAAGTGGGTTGTGGTGTTGGTGGCGGATGGCGTATTTTCTTTTTTTTCTTTTCTTACAGGCACAAAAATAAAGGGGGGATGTGGTAAGCTCATGGTTAGGCTGATGAATCTTTCATTGTGCAGGCGTGGTTGATACATGAGTGGATGAACAAGTGCCCCGGGATCTGCAGGCAAAGTAGCTCGTGCCAACCATGAGATCACAATGCAAATGACGGTGATATTGTGCCGCAGATGAGAAGAGTGCTACTCCCTATTGTAATTCATCGTTGTATACGATCATGAATAATGGTTGTTATGCCCTTCCCCCTTTCCTATCATGCAACTAAGAAGCTTGGATCGGCTGCTCGAGAATGTCTCGAGACTTGCCAGCTGTCCATTTCATTGTCCGGTTGCACAGCAGCAACAGCAGCAGCATGGACCCTTTTTCTTTGGAGCAGAACCTTATGTAATCCCTATCATTGATGCTTCCCCCATTAGCTTCCATCATGTTGCCGAAATAACAGCTGAGGATCAATACTTCAAAATCTATACGCGAAAAGAAAAAGTCAAGCAGACAATGGATACAAGTTGAATATGTCATTCTCGCCCATTTCTCCCCCCAATGTCGATGCATGGTGTAATATCCGATGCATTGCATCGGAGCTTTGACGAATGAAAAGCAATAATCACTGCGAGCCACACGAGTATTTAGATTGAGTGAGAGCAGCCAAACAGTAAGCAGCGTTCATACCAAAAAATCACCAACATGGTTATATTGCTGTACCCTGGCCAACAGCAGCACCAGAATTAGCACCCCTTTAAACCCGCACCATCCAATACCTATATCAGGCACAGACATCGAGAAGTGGCATGTCCTCTGTAATACATGGGTGGGAATATGCGCACCATGTTTGGGGAAACTGTGGTGGTGGTCATGTGGGTGTCTAGAGCACAAAACACTCAAAAAGCGCGAAAGTTGTCATGTGGGGGTGCTAATGAATGCCGGTAAAGAGAGACGTAGCCTTCTCCACATCCGATGCTTTGTTTGTTACCTTGCGTAAAATGGTACCATTAGCATCCAAGCCGATGGATACATATCCTTCCTCTTTTTGCTTCTCCCCCAACCCGCCTTTTCTTTCTTCTTATTTCTTTCTTTTCCTATGCTTGTCATATTGTCGTCATGGTAGCATGCAAACAAGACGTCTATTTTCCAAATGACCGGTGTGCAGGCGGATGCTCAATTACGCATCGCGTTCTCTTTCTCCTCCAAACAACCCCTTCCCCAATAAATACCTGTCTTAGTCACCACCCGAACAAACAACCCCCCAACAAGTACCCCTTGTTTCAATGTTTGATGGGGATTGATCAAGATTACACCTCGTTTTATTCGTATCCATTGTATTCATGATGTGCGTTACTGTTCTTTTTTGCCCGCCAAACGCTACCAAATTGGTTAACATTCATACTTTGTGGATATGCATGATACTCAAAACAAAGGCCATACAGGCTTGTTGTAGGGCCACACTTGATGTATTGTCCTTGAAACAAGCGCAGCTATAACTGCACATGATCTATACCACTCCTGCAGACATTTCATTGTGTACAAATGTATCGTCATTATTGTCAAAATCTTCCCCTCTCGTCATCTCCAAGGCTTCACATCACTACAAGGTATCCATGGCAACGTTAACCAAGGAACTAAAATGGATACCCATTTATTTCAATAGCGTGATCCACTATAGCTTTATGCTGTGCTGGTGGTGTATGCAAGTGATGCTTGAAGAAAGAAAACGCTTACATGTGAGTGGGCTTTACTTTTTACACCGTTGATCATTATTAGCGTGCACGATGTGACCCTTTGCTTCCTTGCAAGGCAACGTTCCATGCGTTAACGGCTTACACTGTAGCAAATGCAAGGACTTTCAAGGTACTAAAAAGACACCTATCGGATCGTTTTATTCAGCGACTACCACTGCCACTACCACTGTAGCCACTGATCCCTTCATAAACGATGCTTTAATAAAAAGACGATTGATACAACGCTAGCCAACGTACATAAAGATAGCTTCTCGATAATGAAAGCACAAGGTGAAATGCTCGAATCAGCACGTCTCTGCTAACAACGCATGTCCTGATCTACGTCAAACCTATATTTGTAAAAGTGAAACAGCCGATCCAAGTAGAGTATCATTGCGTCGTTCGTTAATTTCGGAAGCACGTTGTTCCTTGGTCTAAGCTCTCAACCCTGGATAACAACAAGTCATTTGTAGTAAGGCATTATCGATAAGAGTAGCCAAATCAACATAAACATGATGGTCCATATACCAGCAAAATGTGTTTCAAAAACGACGGTCTCATTAAGAGTATGATACAAGGGCAAAGCAGTGCATGTATGTATGTGTGTACAAAAGAGAGATATCTACTGCTAGTGGATGGGAGCGTGTGTGAGGGCGAGAATGTTGTGTATATCGAGCGGGAAACGTCGGGAGAACAAAGGAATTAAAAGCAAGATTAAAAAAAATTTTGATATGTGTGTATAAGATTTAGGCCTTGGTACCATGAACCTTCTCAATCAATTGAGAAACAACGGAAGGATCGGCCAAAGTAGAAATATCACCAAGTTGATCTTGCTCACCGTTGACAATCTTGCGAAGAATACGACGCATGATCTTACCAGAGCGAGTCTTGGGATGATCGGAAATAATATAAACAGCCTTAGGTGTAGCGAATGGGCCAATCACAGAGCGAACCTGAATCTTGAGCTCCTTATCAAGACCATCAGCTGCTTCGACATGGGGCTTCACTGAAACGAAGGCATGGATACATTGACCCGTCAAATCATCATTACCACCAATGACAGCAGCTTCGGCAACAGCCTCATGGGCAACCATGGCAGACTCAATTTCGGCAGTAGAGAGACGATGACCAGAGACGTTGATGACATCTAAAGTATATAAGCGTTAAATCTTTGTGGTCTAGATCTTATAATAAAACTTACCATCAACACGACCACGGACCCAGATATAGCCATCCTTATCACGCGATGCACCATCACCAGTGAAGTAATAACCGGGATAAGGCTTGAGGTAAGTATCAAGGTAGCGAGAGTGGTTGTTGTATACAGTACGTGCCATAGATGGCCAAGGTTGTGTGACAGCAAGAACACCCGTTTCATCAGCTTCGGTGATTTCCTTACCCGAAGTAGGGTCAAGGATGATAGGCTTGATACCAAAGAAAGGCAAAGTAGCTGATCCAGGCTTAGTAGGAGTGGCACCAGGAAGGGGAGATACAATGATGGAACCCGTTTCGGTTTGCCAATAGGTATCAACAACGGCGCAACGATTTTGGCCAACCTTTTCATTATACCAATCCCAAGCTTCAGGGTTGATAGGTTCACCAACAGAGCCAATAACACGCAAAGAGGAAAGATCATAGCCTTGGAGCCATTCATCACCAAGACGACGAAGGGCACGAATAGCAGTGGGTGCAGTGTAGAATTGAGTGATCTTGTGCTTTTGAATAAGGTCCCAGAAACGCGATGGGTTGGGGTACGTTGGGGTGGATTCAAACAACACCGTTGTAGCACCCAATGTCAAAGGACCATACACAATGTACGAATGACCAGTGACCCAGCCAATGTCCGCCATACAAGCAAAGATGTCTTCAGGATGGTAATCGAAAATGTACTTTACAGTGGCAGCAGCACCCAAAAGATAGCCACCTGTAGTATGCAAAATACCCTTTGGAGCACCCGTGGAACCTGATGTGTATAGCAAAAAGAGTGGATCTTCGGCACTCATGCGTTCTGGGGCACACACAGCGCGGACCTTTGACATCTCATCATCCCACCACACATCACGACCAGCCACCCAGGGTACTGGTGAACCAGTGCGACGATAGACGATGACGTGCTCAACTTGGGTTTGAGCATTGCCCAATGCTTCATCGACAATACGCTTGGTAGCAATGTTCTTACCACCACGACGACCTTCATCAGAAGTAATCACCACACGTGCTGAACAATCAACAACACGATCACGCAATGACTCGGCGGAAAAACCAGCAAAGACAACCGAATGAGGAGCGCCAAGACGAGCACATGCAAGGATGGAAATGATAGCTTCGGGAATCATTGGCATATAGATAGCAACGTTATCACCCTTACGAACACCCATATTCTTGAGAACATTAGCCATCTTGCTCACTTCACGCAACAACTCGCCGTAAGTGATATGTCGCACATGATCAGGCTCATCACCTTCATGGATGATAGCAATCTTGTCTGGGTTTTGGTATGCATGGCGATCAACACAGTTGTACGACGCATTCAATTCACCACCAAGGAACCAGGCAACATCACCAGTCTCAAATGAGCCATGCTTGACGGTTTCAAAAGGCTTGGACCATGAAAGCAACTCGTTGGCAAGCTAAATGGTAATCATGTATTGGTTATTGCCGATCTCTTTTTATGTAATGCAAGGTGTGTATCTTACATTGCCAAAGAACTTGTCAGGGTGGTCAACACTTTCTTGCCACATGGAACGATATTGCTCCAACGAGGAAACAAATGGCTTTGGGCATTCTTGGGCGTTAGCCAAACGCTCTGGAACTGGGTGAACAGGAACCTGATCAGCGGTCATGTTGATAGAGATGGGAGGAAAAGAGAAAAACAGAAAAAGAAAGAGAGATTATTTTGGGGCAAGAAGCCACTGATCGGTTTAGTCCTTTTAAAATGTTTCAAGAGAGGGATTAAACTTCAGGCACTTGGGGCAATCGCAGGGTGTGACATGTCCATTTTCGGCAAGAACGGTATTTTCGGAGCATATAAGAGTTATATCTCCCCCATCATGGTAACGGTCGAGGCTGCATAAGTCAATGAGCCGTCATCAGTAAAAAGATGCCCACATCACCAAAATGAAAAGTTTAAAGAATGTCGATCCAACATGGACCTCGTGGCATGTTTGACATGTTGGCAACACAGAGCTAAAGAGGGCAAATATGAACCGTGCTTGGGAAACAATGAGCCCATCACTGCCTTCCTAAAACTGCAATCAAGCCGCGGTCGATTATGCTGTCCTGGAAGGACCCCACTGAATGGGTTTATGACAGCTCTTTAGCAATAGCTGTCAAACGAGGATGGTTGTGGCACACAACATTTATAAACACATACAACTTCTTTATGGCCCATTTTGATCTTTCACATTACATGAGAAACGTTGCATGTATCACTAAAGGCCCTTCGGCTATTCTTATTGGCCTACATTGCTCATAAGCTTTTTCACCATGGGTACCACATTGCTCATGATTGGTTGAGCCCCGATGGGATTCCGGTGCCTAGTGGGAGACATACATAGCGATAATAGGCAAATGCTATCGATGACGACGATGGATCAGAGTTATTCCCGGTTCTGCTTGTATAATCAAAAGGTGTAACCCCGTGGGGAACAATGGTCACTTGACCTTTCATCTTTTATGGAAATGGACGAATCATTTCATCCACCTTTGTATCACTCATTACACATCATTTGTTGCTCCAAATCTATTATCCTTACAACCTTTTTGGCTCACACGGGGCAGTGTACCTAATTGCGGGATACACCATCATTGAGAAAAAGAGAGAACAAAAGAGAGAGATATTTTAGGAGGAGTCGTTTTTATCCTTTACCCATATTACGGCAAAAGAATGAAGCAAGTTTGCGTCTCACAACATCTTAGCGTTCCCTGGTAATGGTTACTGTCAATGATACAGAGCATGTGTTTAGGTTTTGTATCTGCAACATATGCCACAAGGTCATCAACTTTCCCCCACCCCCCGCTCCTCAAAGATAATTGGTTCCATTTTCATGCATGTACGGTATGAAACATGGTTTGCGTGTGGGGGAGATAAAGACATCATTGAATGCAATCATGTACAAAAAGAACTAGGGGTGGTGGATAAAGGATATGGATATGCAGCTAGTTGGTGTTGTGTCACCTCCGAGATGATCCGTTGCACATGCAAGATGACTTTTTCATACACGCACTTGTCATGCAAGACCCCACACCCCGATGTGTTGGTGCTCTCACTATGTTTAGGATAATGCAACAAGGATTGAAAATCACATGTACGCACCATACATCATTGAGCATGGCTTTGTGTGTGTGAACGCGTTCAATACGTCAGCAAGGTTAAAACCTTAGGCGAGGCGAGGAGATTCATGCGCCAAGATCATGGTGAATAGTGATAATATCAATTCCAGGGATTGACGCCTATTCCTATATCCAAAAGTCGATACGCATTTATGCACATTCAAGATCGCTTTCCCGATATAGCATGCATTAGATGTTGACCCTGCATAATCCTTTCTGTCATCTGAGAAGCCCTTAACATTATACCCGACCACCAATGAACGCAACGTGTTGAATGGGGGGAATCTTCTTTAATGCCAAGTGTTAATGTGCAGTTACGTAGGATGGGTGGGTGTGTGGATGGGTGGGTGAATGCATTTCAATTAATGGGTGTTGTGTTTGCGTGTGTGAGAGTGAGAGCGTGTGCGTGTATACTGTGTGTGTATGTGTTGGTGTGGTGGTGGTGTATCATGCGCCAATAAAAAGGTTCTCCAAAAAGTGATCGAGATCATTCTTGTGAATTTGTAGTACTGAACTTTCAAAGGTGTCAAAGGATATACGTGCTTTCGACTTGTTTGCTGCTTTCTTGAATGCGAGACCAAAAGGGCTAAAGTACCATGTAAGCAACATTCTTCTTCTTTGTATCATCCCCATCCCCCATCCACTTACTTTTTTCGAATATCACCAAAAGAAGGGGCGCCTGTATTGGCGACTACCAGGTAGGAATCATGTTCTTCATCCAATGACGATATAACAAATGGCATACTTCGACTTGCATGTTCCTTACAAACCATGATTAACCTCGATCCTTACAAGCATCCATTCCTACTACGACTTACTCTGTATGCATCTGTTAAAAAGAGAGCCAATTTGGAGAGAGTCAAAGGATGTTGAAACAGCGGTAAATCGGGTCCATCTCTCATAATAACCACTCGAAAGTTCTTGATCACCTTGCTCGCCTTTTTATCGAGAATGGCCGTACCTTGACGTACAACAGCCTTTTGGATTTTCATGCAGAGATCAATGCCATGTTGTAATCCTTCCACACTATGATGTACCATTAGTCTCTTGTTGCAAATAAAGGATGATGCTTCTCTTACTTGTTGGTAGCGTCATAGGCTGTATAAAAGTTACGCATCCACCATTTCCGTCGTACACTGCTTAGATCGGTATTGTCGCCATGGTCACCCGATTCGCTTTCGAGAGCATCCCAATCCTCGTCTTGGTTCCATTTCACATTCTCACCAAGGCGTGTGGCGGTTAATGGGCTGGTTTCGAGCAACGTGGCAAGTGCGTAAACAGCATCACTGGCAGAAAAGCGTAGTTTCCATCCATATGTTCGCGCAAAGCTTGGAAAGCAAATGTCTGTCAAGCCGTAAAGAGGTGCAACTGTTTCAATCTTGTGCCGTAACATATCTTTGAGCTGCAGGTCCATGTGGGTATATACTTGTTGACATTGTGCTAATGAAAACCTATCCAACAATATCATGTTAAAGATATGAATCCATATATACACACCCACATACAACATACCCCATCTTTGCAAACATGTTGTTCAGACGCCTGCGTCCATAATCCCGCCATACGCTTAATTTGCTTGCAACATAGCCTGAATGATACATGCTGTCGTAAAGGCTCCAATGTCGAAAAAGCATAAAACGATACTCCTCCTCCTTTTGAATACTGTTCTCGCCTGTACGCATATTTTCCTCATCAGGTGCCATGTTGAACAATGCCACATTATCATTGAATGCTTGAACGTATTTCATATATTGATCCGTATCGATGCGCTCGAATATATATTGTGCTGTGACACCAATAATAGCCAGCCTAAGTATATAAAAACAATGAGCATAATCAATGGAATCACCCCTTAAATCACACTTGCCATAATAATTCATTGTTTGTCTTGGCTAATTGTGTTGCCAATGTGTACATTTGTCCAGCTACAGAGTTGCCATAATAGACACCGGCCATGTGGTATTCTGCAAGTAGTCGTCTTTGTCGCTGCCTTAACCGACGTTGCTCACCCCGTGAATGCTAATAAGAAGGATTAGCATAAATCCATGTACGCCCATCCTCAAAATACTTACTCCTTCTTGATTTAGCCGCCTTCGTTGTCGTGGCCGTAAATCCAAATCATCCTCTTCATCAGTATCCGAACCATCCATGCTATCATCGTCGCTTGAATCGTCAACCTAGCATCCTTATTGTCAGCTTTTTTGATATCCTTGACTACCTCATTATCCTTACCAATGATGCGTCATAGGCCTCAATGTGTTGATTCATCCTCTCTGTATCTGCAGCTTCATCAAACACTCGCACATTCTGGTTTGCTGGAAGGCAGTTGTGCAGGTTGATCGGTCGATGGCTGTCGAATACGTATATGCGCAGATCTTCATTCTTTTGGAAAAAGTCGTATAGCTCCAAGGATGATCCACAATTGATCATGATGATGGATCGCAACTAGAATCATATGGTGGATAAGTGGGTCGCTATGGATATATAGAGAACCGACAAGACAACACGTACTTCGGGATCGTTTGCGACAAGCTCATTGTTGGCCTTTTCGAGATCTTGATATCCAGAGACAGGGACAAGCTTATGCTGGATAAGGTCGCTCTTCAACACAAACTATGTCATATGCAATGAGTGAGGGATCGCGTGGTGGGACAAGGTTGCATGGAGGTGTGTACCTGGAAAATTTTACAGGCGCAAATGGCATCGACATCGGAAGCAACAAAGATTATGCAATTGCCTTCGACAGAGTCTTGTTTTATGCGTTCATATTCCTTGTCAAAGTCGGCTTCGGTGATCCGTACCATCGGGTGTGGAGGAGGAGAAGGAGAAGTGATAAACGCGAAGGAAGAGGTAGTGTAGCCCGCCCGCCGTCCCAGCTTTTTTCGTATACTACAAACGCGCCGCACACCGCGACAATACCGCGCTTATGGAAACATTCATTGTCCCTTTGTATATACACACATATGTAACATACAATCGCTTTCATCTCTTTGTTTTCCTCTTTATTGATCATTCCCTTCATTTGCTATCAAGAAAGGTCCTCATGGATGATATACACATGCGCTGTTCTCATAATGAATGTAATACTAGACATTGCTAATGATGTGGTATTCTTCAATTCATATTCTTTGGATGATATCAATAAAGAAAGAAACTACTATGAATGGATGGGTAAAGAGTGTCAATCTATGTATGCACTGCTCAAGCATGTAGGGTGAATTAATAGACGCGTACTTTTTGTGGTCGCGTTTTCTTTGTGGTCGCGTTTCTCTCTCATCCACTCTCAGCAGCAGCACCCATCTTCCCGCCCTGACAGCCCAACCACCGACACAGCCCCTCAGAATGAACACAATGGGTGTGGAACAAATCGTCGAACAACAAATACGAGACGGCGAGGACATTGGAGGTACCCCATACAGACACCCACATTCGATAACGTTATTCACTTTTCGTATTGCATGTAGAAATTGCTGCCACCTTGCAAGAAGGGCAAGATCTCGACATGGATCCCGACTTTTGTTCCACTATCATTCCGCAGTTATTGCTGCATTCGCTTTCTCGTACCTACAATGCCCACGATCAGTACAGCAACGCTATTGCCATCGCTCTCAAGGAAGTCTACAAGTCGAGTGCCCTGTATGGGCGGCAGGAAGCATTTACACTACTCCGAATTATCAATGGTATGACAAGGAACAACAACGTCGACTTTAACTTGCATTGACAACTTGCTTAACTCTAGAGCTACTCCATGCAAGGCTCAGCAAACCACCCTACAAGGTATTCGAGCCATGGGATCCAATGATGACGACGATGAAGATGATTAACAAGGATGTGCCATTCTAGATTGATGCATTGAACAAGGGAACAGTGATCCAGAATAGTACGGCAGCCATCAATATCATCGTCAATGCATGGGGTGCTCTTGTGGAAATGGTACACGAATGCGATCCTGATGACATGCAACCTTTATACCCCAACATCTGGTCAAAACTTATTCCTGTATCAAGCCTTGCCCTCACTGCATCTCCACACACGGCCGTCCATTTACTCAAGGTATCGATTACTACGTTGTGTGGTGGATGATGTGCATGTTTATTGAAAAGATGCATACTACATAGGTCACCGCCACTCTATATCACAAATGCATTCCCAGCAATCTGATCCATCCATGCGGCTCTCAATCTGAAAATTACATTGTGGTGCTCCTCCAATCCCTCAAACGTATCATTACCACGCCAAATACTGAGTAAGTTATCAGAAAAGAGAGTCATCTTCCATACTGATTATGCCCCCCATAGTATACCCGAGCATTTATTTCATGACCTTGCTCAAACGATACGGATGTGGCTCGTTCTTTTTCCTCCAATGATGCTTGTGGATGTGGTGGGGATGGCAAATGCACTTGAGGCACTAGCGATGGATGCTAAAACACGATTATCGACTGATATTGAGGTTGGTATTGGCTTGGTTCCTTTTATTCGAGCTCTCATCATCATCCATTGTTCTAGGACATTGTTTTTCGGATAGCAGTCTTGTTATGCGATCACCACGTATCATTGCCTTGGTTTGACGGCTATCTGAAGGAGATACAAAAACATCGATCAAGCAGCATATTGGAGAAAGGACTCGAGGATCGGATAGCACAATGCAATGTGGATGACGATGACGCATCAATTGGGGTATGTACACGCACGATATGAAAGCGGAAGATTATCCTATACTAAATATACAATCACCAGCTACATGTGTCAAAACGATTGCGATTGGATGAATCCGAATTCATGGATACAGAAGAAAGTGCAGAGTAAGTATGGATGAAGGTATATATATATGCTGGGGTGTTGACAAGGATGCATAGTGTGGACGGCTTTGGACAACAGCAAGCGTATGGATTGGATAAAGAAGAGCATGTGAAACGTCAATGGCTGAAGACTATGTTTACGGAGACCCTGTCAAATGCAATGATGGCGTCAGATGACGAATTGGAAAAGAGATCAAAAGAGGTAACTACGATCAACCCTATTTCTTACGGCGGATTCTGATACAAATGGTTCATGATAGGTGTTTGCGATTGTGAACATGATTGGCACCCACGAATTGGATCCTTCACAAAGCAAGGTGCTGGCTGAATATGCTGCGTTCTGCATCTCCAAAGATGAGAGCATCATTGAGAAACTAGCGGAGATGCACAGCCTCGAGCCGATCAACTACTTGAGACGCAACATGAGATACATCCTTCCCTATCTCCTTGGTGGTATTCAAGGCAACACACAGCTACAATCATTTGCATCAATGCTCGACATGTCGGTGCGATCACTTTGTGAACAAGGTGCACATCATCTCTTGGTGGCATTCCTCATGACCGATGACCAACTTTTCGCCGAGAGAGGATTTGACCGAATGCGTGATATTTTCTTGTCGGATGACGCACCTCAAGAGCTCCTTTCAACACGTCAAAACAAGGTCATCTCGCTGCTTGCAATGGAATTGGGCGTACCTGGAAAGATGGAGAAGGTATTTTGGTGTTATGGATTCATGTGTATGACAAAGAAAATTAATCATATGCATTGTTTAGGCTCAACAAGCTTTGCAAACGGTCATGCGATGGCTCAAGCTCCCTGTTACCACATCATTGGGCGACCTTTTGTCACAATTCTTCCTTGGCATTTCGCACAAGATTGCTGCATTCATATCAGAGAAACGTGACCCATACAAGCGTGTCCAAAACCCATCAGCGCTTGCATCACTCAACTGTATCATCCGTATTATGGGCTCAGCCATCGATACACAAGCACATCAGGTATGCCAATAGGTGTATTGATAGTCAACATGTATATTAATGAGTGTCTCATTCTAGGCCATTGCTATCATTCAAACTGTGGGGGAGCTACCAAACATGCAAAAGGAAGCCTTTATGCTATGGAGAACGTATACGGAGCAACTGTCACATGGCGAGCTCTTTCGCCGCATCAGCGCAATCATCCAAGGCTCATTGGTGATTTTCCCTCATTGTCCTCCAGATATCAGAAAGCGCATTGGCGAGTTCCTTGTGAATGCAATCAACGAGTGCACTTCCAGCAAAGGATTACCCGAAGGCCTACCTGATGTACCTGAATTTGAAGAATTGCATAGTCTACGAATGCTTTTGGATAAGAAGCGACTTTCAACCGATTTGAACGATGAACTTGCCAGCATTGCAGAACGAACGCAAAGCGACGACATTTTGGATATGTTATCAGCAGCTCAAGAATTGGCACGGCTTTTGGAATTGTATGGCAACATGCACCAAGTTATGGTGGAGAATCGATCCTTGTTATATACAGCATTACTGAATCTGGCACGCAAGAGCTTCGATCATGCCGAATTACAACGCCTGACAGCTGAATGTTTGGGTATATTGGGTGCCACTGATCCAACACAAGTGGATGCCAAGATTCCAGAAGAGAATCGACCCATCTTACGCAACTTTAACAACAATGACGAGAATCGGGAATTCATTTGTGAATTGATCACCAAGCATTTGATACCAGCATTCCATTCAGCAGGCAATGAAATGGTTCAGCAATACATCCAATACGCTATTCAAATGGAACTTCAACAAGCTGGATTCACACCTGAAAGCGTACACAATAATGGAACGATTCAATCTCGGTGGAACAAGTTCCCATCCGCTACCCAATCACTTTTGGCACCCTTACTTCGTTCGTCTTTTCAAAGCAAATGGGAGATGGTTGTACCGGATTATCCTATTTATCTTTCAGCTGAGAGCTATAACGAATGGATCAAGCGATGGCTATATCGACTCGTGGAAACATCCAAAGAATCAGCACGTCCCATTTTCACGCATTGCTTTCCTGTTGTGCAAGGCAACTTGGGCCTTGCGTTAACACTTTTGCCACACGCCGTTCTTCATGTGCTGTTATCTGGATCGGACAAGGATCGTGATGATATTCGAGAGGAGATTATTGGTGTATTGGAGCATCATGAAGAGCAAGCGAGACCTTGGAGTGAACAAATGCAGCGTGCATCCCTTCAGGTACTACACCACACATCAAGATTTCAAGTTAACATGTATCATCATACTAACGAATACACTTGCAGGTTGTCGTCATGATTACAGGCCATTGTCGTCGATGGCTACGTCACACACAAGAAAGCCCATTGACTAGCAACAATACGAGTGAGATCAAACGTGTGCACAAGTTCCTTGACAGCATTCCAAACGGCAAGATGGCTATGGCATCCTTCCGATCAAAGGCGTATGCACAAGCATTGATGCATTTGGAGCTGCACATCAAGAATAATCAACCTACCACATCCGAAGTGATTGAATTTCTTCGCCAGGTGTATGCCCATATGGAGGAAAAGGATGGTATGGCGGCTATCTTTATGATGTTCCAGAGAAACTTGAGCGTGGAAGAGGAGATCCTTCAATTTGAATCGAGAGGCGATTGGGAACATGCCAAAGTGTGCTACACTCATGCATTGGAAAGGAATCCTTATGACAGCCAGCTACTCTCGGGTTATTTCAACTGCCAGAGACAAAGTGGTGATCATAGTAGGTATTCATCCACTTGGCAATGAAGGAATGAATTATTCATGATTACTTGTTTCATAGTTGGTATGTTGGGAGCGGCCACCAAGTTATTGCAGACCCATCAAGATTGGTTTCCACGGATCAATGCCTACAGAGCTGAAGCTGCATGGAAGACGGGTGATTGGGATATGCTTGATATGGCCACGAGTCTACCTATGGAGCGATCTTTTGATTCCTTTTTGTCAAGTGCGATGGCTAATATTCGTCGTGGTAACAACCTGGCTGCTTTGAGTGATATCACGAATGCTCGCAAGGATTTGATGGAACAACTTGCCACAACCAGCAAGGAATCATTTCCCCATTCACATGATCTTATTTTACGACTTCAAATGCTGCATGAATTGGAACAAAGCCATATCGCTTGGGAAAAAGTTCAACATGAAGGGTCCCCTGAACCGATCAATGAGCTCAGAGATACATGGAAGAAGCAATTCCTTCTCCTCTCGCCTTCCTATGCGACTCGTCGTCCGATATTGGAATTACGACAAACTCTGCTGTTTGGATTAAGGTAATGTGTTATTTACAAGAGAAGTGTCTGTAACTGAACATTGTTATATAAAGAACACCCGAAGTCGGCAAGCAATTGGTGTCTGATGATGGTAGCATTTGGCTCAAGCTGGCAAAAACAGCACGCAAGGCGGGTGATTATACAATGGCACTCAAGGCAACAGCGCATGCAGAATCTCTTGGAGCACCCTATGCGTATATGGAGCATGCAAAGTGGTACTATGAAAATCACGAGAATGCAAAAGCGATCCGTTATTTACAATCACAAGACAACTTGGATGCCAAAGTAAGTACAAAGGGCACAATGATAGGTACTCTTTTGCTAATTCATTTATGATTAGGCTACCTTGCTACTGGTCACATATATGGAGGCTACCACGAATGACAAAAAGGCGCATCTTGCTGCTCATAGAAAGGCTCTTGAATTGGATCCCAAGCAAGTATTACTTCAACTTTTGATGGTACCTATCAACTAATGGCTCGCCTTTTATTACATTGTAGATGGGAAAAGCTGTACTATTCGATCGCACGATTCTATGAAAGATGCATGAAGGGGTCCGAGATAACAGAGATGCAACAACGAGAGTAAGTATCAACTTGGAATAGTCAAATAGAAAGCATGTTATTGATTACGGATGACAGCTACCGATTATGCAATTATGCCATCAAGTACTATCTAGAAGCATTGAGCACGGGGTCCAAGTACTTTTATCACGTCATGCCTCGTGTTCTATCCATTTGGATGCAATTTGCTGCTGCCGCTTCAGGATCGGATTCGGGTACTCAGTAAGTTGGCATTAACGGTTTCGAATGCTATAAAGGCATATGCTGATCTTTTCATATACAAAGGAATAAATCCGTGGTGGAGTTTTATAACACGATCATCGGCTTATTACGAGAGCGGATACCACGTATTGAGGCGTACAAGGTAAAGAAAGGAGACATTCAAGGGAGTTGTCACATGTGGCTAAAGGCCATTGTTATATAGTTTTGTCTTGTTCTGCCTCGTCTTGTATCACGTTTATCCCATGAGAAGGCCGATACCGGCGAGATTTTGGCAAGCATCATTTCAAAAGTGTTTGCAGCCTATCCAAGTACAACGATTTGGGCATTACAGCCACCTCAAGAATCACCTAGTGCGAACATGCGTAGTAGAGCGAGTATGATTATCTCCAAAGCAAACGTAAGTAGCCTATACCTGCTGCATGATCGATTGGAAGAGACTCAATCCCTCTTTTTAGACCATGTACAAGCCTGGATCCAAGATTCCTACCATTATTCGGGTAAGTGATGTCTGCTTGCAATGGGTTAAGCTTCTCAGCTATTATCACTCTCCAAAGCACGCAAATGAGTTCATGGTTCCTTTCAAAGAGCTGGCCTATTCTTCAACCGGAGGAGACTTTGATAGGATCAGCATCAAGAATTTCCCAAAGCTGGCCAAGATGCGAAATTTGGAGCTCACCATTCCGACGCAAAAGGCCATGATACCAGCACTTCCCGAATCCATTGACACAGAAGATTACAATCCTTATGCGGAAGACTTGCCTCGAATTGATGGTATGAACACAAATGCCTTATCTTTCTCGTGCTCAAATGCTAATGCTATTGGGTATAGGCTTCGTGGATCGAATTGATGTCATGCGTTCGATGCAACGGCCCAAAAAGTTATCATTGATTGGCACTGATGGAAAAACGTATGCATTCCTCTGCAAGACCAACGATGATTTACGAAAGGATGCACGATTGATGGAATTCAGTCACATGATTAACCGGTTCCTGCGACATGATTCGGATGCACGTCAACGCGCCTTATGTAAGCATGGCATGATTTATGCAAGCATCATGCAGGGATACTGACCATTTCTATTAATAGACATTCGTACGTTTGGCGTTATACCTTTGGGTGAGCAATGGGGTCTGATTGAATGGATTAGCAATCTTTCACCACTGAAGGTCGCTGTTGGTTCTATGCTGGCTAAGAATGGCATCGATATCAGAGTAAGTGGGATTAGGGAGGGTTTTATTTGAATGATACGATGATGACCGTTCTTTTTTGTTAGCGAGTACAACTCCTAGCTAAGAACCAGTTGGAGGCTGCAGGCACTGTTGAAGCCAAGTACAAAGTCTTTGTCGACACCGTTCTTCCAAAGTAAGTGTTCTTGAATGATCGATGCAAGTATTCAATGACTTATCATTCTTCGGTAGATGTCCTCCTGTATTCCATCGGTGGTTTCTTAACGTATTTCCTGATCCAAATCAGTGGTTTGCGAGTCGCTGTCGCTACATCAAGACATTAGCTGTCATGTCGATCGTCGGCTATATCCTTGGGTAAGAAGTGATCGTTTTTGATGATCTCACCTCATTTCATTCATCCATTTTTCTATTTAGCTTGGGTGATCGTCATGCTGAAAACATTCTCTTTGATTCGAGCAATGGTGATTGTGTGCATGTGGATGTCAACATGTTGTTCGACAAGGGCCAACAGCTCAATGTTCCTGAAATTGTACCTTTCCGATTGACACAGAATCTGGTGGATGGTATGGGGGTATTAGGCTACGAAGGTAAAGTGAAGAACAGTATCTTTGTGTGGAAGTACATGGACATTAATCAGGGTATAGGCATGTTCCGCAAGACCTGTGAAGTGACTCTTTCCGTGCTTCGACACAACAAGATCCAATTGCTCTCTGTATTTGAAACGCTTCTTTATGATCCGATTGTGGAATGGAAACGCAAGCAAAATATCCAGGTAAGAAGAGCGGCAGGGTCGTTTCATTCTTGTCATGCTCATACAGGAGACTTGTTATTGCACCTTAAGGCCGAAGCGAAAAAGAAGATGAATGAGATCAGTCAAAAGATCAACGGCGTCAACGAAAGGATCCCCCACGGCATGAGCATCAAGGAACAAGTCCAAATGCTTATATCCGAGGCTTCCGACAATACCAGGCTCGCTCAAATGTTTGTTGGTATGTGAACTTTATCTTTATCATCCATGATGGATCACTGATGCTCCCTTTTCTTTATCTTTACAGGATGGGCACCATTCATCTAGCAGTGCTTATGTATATAGATAGGAAGACACCGTTACTCCACCCCCCATTTGTACATTACTCATTAATAGAGAAGCTGGGTCTTTCTACATATCATGTAACCTATGATTCAATTTGCAACTCGCATGTCAGTATCAAGATATGGCTATCAGTGAACCGAAAACGCTTACATACTGGCTCTGTGTGCTGAAAAGGAATGCTTATTTGAGTAACCAATGTGCCCTTTTTGAATGCAGCTGTTGCAGTGCATGATTAACAACATCCGGTGAAAGTCTTACATGTCCAACATGTGCGCCAAAATCATTACTTTTCCGTTGATTCCATCATGCATGTACAACATGAAACATTGATTGTGTATGGTAGGGTGAAGATGGCTATGTTGCTCTTTATTTACAAAAGAAGAGGTAGGGGGATATAAACATGGAAGCATTAAATCAGGAGCTTTGGGTAGGATTTTTGAAATATACGGATGACATTGTTATTCCGCCTTGATACCAGCTGCAAAACCATCGTTTAAGAAGCATGATTACATCGGATTTAAGCTCTTGTATGAAAGCGATCAGATTAAGTTCCTCCCTGTCGTTGCAAAGCGCTTTCTCTTCAAGCTTATCAATAATTCAATGTTTGCCAGGAGGTAAGCTGATATGCTGTTTGACTCGTTTGACATGATTAATTCCTTGATACCCTTAAAACTTGTCACCCCTGGCTGATCGGTCTTGATCAATTCTCGTATTCGCCCTTCTTGCAGCGTAATGTATAGCATCGCCAAGGCAATAGTATCCAAGGTAAGCTGAATTGCCAAGACCTAGGAATCATCCTAACGTAGATCCTGTTGCTAGGCAATCATGTCGTCTTTACGTATTGTCGCCTGATCTTTCTCCTCTTTGCCTCGCTACGGGGTCGCGCTTCATTAGCCATCATTGACAGGTACTTCATGTACTTATTTGCCTCATTGATCCTTTGCGGTGTATAATGATCATCGACATTGATACCTTTGCTTTGCTGTAGTTGCCAATGATATGCGGATTGCCCCACCTCCAAGGCTGTTGCTGATTCCACCTCCAAGGTTGGCTCCACTTCCACCAAAGCTTTTCTTGCGACATCCCAACTACTCTCAAGGTGTCTGGATTCACAGGGCCAAAAGTAACAGTTGGTTGTAGCAAACGCAGTCGTGCTTGGCCCAACCAAGGCTTTTGCCTTCTTGAAAGATAAAATGGGCCCGTTGGATATGCCATCACTGATACTGCTTCAAATTGGTGTAGCTCAAGAAAGAAACGATGGATCCACTCTTGACTTAGAACGGGCGTCGCTAAAGCGGTTGCAATAGCTTGTGGAAGTGCACACCTGCTTGGCTCAATCGTACTGATCACCCAAGGAATAACGAAGCGAGAATGCCGTATCTGGTCGTATAAGGTTCGGACTTCTATATGCACCATGTCAAATGCACCATGACAGTTTCAGCACCTGTCGTAGACCATGGCACCAAAACCCAACTTTTGCATATGCCTCATGAGAGATAGCTATATCGAAAGTAACAAGGTGGCGTGTATGAGTAGTGATTCGTCGAGCAACATGATAAGACTTTACCTCATTAGAAGAATACAATATCGCAATACAATGACAATGAGAGTACGATAAAAATAAAGCACTATGAAAGACCACAAGATCAGCGCTTATTCACAGGTTGAAAGATAAGGTAGACACAAACCTTGGTGATTTGACCTTGTAAGCAATCAAAAAAGCATGACAGAGGAAAGAGATGCGTGAGGTATGATGGGCAGCGACAACATCCTTTTATTGTGCAGGGTGGGCGTGGGTATTATCTATGTCTGTTGGGGTTGATGCATTGATAAATTGATGCCTGAGCTGATAAAGTGATGGGGATCATATATCAAAAAGATGACTTACCATGTTGTCAACCTACTCTTAATATTGGTATGCGTGTTCGGTAATTAGCGAGAATGACTGGATCACCTTTGATATCAGCAACCAAGTCTCACACCTGCCATTGTACAAATAGCAGACACCAGGGCCTAGCTACTTCACAATGAACAAAGAGCACGTTTCAGATGGCATCACGCTTGCCGCGCGCATAGGTAAAACATAAAACTATCTGCTTCTCTAAAATGGCATTATGAAGTATGGTGTCTTTATGAGAACAAAGCTGAAAAAAGTGATCAAGAGCACCTTCTGTCCAAGTTTCATGTTCGAGATGGGACAATACCGGGAGACGCGGACGGTACATCCTATCTATGTTCCCATCCACGTATTTGAATGCTGCCGTTCAAAATTTTGCATAATGAAGCATGGAAGATCTATGAGGACGAAGTTGATCAGCATGCCTAAGAGCATCTTGTGTGAAAGTTTTAGGTTCGACATAGGCAATCTCACTATCAAGGTTTGGATGTACAGTGTTCATGCATTTATACAAGAGGTGTCCGACCTATTTAATTTCCACTTCTTTCACTCCCACAACTTCTTGTCTCTTCCTCCCATTCTCAACTGTTGGCCCCATTCAAGCATACAACTAGCACCTGCGAACGATTGCTCTGCTTCAACCCATCATGTCAATCCTACAACTATCGTGATCCGATTGTCTTTGACTGAATGGCAAGTCCATGGCGTGTACACAGCCTTGTCATTCTACTACAACACACGCGTTTCTTGACACAACACACGCTCTTGTACAATCCTCGACCACAACCAAACGTAACAGCATTCGTTCCAGCAGCTTTACTCCATTGTCTCCAACAGCATCCTTTACTTGCAGCAACTTGACTTACAGCCTTCCTTCACGTGGACAGCAGATAGCCATTGTATAGAAGCATCTTTATTTACGTGTAGCAACTTGCTTTCAATACATACGACTTCTTATGGATATGGGTATTGGTTTGAATTATGGTATGGTACATGGGATGGAAGGACCTGGGGATATACAATGCGTAGAAAGAGAGCCTTTGTTCTTGTGTATGCATTATCCTTCAACTTGACCTTGATCCTTGATGTTATCACCCTGTACGATTGCAGCATGAAATTACGTGCTTTACACACTTTCATGGAAGCTGCTATGATCATCACTTGTGCTACCTGCCAACCATGTGCAACCATCTTCATCTTCATGCATATTTTGACACGCCATAGATACTATTCGCACCTCACGTTCATCCACTTACCTTTACCCAAAGGATAGAAGCTTTCCAAATCGATGTACCTCCCATTTTAGAGCAATTGATTGTGCCTTTCAATACATCTCTGGTGAATGACGTTGGATTACAGGGTTGCTTTAGGATTAAGTCATTTGTCGATATCAGGAACGAATGCTTGTTGATTACGTTTGTTGGTTATATGATCGGCTTTGGTCTCTTGTTGTTCCTCCTAAAGTGTTCTTTGTTTATTGTACCAGGTAGCAGCCAAGTTACTTTGATCCTTGTTGATGGCTATCAATGAACCGGAAATGCCGACTGATTCTTTGTGTTGAGAATCAACGCTTATTTGAGTAACCTTCATGCCTTTTTTGGATGCTGCTGTTGCTGTATTGCATGATTGACCAACATTTGGGGGACAATGGCACCTCTTCCTTCCTCCTCGGACCACACCCAGAATACTCGTGCATGATGCCCAGCACCTTTTATGTACACGGGTCAGCCAGGGACACGCATCAAAACAATACAACTTGCATATGCTATGTACATTGCTGCATTCATGCTCTCACATACACTGTTATATATAGTATACCCTTTACCATTATGAGGGATTATGATGACACGTCGTCTTTCTTTCATGAAAAGATTAATAAACACGATTACCCGCTTTATCATGATAAAAACAAAATGTCACACTATTGATATTCTGCAACAACACATGGCAAAAGGAGAAGATGTAGGGTAGATACAAGAAGATAAAGCAGCGTGCTGGTGGTGGTGATTCAATGCATTGTGTGTGTAAATGTGATATACAAAATTGTTGTTGCGGAGAGAGAGAGGATTCTTGCCATGGAGATTACCATGCCAAATTGGGAGCACTGTAGAAACCATGGATTGGGCGGAATGCTGGTGATGAAGACAATGAAGAGGTATATGATTGTTGTTGTTGCTGCTGTCGGGGTTGTGTTACCGAAGGCGACAATGACCACAAATCGGTGTTACCATCACCTAGGGATGATGTCGACGATGCCATTGGATTGTTTGCAATGTTGGATGATGATGGTGCTGTAGATGAACAAATAGAGGAGAATGCGGCCAAACGACGTTCTTTTTTTGGCAAAGGAAAAGTACCCATCGTATCATAGTAAAAAGCAGCATCCTGATCAAATATGGATTCAAGACGTTCAACGGAGGATGTCATATGGCTTGCATTGCTGGAGGATGTATAGGATGATGAAGATTCGATATCACTCGCATTGCTGCTGTTGCTGCTGCTGCTGCTGCTGCTAGTTGGCTGCATTGAGCCTCGATCTACACCAACCGGCAGTGTCGGGGAAGGCCGTTGCTCATCATGGATAAACGTGCATCGTACACCATACAAACAGGTACCTGTCCTGTGATAAGTTCGGCAGATTTCCGTCTTGTATCGAGCATGCCTTTGTATCATTCGTAATTCGTGCTCGCCATGTGCAAATCGACACTTTCTACCATATCTGATTCAAAAGGTACAATAAGTTGTCATTTTTAAAATATTCTCCGGGAAAAAAGCGACACTCCATCAATCCTCGGGAAAAGAAAAAGAAGCTTCTCTTTCTCCTCTCTCTCTCTCTCTCTTACCTGCAATGACCTATTTCATTCCAGTTGCGACACATTTCGGTCTTGTATAACTCGGGTTTTTTGTTTGGATGAACACCACCTTTGTAGTGTCCAACAAGGTTGTTGTTATTGGATGCTTGATGATCGGAATACATAATACTAATGATAACAAGATGATGATGATGCGCAAAGAGAAATAGATAATGGGAGAAATATGAAGGGATGATGGGGTTGCCAACAAGCGAGAAATAAAAAAGAAAGAAGAATGGACTGATTTGCAAGAGCCGATGCTGGTTATTTGAGAACTTGACCAAAAACTCTATGAAAGTAAACAATGAGATGCAAGTGAAAAACAAGGGCGGGCCCGTGTGATTAGGGTGATGGTAAGTTTCCTGGGAACCGGTTCCCAGTTTCGGTCATGCTCTTGAAACGGGTGCTGGTTCCGGATATACTCGGTCCAACGCAAAAACAACAACAACAACAACAACAACAACGCACCCCATTGACAGCTGAGCAGTAACCCTAAATTTGCATGTATCTCGTTTTTGATGTGTGCACATACACTCACTCACTCTCTCACTCTCTTTCCATCCGCTACTTACCCCTTCCCTTTTTTTATCCCACCAACTCCCCCCTTGGAGTGCTCCTTTGTTCCCCTTTCAACGCCCAATCCCGCCCCTCTTCTTGAGCATATCTCGAATAATGTGTATGTTACTTTTTTTTATACATGGAATTGCAATGTGTGTATCTACATGGTCATGATAACAACTTTTCACGTTCGTTTTCGGAGAAGACCTAATGGGACCTCATCCTGGTCATCATCTGGTTGTTGTTGTTGTTGACGGTACCATCCTTGCCGAAGTGGAACCGAAGCATACCCTACTTTTTGATGGTGATGATGCTCCATGATTATTCTTGCTGCCGCTGCCGCTGCTGCTGCTTCCATTGAAGAATGCCATTGCAATAATTCTCTCTTCCGTTGTTGCGGCTGTACCAAACTTTCCACCAAGACCACTGTGGATGGCTGTTGTTTATCACGTCTCATTACTCGTTGACTCCATGCTGAAAGACTCCTCAAACGTTTGCCGGGTGTAGAAGATGATGTATGCGTGGTGGTAGATGAACTGCTACGACAAGGGGATGATGAGGATGCTGCTGTCATGACAACATTGGTATCCACAAAAGATCGACGCCTTCTACACAATGCTTGATAGACCGGATGCTGGTTTTGACGCACGAGATGGGTCGGTGTTTCGAGAAGCATCATGAGATACCTGCATGAGGGTCTGCGTTGAAGTTGTTGCTTGCTGTAATCGAGAAACATTTGTGAAAAGCTGGATGTCGAGTAAAAATGATGGTGTGGAGGAACAAAGGATACTGCCATGGGTTTGCTCTTGTGATACACATTCGCCAAAGCTGTATGAATCCTCAAATCTTGCACAGGTTGTCTAAGCTTGCGTATAGTCGTCATGTACACTGCTTGTATATCATCTGAGTAATCGTTTTCTCCTCCTTCTCCTTCTTGCATCATCGCCATTTGCTGTTTTTGCTTTTGTCGTCGTCGTTTGTTATCGTCCAAATCATCTTCTTCATCATCCGAATCCCATAGCGTATCCTCGTCATCATCATCATCTTCATCATCGGGTACCACTCTTGTTCTTGTTCGATCCCAACGTTTACGTCCACGTGTATGACCCAAGAGTTTCTCGACAAGGGATGGCTTGACCTCGTGAAAAAGCTCTGCCTCGAGTTTATCGGCGTATCGCATGGATGCTGGCATTGAATGGAATAGGGGAATGTATGCAGAAGGATAAGAAAGAGAAAGAAAGAAGATAAAGTGGAAGAAAGGAAGGGAAAAAAAGGACTGGATGGTGTGAGTGTGAGTGTGTGTGCGAGAGTGTATGTGTGAAGAAGGGGTATACACATAAGAAAGATGCTCGGGGAAGAATGTTATCGAGAAAGAGAGGGGAATACATACTACCTTATGTAAACTTCCAATGAATAGCACATTTGCCCTTGCTCTCATCGCCACACACTGCTTCAAACACTATTATCATTTGGGTTATTAAACTGGTATTCTTGTACATCATCGCATCCATTACCTGCTGGAGATAAATCCAAGCTACCTACAAACCGACCCTATATCAATAATGGGCCATGATACCACTTGAGACGCACACTTACCACTGCCACAAGTTGGACATGTATCCTCTATCTTTGCTTTTATGTTTCCATTCGTGCCTTGGACAACGACGTATTTCCCACAATGTGGATTGGCGTTGGGATTAGGTCCTATTTGTTGTTGACGTGCAAATGAGAATCCAAACACTTGTTGCTAGGTAGCTAGTTTTACAACTATTACCGTTGCCCATTTGTGCCTTGTTGATGGCGACAATCAGCTCGTCATTGGTATCCTTCTTGCCACATGAGCCCATGCCAGTATCGTAGTAGGTGCCTGTGCCATCGTATTGTGTTCCTGGCAGAGAATCAAGAGACTCCTCCCTCTTGCTGAGAATCACCGCAGCATTGCATAAATTCAGTAGCCATAGCAACGACGATACCAGTAACACCAGCAGCATGATTGAATGTCAGATTCACGATTGGACAATCATGGATTCCAGTGCGGTTAATATATAACAACAACGATTACCATTGTCGTCAGAATATACAAAGAGACATCATTAACTGCAAGGGTGCATGGCCCTTTCAATTGTGTATATGTAGCTTTCATTCTATGAAATGTACCATGCGTGCCCCCTGTTCAATTTGGTGTAATATATGGTTAAAGGACGTGCTCGATATCATCTTTGATCCCCTTTTTGGACAACATTTAGATGACACTACTTGTCCATCTTTGACCTTTCATCCGAAGTCATTGTGATATTGAATACATCGATTGTATTGTATGTAGCATTCTTCTTTTATGACAATTTTAGGAGTACTTTAGCATATGACATAAAGAGCACACATCACATCCCCTTATCCATTATGTCAATCAGGACAACGCCATCATTGTAAAAGGAAAAGCCACATTTCATACATACATTCTTACCTCCTCCTCCTTGCTAAGGTGCACACTATCACTCTCCTGTTGCATTTATCTAACAGTACTACACACAAAAGATAACTTTTTTTTTTTATTCTAAGTGAGGGATTACAAGAGGAGGTGGTGGTGGTGGTATATGTACATGTTTTGCATGGATAATGATGGATTTGTGTACACATTTTTTTCTCTACAGGGCTTTCCAGGCGTTGATAAGATGAGAAGTTTCTTGTTCCTTACGCACAGCAATGCGCACAAACGTAGGGCAAGCGTAACCAGGTTTACCACTGCGAACAGGAACACCAGCTGCTCGAGCCAATTCCACAGCCTTTTCAGCAACGCTTTCAGAGCGCATATCAATCCATACCCAACTAAGGAAAGGTTTGCCATGATAGACCCATTCAGAGTGGCCGAGAGCCTTGAGTTGTTCAATAACGTTGACACGTAAACGGGGCGTGTTGTCCCATGTCTCCTCCAAAAAGGCCGTATCCTTGACAACCTCCTCGACAAACTTGAGTGCAGGGCCATTGACAGACCAAGGTACTTGAATCTTGCGTAGTGCTTCACAATGACCAATGGTAGGGCAAACAACAGAGCCCACACGCAAACCAGTGCAACACCAAATCTTGGTCCATGAATGCATCAAATGCACACCCACTTGATGTTGTTCCCACATTTCCTTGACAAATGCATGTGCCGTGATCAATGAATCAGATCGGAATTCACGTGAAAGCCATGGCTGCATTGATTCATCTATGATACCATACGATGATGAATCATCCCGATCCCTCACATTTCATGTCCATCAGCATCTTCCTTACCAACAATCACAGCACCACCAGGCAACACGTTGTTACGGATGTGTTCTTGAAGACTGGCAAGATCGAAATAGTCACCAGTGGGATTGCATGGGTTGACGATACACAAGAGATCCACACGTTCAGTTGAACGAGGTGCCAAAATCTCAAATCCATTGGTCTGTGCGCTTCGCTGATATTCCTGATACTAAAGTTGAAAATGTCAGCCACTGGTACGTATATAGATCATAACAATGTATCCATGACTACTAGTTACCTGCACATTCCATGGTCCACCCTTCCACGTAGGCTTACTCACACCTTGTACTTGACGTTCTTGAAGTGTCTTACGTACCACCAAATCGATCAACTCGGATGCACCATTGCCCATGAGCAAACGCGGATGATGCTCTGCATAATCACTAGGCCAAAGGAATTGAGCAAGGCTGGTCTTGGCGGGTTCTTGATTGGCAGCAGGATAGTGGTGAATGTCAACCATCTGGAAATCCTATTGTAAGCACCTTGACAACTCGTATTGGATACCCTATTTATACACTCACAGCTTCCTTTGCAGCATCAAGCGCCTTGACGGGAGTACCCATATAGTTGGTAGTAACGCTGAAATCCTCAATAAAGTTATCAAGGAATCGATGTTCTTGACCACCATGGAAGGTTTGTGTCTTTGAATCCCAAACGTCGGCTTTCTTTGCAGTGGAGACCATGGTTGAAGAAAAAAAAATTAAAAGAGAGAGAGAGAGAGAAAGAGAAAGAGGGTTATGGTTCCTGGGGCCCGCCGCTCATCGCATTTTTGGTGGGGAGTCCCAAAAGCTCATGCACAGTAGCAACTGGTCACACGAGATGGAGCAATGTCCACTGAAACGCAACCATCGCTTACAGAACCCGGATGGTTGCACAATGAAGAACCGATGGTAAAGTACAACAGCATCCCGATTCTGGGGTCTTTATAAATCACATGCAAAATTTCTGTAGAGGTGCTTTCATTGTAGAAACATAGCAATGTTGTCATGGTTACCATCATCGACACATTGTGTTGGCATCCGTAACATAGTTCAGGTGATGATGAAGTGATGATAAAAGTAAATGTGCCACCACAAGGTCGTACTTTTAGATATATCTCAAACTTCTTTGATCCGATGCTACCCAATACCCCAGTCACCAAGAAGGTTCTCGCACACAATGGATCTTCTCAGGCTGAAAAATGGTGGTCATTGATCACAAAAAGGTCATCCGTCCATTCATAATGCTTATAAGAAGCCCCATTGGTCTATTTACGTTCACAAATCGTTCGCTGCTAAACAACAACAGTGACCACCAAATTACAATCCATCAAATATTATACGTGTCTAATAGGGTGAACGATGTCTATATAACATGTCGTCCACTTACAATCCTTTATTATAGTACAATCGAGTGATGGGTTTGCCGTTGCTATCCTTAAGGTTTTGGAATTCGGGCTCCATGGCAGATGTCTCCAAGGATGAAATTTGAGGGAACACGGCAATAGCTGCAGGCAATGCTGTGAACATGCAGAATGCAATCAAACCTGGTACAAGAAAGATGTTGTTAGCCCCCAATGATGGATGACTCGCCCCCTCCCCCATCCTTACCAAAGTTCAAAGGAATCACAAGTTTAGGTCGTGCCTTGACAAATTCGGTTTGCTTTAATCGATCCAATGCAAGAGGAGGAATCACAAGAGCAGGTGCGTTGGTGAGCACGCGAGAGATGGCCACCTAATTAAAGCATTGATTGGTACCCGTATCCAATAGCTTAATTGTTGCTTTCATTTACCTGTGACACAGCAGCAAGACCAGCCTTTTTGGATTTGCCAACCTTTTCATTATCCTCGGTGTATACATCGATACCATTGGTGATTTCCTTTCCACGCATCAAAAACACGTTTACAGTACCAGCTGTAGCGACGGCTGTAAATGGAACAAGCTTCATCAGGATACGCTTGGTGGCATCAGCGATACGTAAACGAGGTACGGATTGTGTCAAGCCCACCGCCAATGCACATGAAGTAGTAACAGCCGAGGCATAGGCCACTAAATTAAACAAAATGGGATGAATGGCTATGCAACATCCGAGAATGTACACGTCGTACCTGCAGTTTCCTTAAGATTCAATGGTGTGGATTTGTTGGCGTTAGCAGAGTTGAATGCAACGTTGACACTTTGATTGGCCCATTGCCAAAAGATGATGTTTTTGATCTAATGCGAAATGAATGAGTCTTGGTCACACTACTACTAAAGGTACGCATGACACTTACCGAGGGATTGGGTGTCAACATGCCTGCCACAAGGATCATGTTCGTGGGTACAAAGGATGACATGCGAAAAGGCAACAGGATTTTTTCACCCGTATCAGGATGTAAGGTCGAATCCACCACTATTCATGTATACACCTTGTTCAATAACCCATCATTCCATCCACCACCATCATCATCATCATTGTTACCTTTCTTGGCTCCCCAAAGACGCTCAGCGTCCACTTTCATTTGTGGGTTTTGCTTGTAGTCATTAAGCAACTTTTTGGCCTCCTCCAACTGCTTGTTCGATGCAAAAAGTGTCCTATTTACAAGTATGAACAACCACGATATAGAGCTCTATCTCCCTCTCTCTCCACACCTACCTGACATCAGTCACATCGACGAAATGACGCAGACGACCCAAGTATGTTGACTGAGGATAGCGAGGCTTGCCTTTAAAAGAAAGAAGCATGCGACATGAGTTGACAATGTGATAAGGACGCGAATGGGCTGCTTACTCAAATCGACTGCCATGACTACAAAAGTAACAATGAGGAAAGAAAAGAAAGACCAAGTCGGCCCCAGGGACCAAAAATGACAACCCGAAAAGTGGATTTTCCCGCGCCCAGAAGCTTTGATTGAATGCATTGTCGTACAAGATTAAATCTGATTGAATATGCAAAAGAGAAAGACTATGTTTATTTGAATGGAAGGAAAGGGATATGTGTTACAGACTAGCTACAACAAACGAAGGAAAATGGAGGTGGGGGGGACATGTACAAGTAAAAGAGAAGATCAGTAGAATGGATGGCGTTGAGCAGCATGATAATGAGGTTGCTGTTGTTGTTGTTGCTGTGGTGATGCTTGTTGTCCTTGACGATGATAATGGGGACGATTATAAGAAGGCATCCTTGATGGTGGTGGTGATCTTCTTTGAGGACGATAATGGGGTTGTTGTTGATGAGAGTGATAGGGTGGAACCCGATTGGGTGGTGATGAAGATGAATGTGGTGGTGGTGGTGTTGTATTATTGTTGTAAGGAGGAGGACGATAATGAGAAGGAGGAGGCATTGTTGACGAAGGTGAGCGGAAAGGTGGTGGTGCTTGTGGTAACCTAGTTCCTAATGCTGGTGCTTCAGGTTGATAAGGCATGGTTGCTTGATGGAAAGGTGGTTGTTGGAAAGATGATAATGATGGTGGTAGTGCCTGAGGTACAGCAGCTGCTGGTACTGGTTGACGTGGTACTGGATCGCGTTGCTTTTGAAGAACAAGCACACCTAAAAACATGTCGGCGACACGCTTGGTTTCCTCGATACGTACAACGTATAAAAAGTCTGGCAATTGCTGCACCTTGAAAAGGGGTACGAGATAAAAGTCCTTGATCTTGGTCTTGTTATGGCCAACTACGCCATATCGCTTACGGCTGTCAAAATAGCGCAACAACGTGTCGAGCTGCTGATCACCCTCCGTACTTGCTGCTTCAATTTCCAAAAGCACAATCTCACGGCTCGTGGAATACTGAGTCTGAGTCACATAATTCACTACACGATCCTCGGGTATCCGCCCTTCAATCCACATGGTAGGTGATAAGACTTCGCTCCATTCATCAGTGGATAATGTACGACCACCAATTTGGCGTGCTGACGCATTGAATTCGGCCACTTGAGGCATGTTGACACGTCCTTGCCAAATGGATGGTAGTTGTTGTTCACTCTTATTGTTGGATGACATTGTTGCTGTTGTTCGTTCTTCTTTTTGTTTCTCCCCCTCGTCACGATCCTCTTCATTGTCACTGAATGATTCAGGCACATAATTCTCCTCCTCAAGTAATTCCTCAATGCGTCGTTTCTTGGCTGATGCAGCTTCTCCCGAATTGTTTTCATCATCGTCCTCTTCCATAACCTCAGGGAAGAAATGATCAAAATGGTGTTGTCGTGATGTGGGAGTCTCTGGAACATAGGATGTAGGTGTTGTAGCTGCTCCTGTGGTATTGGTGCTCATGCTTGAACGACGACTTTCAGTACCATCTGCCAACGCACTAGCCGAATCTTGGCGAGATCGATAGGTAGAAACGCGTAAACTCTCATCTTCATCCCGATCATCGCGCTTGGTATTATCCACCATGATAATATCACCCTTGTGTGTCTTTTTGATGAATGGCATATTGGAAACCTTCAATACAGAATTCTTGATACTCTCTTGAATCATTGACTCTGACATGGATTTGAGCTCTGGATTCGCCATATCTTTGGCCGACATGGCAACCAAATCCTTGGGTGACAATTCTCCTGTAATCACACGCATTTGGAAAGCTTGATTGCTCTTGTCCTTGAGATTATGCAGCAACGATCTAAACTTGTTCTTGTATTGACCACCACAATGGCGTTCATTATTCTTGCCGGGCTCTGCAAGTTGCTCAAACATTTGATCCTCAACCTCCTGCGCAATAGTCGCTGCTCGTTTCTCTGCCTGGTCCGCGTTGCTATCCTCATTCGCTGAAGGTGTTGCCATGGCAACATTGTTGTCATTCTCAACAGTTGCTGTAGCATCCGCTTCCTTTTCAAAGAGGTTTGGGTTCTTTTCCAATGCAAAAGTGATGATCGATTTGAGGATGGTTGTCATGTTCTTCACTACATTCTTGCGAATAGGATCATCTTCAGGTGGTGTTTGCTCTTTGGGTGGACTTTGCTGCTGCTGCTGCTGTTGTTGTTGAACTTTTTTCTTTTCAGGTGCTGGCTTGGTACGTCTTTCAGGGGATGGTGATAGTGAACGACGAGTGGGCACATATTCTGAATCACCAGCTTTTCGAAGAGCATCTTGAGCAGCACATTTATCGCTACAATAGGAATCCTCTCGTGTAACATTCTTGCATGATGGTAGAAGACATGTTCTCGATTTGGCTTGTCGTGTGCCATATGCCTATGTGGGTTTGTTGATGGTAAGTATCTTTCATGTCATGACTGGAAAAATAGATGGATGACTTACCTTTTTGGTTACAGGTGGCGATTCGGGTACGGCTTCCGGGGTGGGTTCCTTCTTGGTCGTAGGTACGTCTTCTCCTTTTTCTAGTAGAACAGAATATGTAAGCTCCTAGAGTTCATATACAATGTTGCAGTGGGCGTATATATGTCTCGGCAGCATATCGGCAAGTGACATTTGATAATACAGCATCCAATAATGGAGAAATGAAATGTGGCATCCCCTTGATCCATTCTCATGTGTAAGAGTGAATTGATTATAAGACAAAGAATACGATAACAAAAGGACACAACCATGTTTCCTCTCTTTTGTGCGTAAATAAAAAAGACATTAAGGGGAAGAGTAGAGATACAGATTCTGTATTCAGGTTTACGGAAAGGGTAAATGGACTATAACACTGGGATATAACGAAACAAAGGTAACCCAAACCAACCCCCCTTTTCCTGACTATTATCGTATCATCGTGTACACCAAAGTATCCGAATTGCATGCGAGACATACATAGCATAAACGAAACAAACCACATACCTGTTTTCTCATCACCACCGTACTTTTGGGTACATTCATTACACATCCAAGTATCAATGTCGTCGGCTTCATCAGGATCCAAATCGACACATGCACAATGAAACCTATAATAGCAAAATTAGCATCCCTGTTGACGCCTCTTTTTATCCTTCTTACCAATTAGAGCACTTATCACATTGTACCATTGGATCACCGGTATATGGCTTTTGACATATGCAATAAAGCTTCCTTCCTCTCATCTTCTTTTTGCTGGCCGTATCCTCATCCGCTGGTTTCCTCTTTCCTGTATTCGCAGCACTGCTAGCCCTTCTTGTAGATGACCTTGTCTTCATTCTTCCATTATCCACATTCTTCTCCTCCTCCTCATCGGTCTTGTTTTCTGGTACAGTAGCTGCTGCAGTATCCTGATTCTCAACAAGCTGACCCTGGTTAGCTGTGGGTGGATTCATTAACATGTGAGGTGGAATAAAAGTCGATGATTCATCCGTTGATGTTGCTGCTGCGGCAGCATTGCTGGTGGTGGTGACTGGATCATTCGATGAATCTTGTTGTTGTTGTTGACTTAGATGCTGAGGATCCAAAAAGGTAGTCAAGGATGCCGTATTCATTCCAGTGGCTGAAAGCATAGCTGACCAATCTGGTAAATAAAACGATTGTGATTGTGTCATGGCAGCGACGGCGGCTGCGGCTGTGGCAGAAGCTACCGCTTCAGCTGCTGCTGCTGCTTCGTCTTGGTTGCTTGTTGGATGATTATCACCATGTGTTGCTGTTGTAAGCGTAGAAGCATGGCTCTCCGGCACTATCGCATTCGACATGGGTTCGTCACTGGTGGTGGTGGTGGTAGTAGTAGTCAACGCTTGATTGTCGTCAGAATGAGTCATGTCTTGTGTAGTAGTTGTCGCTGCTTCTGCTTGAGGTCCTTCGTCTTGTTGATCACGTAGATCTAGGTATTCGTCAAATGTGTTATGGACATCCATAGGGTGATTGTAGTAAGTCAAGAATAAAGAGATCGACTCAAATGGACACGACGTGGAGTTATGTGAGTGGTGTGTGTGTGTGTGTGTGAGAAAGAAAACAAAACAGCAACCGCTTCATTCTCATTATCGGCTCATTCGAATTCTTTTTGCTTCTCCATCCAATCACAATCTTGTCCAACCAAGCCTTGGAACATCCATTTAAAACAAGCTTATCATTCATCATATGACACAGTTCTCTTTTATCATGCCCTTTCCCATCTAAGAGTGATTTCTACTACATTTCCTGCTACTTGGCGAGATTCGTTATTTCCCATGATACAAAATCCACGTACTCAACATAGTCAACTTTTCCATTTAAACCATCATCAATCATCATAAAGCCAGATGACAAAGAAAGTGTGTTCATTATGAAAAGTAAGAGGTACAATTGTCTAATAGTTGGGTGATAAATAATACTGTAAAATGATGGATGGTGGGATGCTATTTTCAATGTTCAATGACGATGGGCATACGCTTTCGTATTTGTGTTGAAAGCCCTTTTGTTTCTCTTGATTCGACATATTCATCAGCGTCGAGTTCATCACAGCGCATTAATGCCAAGCTCAGCCTTATAGCCATCCTGTACTCGAAGTCGTACTTTGTAAATGAAAGGGCTTGTTGCCACATTTTACGGCTCTTTGGCACATTGCCTAATCCCCAGCTGGTCACACCGGCCTCTATCATTTCGATAACGCATCGATTAATCATTGCATATTCCCAATCACCCTTTATAAGATCCTTACCCCAATATGTAAATGGTATAATCCAAGACTCTTCTTTGATCCGATCACGATGATCCATGATCCAATTAAGGTGAGGAATAGTTTCAGTGTGTCGTTCAAGCGCATTGAGGATGGATGCCTTAATGAGTAATAGTACTGCACGTTGCTTGTAATAATCGGGAGGTTGAATGGATGGCACAAGTTCATGAATGCGAATGTCGTACTCGTTCTTTTCTCGTTGATAAATGAGCTCAAGCGTGCGCTGTACCTGATCCAGGCACGTCTCCAACGCACTAGGTTGCATTTGTACAAACGCGTTCCATACAAGCAAGATTTCGAGTGCTGGTAAGCTAAGAGACATATCCTGGTATCCGGTCTTTTGAAAGAATGCCACTTTTTTCTCCACATAGTTGTCGATATAGGATTTACTTGATGTCGGTTGTTGCTTTGCAAGGCGATCGGATACATCGGCCATGGCAAGAATACAGTCCGTACGCTTGCCCAGCATCTCTTTGCAAGTACCAGCAAAATATAAGCAGAAACCAGATGACCAATAGTGCTCACGGCTAAGCTGTTCAAAACATTTGGCTGCACCTTCCCAATCGAGTTGTAATGCAAGGTTGAATCCCGTCTCATAGTCAGCCACTTGTCGCATCGCCGTCTCAGCCCACTCGCCATGACATGCTTCAGCTGAAAAGGAAAAGGATTGGGTGGATAAGGGTATGTTGCGTGCCACGCGTGCAATCCGTGCAGCAAAGAATAAGAAAAAACACGAGCTTGGATAATTGCGTTGTGCTTCCAAAAGACACTCAATGGCCGAACTCATCTGATCTTTGGTATAAATTTGTGGTGCAAACGACGTAAGGATTGAATAATAAGAAAGCAGGCTATCATTCTCGTTAATACATACATACATGCCATAAACCTCTCCACCCAATAAATAAAAAATGTGCTTACACAAGGGATGCCAATGGAGCACGAATACCACGCTCTTCGATACAAAGCCGTAACAATGCAATACCAAGCTGCTTGTCTCCTTGCCAACCCAACGATGAACAAAGTTTGGTGATCTTGCTCGGCATGGATGATAGTAAAAGGTTGACAGCGCCGATGCCAAACTGAATAGCTGATACTGTATCACGATCCATGTACTTTGTATACTTTTGGCCCATTCGTTTGTATTCACGCCACACAAGGCAATAGCTATTGTACGCTATTATTCGATGATGGAAATGTGTAAATAACCTTGCCGTTGTTGTATTCCTTAACCTTCATCATCTTACCTCGGCGTAAGTTGAGCCCACATTTAATATAGTTCATGACCGTTTCTTGTGATAGCTGCAGGATCCCCATCAGCAAGCAGCTCTCTGCCTTGATAACATGTGCTCGCAAGATTCCATTGGGAATAAATTCTGGCACACAACCATGCTCATCCATTTGTGATTCGGGACCTGGACCTGCAGGTAAGCCTGATTTTGATTTGCCATAGAGGAATGATGAAAAATAGTGCGATAGGGTCGCCTTGATCGGCTGCTTGAAATAAGCATTGTCGATTTGTGCTTTGGCGATGGTGTAGGATGTGCTAAGAGCATTCATGGCCGTCTTGATATCTTCCTCTTGGTACGTCTATAAACTACCTTTTAGTGATCAATTCTTTCTTTAGTGATGACGACAACTTACCATCATGGCTATATATCATTGTTGGATCAACGTTATTGAAGGTTAGTACATTGGGTATTATCGTTAGACCTTCCTTGTGTGTCTTACCTTTGATAAATGCCATGGCACCCAAACCAAGCGAGAAAAGTGGCTCACTACGCATATAGGGTTACTACAACATGATAGTATACGCTTTGTCTTTGATGACTTACAAGCTTGCCTTGGATTGGAATATCCCTTTTGCTTTCATGAAATTGTTGTCAAATAGATTCCTCATTCCTTCACGCATAGATTCATCTATAAAGCACCCATTCAGTGACCTGTTGTTGGTATCGTATCATCACCCACGTTACCTACCAGCTTCCTCTTGTTCTCGTGGATTGAGCTTGTTGACGGCAATGTGCTTAGGATTGACATGGATGACAGTAATAGCGTTGTCTCGAAAAATATCCAGGTCGATTGGATCTTCAATTGAATGCTCAAATTCGCTGCTATGAGCCGCACGGTAAAAATCATCTGTAGAACCACCACTTGTTGCTTCAAATGATTGGTCATGGATGGCAAATGATTCTCGATAGGATTGTTCAATCGAAGGCATGACGACATCCATACATCCTCCTCCTCCTGGAAGCCTGTTGTAGTTACTGTCATCCGTCAAACTGGTACTTCGTGTCGAACGGCTGCTTTCAGAGTAGTGGGCGTCAAATAAAACCTCGTTGCCACCATCACTTTGATATTGTTGACCATGATGACGCGAAGTTTCAGGTGATGATGGATCAATTTCTTGATCTGTTTCTTGTTGGATTACATGCATAATAGCCGGGCCACCATTATGGGCTAGGGATATTATGAGTTAGCTGCATATCACATTATTTAGCTCAAGATGCTTATTACCTATGCCATCCCTCATGCTAGTCTTCTTTTGGTCATTATCCATCATGGGGCGATGCTTTCCAGGTGCCATGGATACTGCTAATGCTTCCACTTGACTCGCATAATCATCGTGTTGTTGTGAATGATTTTCATTGTCCAACATGGTTGGCTTGTCAACGGCATCACCAAAACTGCTGTCGCTATCGAATGCGTCCTCGAATATCTCGCTCGCAGAATCGGCAGTGATGTTGGATTCCATATGTGCTGTTGCTGGGGTACCACCATACTTGGCTGCATTAATTGCTTTGGACTTCAATACTCAAGATCAGTTCCTGGATCGTTTTACCACCATCTTGATCTCCCTCTCACACCTACCTCAACCATATGTCGTTCGCCTACCATTGAAGATACACTACAACGATCGTCGAAATGCATCTCGATTGAAAGCAAATGTCGTTGACACGTGGAATGCAAAGAATGGGCTTTGGCAAAAGGGTTGCGATTGGTGTGTGGGTGATTGCGAACAAGTTGCTGCTAGTCGTGAGTGCCCTGGTGGGAGAATGAGTGAATGAATGTGAACTACACACAAAGGATGGGATAAGAAAGAGACAAAGAAACGATCAACTTGATACACGATGGGGATTAAACATCTCATCACGAATCATGCACATGTCTAGAAAGGGGGACTGCAACGCTCTGATTAGCTTCTCCCTATTTTCCTTGTCATCTATATTACGCCCTGTTTATTGCCTATACGCATATGTTTAAATCAGAATAAATGTTGGTGTTTCTGTCTTTTAGTTATACACATCACATTACTGCATTCTTGGTGAATGATCAGGCTTCCAGGAACATCCAATATGTATTACTTTGTTGTCGCTCTTTCACTTCTTGGATATGCTGGCCTTTCCTCCTTACAACAAGTATTGATACATTAGCCATAGGGAGGGTACCGTTTACGTCGTTCTGTGTTAGTAGTAGTAATAAACAACTTGTATTATTGCATATTGATTGTTGCATTTAGCCAAATGACATATTACTTTCGTTGCTGTTACATCTTTTTAGCATACAATTCATTGATTCCGTTACTATGGTATCCATTGATGGTTTATAAAAGAAAGTGCTTTATTCAGAGACTTGTTGCTAGGTGATCAATCGGTAATTGCAAATCCATGCACGAGAGCTGAGATGGGAAGCTGCCACCTGCTGAGTTAACTCCTGGAATTTTTCAAGCTCAACGTTGACCTTGCCTTTTCTTCCAAAATTAACACTCTACACTACCCATACCATTTCGTTGGTAATTGCATCGGCTTTGTGAGCGTTTACGCTTTCGAATGATACCAAACACGGGGCATGTATCTTAAGCATAACGCGAGATAGCCTATTACCTTTTATGGAAATTTTGTCCTCTATCATTGCACGCGCTCATGAAAAATTAAGGAGGAAAACGAGGCCGTGATAGTATAGTGGCAGTACATTGCGTTGTGGCCGCACTGACCCTGGTTCGATTCCAGGTCACGGCATGATCACGATTCCAAAACTTGGAAATTGGGTAATTTCTCTTTTTCTCCGCCCTGTCGTAGGTCATGTGACCACGTGACCTAGCTTTTGCTCGTTCCTTCTAGAACCCTTTTCCTTTTGATGCTGGCAATTGCTAGAAGCCCTTTACTAGTATCTTCCACATCATTCATAGAATCCATACATTGAACATATATATATCGTGAACATCCTTAGCAATAAAAGATCATCACTTATCATAGCAACACCAAAAGTTATATCATTGGCCACTGATCTAATCAGCCATACGATAACGACAATTGGTAGCTGATGACACCAATCATATCGCCTTTGAACAATCGAGCTTTTCAAGAATATCGTGAACCAATCCGGAACCCATTGAATTATCTGACGACGAATCTCAAGTTACAAATCGACAACCGTTTATTATGGAAGGCATTGAACAAGAACAACGACAAGGACAAGGACAAGGACAAGGACAAGATATGAATACGGCTATTTTGACTGCGTCCAGCCCAACTGCTCAAGAACCAGGAGAACCAAAGAGGCCCAATGGCCCAGACCCAAGCTACGAGAACCGGACACTTACCATGGAACAAGAACCCCACATGCTGCTGAAAGCTGGTTACGATCTGTACAACGTTATGCTGATGTGACTGGAATGGATGAGATGACCGGAGATAAATATGCCATCAATCTTTTTCGAGGAGATGCTGACACATGGTGGCGTACAAGAGAAATTGTTGGACATGATGCAAGCACTTGGATTGATTTCTGCAAGCTGGTACTGAACGAATTTCGACCTCGCAATGCCAAACAGACTGCACGTGACCGATTGGCTGCATTGACGCAAACTGGCACCGTTGAAGAATATGAACGACTTCCGCAACATTTGGCTCGAAATTCCAACAATGATGATGAAGCTTTGGACCGTTTTGTACGAGATTGGCTGAAAACGTTCAAGTCTATGTACGCACCAATTCCCGACCACAACTGCACAAGCTGAAAGAATCGCATTCGCCTACGAAGGAGCCATGTCGTTACACCAAAATGCTGCCGACAAGATGACAAGACTTGAACCTCCACGACAACCATCTCGGGATGTTGAATACATGGACCTGGATGCTGTACAAACAAGATATCGACGTTCTAATGATTGGCGCACACCAAGAACCTTCGTCGTCGTGACAACCGCATGAATCAAGAACCACCTCGTTGCTGGTGTGGAGGCCTTGGTCATCTACAACGTTCTTGCCCATCCAACTTACCTGGTGAATGGCGTTATCGACCTGCTGCTTCTCAACGATACAGCAACAAGCATTTAAAAGACGAGGCGCGACGTATGTAAAGGAGTCATCGTCGCGCACAAACATCAATCGGCAAAACTCCTTGAATGCAACCACCACCACTACTCAGCAAGTACCTGAAGGCCGGCTCATTGATCTCACCGAGGAACCCGATTTTGAAATGTCAACCCGACACCTGAGCTAGATTTGGATGTCAATCATTTGAGAGAACTCAACGCAATAAAGGAATCACAGTTGCCCTTGTATTCAATGGTCTGCAATGGAACACCTGTTACTGTTTTGCTCGATACTGGTGCTAGTACATCTTACATTTCACCACGCATTTGCAAGCACATGACGCATCACTTGGTCCAAGGACGAGAGGTTGAAACAAACTGGTGGACATACTATGGCGATCAAGTCACTCGTATCTTTTTGATCTTTCAATGGCTGGCAATACACCCATCCATGGAAGGCGTATGTGTTTGATACCAAATTTGACATCATCCTTGGCAGAATTGGTTCAAGCATGTACAACCGATACCAGATTGGCGACACGACACCTGGCAGATCAAACAAGGCAACCACATCCATATCTTGACTCCAAGTCGCAAACGGCAGATTCCTGATTTGGCATATCTTCTCAGTCATCACGCGAGATGCAACGATTGTCACGCACCAAAGCTATCAGCGAGATGTATTTATTTCTATACGGCTGACAAGATCGACGATACGATGGCACCTTTGATACTTTGGTTCATGAATACGCTGATGTCTTCCGAAACGAACTACCAGGCTTACCTCCAGATCGTGATATTGAGCATGTGATTGATACTGGTGATGCTCAACCCATCAATCGGCATCCTTTCAAGATGAGTCCTCTCGAGCTGGATGAATTGCGGCGTCAATTGGCTGAACTCCAAACCTTGGGATTGATTGAACCAAGTAACTCTCCATGGGGTGCACCAGTTCTGTTTGTCCGCAAGAAAGATGGTTCAATGAGACTCTGTATCGATTATCGCGCTCTCAATGCAGTGACACGTCGCAATGCCCATCCCTTACCACGAATTGATGAATGTCTCGAACGTCTTGGTGGTGCACGATTCTTCTCCAGCATCGACCTCAAGAGTGGTTACCATCAAGTACGAATCCGACCTGAAGATGTTCCAAAAACGGCCTTCAACACAAGATACGGTGCATGGCAATGGAAAGTGCTCCCTTTTGGATTGACGAATGCTCCACCTACTTTCCAAAAGATGATGAATTCAATCCTTGGTGATTTCCTCGACAAGTTTGCCCTGGTTTACCTTGACGACATCCTTATCTTCAGCCGTACCAAAGAAGACCATCTCAAGCATGTTCCGAATGGTGTTGGATCGTTTGCGAGCCCCAAGCTATACGCCAATCTCAAGAAGTGCGAGTTCAACAAGACTGAATTGGGTTGTCGGCTTCAAGTGAGTGCTCAAGGTATCCTGCCATCAAGTCCAAGGTCAAGGCGATTCAAGAGTGGCCCACATTACAATGTTCAAGAAGTTACGGCAGTTTATCGGTTTGGCGTCTCATTATAGGCGATTCATTCGTGGCTTCTCAACGATTGCTGCACCACTCACGGACTTGACAAAGGGAAGTGGGAGCAAGACGCGTTTGATTGAATGGACTTTAGGTGTCAATCGGCATTCGAAGAGATTCAGTCGCATGATTCAAGCACCCACCTTGGTACCACCCAATGCAGCAAGGCCCTTTGTGATCGAAACGGATGCATCCGATTTTGGTGTTGGCGCTGTTCTTTACCAGAAGGTGGCGATGGTGAATTGCATCCTTTGGCTTTTGAATCCAAGAAGCTTTCGTCAGCGGAGCGCAATTATCCTGCACAAGAAAGAGAGCTGTTGGGTATCTTGCATGCGTTACGTTCTTGGAGATGTTTCATTGAAGGTCGCTCTTACAAGGTGTATACGGATCATCATCCACTCAAGTATTTCAGGTCTCAACGCAAGCCCACACCTCGTTTGACTCGATGGATTGCTGAAATGGAGCTGTATGATCCCGATATCCAATACAAGCCTGGCAAAGACAATCATGTACCTGATATCCTTTCTCGACGTGATGGTGCTCATTGTCTTACCAATGAATCGGATATGGAGCCTGAGTATCTTTATGCAACACGCGCAATTCAAGAATCCGATTGGCCAAAGTTCTACTTGCGTCCCGAAGAAAAGTGGCCATCATCTTATGCTGATTTGTTACGCAAGCATCGTGAACAATTTGTGGTGCGTAATGATATGGTTTTTCGCAAGGTCAAGGTGAACAACACTCTTCAAGAAGTCCGCTTTGCAATGTTCTCTCGGCGTGCTGACATTGTACAAGAAATCCACAAGGCTTTTGGACACCTAGGAATGACCACTATGCAGGATTTGGTGCGTAAACGTTGGTGGCCCAACATGAAGCAAGACATTCAAGAATGGATTGCCCAATGTTCACAATGTCAATTGGCTGCTGGTGCTGACCGCAATAATCATCATGCACCTATGCATTTGACCGAAATCCCGCCTGCTTTTTCTCGTTGGCATTTGGACTTTATTGGAGAATTACCTACTACCACAAGTGGTAATCGTTGGATACTCGTTGCTGTTGACTACACGACAAATTGGCCTATTGCTCGTGCTGTTCCTGATGCAACCAGTGAAGCCATTGCCAAGTTCATTCACGAGGAAATTGTTATGCGTTTTGGCTGTCCTGATGAAATCGTAACCGATCGTGGCGCTAATTTTATGGGCAAGTTCTTGGATTACTACCTTGGTCGACTTAAAGCCAAACACAACTTGACTTCGGCTTTCCATCCTCGTTCAAATGGCAAGGTTGAACGTACCAATGGGATACTCAAATCCATGTTACGCAAGTATGTGCATGGTGAAATACATCGCTGGGATGATTTTCTTGACACCGCTTTGTTTGCATGCCGCATTCGCAAACATCGAACGACACAAATGAGTCCATTTTTCATGGTGTATGGTCAAGACCCCAAGTTACCTGGTGATCCATTGCGTCCTCTTATTACTGCTGATGAACCACAAGATGATCCCCAAGCACATGTTTCAAGTCGACTCCCCACACTTCGTTCCTTACGTGATGCTCGTGCTCAAGCCATTACAAGGATGCAAAAGGATCGTGAAAAAGACAAGGCTCAATGGGATTTGCTCACCAAGAAGCAAGTTTATTCGGTTGACGACTTTGTCTTATTACGACATGAAAACAAGTTTGGCTTGGAATACAATTGGCGTGGTCCTTACAAGATTGTTGAACGTAACCTTGACACGGATATCTACAAGTTACACAGCATGAATGGTGAAGCATACAAGTCTTGGGTGCACACTGATCGTTTACGTCCCATTCATATCAACAAGGCCGATGGTAATCCTGATACATGGTACGATCCCACTGCTACAAGAGCACGTTGGCGCCAGCTTACCGATGCTGCCAATACTATTGCTTCCGTGTTGGTCGAGGGCGACCAAGATTTTCGGGAGGGGGTATTGTCGTAGGTCATGTGACCACGTGACCTAGCTTTTGCTCGTTCCTTCTAGAACCCTTTTCCTTTTGATGCTGGCAATTGCTAGAAGCCCTTTACTAGTATCTTCCACATCATTCATAGAATCCATACATTGAACATATATATATCGTGAACATCCTTAGCAATAAAAGATCATCACTTATCATAGCAACACCAAAAGTTATATCATTGGCCACTGATCTAATCAGCCATACGATAACGACAGCCCGAAAATGGTCACGTGACTTTTTATTGTCTTTCATTTCGTGTATGTCTCTTCACTTTTTTATATGATCACGCGTTCAGATTGATCTATACTACGTTTATGGTTGTAAGCATATCTTAATCGTGTATCTGGATTGGATGATGATACAAGTATACTCTGCTTGTGCTTGTATATGGATACATGAGTACTAGAGATGGTAGTAGGAGCCCTCATTATCTCTCTACTATCACATCAGGGCATGTAGTGAGGTACCTTTTGTATCCTGAGTACCTTGATCTCCACCACGAAGTTGAGCAAAAACCATCTTGGGCATCCAAGTACTCATTGCTTTACCTGACTTGATGAGTGACATGATAAAAAATGTGACCATCTTCTTTTAATTGCTTCATGTTTCATCATCTCTAGACGTACAATAACCCGAGCATCTGCTCATTTAACACGTGTCCATTATCATATCATGTTTGTCTTCTTGTATTGCTGTTTCAATCACCAGGAGACATCAGCACTATCATCATCAATTTCTTGCTCCATTGTTGTTCGGTCCCCTCATGTTACCACCACCCACTACTAACAAGTGCTCTTGATACTTTTAGTTAAGACATGCCATTTACTGCCTTAGGCTAATGCTCAGGACAAGGTATCTAGTTGAGGTTGAGAGCAGGGTGGATGGATAGTAATACAAAGCTGGTGGGAGGGGTCGTTGTCTGAAATAGGCATCAAGAATTATGCACAGCGCCCGCTCTGTGAGACTTCCTTCTCTTTTTTTCTTCGACACCTAATGAGCAAACGAGGTCCCCCATCCTATACGCCAACAATGCTCAAACCAATGCAATCGTCGTGAAGGACCAGAGGATAGGAATCCGGGTACATTGTTGCAGCAATTCAAGCTTGGCATCAAGGCAGCATCTTCAACCACATGTTCAACGCTCTTTTTCACGCCAAGAAGCAGCCTTCGAGTGCACGATGAAGATAGGATGTTCAAGGTGGTCTTGTAATATTGATCCATGTTCATTCACCAACCAGTGACCAACGGCAACTTGATCAAGGCGATGAGGATGAGGATGATACCAACGTTGATCCTCTGCAGTGCAAGTCTCCTGGATTCACTCATCCAGTCTATTGATTGTTTCAAGAAAGGCATTGCAAGTGCAACGATGGCTATCATGCAAAGGCTTCAAAAGCGCACTGGCTGATGTTTACAGGTATGTTCTCATTCAACATTAATGCAATCCTTGTGATTGTATTGTATCAGCTTCCTTACGAGTAAAAAAGTTGCATAGAGCGTTTGACATGATCCGATGTTGATGCGACCCTACACACAAAGCTCGCCCACGTTATACTTCCTGAATCTTGGCGTTGGATCATATGGATTGGGAGCTGCAGTAGTGGAGTAGTGGATCATTGTTAAATAAAGCCCTCTTTCAAAAATGACATGCTTTCGTACAATTCTTCTTTGCATTCACAGCAATAATACGCACACTGTAGCGTGATCTAGCTAAACTTTAATATCCCAATATCCCATTCATACCATCTGGTATGCTACCATTATCGTAATTCGAATAAAGTTTTGACGTGCACACCATGTTGGCACGCGTTGTTCATCACTACCAAACGTGTATTACATCACATCAAAATCATGTTCCTCCACCTCACCCACCCAATCAAATAAGATCAAACAAGCATCTCCAACCACAATTCAGCTCTTATAGGGTCTTTAGAAATGTAAAGGTGTGGGTACTAAATGTGCGTACTTAAATCCTATCATAGTGGGGGGTGCCATTATCATTGCAATAGCTGGTGAGATATAGCCTATCATTAGGCCTTCCTATGTAGGAGATCCGATGTTATGGTGTCGGTGGTCCGTGCACGTTATTGTTGCACAGTAGATACCGCATATACTAAACAGCCTTCTTCTGGTCATATTTTTTTGTCTCAGAGTGTTCTATCTTCTTCTTAACAACGTTGATCACATCACTCAATATGACAACGGGTTCCAAAACCATCCAAGCAATGCAACAAGGATGGTATGTTGTTGAGATTGCGTGCCTGTAGATTCAAAATGCATGGGTAGCCTGCATCGATTATTTTCTTTGAGTCAACACGATGGCTTGGCCACGGCGAAATGCTAACTTTCTTCCAGAAAAGGTGGGATGAGAGGGCGCAAAGAGAAATGAACGCCTCGGCTACTCACACCATGCCCCATTTTTTCTGTAAACATCATCACCATCATCATGTACCACCACCATCACCATCATGCATGAGTAAGTTGATGGTTTACAAGTGGATTAGAGCCGTTGCCATGTGCCTCTCCCTCCTCATTGAAAAGCTTTTCGCTCCTCTTATTCCGAACAAACAGCGACAATGACTTCTTTTGTATGTCATTTATGGTTTGTTTGTTTTTTACACTGAGAAAGCAGCGGGATTGACGCTTTGAACCGAGACTAAGAATGACTCCATTTCATTGGTCCCATATATAAATAGGTTTTTGTCTCCACGACAAACGCATCTTAGCACGCTTTGGCGGCGGCATTTTATTCTCGGTAACGTGCAACAAGCAATGACCACCCACCACGCGCAGGGATCTTCCATACAACATTCCGTTTTGCAGATCCGCGGACGCATTCCGAAGAGCTCTTGGATGGCGCGGGTGAGAATTGACCCGCTTGCATGTATATGCAACGCAACGTTGGCTTGTTTTTTTTATGATAAGCTCAAGTCATATGCTCAATGTGTCATGCATGATGATCTTTACAGTAAGGGGATCATGTTTATCATAGTTTCACCTGACTGCCTCCTTTACATCATGGCTTGTTACTATAACGGTTAACATTGTGATAAGGTTGTTGGCTGTGGAATGATTTAGTAAACGAACCATGTTTTGTTGTGTGGTGGTCTTTTAAAAATAGTGTGAAAAGGAAACCAGGGGTGCGGGAGCAGCTGCTGTTTATTGCTGGTGATGTAGAAAACAGGTACAAACAAGGGGGGGGTGAAAAGAATAGCCTTCTTTGGTTGTATAGCACACACATCATGAGCAACCCCTGACAAAGCTTATGTAATGGGAAGAGGGATCCGTTACATGTTTGTGTTTAATAGGTAGAGTGTTTTTGGTATCATATCATTTTTGACAAGTAGCTGAAAGCAAGGGTGTGTGAGAAGAAGAAGAAGGATTCTTTGGTTTTCTGCACCAGCCAAAAAGAGAAGCGTGTAGATCAACTGAGGAAAGGCATTTCTGCAAAAGGTCAGTGCTTTGTAAGAACCAATGATGGCACGCTATGACCGGCTGGAAAACGGTGAAATTGCACGGGATAAAGGCAACGGAGATCGGAAAATTTGCACCCCAGCATGGGGCTAAAAAGCAAGAAGATAGCTCCAGAACCGCTTGCTGTTTTTGTCCTCTTTTGTAACTCTTCTTTTTTCACGCAACCTTTTTATCTCAACCCACCAACATGTGGAGAAACCTTTCGCGCTCTCAAAAGCTGCTTACTACTGTCACAGCTACTGCTGCTGCTGGTAGTGCAGCATTGTACCTGAATAATGATCAACGCCGTCCTTTGCCTTCCATGCTTTTGACACGTAACCAAATCGCCTACGCCGAGGCTCAACCACAAGATGATGAAAAGCCCAAAACCTTTTGGAAGACGCCTTCACGTGAAGAGATGCTCAAGAGACTCGAGAATGATGATGAGGAGGAATATGACTTGTTGATTGTTGGTGGTGGTGCCACTGGTGCAGGCACTGCAGTGGATGCAGCCACTCGTGGTCTTAAGGTTGCTCTTGTTGAGCGTGATGATTTTGCTTCCGGTATGCATATAAAACCTTGTTACTACAACTACTCCCCTTTCACGTTTCGGATATGGCAACATCAGCAATAGCACGTGGGATCTAAACAAAAAACACATATGCAGGTACCTCATCCCGATCTACTAAGCTCGTGCACGGTGGTGTGCGTTATCTTCAAAAGGCCATTATGGAATTGGACTACGAACAATACAAGCTTGTGGTGGAAGCATTGCATGAGCGTAAAATCTTTTTGGATATTGCTCCTCACTTGGCTGGTCAATTGCCCATCATGTTGCCTGTTTACAAGTAAGTATAATTACGGTATCTCGGAGGAGGAATCGGTAGAGTCATTGTATCACCGGGTGGGGAAAGGAGGTGACAAAGGCTTTTACCCTTATCCCCGAACATCCAGGGTCGGCATGTCAAAATACTTCAGCATGGTTGGTCCCTGTTAAGATGTAACACGTGATACTCATCATTGGCTTCTTCTTCCTCCACATTTTTTTAGGTGGTGGCAGATCCCTTATTACTGGGTTGGCTGCAAGCTCTATGATTTGTTTGCTGGTCGAGAAGCTTTGGAGAGCAGCTACTTGTTGACTCGTTCCAAGGCCCTTGATGCTTTCCCCATGTTGAAAAAAGATGAATTGGTGGGTGCACTCGTGTATTACGATGGTAAGATTAATACAACAATGACATCTGTTCTCCGAGAAAACGGAGCTGACATGTGATTTACAGGCCACCACAATGACGCTCGAATGAACGTTGCCCTTTCCATGACCGCTGCTTACCATGGTGCCACTGTTGTGAATCATTGTGAGGTCACCGAGCTCTTGAAGAATGAAAAGGGTGAAGTCAAGGGTGCCAAGCTCAGAGATAACTTGACTGGCAAGGAATGGGAGGTCAAGGCTAAGGTGAGTCATTGTTTCAGACCTAAAAGGAAATGTATTAAACATCGCTGGGATAATGAATTAGGGTGTCATTAACGCTACTGGTCCCTTCACTGATGGCCTTCGTAAGATGGATGATAAGGAAAATCTTGACATTGTCGCCCCCTCAGCTGGTGTCCATATTATCCTCCCCAACTACTATAGTCCTCGTAACATGGGCTTGCTCGATCCTGCTACTAGTGATGGTCGTGTCATTTTCTTCTTGCCTTGGGAAGGTAGCACTATTGCAGGCACCACTGGTACGTTGTTTATTTTTTTGCTATACTTGAATCATACACGTATCAACATTTTCCTTGTTACTATTAGATTCCCCCACTGAAGTCACTCCCAACCCTATGCCAAAGGAAGATGAAGTCAAATGGATTCTTGATGAGGTCTCCCACTATTTGAACAAGGGTAAGTTGACATACCGTGGCAAGGTGTGTTGCATACTCATACAATACATGTAGATGTCAAGGTGCGTCGTGGTGATGTTTTGGCTGCATGGTCTGGTATTCGTCCTCTTGTACGTGATCCTCATGCCAAGAACACTGAATCGCTTGTACGCAACCACATGATCCATGTCAGTGACAACAAGTTGCTCACCATTGCTGGTGGAAAGTGGACTACCTACCGTGCTATGGCTGAGGAGACTGTGGATCGTGCTATCCAAGAATATGGCCTTAAGCCAAAGAACAAGTGTGTTACCGAAAAGACCTTGCTTGTTGGTAGCGAAGGATTTAGCAACACCATGTTTATTCGTTTGATCCAAGAATTTGGTATGGATACTGAAGTAGCTGTACACCTTGCCAACAGCTATGGTGACCGTGCTTGGGTTGTTGGTTCTATCGAAGACAAGACCGGCATGTCGTATCCTTCGTATGGCAACCGTATCTCGCCCAATTATCCTTACATTGAGTCTGAAGTTCGCTATGCATGCCGACAAGAATACGCTTGCACCGCTGTCGATGTCCTTGCTCGTAGAACACGTCTTGCCTTTTTGAATGCTGAAGCTGCTTTGCAAGCTGTTCCACGTGTCGTTGAAATTATGGCTGAAGAGCTCAAGTGGGACAAGGAACGTCAACAAAAGGAAAAGGAGCAAGCTGCCAAGTTCTTGGTTACCATGGGTCTCGCTGAATCCAAGGCTTAAATATCGTTTCCATCATTATCATTCTTGTTTCCCCTCTTCACTATTCCACTTTTTACACTTGTAGACTTGCATCATTTACACAACCAACCACCACAACCACTACCATGAAACTACGACGACCACTATTACTACCATTATCACCCGCACTTTCATCTTTTCATCTCCCCTTTTTATAATGCTCTTTGGAGCTCAACACAATGAATTTTGCTTTGTAGAGTACTTGTATCATCATAATAGCGCTTGTTTTTATTAATCACATGAGTGGGTCCTATTATATACATATGTGTGTGTGTGTATGTGGAGGTGCGTTCATTATCGTTTAAGACAAAAGAATGTGGTGGTGATCGTTCAAAGTCGTGACTATTAGCAGCAGTGCCCTATATCTCTTTCTCCTCTTGTCAAACCTTCTTGTTCTCCTGTTCCTCTTTCTGGCCATGTTTCAACGCCCAAATAATACTATCGACTTGAACGACTTTCCAGCCTTGGGTACAGCTGCTTCCAACGGACGACCTGCAAGCTCATTACCGCCTCAATCATCTATGCTACCCAACAACCGATTCGCGAATTATCCTCCTACCGATCATTCACTACTCGGCAACGTTGAATTTGGAGCATCATCACCTTATCGTGGTGGCCTAGGCAATAGAGGGATATCCATGGACGAGTTTCCAGCATTGCAACGATCACCAGCACCACTAACGCCGAGTAGCAGTGATATCAAAGGAGCAAGTGGTGGTGTAGACCCGTGGGATTATGGTAACTTTGCAAGTAAGTGTCCTTCCCTTTCCATATAGCATCATCATCCACGCTTTATGAGCTGGGCAATTAGACTAATCTATTTTCTTCCTCCTTTTTAAAAAAAGATACCGGCTATGGCATTGGAAAAAATGATCCCTGGGTGAGTCTTTTTTACTATTCAACACCATCTCGGTAGTGTGTGTGTGTGTGTGTGTGTGTGCATGATTATTAACAACACAAAGTCGCGTGGTGATTATGCACCGCCACTGGCTCCAGTATCGAAAAAGAACATTATAGGATCATCGATGGTTGCACCAACACCACCAGCACCACCATCAGCACTATCATCCTCTTCATCAACCAAGGCATCTCCATCAGCAGCAGCAAGATCCTTACTTGCAAGTGCTAATACCACCACCAACAACAGCAGCAGCAGCAACGGCGGCAGTGATGCAAATACGAGCAATGGCAACGATAGCGGCAATGGTCCATACGGCTTATTAGGGTTATTGGGTGTAATACGAATGACGGATCCTGATCGAAGCATGTTGGCACTGGGAACGGATTTGACAACACTTGGACTTGATCTTAATGCACCAGAGTAAGTAGGACGATAATGGGATAACATTGATATACATGGGATTGATCCTATGATGATACATAGCTCTATTTACTCCACATTTATCTCACCGTGGTCTGATGTCCAAACGCCCTCTGGTCTTAATGTTGAACCTGGTTACTATGTCCCGCCATGTTATCGATCCATACAAGCAAATTCACCAGCTCATCAACGAATGCGTGAGTTTTCGGAAGAGATCCTGTTTTACATGTTTTATGCAATGCCAAGAGATGTTGCTCAAGAAGCTGCAGCACAAGAATTGTAAGTAGGATGATGGATCAAGGGAAAAGGTGATGCTAATGGCGCGGGGGTTCTATTAGGTATACGCGTGGTTGGCGATATCACAAAGAACTTGGCATGTGGATATTCAAGGAAGCAGATGAGAATGGTCGCCCTGTTCAAGGCTTTCGACGGACATCACCTAACCCAATGGATCGTGGTGTATATGTGATATTCGATCCAAGCTCATGGTCCAAAGTCAAGCGGGAATGGTCACTCTTATGGGATGCACTGGAGGATCGTCAACAGCAACAGCAACAACAGCAGTCGGCAGCATTACCTTCAATGTCCTCCTCTTCATCATCATCAACCCAACAACAACAGCAACAACGAGCACAGCAGTCAGGTTTGAGCATGATGACCCCACCTATCGGCATGTCCGGTAGAGGAATGATGATATAGATACCATCTTCAGAATGTGTCAAGCAACAACAATGAAATGCGCATTACGCAACTATTGTGTGTCCTATTTTGATGGCAATGAGTTGGAGGGTTGTGTTTATGAAGAAGAATTGTGTGTGATGAATATAGAAACTCAAGGATGTGTCATTCGATCAATTACTATAACTAGCATATGATTATAGGATAGCTCTTCATGTGTGTGGGGCAAGCCGGAGCTTTGTGTTGCTAGGTTACTCCGCAATAAAATCTGACTAAAAACCAACAGGGCCTTGATCTGCTTTAAAAGCAAAGCCGGTTTTAAAACCGCATCGTGTCACATTTTTTTCTCACCTCTTTTGTCCCCCCTCCTTTTTTTTTCTTTTCCTCTACTATGAAAACATACACTGTTGAAGAAGTTGCTCAGCACAATAAGGCCGACGATATCTGGATCATCATCGATGGCAAGGTGTTTGACGTAACCAAGTTTGTTAATGAGCATCCTGGTGGTAAAAAGGTGCTTGTCAAGATGGCAGGCAAGGACGCTTCCAAGAAATTCAAGCAATTCCACAACGCTGCTATCATGCAAAAAGTCGGCCTACCCATGCAAATTGGTGTTGTTGCTGGTGCTGCTGAAGCTGCTGGTGCTGCACCTGCTGCTGCACCTGCACCTAAAAAGACGACTCCCGCTGCTACCCTTACTCACCCACAACAACTCGTGATGGCTGATGAAGCCCGCTTTGGTGAAGGTATCCCCTATGGTGATCCTACTTGGTACCAAGAATGGAACAGCCCTTATTACAAGGAATCGCATATCCGTTTGAGAAAGATCGTACGTGAATTTGTCGACAAGGAATTGATGCCCTACACACACGAATGGAGTGAAGCAAAGGCTATCCCACGTGAAGTTGTAAAAAAGGTTGGCCAAATGGGTTTGTTGGCTGCCGCTTGTGGTGCTGGTACCAATCCACAAATCGCTGGCAACAAGGCTCTTAACCCATACGGCTTGCCTGGTGTCAAACCTGAGGAATTTGATATCTTCCACGAATTCATTTGTATCGATGAATTGTCGAGAACCGGTGCTGGTACCATCATTTGGGGTCTTCAAGGTGGTTTGTCCATTGCATTGCCACCCGTCATGAACTTTGCACGTGATGAAGTCCGCAACAAGGTTGTTCCTGGTTGTCTTTCAGGCGAAAAGTTCATCGCTCTTGCTATTACAGGTATAAATGAATTACCCTTTATTCTAATTGCGTTACTCATATTACAAAAATGACCTTGTTAGAGCCCTCGGCCGGTTCAGACGTACAAAGCCTTGTTACCGAAGCCAAGGATATGGGCGACTATTACTTGTTGAACGGCGAAAAGAAGTGGATTACTCAAGGTGCATACGCTGATTATTACACTGTTGCTTGCCGTACTGGTGGACCTGGTATGGGTGGCATTTCGTTGCTTCTTGTTGAGCGTGAATTCCCTGGTGTCAGTGCACGTCAAATGGATGTTTCGGGTATGTGGGGTTCTGGTACATCCTATATCACCTTTGAAGATGTAAGTATACGATCATCACATGTTGTACATGCATGTATGCATGATTCTAATTGATTTGGTATAGGTCAAGGTTCCCAAGACTCATTTGATTGGTGAAGTCAACAAGGGCTTCAAGTACATTATGCACAACTTTAATCACGAGCGTCTTGGTATCGTCATGCAAGCCAATCGTTATGCACGTGCATGTATCGAAGAGGCCTTTGCTTATGCCCTCAAGCGCAAGACTTTTGGTGTACGTTTGATTGATCACCCCGTTATCCGTAATAAGTTTGGCCACATGATTCGTCAAGTGGAAGCTACCCATGCTTGGCTCGAAAGTATTCTCTATCAAGTCAAGACATTGCCTGCTGAAACACAACCAGCACGCCTTGGTGGTCCTGTTGCCTTGCTCAAGGCACAAGCAACTCAAACTTTTGAATACTGTGCTCGTGAAGCGGGTCAAGTCTTTGGTGGTCTTGCATATACCCGTGGTGGCCAAGCTGAACGTGTTGAGAGAGGTACTAGAGAAGTTCGCGCTTTCACCGTGCCAGGTGGTTCTGAGGAAATCATGCTTGATTTGGGTGTTCGTCAAGCATTGAAGAATTATGAAAAGAAGAACAAGTTGTAATGGCACACAAGATGTAGTTTTCTCTCCCCTTCACTTAATGTATATATATCCTACTACTCTTTCACAAATAGACCCTTCTTGGATTCTATCGCATCATATGCAGCTTTTATGTAATTGTGCACGATAATTTGATAAGCGTGTTGCCATGCCGACGCTATGAGTTTATTATACACGCATGGAGGAGAATACTTTTTAAGGGGACTTTGTGTACGATGATCCACTACACTACATTGTGGTGAAAGTAACAGCAGCAGCAGCACCTGCTTGTGCACCAGAATCATTTCCTTGACCCGATGAATTTGATGATGATCCACCACCAGCAGGACCAGTAGGACCTCGTGTAGAATATTGATAACCCTCTGGTTGTGCAGCGAATCCATGACGCATCCTCAAACCTTCAGGTGAACCTTCACCACTTGACTTTGATCCCTTGTTGTATATCTCGGGTGGACCTTCAGGGCCGTTTGTCCCATCATTTCCAAAAGGTTGACGTGGTAATGCATATTCAATGCCGAGGCGTTCGCTTTCTTCTTTGAGCTCCACGATATACGTATTGTGTCGTAACCAACGACCTCCTGCATCCTGCCAATTTTGCGTGTGTTCAAAGTAAAAGGTCACTGTGATACGGTTTTGATTCTCAAAGGAGACCACATTGCATGAGGATGAGTTGGGACGATAAAGTGTAGGTCGTTCGTTTGTCCATTCTGTCATATGGTCACGTAGCTTGTGGATCTTCCAAGTTGGCGTATCGAAGGCGATATGGATTTCTAAAAGCATGACAATGTGCATAAGTGCAAAGATAAAAAAGTTGAGGATAGCATTGATTTACCAAGCGTTTCACCCATAGGTCCACTGCGTCGCACGTTGGTGATGTATTGTGTTGCCAGCACTGAGTTTTTGGCATAAATGATCGTGCCATCCCAATTCCTAATGATTCAAGCCGTATGAGTACGTGTTGCTGGTATACCTCAATCCCTTTCCAATCAGCCATTACATACATGAAGGTCGATACCAGTAATCCAACCTTGACCACGACCCAATTATTGGTGCCAACAAAGATACGATCCCCAGCATCAAATGGATGCTACTCAAAGAAGAGAAGATCAATGATACAGCTTGCTTGTTGATGTGTTTCCATACACACTTACCGTGACAAAGACAAAGATAACCGAGTCAAATGCATCCTTGGCACTGTTTCCAAATACAAAGCTTGCTGCGATAAAAGCACTCCACAATGGCATCAATTGTGTACCAACGTTGACACCAAAGGCTGCACACACAATGATGATCTATATATAGGATAAGCATATAACTACCAATAAATGACATGATAAAGATACATACAAAGATGACCGTAAAGACGACGAGTAAAATGACATCCATTTTCCCTGTTGCTTGTGACAAGTCTCTCATGGATCGTGCCAGGTTTTTACGTTCACGGTAAATGCGAATGCATGCGGATCGCAGTTCTTGTTTGCTGACACTCCCGTTGCCATCGCGATCGAAGAGTCGAAATGCCTCCAATGCGTCGTGGTGGGAGTTGAAAAAGGGAAAGAGATCCTTTTCGTTTATCTGGCGGTTTCCAGTGGGTCCGACAATGTTGTGATAGATGCGTCGTGCCAATGCTTTAGCTTGGTGCGACGAGCTTTGTGGTGTCACAGCACCACTAGCACTCGTAGTGGCCTGTGCGGTGACGGTACGCCACTTTTTGTATCCAGTCTTAAATAGTCGACCAGGAGCACTACCAGCTGCTGTATTCATGAATGATTTCTCATCACCAATAGCTGTGCTGCTTCGAGAAAGAGGTGGCGGCGATGTTGGATCTTGTTGTTGTTGTTGTTGCTGTGAGTTATTATTCTTGGATGATGACTTGCTCACTTCACGTAGTCGTCTTGTTAAATTAGCTACGAAATCAGCTGTAGTACGTGAGTCATTGGTCTGTTGCATTGGTTGTTGTTGTTGTTGTTGTCCAACACATGATGGGTCCTTCTTTTCATCGTAATCATCATCCTTTTCTTCAAGGGCGGGAATGGCAATAAGGGTATCCATTCTTTGTGATGGGAAATGCACATTGTTATTACGCATGTCACCTTGTTGCTGCTGCTGTTCGGTACAACGCATGATTGATGTTGGCATGTTTTCATCTGTGGATGCTGAGCGAACAGGTGTCCCATTGGCACTTGTCGTGTCATTGTTCTTTCCTTTGCGTCGTATGCGTTTCAGCAAATCCTGGGGTGTTTTGCGTTTTGTTTTCTTTAGACGATCCAAGATTTTGAGCGCGTGATCATTCTCTGTGATACGGTCACCATAGGCTTTCCTATTAAATGAAACAAATGCAACCATTAGCACTGTCGGTGCTACAATAATGTCGATCATTTCGCCACCCAAGCCCCGAAACCCGATAACGGTACATACTTGTGGAAGGAAGTAACTAATACGGATAACACAATATCAGTACATGTAGATGAAAAGGTGCACAAAAATGAGACTCACCAATTAGCTGAAGAATAAACTTTTCAATAAACAGCAGCAATGCAGCGAAAAATACACATTCCCATATACTGTAAAAGACATTGACATAGCTGGGTCTTGTTGCACCTTCTGGTAACGCCACCAATTGTAGAATGAGTGCCCATGATCCCCAATTCCATGCCGATACCAATAATGCCTTGATGAAAGGACGCAACGCCATATAGTACTAAATGGGTGTGTGTATAGGATGGTGGGGGGGGGGTTGGCGTGGAAGATTTTTATCAGCGTGACATGCTACAAGCAAGCTTTTTTTGGGACGTTGTGTATCCTTACCGCCAATCGCATCCTCAAAACTTCTGTTGATTGTGGGCGTAGTAATCCAACCAAGCGTCGTATGGCCCAAGGTACAAGCTCAACCACTACTTGGAGCACCATGCTGATACACCACATGAACGCAGCCCATGTAAACCACAACTGCAGGTTGTATGATACCATGGATACATGATCTTGATATACCACAAACACGGCAACGTCCACAGCGATCAAAACCAATGCAAAGAGAAATAGCAGTGACCAGGCAATGTAGGACGAGTTGCGAGATAGGCACAATATCAGTGCACTTGATTTCTTGCTTTTCACCTTGTCATCTTCCTCTTCTTCATCATCACCACCAGCAGCCCAATCGAATTGATCATTATCGGTATAGTTGGTAACGAGTCCTGGACCTGTAAAAGGTTGTTAGCAAAAGCGGATGGATCGATTCATGGGTCACCACTTACCAGCCAATGCTTCCAGTGGTATATCAGGTGGGATCATTGTTTTGTCCAAAATCAGTCCCTCATCATCCGTTGAGCTGCGAGCGGATAACTCGGTATCAGTAGCACGAAAAGGAGGTCTTTCACCAGCGACCACAGTGGATTTCTCGGGTTCATTATCGCTGCTGTTATCGCTAAGCGATTGTTTTCTACCACCCCCTAGTAATCATGGATCAACAATGAATATCCACGATATGAGTGCTTTGTTAAAAAGTAGTACCATCATCCCAAGGTCCATCGTGAGCAGGTCCTTGATGATCCATCCCATGCATCGCATCCATCGTCATGGTGATTAATTAAAGAGAAAGATAGAAAAACTACTTTCTGCAGATAGTGGAGAAGAAAAAAAGTTGGGATGAGAAAAAAAGAACACCGTAAGAGGAAAGACGAGGAAGTTGAAAAAAAAGAAACAGGTGGGGTTGGGGGGTGGGATCAACCAACAACGGGAAAGGATGCGTCAGGGATACACAAAGTAGTATTAAGGGCTACCCAATCATCACGCGACGGGGATCTTTTTTGTTTCAAGCGCCTGTCCTGTTCCTTTCTTTTTGGGATAATTCATTTGCGTGAGAAAGGTGGTCTTTATTTCACTGTGTTGAAGAGAAGAAGGGAAAAGCAAAGGCTCCAAACAATCAATGCACTGATTTTTTACTTGTTCAAGTCTTGTGGGACGACAACTAAACTTTATGCAGCACCCAGGTATTCGAAAATCCTGTTACTGTCGATCCATTACAACCATCGTCGGCATGTCAATAGGAGCTAATCAAAACGCGTGAGATGACGCGACTCTGTAAATACCAACATAGAGCTCTTTGGATATGCATATGATCCATATCAGGAATCTAGCTAGATTCGTTGCCACTTTTTCTACAATATGTATCCAACGATTGATATTTTAGTCACCAGGACGAAAAAAAGAGAGGAGTATGATTTATTAACGCAAACAAATGCTGATGCTGATGATGCTATGCTTTTTACTCGAGATCCATATCCATGTCTTGCACGCTATCCTCGTGATGCATTTGTTCATCCTGGCGTCGGTGTCGAAACGTCGCGTTCAACAGCATGGCTTTGACATCGGAAATGCTCCGTTGTGAATTTCTGACAAATCCAGGCATTGGATATCGATGGTATTGCAATGCGTCTCGTTGAAATCCATAAAGTTGATGCCAATCTCGACTTTTACTTAACTCTTTTTCGAATTTGTGGAATCGCAACTTGTCCCGGCTGATATTAATCGGCGAAGCCTGTGTGCGCACCACATGAATTTCACCATTGGCTTCCATCTCTCGCACACAAATGCTCACACACACACGCACACACACACACACATAACACCTCCTCCCCCTCCTCTCCCTTTCTCTGGATGTAGTCTTACCTCAAGTGCTGCCATCCTTTTGCTTCGATCACTCTCCTTTTTCTTTGTAGCCCAATCTCTCCATTCCCTGGTTTAAGAAAACATTGAGCATGATGCCTCATAGGATCCCAATTCACTTACTGTCTCCTAAGCTCTTCTTCTTGACGTCGTCGCATCTCCTTTTCTCGTTTTTCATCCTCAAGCCGTTGTTGTTGTTCTTGTTGAAGACGTTTCTATGGTAATGTTATAAGATACAGGAATCAAAGCGTTATGGATAGGGTCATTACCTCTCGTTCACGTTGTTCCTTTTCTTGTGCAATTCCATCCAAAAGTACACCCACATCAAAGGCTTGAGGAGCAGGTTTCTTAGGTACTGGTTTGCTAGGGAGCTTGTTGGCCACTTTGTTTGGCACACCTTTGTTGGCCTGATAAAGAAAAAAAAAGTGGTCAATGAAAATTTAAAACAGCCATGAAGAGTGTATCCCATACCTCATGCGGTCGTGCAGTGGCGTTTGTGATCTTGGGTTTTCTTTGTGCGGAGAGTGCCAAAGGAGGAGCGTTGGACTTTGTGGGAGTGGAAAGTTTGGTGTCGGATAGGGCGAGTCGTTTTGTATTGGTAGTAGTGGATGCTGTTGCTGAAGATGATGATGCGGATTGTGATGCTGGTGGATGCTTTGAAATGGCGAGATGCAATTGATTATTATTATTAGATGCTGGTACGGATGATGCTGATGTAGGTGTTGTTGTAGACTATATTGCAAACAATCAAATCAGTCATAAGAAACACGAAAAAGGCCACACAATACATACTTGTGGTGGTGGTTGATTTTGTTTCAAGGATGCTGTCGGTATCCTGAGCCTTAACACTGCTATACATCATAAGGTGAATTGAATTATTCTCATATCCCATGAATGCGTGTATCTTACATGATTTCGGTTCTTTTGATGGATCCAATTCTTCTACGTCTTCACGTGCTCGTTTGGGTTGAGGTGGTATACTGTCGATTGGAGCTATTATGATGATGATTGTGAATATACGCTGCTATGACAATTAAAGCCATCCCATACTTACCAATGTCACGCTTCAATCCTTTTGATGATTTGCTGGCACTGCTCTTCTTCTTTTCTTTCTTTTCATGTAGCTTTTCCCAATAAGCTTCGAATGTTGCCTCGAGGTTCTTTCCCGATTGATGAACTGGGTGACCCGGTGGATTGTAGGTGTAGCAATTTTGAAACATCAAATGCATGTCGTTGACAAACTCTTGTTCGTTGGCGTATTCGTATTCGAGCAACTTCTTTTCCATTGTCGACAAGTCCATCGGCGTTTTAATGATGTCGTAGTAGTCCACTGCACCCCATGCGCCGGCATCCACAGGCTTCAAAAAGATCCATGCGTCTTCAAGATGCTTTGGCTTTTTGAGTTCCTTTAGCGTCTTTTCACATCGTTTGAATTCATCATCCGGCATGAGTTCACCAGCTGCTTGCTATCATAATCAAGGAAGCGTGTCAATTCATATATATATATGATCTTTTATATGCCAAGACAATGAGCTTACAATTGGGATAGGTCTTTTTTCCATGCCACGTCGATATGCTTCTTCGAGCTTTCGACCTTCCAATGTCACTGGATCATAGGGGCCATTATAAAGGTAGCAGTTGTTGAACATGAGCTGGATATCGTTGGCGAACGCGTCGATGGAGTCATACTGATCGCTGTGGAGCTTTGTCTGAATCGTTCCAAGATCCATTGGGTTCTTTACAATATCAGGATAGTCGGGGCAGTTGAGTGCGACTGGATCGACAGCAACAAGAAACGGCAAAGCGTGTGGATTCTTCTTTAAGGATTTGAGAAGATTGTTGCAAAACTGTTTGTCTCTCGGCGACATGATGGCATTTTCAGCTGGAGGTTGATCGGTGTTTGCAGGCTGTGTTGTGTGTTGCATGTCCATTGAGTGAGCAGTTGAAAGAAGTACAGAGTTGCCCAAGGCTAGCATGTCTCTCTGTACGGTGGTGGAGGTTTGGTGGAAGTAGCGCAAAGCCCAAGGATTGAACACCATCTTTGTCCCGCAATCATTTTGTCTGGCTTGGTCTCACACCAGTCAAGCTCCTCACCTCTCCCGCTTGCGTCATCACTTTCCCCACTCCGGAAACTTTATTGGCCACATTGATTGATTGATACAAAATCATTTCCCCTCTTCTTGTTCTTTGTAGTTAGGTTACTTATTGAATGAATTATACGCTATCAAATACATGTGATAAGATACCTTAAAAATACACACAACTGGATCTTTTGTAGCGACATCATCCATTAATCAACCAAGCTTGCTGTATATCAACTACTAGGGAAGGGAAAAAAGAAAGAAGAATGAAGCGAGCAAAGACAATGAAAGGATTTCTAAAATAGCTGCTGTGGTTGATTGATTACATGCACAAGGTCAAGATGTGGCTTGCGGTGCCCTGGATTTATCCTTCAAGTCTTTGGAATCGATGATTCATCATAGCTTGTCTCATGCCAGGTTGGTTCATTTTTGTGCTAGGTGGAGATCTACCCTACCAAAGTACGAGCAAAAGGTGATGCTTGGGGTGTCGTGGGCTGGAGTATTGATGATACCTTTATCATGGAGATGGTACCACCCATGATTTCAATCATAAAGTGGATCACATTTATAATCCTTGCTACGCTTAATCTATTGTATGGGCATTTTATCCTGAGACAAGTAACAAACAACTCGAAGAAATGAATGATTTTTTGCAACCAAGTCGTCACTCGCCTTCAAAGCAGTAAAAGAATTGACCAAGAAAAGAGCGAGGAATGGTGGTTCGCTCGCTTTGGACGACACTGGCAGCAGGAGAAGTTGCTATTAATGATCCCGATGATGAAAAGAAAAGCACCGCGACGAGCTTCCATTCACCTGCCACTTACCACACCAAGGCATGAATTGGCAATGAACAAAAAGCACCTTTCATATACCATCACGCTTATTAAATGAGGTGGTTTTGATCATGTGACGATTCAATACTAGAGTTCACCAATAACATTCAATAGGCGACACAAGCTGAGAGCATGGTTGCAAAAGGATGGAATGTTGTCAATAAGATGAAGAAGGTCAATGCAACAAGGTTCCAGGAGTGTGCGTACGTTTATATGCAATATCTGAAATCACGCTCTAGCTCATCACTTTGATTCCACCGTAACCATACCCCACATTCCTTGAGCTTACATTCATGCATAGGCTGTAGTAATCAATCCTTCGAACCTATCACAATATCTCAAATCACATGACTCTCCACGATCCCTTTCCTCAATGATGTTGGGTAAATTGAAATCATGAACATTTACGATTGACCACTGTGTGTGTGTGTGTACAAGAACAAACACAACATCCAAGAGATGTTTTATTGTTGCTATGGGAGATGATCTGGAGTTTAGACCTTGAAACCACGGCTGGCACGCTTGCCACGAGCCTTCTCGAACTTGCGGCCCTTGCTGCGGACGTAAGGCTTCTTGTTCTTGTGGGGACCCATGCCAAAGTGCTTGACAGCCTCACGAGAGTTCTATAATAAGCGTAGTCTCTATATTAATACCATGGCCCAAATCATGTAGGAAGGAAGGAAGGATGTATGTATGTATGTTACCTTGGCACCACGAAGCAAGACAGTGTTGGAACCAGTGGGGGCACGAAGAGCCAATTGATCCAAAGTCAAGATTTCACCACCAGCCTTAAGGATGCGAGCGCGAGCAGTCTTGGTGACGCGAAGAGCGGCAACAGAGAGCTTGGGCAAGTCAAGAAGACGAGAGTCATCGGTGACGTTACCAACAACGACCAAAGTCTTACCCTCTTGGTTGTTCTTGACAAGACGAGAGACGGTGACAGAAGGGCGGTGGATACGCGACATAAAAAGACGCTTCAAGACGACCTTGTTAAAGTCGGCATCAGTACGGCGGGCAAGGAAGCGGTACAACTACAATAAACAAATGATGGGTTATTATTCACTCTAGCCTGTAAATGAAGGCGATCCTATAGACCCTTACCTTGACCAACAACAACTGGTAGACGTTTTCCGACTTGGGAGCTGTGCGGTTGGACTTCTTGACGTGGTGGTTCTTAAGATCGATACCCTGTAATAGACATGATAGCCATCAGTTGAATATGCTTAATAAACCAATGCCAAAGTCATATCAAGAACGAGCATGTAGTCAATGAGAGAGAGAGAGAGGTGTAGAGGTAGGAGCCAAGAAAGAAAAGAGGGGTAGTCGGTCATTGTGCATTGAACGTTGAAGAGCGTAGGTGTGTGTATATATATAATCCATCTTCATTCATCCATCTTCATCCATCCAATGATTGATGCATCCATTCGTTGTATCGATTGTATTGTATCCATCCTCTTTCTCTCTCTCTTGTTCATCTGCTCTTGTTGATATGAGATGGGTGGTTGTCATGGACATTTACCATTTCGAGCCGTTATCGTGAAGGAAGGAGGATCGTATCGGTTGCACGGCCTACTGTAAATTGCGCTCGCTGGCTCAGTCTCAGCCAACCAAAACAAGTTATCGGACTATCCACCACAGCATCGCATCCTTGAGCGGATTATCAAGTCCCACCCACATACAGTGTTCATGCATACTATTATCATACTCATAGCTAAATGTTGTCTCATTATTCCACTATTCAACCCTTAGTGAAACGCTGTTCTTTAGCCACTAGATCACATGACACAATACTTTTACATCTTTTACATTCACATGCGCAAGTGCTTGGGAGAGTGAATCATCCTTAATGCCTTTGATGGTCATCGCTTTATTCATTATATGCATAAACATTTGATTGATGGTGGTTGATCCTTTACTGTGTAGTCATCAGTTTTTGGTCTAAGACAAGATGTTCGCTTCTTGACAATAAATGCCACTCATGCTGATGGATGGAGCTGTTGTCGTTTTCGTAGCAGCATCATTCTTGTTTGAAACTCAGGCGGAATCAGCCATGCAAGTGTACTCCTACTTTGTGGTCTTCTTTTCTTTTGACACACACACACACACAACTCTTTTCCCTCCCCTCCCCTCCCCTGACCAATGACAGACACCATTCAACCCAATCCGAACGAGACACGTCTTCGTAGACTTTATCCAGGAGCTCGCTTAGAGGTGAGTCATTCAAGTTGTTGTGTTGCAACGTAACGTGTCACTGATCGACTGGTTGGCTCCCTTTTTCTTACACGTGTATCGCATTCAAAGCAGACCGTATTCGCATGGCCCAATGAAACACTCGATGACTTGGACTCCTCATTTGCCGTACAAGAATACCTGCAACAACTGATACGACAAGATCGCAACAACGTGGAAAGGCTTATTGAGCTTCCTGAGTCAGTGGATAGGGAAGTATGGCAATATGAACATCTCAGGTAAAAAGCGACAAGATGATGATACGAGATACGCGTGATTTCTTATGTTTATATGCATATAGACAAGTATGCCTTGAACTATCATTACTCGTGGTGGCACTGGAAAATGAATGTACGAAGGAGAATTGCCCGGAGATGAAGGCGGATGGTTGGTTGTATCTATGTGCAGCTCATCCATCGACACAATCGGTAAGTGAGGAGGAGTTGAGGAGGGGGTGCAAATACACGCACATCTGATTAAGGAGTGTAAGGGGAAGATGTGTTGCGTACCTGACATTTGTGTATTCTAGTGCCCAGCTATCGATTATATCATTCACACACTTGATGGTGCTGCCATGTTACTCAACAATTCAAAGTACTTTCCTAGCAGGTAAACTGGAAAAAGGTTTGAGGTTTATACAGGAGATTCATTCTTTTTCATAGAATATCCATTCCTCAGCCATCCTTAAAGCACTTTCAATCGATTGCTCGGCGACTCTATCGAGTATTTGCTCACGCCTATTTTCATCATCGCGAGATATATCAAACATTCGAGGTAGGGAGTGATAGTAGGTGGATCATCGAGTAGGAGGAGTTTATTGATACATGTGTGTACATGGCCTATGTAGAATGAGACATCTCTTTATGCAAGGTTCTTGTTGCTCTCACAAACTTATGAGCTGATACCCCCAAGTCTTGTCACGATTCCAGAATCACCATCTGAAGATAATAGCCAAAGTCAAGAAAATAGCCCATGAAGTGTACCCATTCATTCACCCCTCCTAGCTTTTAATAATAATACACCTGCGTAATTCAAAGTACTGGTATCTTATGATGAAGTGAGTTGTACAATGCCATTTTGTGGATCAAAGGTAGCCAAAGGTCGACTATGGAGTTGTAAGGGGTTCCCAGACCAAATGACAAAATCGGAAACTTGTTGTTGTTGTTGTGGACCGAAAAAGATGTCTTGAATGTTGGTGGTAACAAAGCGCATAGCATCCGCATCCGTAATACGTTGTTTATCATTGCTGCCTGTTGCTGTAGCTGAAAGCCATCCCGCATCCCATGCCAAATTACGAGTCCATCCATCATAAAGTACGCCTACTGCCACTTTGACGTTATTGCGGAAAAGCACATGGGCTGCTGTACCCTCTGTCAATGGGGCACCTGTCAAGCAATGGAGCGAATCAAATTGTTTTGGTGTACACAGGGCTGGTCGAAGGATCACTGCAATATCAGCCTTGGCAAGAGGATAAGCCAACAAATGGGCTTCAGCACCACCCATAATCGCAATGCGTGCATTTTTGAGATGTTGTTCTTTGAGTCGAATGATGGATGCAATCTCGTCTTTGTTTTCAACCGTAATGATCGTTGCGATTTCACCACGTGCAGCACGTCCATAATCATTGTTTGCATCCATATTTTCAGTCAGCAGACGACGTATAAAAGCAATTTGACTCGAGATGGTGGGGAAACTAGCGGATTTGAATGCATGTCCAATTTGAAGATGAAGTGCCACTGTAGGTGCAATCACCGCATGCTCATCCAAAGCTATCAATGATACGTAGGTGAGAATCCACTCAACAGCTGTTGTATTGTACCAAAAGGTGTGGAACTTACATGATTTGGCACCCGTTTTGAAAGCTGTACTCAATCCAGCGACAATGTTATTGGACATGGGTGCTGTAATGGCTGTCAAAACACCTCCCTTGTGTGCTTCTTCAAGATGTCGTGTGCCAAGTTTCAATCCATCAATGGCTCGAATAATAGCATGTGGATCAGCGCTTGTTGAAGGTTGACCAATACCATCACCAGTGGATCGTTCAGATGGGATCTCAACCATGCCTAGTTTAGATCCAACGGCGATAAGACCCTGCATCATTGTTGTTTTTTTGTCAGTCTAAATATGGTAAAAATGGTGTTCAAATGTACGTACAGGAATCACATGGCCTCCTTTCAGGTCGATCGTAGGCATATTCGCATCCATGGTCATTCTGCAATCTTGATCAGCGCATGCAATGGTTCCATTGATAACTGTAAGCTGAGCTGGTCCTTCAATAACATCCTTGCCCAACATGATACGACCCACATTGGATAGAACAAAAGATGATTCACCATGCATAGAGTTGAAAGCATCGATAGCTATGTTGACATCCTCTGCTGCTGCTGCTGCGTCATTGTTGATAGTGGATTGCTGGTGTTGTTCATTCTCAATCACAGGATCGTCAAACAACGAAACACCATCAATGAACACTTGTAGTGGTGTAGCAGCAAGGGCGAGTGGTGATCGATCCCAAATAACAACATCAGCATCATATCCAGGCTTGAGAGATCCAACACGGTGATCCAGTCCTAATGCTTTGGCAGGTATTGAAGTCACTGATTGAAAAGCTACTTGTTCAGGGACACCATAGTGATGTGTTTTTGCAGCTTGGAACATCAAATGTTGAGCGTTGGTGACTGAGTGATCGGATTTGATGGCAACGGTAATATTGGCATCATGCAGAATCTTGGGACCATAGGGTGACCCATTGAATGCTTCCTTTTTGTATCCCCAATGATCGGCAAATGTTGCTATGGTGATGGTATCCTTGTTACGTACTCGGCGTATAATGTCGGGGATAAGATAGGCATCCAAAGCATGGTGGAAAGCGCTGATGTTAAAGTTGAATTCCAGAGAATGACGCACCATAGCTTCAATGTCGTGTGTCTCATAGCAATGAATGTTTAAACGAACATCCCCACGTAAAAGTGCCACCAAGATTTCCAATTCAAGCGTTTCTGGAAATCGAGATTCAAGTCGTTCGCCTTCACCCAAATTCTCTGCTGCACTGCACCAATCGTCTTGCTCGATAAGAAGATTCCTTGCTCGTTCCAATTCCTTTCGAAAGAGATAGGCCTCACCCATACCTGCAGAATGATCCACATTAGATTGAGAGAGATTTTGGACCAATGCGTACTTACGAGTCACTGGCATTTCTCCTAATAGCTTGCCATAGTCATTTTTTATATTCTCTCCACATGCCCATTTCATCCATCGTTCCTCTGCATCGGTCTCTGGGTCGATTCCTGCTTGCACCAACATGTCTTCATTGCTGCGTGTGGGTACTGCTCGTAGTTTGAAAGCATAGGCTTCACCACCCATAAGATTAGCTGATCCTGGTAACACCAAGGATGTAGTAATACCACCCGAAGCGACAATGCGAATGCCCTTATCATCAGGATAAAATGCGTCAAGAGCACGAACAAAGGGTGTCAATGGATTCGATTGTTCATTTCCATCACGTAATGCGGCGAGACTGGGCCATGCAAAAACGCCTAGATGACTGATAACGATACAATAAGATATCCATTTCTCATCCTTCATCATCCCCATTTCATATACCTATGCATATCCACAAGACCAGGAGTAACAATACGTCCCTTGACATCAATCACCTTTGTATTGTTGCCGTTGTCGTCATCGATACGAATGTCTTTTTCCACACGACGAATGACGCCATCCTGCATCAAGACATCGACATCATTCAAAACGTTGCCCTGACCATCCCACACGATAGCATTCTTCAACAAGGTTGTTTGGACATTGCTGGGAGCACGAGGATTCGTTGTACGTGAAGGATTGTATTGATTGATGGGTTTTTGACGTTGAATGCTTTGACACTTTGCGAGTCCTTCTTCCATAGCACGTGTTGATATTCCAGGCTTGATAGGAGGGTGGATACGTTGATAATCATGATCTTCAAGAGGGCTTGTTTCTGGAAGCAGCAATACGAGGGCAATACCCGTTATCAAGGACGCGAATATCAAAAGGCATAGAATCACACCCATACGACGCCGAGTCAATGAGTTCTTGACGCGTTGCCAACGACTTGGTGGTGACGGTGAACCAACAAGAGGTTCATTACCAGGGATGGCATCATAGGTCGCCGGCATGGCAATGGGGTCAATGAAGCGTAGTAGTAGTGGAGCAACAACGAGAGAGAAAAGAGAAAAACAAGGTGGGTGGCGGAATACAACTAGTTAACCTCCATGCAGTGTAACGACCTACTAGAATGTATCACATCCCCTTTCATCTCCCCCAAAAGTCACGTGTGTGTAGCTCAAACATTTGATTTATTACATTTTTGTACATTGACTGACAGCAGCAGTAATGATGATGATGATGATGATGTTACTTTAGACGGAGTCCAAGACAGGGGGCTCAACAAAGTCCTTGGAGACCTTGGTACCAACATCACCAGCAGCGGCAGCACCACCGTGAAGGGCAAGCAAGGCAGAGACATCGAACTTGGGTGCCTTGAGGATCTTGACCTTGCGAATGTAGGTGTTTTGCAAGGGGTAGATACCTTGGCAAGCCTTCTCAATGCGAACAGCCATAGCATCTTGAGCAGAGTTGGAAGCAGAGGCGGTAAGCTTGGCAACAAGTTCCTTCAAGTCGCAGCCGACAGTCTCCTCAGTCATGATGTCAAACATCTTTTTGCGGATTTGACGGATTTGGGAGCTTTGAGCATAGGTGGTCTTCTTAAGCTGGTTGCGACGACGAGCAGTGAAGGAAATGCAGAAAAGACGAACAAGGTAGCCATCGGTGGTCTTGACATCAACGAAGGCTTCAATCAAAGTCTATAACCGATGCATTAATAAACCCATATTTTTCCTTCCCTTCATCATGTGCTATTTTACCTGCCACTTCTTGACCATGGAACGAAGCTTATCCGAAGTCATATCCATACCATAAAAGTTGGTAAGGCAGTTCTTGCCCTGGATTTCATCAACCTTAAGTTGGATCTTGCGGAAAGCACGAGCCTCATCCTTGTTCAAGTCACCAAGGGAAACTTCAACGACACGGCCGTTAAGAGAATCATTGGCGTTACGAAGACCTTGGGTACGGTTGACCAAAGTCTTGCCGACTTGGCGCACCTCAAACATGGAGGGAGCCTTGATGTCGTACCAGTCCTTACGGGTGAAGGGGTCGACGCTATTATTGTTCCCATATATATAAATGATACTATTCAATGGATATCGTATACGGATTTTATCACTTACACCTTCTTCTTAAGACCCTTCTTTCCTTTGCTAAGGCGCCTGTGAAAAATTAAAGTGTGTGTGAGTGAGCGATGTGATGCAATGTCGATGATGATGGTGAAATCGATGGATATCGTACTTGTTTTTGCCAACAGCTATAAAATGACATTGGATGGAGGGATTAGTATGATGGATAAGGATGGATGGATGATTGATGTATGTTAATCCTTACCCATATTGGACGAATAAGAGGGGGATCCAAGGATTGCAGGTGGCCACCAGCACCTTGGCACTCTCGGGGAACAATTGGAAACTCAGATTTGCTCAAGCTTGAATGGGTGTTAGAGCTGAGAGCGCTGCCTGAAGGAAATGCACCAAGCCCGCACATCCACGCTCCTTCTCTTTTCAGCTCACTATGAAGGTACCCCATCATATATCATCAACGACACAACCCATCCACCCACAAAAAGGAGAGAGAGAGCAAACAACACTATCACATTTGAAATGAATGGATGAATCAACTAGATCGATGGATGAATTGATATCGAATGGATCCACCCCTATCAATTTCCACTTCCACACCCAATGTGCTCTTGCTCTCTCTCCTTTTATATGACATTGACTCGTATTGAAGCATTTTGTACTAAACACTTTTATTATAGCTTAACATTGCGAACCCAGCCACTGGCTGCCAGAAGCTCTTTGAAATCGATGACGAGCGCCGTGTGTAAGCATCTCTATTCTACTACCTTGGTTACCATAGCAACTCACTTTTTAATTCTCTTCCAGCCGTGTCTTTTATGACAAGCGCATGTCCCAAGAAGTTCCCGGTGACTCCATTGGTGATGAATTCAAGGGCTATGTGTTCCGCATTACCGGTGGTAACGATAAGCAAGGTTTCCCCATGAAGCAAGGTGTCCTTTTGCCCCATCGTGTTCGTTTGTTGTTGAGCAAGGGCCACTCCTGCTACCGTCCTCGCCGTACTGGTGAGCGCAAGAGAAAGTCTGTTCGTGGTTGTATCGTTTCCAGCGACTTGTCTGTTCTTTCTCTCGTTGTTGTCAAGCAGGGTGAGCAAGATATTCCCGGCCTTACTGACAAGACCGTTCCCAAGCGTCTTGGTCCCAAGCGTGCTTCCAAGATCCGCAAGTTCTTCAACTTGAGCAAGGAAGATGATGTTCGCAAGTATGTCATTCGCCGTGAAGTTCAACCCAAGAACCCCGAAAAGAAGCCCTACACCAAGGCTCCCAAGATCCAACGTCTTGTCACTCCCGTCACCCTTCAACGTGAACGCCGCAGAAAGGCTCTCAAGCGTAGACGCAATGTCGCCGCCAAGGAAGCCGCTGCCGAGTACAAGCAACTTCTTGCCAAGCGTACCAAGCAAGCCAAGGAAGCCAAGCTTGAACGTCGTCGCACCTCTTCCATGCAAAAGTCGGCCTCTGCATAAATATGCTTCTCATCCCATCATCTCCGTATGTATTTTTTGTGCCTGTACATCCACCTCTTTTGTGTGCGTGTGCATAAACGTGTCGTGTTTGTGTCAATACAACAACATCAATCAAATTACTTTTTTATCCAATTGTGTGTGTGTGTGTGTGTTTGCAAAGGTGAATGGATGGATGGATGGATGGGAATCACTAGGAGGAGGGGTAAACTATGAGAGGGGAGAGGGGAGAGTTTCTTAAAGGTTGGTATAGACAATGATGTTCTTGTGATGGGTAGGAGGAGGAGGTGGGATACCAGGTTGAAAGCCAATATCATTACCATCAACAGGTGGTTCACGTGGTGTGCGATAGATGTGTGTCTTGACATTTTTACGAGTGGCTCTAGAAAAAAGAAATCCCATTGTGAAAAAAAGACGATCTCATCTAACTTCCATTTAAATGTGTATACTTACGCTTGACGGACACTGATAAAGTTGTCAATACGTTCCTTAGCGCCTAATCCAAGTTCACTTCCTTCTTTCAATTCGGGTTGCATATCCATAAGCTCATCTCGTGAATATCTTCTGACATGGTGTGTTGGTTGCATGTCCATAAGTTCCTCTCGTGAATACACCCAATCGCCATCATCATCATCATCATCGTCATCGTCGTCGTCAACATCATTTGCCTTGTTCTTGTCCCTTGTTGGTTCATCCACTTCCACATCATCAAATGTCATTTTGATATTGTCGTGGTGGTGGGCATCTGCCTCATATTCACTCTTGGTAGGAGATGACAAGGCATCCTCGTATTGATCACTTGAACCAGACGACAATGGTTGCTCTTGTTGTTGTGTATCAATGGTAACATTCTCTTGCTCCTCGTGCTGCTGATGGTCATTGTCATTGTCATTGTTGTCAATTTCTTCCTTTTGTGGTTGTTCATCAAGCGGCTGCAGAATGTCATCAGGTTGACGATACTTTTTTGGATGCTTCATGACTGGTGTTGGCTTGACGGTTTGTACGAATGGCTGAAAACCTTCCCAACTATCAACCAATGTAGCTGTGCTCCATGGATTATCGGTGTTTCTTGGTCGCTGCCATGTCATAGGGGAAGGTGGAGAAGTAGGGCGCATTTCATCATCCATGTGATCACTGTACATCTTGCTACTTGAGACTTTGTAGCTGCTGTCATCATCACGTTTGACGGATGGCTGATATTCAGTAGTAGGAGATGTCGTACCACGCGTTGCCAAACGGTCGGTGCTATGTTGAGGTGAAGGGATTGCTGCTGAAGATACGTTGAAAGATGATGATGTCTTGCTGTTGTCAAACCAAGAGTCATATCCTTGAGCTGCAAAGTGAATATCATCATTGTTGGATGAAGTATCATTCGATGATGATGACCATGTTGTCACTTCGGTCGTTGTAGTAGTAGCAGCAGGAGGAGGAGGAGGAGGCAATGATGATGACGATGATGAAGGAGGAGGAGATAGATTGTATGAGGGACGTGAAGAAGCCATCGGTGAGCCACTGGTATCATATGCTACAATGGGTGACAAGTCAACTGCTTTGGATGCTTCTGATGTTGGCGTAGGTGGCAAACGTGTGGGTGACATGCTTTGAACAGAGCCTGGGATCTTGATGATAAGCTCATCTTTGGTGTAAAGTTGTGGTGGAGATACAATGCTATGCTCGCCATACTGCTGCTCCTGCTGCTCCTGCTGTAGTTGTTGCTCAAACGAAAAGCTAGCTTGAGGCGAAGAAGGGTTGCTCATTGAAGGTCGTAATTCACTTGCTTGATCAGAGGGAATGGGTTGTGCGTTGTCGTTCTTTTGTTGTTGCTCATGGTGGGTTGCTGTATCGCGTGTCAAAATAGATGGGTCGTGTCAAAGATCATCACACCGGCATACGCAGCACACTGACATACCCTGATTCAATCGTTGCAAGTTCCATGGCCTGAAAGTAGAATAAGGTTGACGATAGCTGTTCCATGAAGCTGGTTTGGTTGCGTTTTTGGGTTCCATCAGATGTTGTAAGAATCAAACAAAGTAAAGGAAGAAAGGGGGAATTCCTCTCATTACCCTCATTCACCTCTCTTTTTTAAATCAGCCATCACGTCGAAACTATGTCATTCACATGACCCAATAGCATGCTTTCTTCCTCTCATGCAAGTAATTGAGCCCTTTACTTTTATGTTCGATCATGCAAATACCATGTCAATTATACATACATAGATGATGCATGAATCAACAAGCCAATGTTAAGATGCAAATAATGTCATTGTGATCTCCCAACAGATAAATACCCAAGTTGTTATTTCTTTGGTATGCGATGCACACGCGTTTTTGTTTACATGTTTATGAGCAGCCCGTTTCAAACAATCGCGATCATGTTCTTCACTTGAACCAACAAATCACTTGTGAGATGAATACTTGTATATCACAATAGCTAGTAGCTGATGATCATATAGGTATCCTTTGTGATGATAAAACACTTGTATTGATTATACACTCACTATACACTATACTACAATATACACAGATCAATCACTATCCAATGACTTGACCAAAGGCATTGCCCATCGTTTGCATGCCCCAGTTTGCGTTTTGAAGCGCTTCACTACGGCCATCCAAAGGTCTGGGTTCGTTTTGTTCCTTCCAAAAGGCTAAATCATTTGCAATGTGTCCACGCACAACCTTGGTATAAAACCAGGTGAAGCACAGCATCAGGAACGATCCAAGACCGAAAATCAGGAATCCAGCCAACTCAGCGCTACCCGTGTCAATGCCTGTAAGGACAATGATAAGCTTGATAAAGAAGCCGACAATAAGCATGAGACCCCAAGAGAAGGTCATGACACGCATGTCGCGACGAAATCGAGCCAAATGACGATACGCCCAATCCAGCTTTTGCTTCTTGGCCATATGGGGATGGTGTTGCTTTTTGTATAATCGTGCATCATCGTTGGCTGCAAGCTCTTCATCCGAATCGGTTCGTGGCATAATCTGGTTTGTTACTTGGAATACAAGAGGACGCATTTCCCAGGATCCAATCTTGATAGGTATAATCGATACAACACAAATCACTCCCACTAAAAGGGGTACAATGCTTTCACAGATGGCTTCGGTCTTTTCATCAGGCTCAGCAATGGACTACAACAATAACATAATGAGTATACATGATGCATAATAATACAAACGCTGATGATAATACATACCACAATGCCCGAGATAAGAAAACTGATACCTGCTACCAAGCCCAATGGATCAAATCGTTTCTCCCGCAACATGCGTCTAATGATGATTCGGTAAGTAAAATCCGCCATAGAAGTTCGTTGATACTACTACTCACAGGACAACAATCAACAAAGGCGGAGCTGATGCGACGACCATGGCGAGCACTTGACCAAGATGAGGTCGAAGGATATGGTATAGCAAGATGGGTAATCCAATGCACCAAAGAATAGCAAGAATAAAGTTCCATATGGGTCTTCCTCGCATGAATTCAAAGCTAAAGATATCCTGCAAGTCGCCAAGATCCGTTGGTAAATCCTCATCCTGCTCGTGTGGTGCATACGCGTTGTTGTTGTTGTTGTTGTTATCACTCAATAATTGACGTTCATCCTCTGTTGTTCCTGGTGGACCCTGATAACCCTGAGTATAGGCATTGTCGTTTGGGTGGGGGTAATTGCCGGCATACTCATGACCGTCAGCGTAACAGTTTTGACCATAAGCCGGTGGAGGTTGGGTTGGCATAGTTGCCTCGTTAGTGTCGTCGGGCTGATTTCGCGATCGAAAGAAAGGCATGGCGGTTGTCACATGAGAATGCCAATGGTGTCAACAAGAAAAAAGTCGGGAAGAGAGCAAGCAGTGTGTGTGTGGATGTGTTTTTTTATGGTCTCGGTGTGGCCCCCGTCTTGGCAGAAACGGCACAAGTCTTTAGCCGATAAAGAACGAAATGCAAACAATGACCGATATTGATAAACTTTATCATCACAAAGAAGCATCTTCTCGAATAAAATCACTTGATAATGTCCACCTTGTCATTTATGCATTGCTATTGTTACGATTGGAATAATGGAACATCATTCTACATCATCATCATCACCCATCATGCAGTATCAGCGAGTGTCCACCCGCTTAAAACAAATGAATGTTGTCGTGTCGGATTGTACAAATATGGATATTACACAAGGAACTTTCGACTGTTGCTGTCATTTACCTAGCCACATCTCCACCCCTTGTGGCACCATACATCTGTTTCATAGGGATTCGCTTGTTGTCACTAGAGCACTTCCTGATAGATATGTAGTCTTCATTCTGATGCAAAAGAGGATGCATCATTTGGAATGGGATGGCATTAAAGTGATCTTCTTGACATGAATGGTATAGATGTCACCTTTAGAAAGCATCATGTATTTGACCATGGTGAAAGGGCTTCTTTTGACGCTGGTATTCATATGACAAGAGTTCGATGATGCCTTGGTAATAAAGAAGGCTCTTTACAACGAGTTAAAAGAAGCGAGCTTTCATTGACCAAGAGGGCATAGAAACGAGGTTTCTCCAATCAATGACAACAGCCTTCTTTCATCATTGTTCTCAAAACATGCCTCCCTATATCATAGCAGCAGATAGAATGTATCTTCATAGGTAGGAACGCATTGCTTATACGTTTATCGTTACACAAAGTCGATGCCAATCGGGCTCAGTGAAGTAATGCTTCAAGACGACATGTAAATGTTGACATTTGTTTATTGTAGTAATGGTTATGGTGATATGGCGATGACTTTTATGCGTATGTATAATACCTCAACCAATCAAGATCAAGCGACATTTTCATTGTAGGTAGATCACGAGGGAGTGAGGTTATTCATATACATTACAAGAGGAGGACATTGGTGGGGGTGTTCAATGATTCGTATAGTGTTAAACGTGACGCTGCTGGAGGGATGGAGGAGATGAAGGGACAATGTGCATTTTCAATGAAATCTGACTTTCCGCTGTTCTTTTCTTTTGACAAAGCATTATACCACCACCACCTACGAGCGTTTCTTTATATATATATCCACCACGCTATGTCAGAAGATCAGTGCACCATTTGCTTTGAACGGCTAGGAAGCGACAAAATCGCAGCGTTACCTTGTCGACATGTATACCACCATAGCTGGTATGGATCGATGCAACTTTTTGGTTGGCACTACCTGTATACTCATAAAAAGAAAACAGCATCTTGCATTGGATGAGAACGAGTCGCAATGGTATCATGCCGTGTCCCATTTGCAAGCATGCAACGAATCGCCATGGCATTGTGGGTCCTCTCTATATCGAGTGTATTCGCATTGAACGCAAAAAGAACAATAGCCGCGATCAACCTATTGTTATTGACGACAACGGCAACAGCAGAGATAATACAACAAGTGGCACTACGACGACAACAACATCATCTTCTGACAGCGATAACACTACATCGAATGCCGAGTTGGAGAGTTTACGTGCGCGTCTACACCAAGCTGAAGAAAAAGCATCACAACTAGCATCCAGAAATATGCAACTGGAGGATCGGAACAGGAACCTTTTACGCATTAAAAAGTAAGTTCTTCTACCCTCCAAATCATCGGATGGATATTTACCTATCTTCTTTAATCGATAGAGTCGCTGATCTCGATGTCAACATGGGATGGAGTGGATCAAGTTCTCAAATGGATCAAATGCGTGGGTTACCGCATGATGAATTGATCGTCGCTTTCGAAGCTCTTCGGGCCCGTTGTTCAAAGACTGAAATGTAAATAAGACATGGCATATGGGGGGGACGTATACAAAAGCACTAACACATACGTTTACGACACAGGCATGCAAGGAGCCTTGAAGACATTGCCCGCTTGGCTCAGCAAAGGTATCAAAACTTGGTGTCAGAAAAAGAGTTCTTTGAGAGGAAATTCAACTCCTTGACCAAAAAAGTGGTAAGTAAACAATGATACTGGCGGTGGTGGTGTTGGTGATTCCCCAGGGATACTCATGAGGGTGTATGCACCTGAATAGGAAAGAATACGAAAGGAGAAACGGCGGCAAGCTGAGAGCGCAAATCATGGAGATCGAAGTAACAGGTACGAATGAGTAGTAGGATTGACAAGAAATATGTACTTTGCTAACATGATGATGATATGTGGTAGTCATCAACGAGGGGGGCCTAATGCGCCTGTCATTTTATATCGTCATACCGAGATCACAGCATCGCCTTCAGGGAATTCAGGATTACCCATGGGCCAAGAGCAGGGTTCTTTGTCCGATAATGATGATTCTTCAGAAACAAACGATGAGATGGATCCGGTGTCATCAAAAAAGTATGGTTTGAGGGATCATCCTTATTGCAAAGATCTAACAGCTCTCTTAGGAGTGGAAAACGTCCCATGGTCCCGAAAAAACGTCGTTTACAAGATTATCTACATCGATCTCCATCATCAAAGTAAGTTGGCAAGTGGATAAATGGACCATTGCATACTTACAACACCTTTTTTCCCTTCTAGTCACGATACCACGTCCAAAGAGCCTGCTGAGTAAGTGATTCCCTATTATGGTGTTTACAATTCAAGTACTCATACTATGATAGTACTACGCCACTTGTTTGGGATAATGGATTATCGGATACCGAGGATTATGGTCTGACAGTGGTGGAACCAAGAAGTACAAGGTAAGGAATACCACATATTAGTTACGTGCATCTATTTAACGTTGCATGGTAGTAGTCGGTGCAGAGAGCCTCCAAGCAATATGCATCTATTTTCAAGCACAAATTCGTAAGTGGGGATTATCAGGGAGACGAGGACGACGCTTAACATGGCACACCCTTTTAGTGTTACGAATGGGCATCGTGGTCACGTGATAGGTAAAGCCTCGAGAATGTTTCGTCGACCCAATGACTGACAATGACTATCATTGATAGACCTTACTGATGATTAGAGGATTGGAGAAGATGGAATGATTGTACAAATGTTTGTCTCGATTGTGTATAAAATTCATTATAAGTCCACCACGTTTCAAAAGAAGGAAATGGAAAGCATGGCTGGTGGTGGTGTTGGTGGTGGAGTAAGAGAGCTAGTGACTCGCTTATCCCGATAGAAAGGTCTGGAACAAGGACGTCTTTCTTTCACTTGTCGCGTTTCATTCAGCATGCCACTTCATCCTACTGTTCTTTGGGCTCAACGTCAAGATCTGATCTACCTCACGGTCCAGCTTATGGACATTACTGTAAAGTATCATTGCTACCAAAAAGTCGCCATGTCACTTACTCACACACTGACCCACTCTTTTTTTACGCACCTCACATACTCTATCTTTATTATGCGATCCATCTATGACGCGTTACTTTTTCCTCGATATCTAGAAACCCGAGATCAATGTCAAGCCCGAGTCTTTCCACTTTAAGGGCCAAGGTGAGAAGGAACAGCAAGAGTATGGTGCCGACATTGAATTTTATGCACCTGTGGATGTCGAGGTAAGTTAAGGGTCGATCAACCCCACTTCCCCTTGAAATGCCTTTTTTTAACCATTGGATGATGATAGCGCTCCAAGCAACATTTGACGCCTCGCAACCTTACTATGATCATTTACAAGCAAAAGGAGGAATACTGGCCACGCCTTCAAAAGGGCAGCAAGCTTAACTTTGTCAAGGTCGATTTTGCCCGATGGAAGGATGAGGATGATTCTGAGGATGAAGTTCAAGATCCTATGGGCGGCATGGACTTTTCGAGTTTGATGTCCCAGGCTGGCAACATGGGTCTTCCCAACATGGATGATTTGGTAAGTAACTCCATCCCGTCAGTCCCAATCCAAGCATACATTAACAATGGGAATGATTATTAGCCTGCTGGTGATGATAGTAGCAGTGATGAGGAAGAAGAAGAGGACAAGAACAAGGAGTCTCAAGATGGTGGCAAGCAAGCTTAATCCTTAGAATTATAGATACACACCCACACACTTTTCTTAAATGCAGAAATGAAAGCAAATAATTGATGTATTTTGCACATGTATATGATTTACAGTTCAGGTTGCCTAGCAGCTAATTCTTCATTACTCGCCATGACAGCAGCATCCCAATAGTGTTCCACATTCCATTTGGCTAATTGATCACGTGCCATCTTTTCACTCTCGAATTTTCGCCATGTGAATTTACGGAATGCCTTGTTCTTGACTTGACCTTCCCATACCAAAAAGCACCTGTTCTCCTGATTAGGGTCCATGACAGCTTCCGGAGGAAGTGTACCGCTGCTTGGAGGGGGCAAATCGTTCCAATCAATACGTCGTAACATGAGTTTCTTGTATGCTTTGATACTCTTGGGGCCTCCTTCCACAATCACCAAATGACATTTTGGATTGGTAATCACCATGCCTGTCAATTGATAGTCTTGTGCATTCTTTACAATCTTGAACCGGTGTTTTGGATGAGCGCAGTTCACCACCCTAATAGCATCATGGCAATGAATATCACAATGCTTTGTGTGTATATCCTCCTCCCATCACACTTACTTGAATACAGCCACTTCATTGCTCATCTTTTTGTCGTCATTGAGTTTGTTCATGGTCTTGGCTCTCTTTTCTTCAGGCGTCAATTTACGCTGAGCATTGGCCAATTCATGTTGCTTTTGTCGCTGTTCCATCTCCTTGCGCACTTTGGCTTCAATCTTTGTAGGATCTTGGATAGCTTCATTACCCAGTACTTGCATCAAGTTGCTGATTTTGACTATATAAAATGATATTCATATCAGCATCTAATCATGTATATACACAAATGCAATATATATACCTTTGGGTGGATCAGGTGGCAGCAAGCCCAATCGAATCTTATCTTGTTTCTCCTTTTGTAATTCTTGTCGTCGTTGACGGCGAAGCTTCTTTTGTTCCTTTTTGGTGAGCATGAGCGATCGTGATGTGGGTGGACCATTGGCTTCGTTGGGCGGTTTGATTGGAATGGGATGATGAACATAGATGGTGATCAACTGATTGAGTTCGTCGGGATTGACAGGCGATTGATCCATATCTTCATATGTCTTGTTGGGAAGGAAAGGTGCATCCCACCATTCTACCAGTGGTGGTGGTTCTCTCTATAATGCATGTTAATAAAAAAGTCATTCATCCAATTATTCCTTTCCATCTTACCTTGAGTGCTTTGTCTGAAATATCCATTTCCACTTGTACACCAGCCTTTTTCACATTCTCGGCAATACTCTGCTTGAGCTTCTCCATCTGTAACTTGGCACGCTCCTTGTTGGCCTGTTCCACGAATTTGCCAGGTTCCACAAAACGAAGCGCTCTTGGTTTGCGGATCGGCTTTGCTGATTTGACACCCAAATCCTCCAAGTATGGATTCACCGATTTGTCTTTGGCACCTTTGAGTAGATCAATCTTGAGTGGTTTGGCATCTTTCTTTGGTGTTGCACGTGCATTCGCCTAAAAGAACATCGTCAATATCATCCCATCACACATACACACTCTCTCACTCTCACGTTATACTTACTTTGGCTGTTGCCATTTCACGTTTGGGTATACTTTCGAGCATTCCAAAGAGATCAATACCACCTGCGCTGTCTGTGGAGAGCTGTGCTGACCCAATTCGACCTGATCCATCTTGTACATAAATGCCATTCACTGTAGCACGAGGCTATAGAGATCGATTAATCCATTGATCTAGAGACATTATCATATCAAGAACCTTACCGTGATACCACTGCTCTTTGTATTGGCAAGTCGTGCTTTGGCTTCGGCAATACGTCGTTGAATAGCATCAATAGAACCTGGTGAACCGCTTTCTGAAGGAGACGCAGAATCGTAACGTGTTGTTGAAGGTGGTGGTGCTGGACTATTTGTACGTGATCCTGAAGGAGGTGTTGTTGTTGTGGATGGGCTGGCTGACCGTTGTGAAGACGACGATGGTGTTGTTGCTGTGCCGCCCTTTTGGAATTTGGCTAATTTGGCAAGAACTTCGGCTCGTTTTGCTGCCACCAATGCCGCTGTCTATATGGCTTCTGTTAGCTGATCGTAATGAGCGTGTGTAATGCAAGGCCAATGCACGTTACCTCTTGAGGATCAGGCATGTTTTTATGTACTGTGTAATAAGAGAAGGAGGAGGAGTGCTCACTCATACTCTCACTCAGACCGAAGCTGCCATAAAGACTGGATCTCGCAAGTCACGAGCTCGCATGAACCGATATTATCTTCTTTCTCCACCCCAATACAACAACGAATGAGGTTCACACCCACCGATCGCCCAAAGAAGCCTCTTGTGGAAGACGCTGCAAAAAAGATCCACGTCAAATTCGACAATGACGACGAGGTGCCAAAAGTCGAGAATAAGAAGCGATCCAACAGCAGCGATCAAGCGATCGATCACCAGCACAAGAAGCAAAGGACCAACAAAGGCAATAACACTGGCAACACTGGTGGGCGCAAAGCTGTACAAATAACGACTCCTGGAACGTCTTCACCCAAACCAAATACTAATAACAAGAGGTCGCCTGGCAAAGGTATGGAAGGGAGAATGATCTTTTTACCGAGCAACCTTATTTATTGTATTCTTTTATCAGGAACACAAAAAAAGAAGACAATGTCACTGGAGGATGTGCGTGCCATTCGTGAAAAGAAGCGTTTAAGACGTCGAGCACAAAAACAGATTGGTGATGTCAAAGTGAGTTAAGGATACAATGAAAAAAAGGGGCATTCATCCTCACCTCACCTTTCACTTTTAGGTGCATGTGCCATCATTGAAGCTCAACACTGAAAAGATCGACGACAAGTTGAAGGTGGATGATATTCGCAATTTCCTCATTTATGCATTGGCCGAAACGACAGCTCCAGGTTTTGCTACAATGATCAATCGTGGATCCCTTGAGCATGCTGTGCTCTTATACGTGCCTGGTTTGGATGCATCTCATTTCGGCCTGCCTCGACTTGACAATTATGCCAACTATTCGCCAAAATCCACTCCGCATCTCATTGATATCAAGTCATCTGATCCAAGGCTCCTTGGCCGAATGACCATGCCTTACTTTTCGTCGGTCTTTTCTCATGCATTGATCAGCGCTCTACCCGTAAAGCGTAACAAGGTCGGCTTGGAATTCATGGAGGCCTTGCAATGCCCTGTCAGTAATAAGGAAAATGCGCGTCGTCAAGAACAACGCAACCAACGTAGGTGATTTGGAAGAGAATGAGAATGAATGAGTCCTGTTTTCTGATCATGGATGGTCTTTTTTCTTAGTCATGGAAAAATATAAGGGTCGAATGGAAGAGTTTTATGTACTTACCCTGGATGAATTGCAAAAGTCCCGTTACCCTATTCCAACCTGCTTGGATCCCTCTAGCAAGTTACCCGATGATGAATGGAAAGAGACTCGCCCTGCAGCCACACCTTCTGACAGGAAACGATTAATGGCTCTTGATTGTGAAATGGTAAGGAACAATGACATCTATACATAGAGATCACCCATACTTATATAACGTATATATATATCTAGGTCAAAACAAAGACTGGAAAAGCACTCGCCCGTGTGACATTGGTCGATGAAAGTAAGTATAGGGGTATTATTGACAGGGGCATTTTATTGATTTGCATGGCTCATTAGATGGTGAAAGCTTGATGGATCAATTTGTCAGACCGGAGGAGAAGATTGTGGATTACCTTACCGAGTACAGTGGTATCACGCCCGAGATTATGCAAGAGACCACATGTTCGCTTCGACGAGCCCAAAAGTATGTTCGACGATTGGTGGATCACAATGTTATTCTTGTTGGACACAGTATGGAAAACGATTTGCAAGCCCTCAAGATTGCCCATCCTTATTGTGTGGATACGGCTCTTCTCTACGACAGTTTCAGGGGACCCCCTCACAAGCCCGCTCTACGTTATTTGTCGTCTCGATTCTTGAAGCGAAAGATTCAGCATCATGGAAAAGTGGGTCACGATTCCGGTGAAGATGCTCGTGCAGCTATGGATCTTTTCAAGCTTAAAGTGGAACATGGTCCCAAGTACGGCAAATCAGCTACGGATATGGAATTGATATTCAATCGATTGGATCAGGCTACGAATAAGAAGCGATCGAGCGTATTGCTTGAACGCAATACCGTTCCAACTTATAGCTTGAGCAACATGTATCCTGCCACCTATCAATGCTGTACAACAGATGAAGAATTGGTTCAACGGACGATCGAAGCAAGCAAAAAACACAACCTTGTCGTATCACAATTCCGTACACTGAAACCTACGGTGCATTTGGAGGAACAACTTGTGCCAACCATTCTTTCCTTTGAGTCCTCTTCCAAGAATAGCGAAGCCGCAACAAGGATGGAGTTGTTTGATCGCTACTTTAGAGAAATGTACGAAGGTTTTCCTGAAGGTACACTGATCTTTGTCATGGGCGGTTATGGTGGTATTGATGATGACTTTCCAAAGTAAGTTTGCTTTCATAATCATGCATCCAATCAACTATACTAATGGATTGATAATAGGTTATATGAAAAGTTCAAACGTACTCGTGTTTTCAATGATGAAAGGCTGTGGGCTGATCAAGACAAGCAGAACTTTTATAAATTGCTACACAAGGCACGCTTGGGCGTCAACTTTTGCACCTTGAAAGAATATAAATAGATTACATTTGCATATCATCATCATATTAAAATGATCATCTTTTGCATCAGCATTATAGCACAATAAGGTCTTTATCGTTAAAAGCATTGTGATTGCTCCTTGTCAAGAAAGTGTTGTCAGTCGATAACTCAGCAAATCCAAGTTTAAGCGGGAATCAACATCAGCCATTCCTTTTTCCACACACACACGCGCACACAACATACTATACACTCAACCACACCACCACTTTTATATACGACATGAAGGATCCTACGCAATCACTAGAGACATTCCATATACCCGTCGATGAAGTTGAAGCCAGGATTAAGAGTGCATCAGATCAACTCGATAGTTTTGTACGGACCCGAGCAGCAGCCTTTGCAAGTAGTTCCTCAGAAGCACAGCAGCAATCACAACGACATGCAGGTAGGGTACTCTCTCTATATGCCGACGTACAAGCCATGTTTGAACTCACAGGTGTCTTTTGGGGATGCGTGTAGAACGCGTCGAAGAGCAAAAGGCGACTATCGCAAAATACAAGGAACAGCTTAGTCAGTTGTGTGAGTATCAGGTGTACTTGTTGCTATTGTTGGATCACTACTTACTTGGATTGCTTTGCCAGCACAACCATCGCGTGTCGAAGAATTATCAAAGAGAAGATCAGAGATTGATGCCTTACAGCAAACATACAGCACTGAACAAGGAAAAGAGGCCGTTATCCATCGTGAGCGTGATAAAGTATATGAGCTGATACAAGAGAAGAAGAAAGGTTAGCAAAGCTATGGAAGCAATGGAGGAAGTTCTAGATAATTTATGGTTGCAACAATAGAAGCACAAAGGGAGCCTTCCTTGGATCAAGTACGATCATCATGCCAATCTGAGCTTGAGTTTGTATCCGAGAACCTAAAGTTAAGGATGAGAGGAAAAGGAGGTAAGTAAGCAAGAATGGGTGCGTAGAGCATGATGATGGTGATATTGATGTGCTATCTATATGAAAGGTAACAAGGTCAAGTTTACATTCACTTGCATCAATGAACGTGATCACCACCGTAAATATTCCTTTATATTGCATTTACCGCCACATGAGCCATTTTCAGGTATCGTAGTCTTATCTTTTTTTTGGATAACAATATTATACTAACCAACGTAAATGACTAGTCTTGGAATGTGTGCCTGAAGTACCTGGTCTATCCCACATTTTGTCAGGGCTCAACGCTGATAGGAATATATATACATTTATTACTCGGATGAGAGCTGCCTTTGTAGATTTATCTAGTAAAGAAGAGGATGACAAAATATAAACCTTGCTTTATTGAACATCATTGATGAGATGAGGGCACTAGGACATGTGATTAGAGTACTAAACATAAAGAAAGGGCTTCATTGTTACTGGCATGTGGGTGATGGGTCAACAATCAAAACCATGCAAGTCATTCAGATATGTTGGCTGACACTGATTGGCGCATAGGCAACGTATCCATTTTGGGTCCATAGTGTGAATCAATCCATACTCTTCGCCTTCTCCTCCTCCGCATAAGCACTACTTTACGTTCACAACAACAACAACAACCACACCGCTCTTTCACCCTTCTCTCCCTCTCTCGTTTTCTTATTACACGATGCGGCAATTTGCGATCTGGCTCTTGCTGTTGGTGGTAGTTCTGGTTGTACACGCCGGCAAGGACTTTTACAGCATACTTGACGTTCCTCGTGATGCACCCAAGAGTCAAATCAAGAAGCATTACAAGAAGCTATCACGTGTATACCATCCTGACAAGAATCCCGGTGACAAGAAAGCCGAGGAAAAGTTCATGGAATTGACAGCAGGTACTATGAAACGATATACATGACACGCGATGACTTTATTGACTTGCGATCCAAGCATATGAGGTATTGGTGGATGAGGAGCAACGTGCAATCTACGATCGCTATGGTGAAGAAGGACTGGAACAGCACAAGAACGGTGGTGGAGGTGGTGGATTCCATAGTCCATTTGATATCTTTTCACAATTCTTTGGTGGTGGAGGCTTTGGTAAGATACAATGATGGCTATTCATGAAGAAGGGGCATGTGATTGATGATGATGGTGGTGGTGGTGGTAATAGGTGGACATCGTGCACAGCAACAAGAGCGCCGAGGACCCGATGTTCAAGTAGAATTACCAGTGTCCCTGGAAGACTTGTACAACGGTGGATCACTTGAGATTGACATTTCCAAACAAGTCGTTTGTGATCATTGCCATGGTTCCGGTGCTAGGCGATCTGAGGATATCCAGACATGTCCCACATGCCATGGACATGGTAGGACCATTACTCGCATACAATTGGGTCCTGGTATGGTGCAACAAGTCCAGCAAACATGTACACAATGTGGTGGGAAAGGAAAAACGATTCGAGCTGTATGCAATGCTTGTGGTGGCAAAAAGGTGCTTCGTGGCAATGAGCAATATACCATTGTGATTGAAAAGGGTATGCGTGATGGTCAAACAACGGTATGTATTAAAGGAATTGGTATTCGACACATTCAATGTGGGTTAATCCATCGTCATTAGGTCTTGGAACAAGAGGCCGATGAGTATCCTGATGCAATCCCTGGTGACATGATCTTTATCGTGATAACGGATGCACATCCCGTTTTCGAGCGTCAAGGCGACAACCTATATACGAAGCAGCACATTACGCTCATCGAAGCATTGACTGGTTTTGAAAAGACAATCAAGCAGTTGGATGGATCCGATATTAAATTGGAGCGTTCGGGAGTTACTCAATATGGCTTTGTGCAAACAATCAAAGGCGCTGGCATGCCTCATTATGACAACCCTTCCGAACATGGCGACCTTTTCGTTGAATACCAAGTCGTCTTTCCAACACATATTGATGAGGACGTGGTCAAATGTAAGTTGAATGATGGGTATCTCTGTTGCACACATCTAACAATGAATTGGTTTCTACTAGTACTCAAACAAGGAGCACATTTCCCATCTAATCGACATGAAGAGTTGTAGAGCATTTAGATTATCGATATAGAGATAGCAAAACTTCTCTCTTATAAAAACGTGTACATTTCCTTATATCCTTGTGTAATCCCTAATCAAAGATATCGAGTTGATTGCTCCTGAAAATGACATTATCCAAATAACAGAGCCAGTAGTTCTTAGTTCTTATATATACACTGACAACATACGATCGAAGAAAAACTACCTTCCCTATTGGCACATCCATGTCACGAATCCCTCCCATACCATCCAATCCAAATCCGTTGTATTGATCAATTGAGCATATGCTGATTGACGATTTATTTGAAAGATCCATTTTGCGTTTAGAAAACGAGAGCAGCACCCTTGGTCTTCTTGTCACCACCCAACTCGAAGTGCTTGCAACGCTTGATGGGGAGTTGCATCTTGTACTTGCAGGCTATGAAGAAACATTATGCATCAGCCATTTTTCCTACCCTTTTCGATATCTTCCTATGATACATTACCAGTGCATTCAAGACGAAGGACAATCTTCTTGGTAGTCTTTGCCTTCTTGTGGAAAACGGGCTTGGTCTGACCACCATAACCGGATTGCTTACGGTCGTAACGTCTCTTACCCTGAGCATAGAGCGAAGCCTTACCAGTCTTGTACTGGGTGACCTTGTGGGGAGTGTGCTTTCTGCACTTCTTGCCCTTGCAGAAGGTGTTTCTGGTCTTGGGAATGTTGACCTATAGCGCGTATACATGAGTTTGTTGGTTGTCATTGGCATTGGGCATTGACGTATCCATCCCGCTGTCGTCGGTTGGGTGCATGCTGAAATGGGTGAATATGTGTATGTATGTGTGGTATCGTCGCTATTGTACTCGGATTGCTGTTTCCAGGCAACGGGATGATGTGTGGTATATTTCGTTCGAAGCAGATGGATGGATACGTCGATGGATGGGTGTTGATTTTCTTACCATGTCGAATGGATGGACGAAAAAGGATGATCACATTTCGCAGGCTCCATGGCAATGAGGCACCACCGCTGCTGAGCGCGAACCAGACGTGATTGGCTGGTCATGTTACACACCCAGCAAGTGATGCGGATCCGATAGTTGTCGTTGTGCTTGCTAATAAAAGATGTTGTATGCTCAAGCTTTTCGAAATAGTCTATTGGTGTTCACTATTATTAAATGATCCTCTGCTGTGATGGATGTCTATAATTGGATACTGTCGACAACGTTAAAAAACGAATGACTGCTGCTGTATACATATAGGCTTGACTTTATTGCATATCTCCCTCCTCTTATCTTACAAGATCTAAATTACAAACGAGGACCTGTATTGCGGTGTCATTGACAAGATCTAATCATAAAGAAAGGGAGGCAAGTTATACGGTCGAATGCCACCTTTGTTTGAGGCACACAGTGAATCAATCAGACCCGTTCTCTTCGTCTCTTTTTCCTTTATCACGGCATTGACAAGTGTATACACTTCTACATCCTTGCATTTTCCATACCACATACGTATCCATTTATAGTACAATTCATCAAATGCCCTCTCACGACGGGGCCCAATTCAGGAAGAAAGAAAATCTCTTACACTAAAGAAACTGATAATGATTGGCAGCGCAATGTCGTATTCGCTAAAGTAATCCTTTAATTCAACATCATTTATAAGAAATAGATTGAGAGGTACAACGAGTTGCTCAACTGGGGGAGATGCATCATCGATGCGGAAAGCTTCTATCCTTTGGACCTGCATTGTGCAAAGGTGAACGGATGAAGGTGCGGTAGTGGCGAATTATGGACAGCTGGATGATGATTGTTGTACACGGTTGACAGGTTGTTGCACAAAGGATGATGATGGTAGCCGCCTGGAATAGTGCCTAAAGTACGATAATTGGATGAGTCAACGTTCAGGATCATAGCGTCAATGACAAGTTGACTCTTTTTCCACGCATTGTATATACCCAATCCCCATCCCATGTACCATACCAATATCCACATCCATATCCATAAGAAGTCGTATGTATTGAAAGCAAGTTGCTACGTGTAACAAAGATGCTTGCCTATAATGGCTATCTGCTGTTCACGTGAACAAGGCTGTAAGGCAAGTTGCTGCAAGTAGAAAGCACTGTTGGATACGATGGAGCAAAGAGCTTGCTAATAACAACTGCTGCATTGAATGCTGTTACAGTTAGTCGTGACAGGGAAACGCGCAAGAGCGTGTGCTGTAGAAGAGTAACAAGAAGGCTGTGTACACGCCATGCACTTGCCATTCAGTCAAAGACAATCGGATCAAGAGAGTTGTAGGATTGACATGATGGGCTGAAGCAGGACAATCGTTCGTAGGTGATGGTTGTACTTGAATGGGCCAACAGTTGAGAATGGGAAGGAGAGGGAAGAAGCTGAGAGTGGAAGAGTTGCAAATTAAGTAGACTTTTCTGAAGCTTGAATGATGTTTCTTTGTACAAGCGTTGTTCAGTCAAATCCTCGCGGATCAAGAAAGTTGAAGGATGGGACTAATGTGCTGGAGCAGGACAATCGTTCATATGCATTGGATTGGGAAACAAGGATGATTGGGAGGAATGGGCTGTCAAGTGGCTGTTTACAAATAACTTTGCAAAATGATTTCTCTGAATTTGGATGATGTTTTGTGTCTGAGCGTAACTCACCTAAATCCCCTCGGATCAAGAAAGTTTAACGATGGAAATGATGAGTTTGAGCAGGACAATTGTTCGTATGCATTGGATCGGGCAATTAAGGAGAACGGGAGGAATGGGCTGCGAGCTGGCAGTTTACAAATAACTTTGCAAAATGATTTCTCTCATATTGGATGTTACTTCTGTGTTTGAGCGTTTTTCAGTCAAATCTTCTCGGATCATGAAAGTTGAAGGATGGGCATGATGGGCTGGAGCAGAACAATCGTTCGTATGCATTGGATTGGACAACAAAGGTGAATGGAAGGAATGGGCTATTAGCTGGCATTTTGAACTATTCCGTAGATAGCGTACAAGAATCATGCATCGCCTGTGCTGAATGACACAAGTTACACAAACACGCCCTCTGCATCTTTTGCTCTATACAGTCATACTACTTTACATTAAACAAAGACCACTTCTCATATAGCATCACGCTTACAAACATAAAGGTGCCTGTATCTGCAAACTTTACAATGAAATGTGGGGTTTTGAATAGAGCAATGTGCTCGGCTTGGCCAACTGCACCTTGGGTGCCAGTTTCACGATCAAGCTTGCCAATCCCAGATTTCGCAATGTCGCCACCAGCCAAACTGGATCCGGGGGTCGACCTCTTCGACGACGACGACCAAAAAATATTTTTTGGGCTGTTTGCGACATTGAACGTGAAACTTTCACACAAGGTGCTGTTGGCCAAGCCGAGCCCATCGCTCTAATAAAAACCCCACGTTTCATTGTAAAGTTTGGAGATACAGGCACCTTTATGTTTGTAAGCGTGATGCTATATGAAGAGTGGTCTTTGTTCATTGTCAAGTAGTTGGACCTTGGCAGAGCTAAAGATGCAGAGGGTCGTGTTGTGTAACACAGCTACGTTTGCATGAATGAAAGGGTGAATGTATAATTACTTTATAGATCATCTAGGAACAGGTATGTATTGCTAGCTAACGGTCACTTTTATCCAATCATCATTGTTGCGAGATCCACTGCATGGGAACGATGCCCCTGCTCTAGACATTCATTTCCATGATTAAAGTAGGTTGATCCGAGCCGATTTGACTGAGCTGCGGTCAAAGAGAGATTACATCACTCTGGACATAGAGCACGCTCGATGTAGCTCAACTGATGTAATCTTGTGTGAGCGTAACTCAACCAAATCAGCTCGGATCAAGCTACTTTAATCATGGAAATGAATGTCTAGAGCAGGGGCATCGCTCCCATGCAGTGGATCTCGCAACAATGATGATTGGATAAAAGTGGCCGTTAGCTAGCAATGTATGACATAAAAGTGAGGGTTGCGTACCTTTCATGCATTGTCCCTGAAGTCCTGACTTTTTAGCTGAGTTATCCAAAGAGGTCCTTCTGCATCTTTTGCTCTATTATAGTCATACTACTTTACATCAAACAAGGACCACTTCTTATATAGCATCACGCTTACAACATAGTAAAAACATAAAGACGCCTGTATCTCCAGACTTTACAATCAAACGTGGGGTTTTTATTAGAGCAATGTGCTCGGCTTGGCCAACTGCACCTTGTGTGCAAGTTTTACGTTCATCGTGGCCAATCCCAGATTTCGCAATGTCGCCACCAGCCAAACTGGACCTGGGGGTCGACCTCTTGAAACTTTCTTCGACGACCAAAAAATATTTTTTGCGCTGTTTGCGACATTGAACGTGAAACTTTCACACAAGGTGCTGTTGGCCAAGCCGATCACATTGCTCTATTCAAAACCCCACGTTTCATTGTGAAATCTTGAGATATGGCTGTCTTTATGTTTTCACTATGCTGTAAGCGTGATGGAGGTGCTTTTTCCTAGTGGATGGTGTCGGCTGCATTAACGGAAAGATGAAGAGCTGAGTGAAACGGCACGTGGTGGTTACACAGACACGTCCTTGACAGGTTGCTACAGTAGACAAATGGATGGTGATGATGATGATGATGATTGCCTTTTGTGAAGTTACGTAAGTAATGCGTATGATAATAATGGTTCCATATCACATTTGCATGTAGGAGAAGGTCGAGCTGCATAAACCAATTTGTATATGTAAAAAGATACGTATACATATTGAATGGGTCACTCATCCTGAAACTCAATGGAGGGATCTCTTCACTTTTTCTCTTCTCAAGCTCATCCCACTTCCCACTCCTCCTTATTGTATTACAAAAGCCATGTACTTCTTGCATGACCGATAACCGGACCACCTTTATTATTCCATCTTCGAAGCGATAGTATGTAATCCACAAGCTAGCAGCCTCCAACAAGCGTGTATAATAAATAAGCAATGCTTTATTTCATCTAGCTATCTTGCTATGTACTGTACATTGCCACCACCATCGTCGTAGTCGTCCTCCGTCATCATTCGTACTCGTACTCGTCACCAGTCCTCAATCTCATCCGTCACACCAACATCCAAAAATACACAAGTTGAAAAGAATGGGATCTTGCAGGCTTCCTTTTGTATCTCGTTGTCGTCATCATTGTCATTGTTGTGGATGGGGTGGTCATCGTAATCGTCATTGTGGTGAATGTGGTAATCATCGTAATCGTCGTCTCTACAAATAAGAAAGCAAGCTGGTTAAACCATCTGGTACCGGGAATGATGACGATTTGGTATACCGTTAGGCGATCCTCTCTAAGGAAGAAAGCAAATCAGAAGGAATTCACAAACCAAATCACACCATACGAACAACGTCGGGCGATCCCTTGTTCTTGAGAAAGCACTGCACGAATCACGCAAGGCCAGTTCGATCCATGGCAAGGAAGGACATCACTTACGTAGAGTCCAGGCTCATAGTCGTCCTCATTCATCCTCTCCAAAGGAAGAATGATCCCCAATCCTTCCAATCATTTTCCCACCACATGAAAAGAAATCCTCAAGGGAAAGAACGTGGCTGTCACGAGAAGACCGTGTTGGTTAAACACATTCACAAGCTGTTGCAAATCCCCTTTTACCTCAACACGGTGACCATGCTCTTCCAAAACCCCATCATCATCGACCCATCCTCAACTCAACGCAGGTCTATAGAGCCCTGGAGCGTTCCAAGAAGCTTTTTCAGTACACTTGGCTAGTGCAGAGCGACGCAGCGGCCACTTGATACAGGCTGGGACTTGAACCCAAAGATATGATGATGATGCCCCAAGTTGCGTTGCCTGATCAAAGAAACCTATTCAATTCATTATTAGCACACACACAATAAACACCCTTTTCATTGTTTGTTTCATTGTACTTGCCTTTTCCATATACACAAAGACCCGTTGTTGTTGGTTACTGGAAAACGAAAACCATGGTGTAGTGTTGTTGAGCCGAAACAGAACGCCAAACCAGCCAGCGTCTTGAAACCAAACTAGCCCCCTATATAAGCTAACACGTCAATGGAACCAGTTCGGCTGCAACATTGGACTCTTAATGTACCTGTTAACACCAATCGTAGAGCGGGAATAGCAATGAAGAAAAGGAAGCAACAATATCGCCATGGCAACCACCAGCACTTGGACATACTCGCTCCCTGACAATGCATGTTCAGAACTACATTAACACCTCACAGCCAACAAGAGCACTTCTTTATAATACATTACCTTGATCGAGATGTCGTGAATGGAATAAGGGAAGGTGGGAGAAAAAGAAGAGAAGCGTTGTCTCAAGTTGTGGAGCTGCTGTCCCCCAAGTTTAAATCCCCCTACTGCTATTACACTGAGGCCACTCATCAATTACCCTATACACACCATCCACCCATCCATGATCATCACCCTCACGATAGACAATAGGTACACGTAAATAAAAGCCATGATCCTCACGTATAGCAAAAGGGTGTGTGCCATTTTACACTTTACATGATAATGATGATCCAACAACAGCCATTGCCTTACTATCAGGTCAAATCGAATCAAGGAAGTTCAATGATGGAAATGATGGGCTGGCGCAGGACAATCGTTCACATGCATTGGATTGGGCAACATCCTTATGTCATCTCAGGTTTCTAGAATGTAGATGGATTTATCAGTTGTTGATGCTGTTACCCATACATGTTCTAAGCCTGTTTGACCACTTTATCAGTTCGATCAATCATTACAACAACTCTCACGCCCACATCCATTCACATAAAAGCAAGGCTGCTGCCATCAACATTATTACGCATCTCTTTCGTTTGTTGCATGTGCTCCCCAAGTGCCTTTTAGTAAGTGTCAAAATGTCTTTGTGGTGTCGTCTATAGATTGAAGATACTAATGCATTTAGCATAGTGCTTCGTTGTTATTTGTATTATTCATTGTTTTCTTTGTGATACTTGGCCCTATTCTTTAATGAATCCCTTGTGGTCTATGTTTTCCACTTGTAAACTGATTTGTGTAAACGTCATCTTGCCGAGACATTGAATGAAGCATTAAAGAAGCAGGAGCAAGAATGCATTCAGCTGCATCAGTTGATTCACACGAACCCCACTACTGACTGATGCTCTTGCTCATGCTATCAATAACGCCCAGCGAAGAAACACCGTTTTCAAAAGGAAATAGGGCGAACTTTTGGATGCACGTCTTGAACAAGAAACTGCAATTGATCACAATTTGCATGATTCCACCAATACTTATCTCAATGGAATGAAATTCGTTGAGCGGTTCATTGAGGACCTCCAAGCAAGGGATAAGCGAATGAGCTGGATTGATTGCTGATCAGCTGGAAAAGAGAAAGGAATTTTGGATTACAAGAACGCTGACAGTCTACGAAATCTATAGAAAGTATGCAATAAAAAAACGAATCATTGTATCGGTTCCTCCTAAACTTTCGATATGGCTGCTTATCATAACATGGTTTGGAAGACAAAAACATGCAACTCTTCTTTTATATTATCAATGTAGCTAATAATAAAACGGGTTCTGGGAATGGGTGTGATTTTCTAATCGGTTGAGGTCTCGTTGAAGACTGCCGAGGTGTCAGTGTAATAAGAGTCAAAAAGTCGCAAGATGGCTACTAGAAGCAGGGAAACAATCACAGCCAACAATACAGTCTTGAGTGGATGGATAACAGCAGCAGCACCTATGATGAAGGTTCATTCGATTAGCCAAACACAAAGTCCTCCTTTACAAGGATAATGATCTTACTACTAGGGAATTGTTGGGGAAGTGAGACGACACGGCAGCTGTTGTCGGCGGATCCTGTTGCAAGTAGTAATCGATCAGGGCTGATGGCGATACTCGTGATAGAAAAGCCGTGCGCTTCCTTCACCGTATGCAAGACCTACATACATCATTGTTAGATCATGCCCTAGCAATCATCCATCAGTACAACTACTTGCCCGTAATGTTGTTGCATCCATAATGATAACCGAAAAATCGGCAGTTGCTACAACGGCCATGCCACCTTCCCGGCTATAGAAAGCATATGAGTATTCCCATAGTTACCCCTTGCCTCAACCATCCTACCTTAGACAGAACGAAGTAATGGGCTTTTTACTGATCTTCACGTTGCTGATAACTTCAAGGGTGTATGCATCAAGCTTCAAAAGATGACCGCCGGATTTGCTGTTGCCTACTAAATAGGCGCTTTCCTTGCTGTATAACCGGCCGTATCTGAAAATGCAACATGGTAGCTATGAGATGACTACCCAATGCCTTTCCAAAATAGATCTACCTGAATGCTCGAAACTGTAGTTTTTGCTTCTTGTCAAGTGCCGGGCTTGAAATTGTCTGCATCACTTTGCCAGTATGTCGACCACGAAGGCTTGCGAGTTTGATAGCATCCCTTGTAAGAGCAACAAGCTTATCCTTCTTGTTCGAGATATCCACATCCATCACTTCATCGTCCTCCGAAACTTGAATCGTGTCACAAAGAGGGGTGTAATCGGGATAATTGTACACATTCACTTGACCATTGGATGTGCCCGTTGCGAACAAACTGCCATCAGCACAGAAACGAACCGCTTTCTGGATACATACTTCTCATTAGCCATCTCATCACCGCATACCTTTGAATGATCTTTGTATATACCTGGTAGTCATCGGGGTTCTTGCTGTCAAGAGTTGACATTGACTTGACAAGCTCGATCCTATCCATATACCTCTTAGCATACATGATCATCACCACAACCATTCTCCTTACGTTGCTTCGTGAGCCTTGAATACGCGACAATTGCTATTCTTTCCTTTCTTGATGTCTTCCTCGGAAGCATTGACACCAGCCAATATCGTATCATCCTATAATAGCGTGTGTGCTCTTTAGACACCCTGCCCAAGCCTTGGTCGCTGATGCCTTACCACAGGATGCACATCAAGACACATGGGCGCATCTTCCTCGTTCGAAAACTCGTACACGGCCTCCTCCTCGAGATCTTTACGACGTGGTTCTACGCGATACGAGACCTGTTGACTACAATTAGTTGCATGCATTGGAAGAGAGTCGTTTACTTGCCAATTTGTTCTGGATACCCGATCGACCAGCACCACCACCTCCTCCTACAAGCAACTGGTTCGTTGTGGTAAACGCGAGACCGAATACAGGAAAACCAACGGGTACAGCGTATGTGGGGCACTGAGGTCTGACCATAGAAGCGTGCGTGTGTGTGTGTGTGGAAGAAGAAGATAGGTGAATCCAACAACGGAATTACTCTCAGCTATAGCTTCACTCTTACTGCCTGCATAACAATGCACCCATTTTCAGGGGTCAACTCAAAGATGTGCTTTCCATTTTATACTTATATCCAATATTGCTACCCTATAACGTTGATGGAATAATAATAAACGCGTTGCTGTGCCTTTCATTATTACAACGTATTGGTTGTTCAATTGCTGATACCGTGTAATTGGATCACTGCTGCTTACAGTATCCAAATACGTAACATCCATGTAAATAGCGTAATCTTTTTCACATGAGCTGGTATACATGTATACTTAGTCGCTCGCTTAAATGGCATGCTGTTGTTTCACATTGAACAATTATATGGTGGATATGCATCTTCTTACAAGGATAGTGCTGCAATTGTCTTTATCACATTTAATCTATTCTTTGCTTTGCTCATCTTGGTAAAAGGGGTAATCAATGTATCCACGCTCATCACCACCATAAAAGCTAGGACGATGATACTTGTTGAGAGGCCATCCATTCTTGAGACGAAGGACAAGATCAGGGTTGGCAATGTAGGCACGTCCTATGGCAACAAGGTCTCCGGTTTCATCAGAAAGCTCTTTAGCCGTTTCAGGTTTAGTAGAGAATCCACCACTAGCCATGAAAGTGCTCTTCCACAACTTGCGGAAAGGATCGAGGGTGTTGACAGTGTCATTTTGTGTTTTACGACCAAAATCATCACGTGGACCAAGCATGTGCAAATAAGCGAGATCTTGAGGAAGGTGGCTCACGATGTATCCCCATGTATCATACGGCGTCTCGTCTTCCATGTCCTTTATAGCGGGGTCAGTATGTCTTTACTCACTTGTATCCATATGCATCAAAATACCTGGAACTCGCTCCATGGTGTCAAACGTAAAGCGGTACGATCACTTCCAATGGCATCAGCTACTGCCTTAGTCACCTCAAGACAAAGACGAGCGCGATTTTCAATAGATCCACCATATTCATCAGTGCGCTTGTTGCTGGAAGTGTTGATAAATTGATCGAGCAAGTATCCATTACCACCATGAATTTCAACACCGTCAAAGCCAGCTTCTTCAACAGCACGCTTGGCAGCAATAGCAAAATCACGTGCAATACCAGGCATCTCATCAACTTCAAGCGGACGTGGAACCTCATTAGGTGTATCGACCAACAAGCTACGGCCTTCGATAGCAATGGGTGATGGGCCAACGGCAGGCTTGTTACCAGGAATCAGTTGTTTGAGAGAAGCACGACCCGGATGCCAAATTTGCAAGTACATGTAGCTTCCCTTTGCATGGACAGCATCCACAATTTCTTTCCAAGCCGCCACCTGCTTATCGGTGTAAATACCGGGACATCCTGCAAATGGACCACTTTCAGCGGTAATGGCAGTAGCCTCGGTGATGATCAATGATCCCTTAACGTGAGCTCGTTGGGTATAGTATTCCTTCATCATAGGTGGTGTTACGGCATGGTCTTCATCGGATCGGTTACGTGTGAGTGGTGCCATCACCACACGATGCTGAAGCTCCATACGGCCGACTTTGACGGGCTCAAACAATTTGGACGATGATACGGTCATGTTGTGAAAGGATAAAGAAAGGGAAAAAGAAACAGAGTATTAGGAACACGCTCAAGCGCTATTTTTCTTTTGTGTCCCTTAGCTTGTGTTACTCGCTGTGTCTTGCGCTGTTTAATTATTTGGTACCCCACAGCAGCTTAAAAGAGCACGCAATCGTCACCGGCATGACGATGAGCTGTTGTCTTATTGTTCATCTGAGATGAACCAGAGCCATGTTGTCATGTCCTAGAAGCAGTAACAATGGACCAAGCCCCTGGATTGATAACATGGAGTATTGCAAGTGATACGAACCAAATGGTAGGATAGGATATGAAAACTAAGATTTAGCCTACCAAGCCTCGTAGAGATGTGGCACATGGAAAACCTAAACATTGAAAATGTGATGCGTTTGTTTATGTGGGATCTTCGCTTTATCAAATTGGGGAAAGTTGTTTGGATAATCACGCTTTTGGTTGTTTGGGTGATCATTTTGTTGATTAGCTCAGCCTTCCAGATCACTGCATTGTCGATGGATTCAATCATAACGAACGTCCTTGTTCAATACAATCGGGGCTTTAGAGAAGGTGTATGATTGTAGGTGTGTATTCTTCATCACTCACAAACATTGAAAAAGGGTTCCTGTACAACGGATAATCCCGATCGCACCTGAGGAGGAGGATGTTGCACCCGAAATCTTAAAAGTCAGCAGACAAGACATGTACGTACATGCGTCAACTTATCCCCGCGGTATAAAGAATGATGATGGATACCACATTTCTGGATCAAAAGATCATGTTCATCATCATTCTCGAATAACATTCTTGTGAGGAATCCCAGATGTTGGAAGTGGTGCGAGTGCATATCGATGATTAAGGGAACACAAACATGACGATTGAAAAGCAGCACATGTAAACAAACACACCGCTTGCATAAAGTGGGATCTTGCTGCATAGCCAATGTGCCACACGAGTCCCACCACCTTTTGCAATAAATTGAAAGCTGCTTTATATATACGATGACTGATCATCTTTATAGGTGGTGTCATTTTGCGTGTTTAGATGATACGATTACTTGTGGACGAGCGAAGACATCAAGAAGCTGCAAATGTAATAAAAAGTCCCCCCCCCTTGAATCAGACGCATTGTCAATACAGCAATGTGGCTCATTTGACAGTGCAGCAGCAGCAGCAGCAGCTGGCAGCATTAGTGCATGTGTGTGTATGTGTATATGTATATACATGTCAGTGCCCTGTGTTCTCTCATTTATCCCAGCAACACAAACAGCAACTCGGGTTCATGTGCGTGAATGTTGTGCCTCCGCAATGACTCAAGTGTGTATCTCGTGTTATGCACCGGAGGACAAAGCACGAGTTGCTGTCAGTAATATCTGTGAAATGGCTACACGTGAGCCTTCTTTATCCTGCAGCTTCAAGTTCAGACAATGCTGCTTCATGAGACATGAGATCCCCGCCCTTGTTGTTATTCATAAAACGCCACATGCATTGCTTGCACGCTATTATTATTATCAACTCATCATCCCCATTTTCTTCTTTATTCATTGTCTTTTGAGAAGATGCAAGAGCTAGTTGCAATGGATATTTCTAGTATCAATTATCAGAGATGAGGTAGGTGCATGATAATAATAGCGACGAGAGAGAAAGGGAAAAAAAGAGAACCAAATGCAAGTACATCCTTACAGTTAGCCCACATGGGTTAGTGTGTAACCCAACCCAAAAACTACTTTGGGGGGTCAAAACAAAAAAACAAAAAAGAAGGCTGCCCTTTGTCTTTATACTGCAATTTACATCTTTTCCTTTCTCTCTCTCTCTCTTCTTTACAATAACAACAACACGCTTTTCCTCTCCGGTTTTATATGTCCTTGGAAGAAGACCAACGTAGACGCCCTCCCAGAGCAGTCAATATCATTCGACCATCGTCACCTCTCTTGCAAGCATTCCATCGTCCTGTTATGCAATTCCACCACCAGCCATCAGCATGTTCAATGACCTCGGCTTCTACATGGTCTTCCTCATCGTCATCAGCTTCAACAGAGTACTCGCCTTCAACAGCTGGTTTTATCACTACACGACCCACTTCTCCTTCATGGTATCATCGACCAGGCTCTCCTAGTGGATGGTCCTTTGTGGGCAAGCCATCGCCCCTGGGACCCCTATCACGTATGGCGGCCTTGGCGCATCAGCAAGAAGCTGGGCTTTCTGGATTATCAAGCCCTGTGACTGAGGATAGCGATGGGACATTAGACAGCGATGAAGACGACTATGATCACGACAATTTGGATATTGATTTGGATGACGATTTGGATGATGACGATGATGATTTGGAGGAGGAGGAGGATGATTTGGATGACTTTTCCTCGTCATCAGAAGAAGATGTGATTCCACGTCCTATCATTGCAAGGATGAAACAAGGCTGTACGATCATGAATGGTAAAGGCGAGCTTGTCGGATTCTCATCCAACCACAATAACGATCCCCATGATAAGTTTGGACGAAAGGTAAATAGGACATCATCATATTGGAAAGAGTGGGGATATTGATAATAGAGTAATAGATTGCCGACCTTGAAATCGAAGTCAAATCCCTAGCAAGTGTCAATGCAACATTGGAAGAGCAAACTCGTGAACAAGCTGCACGTATTGCAGAGCTTGAGAAGAAGCTTCAGGATAGGTAAGAGAAAGAGAAGGTATTGGAAATTGGAATGGGATAGTAATAGCAGGGTATTCAATAGGAATGGATGTGAGCTTCCACCAACTCCAGTGTCAATGACATTCTCAGAGGTAAAAGTAATGAACTCTGCCCATGATATCAATCACACTCACACGTTGTTATATAGCCTGAAGATGATCCAGAGACCGAACAGCTGTATGAGCGGATCAAAGCCATGTTGCAATCATTAATCGACGATGCTCAACGTGCCGTTGCAACTCAAAGCAAAAGGAGTGGCCGCGTCTTATACAAGGATCCACGTCAGCTGATGGATTATGAACGATCATCATCATCGATACGTACACCACCACCACCTCCAGCTCCAGGACCCAGCTCACGTGGTCCTCGTCGACCAAGAAGTGGTAGCAGGAATTATTCAGTTGTATCATGTCCTGAAGCAACGCTTACCAGTAATCCAAATCGACGTTCATGGCCTACCGTTACTGCTGGTGGTAGTCGTTTATTACGTATGGCAACACAACCTAGTGGTGCAAGTGGAAGACAACGATCACAATCCATGGTACGAGCTACATCCTCGCCGTAAAACGAAACGATTACAGACATACTCGCACTCGCACTCTCTTATTTACTTGCAAATCCTCTTTTTCTCTCTCTCTCTAACATACTCACTCACTCTCTCACATTATGACCGCTGCACATGCATATTATCATCATATTCTCTCATCTCTTGCTATCTATACCCTCTCTATTTAAACACCCACGCACATCCTAGCTGCAATTACATGCTTTCCTTATGCCCTTCCTTTTTGTTATCCTTTTTACTTCATATGTAAATTGTTCCCTTGTATGCATGTTAAATCTTTTTTGTTTCCCGGTTTGTCTGTACAGTATCAACAATAAAATTTTCTATTGGCGGATGTCTTAATGCATGAATTTGTGTTACCCAATCTTGGATACATACAACAAATCCCTTGTGTGCTTGAATCAAAAGTCATTGTGAGCTAAATGCGCACAGCACGTGCTTAGCAATATGAATGAAACCCCTTACATGTGGTGGTGCTTCTTACTCTATGACCATTCCAAGTTATGTACATCCCCTGATTATCTTATACAATAACATGCTAGTGCTAATAGTAGTAGTGTATGTTTGGAAATGAAATGCAGCCCATGATTTATGATATACAAACGGGAAAAAGATAAATGCAATTTAGAGATGATGGATGTTTCAAAGTTTGTTGCTATTGGATTGCTGAGGAGCGACGCTTTGTCTTGGCCAACTATAGTTGGCATTGGATCGATCATAGCCGTAACGTTTCATGAAAGCATCGAGCTCAGCAGGGCCTCGGGAACCATAAGGATACGTGGAAAGAGGAATGTTACTGTCTTGGTCAATGCGATGCAATAAAGGTGTAAAGATCCGCCAAGCAGCTTCGAGTTCGTCATCACGCACGAAGTTAGCATGATCGTTACGCAATACATCGAGAATGAGTGATTCATAAGCATCAGGGATGGCCATGTCAGCAAATCGTGCATGATAGGAAAGATCAAGGTCCGATTGTAAGGTTTGATATGAAAGCCCTGGTTGCTTGTTGTTGAACTTTAGATAGACAGCTTCATCAGGTTGAATCCGCATTACAAGCTCATTACGAGAGGTGGCCTTGTACAAGTTACCAGCAACGTTGCGAAATTGGATGCGAATCTCCACCTTGGCCTCGTTGAGTGCCTTGCCAGCCTTAAGAATAAAGGGTACTCCTTCCCAACGTTCGTTTTGGATCCACAATGTGAGTGCTGCAAAGGTTGGTGTGCGGCTATCTTGTTTGTCCTTGAGAGTTACATCATCACGATATCCAGGTTTACCGTTAGCACCACCAATGTATTGGCCCAACAATGCATCCTTGAGTGCAATGGGTGGGATGCATCGAAGCACTTTGACCTTTTCATCGCGAATGGCTTCAGGCTCAGTAGAAATGGGTCGCTCCATAGCAATCAAAGATAGCACCTGGAGCAGATCTGATCATCCAAATTGGGCGATAAACTTTAGCTTATGCACTTGTTTTCTCCCACCCTATTCCGCTTTTTCTCACGCACGGTTTTGCATAACATCGCGAATAATGCCGTAATCATCAAAGTAACCACCACGACCTTCTGTGCCAAAGGGTTCCTTGAATGTAATCTGGACATTGTCAATGCTCTTGCGGTCCCAGATATGGTTGAAAAAGACATTGGCAAAACGTAACGTCATGATGTTCTTGACCATCTCCTTTCCAAGATAATGATCAATTCGGTAAATCTAACCGACGAGATGCATACATGATGATGCATAGTGATGAGCTCATCAAGTAAGATAGATGGGTTGACCAAAAGTGATATGCCGCATTTACCTCCTCTTCACTAAACAAGGCACCCAGAGCACGACCCAATTCATTGGAGCTTTCAGTATCCATGCCAAATGGTTTCTCTACAATGAGACGATTGAGGCCGTTTTGAGAATAGACATGGTTGCGTATGCCTTGAGCAACAGGAATAAACACCGAAGAAGGAAGCGCCATGTAAAAGATACGGTTGCATTGACCATGGCTTGCATGACGTCCTTTTTCACTTTGATCGATGCATTGATTGAGTGATTGCCATGACATGTCATCATCGTACAATCCTGAATGATAGCTAGTGATGGCCTTGAACCGATCAAGATCACCACGACCTTCTTCATTGACCTTGATGTACTGTGTCACCCGCTGAAGGTATTCATCTTGAGACATCTTGGTACGTGCATAACCAATGATCTGTGTATTGGCTGGGAGAAAACCATTACGAAAGAGCTTGAACAAGGCTGGATACGTCTTTCTCTTGGCTAAATCGCCTGAAGCGCCCAATACTATCAGAGAATATGCATTGTGAACATGTTAGTCACGAAAAAAAAAGACAAAGCTGCTGTTGTCAAGGCAACGACGTTACGGGGATAAAAGATGTTGGTGTTGTGGTGATCCTGATAGAAACTACATACCAACAATGGTTGCAAAACCATTCAACTCCTTGGTTACTTCTGCTTGGATCACTTGCATAGGACTGGGCATGTTTGGATGAAAAGAAAAATGCAAGAGAAAAACACGAACGCCAAGTCAAGAAAAAAAAACTGAGTTTTGTTATGCTTTATTACAAACGCCGTTTTGGGGGTTGATGGTATGGTAAAGGAGGGGGAATTGACAAGGAGGGCAGCTAGCAGGTGATCGACCTTATGGTGGGATAGAGTTTTTCATCATCATCAGCCATTCATAATCCACAACTGGTATCTGCGGAATTCCACAAACAATATCCCCACACACACACCATAAGCATTCCCATTGTTGTTGCCTGGTTACCATGACAATGTTGTTTTCCTCTCCCCCATTTGACTGCCATCACCCATTCTCACATGCCATTTCATTCTATACGCCGCAATCCGGAGTTGGCTTGTACTCGTCTTTTTGTTGCCATGTGGTGTTGACAATTGTCTGTTCCTCCTCCTTATCGGATAATTTGCCCATCCTATCCCGATCCGAAACTGCTTATGTCAGGGCCATGTGGTATGCTTTTTGCAGCTGATCAAGGTTGCACTAATGCGATCATGCTTTTCATGCCGAGAAGAAAAAAAAAGTCGTTTTCAAGCATTCTCTCCACTACTGTATGTATCATTCGATCGCCGATTCTTTGATCCTTCCTATGTCCTCTTCCCCGCAATAATAGCTCTTTGTCCTACCGCTGCCCCCGGATGAAGGGATCAATAAATACGCGTACTCACATAAACACATGGTAAAATGGACACACAGGAACGTTGCAATATGTATAACTTTTTATCTTCATATGCGTAATCCCCAAAGCTCTAATTGGATACAATTGAATTCGGAAGAGGTAGAGAGAGGTTCATTGTCAAAGGTTGGACATTGTTCGCTGTAGCCCCTCTCAAGGTCCGCATTTATCCAAAGCCCAAACTTGCCGTCACTAGAAAAACATTTCTCATGATCAGTATTTTTTCATAGTACAAGCATAGAGCACATACCCTCCTCCCATGGCAATGAAATCAGTATCAGCCAGGATCATGTATTCGTTCTTGCCAGTCCATGGAAAAATTTTGACGTGTTGATTCTTTTCAGTCCACAGGAAGCTTACATGGGGAAATGAGCACCACCAATAACAAAGGTATCCGTTCATCCAATCACCATCGGCTTACCATTCACCCGTTCCATAATATGATGTGCTTGGTTTCAATGTCTCATTCAAAAAGGCACCAAACACCTATTGTATCCCACCCTTCATTAGCTGATGTTGTCTTGTTATACTCGACAAGTTCCATACCAGATCATTATCATCCTTGATAGCAAGCACACAAGGTCCACGATTGGCTTTTGCACGTCGGTACAGAGTTGCCAAGCTAGTACCATGTTGATCAAGACTATACAGCAGCGACCATTGAGGAGCTACACGAAAGCGTCGTGGCAAATAAGGCCTGACCTGTCAAGGGTTAGGACTATTACTATTCAAGCAACATGCACGCTGGCACTCGTGTTCACACATACCTGCTCAGCAATAGTATCAGTTAATACAGGTACAGTGTCGGGTCGTCGATCAGTGAGCAGTGGTGCTGGCATTGTAGGGTCATGTAAAGTGATAACGGGTAGTACGTGAGATGATGCAGTCTATAGACAAATGAAGGCTTCGAATGCTGATGGGCGCGTTGTCGTCGCTTGTTGGGGGTATACGAGCAAGCTACTTTTGTGAATGCTCTTGGAAAGAATAAAGCGTCCTTGTAGTTGATGAGTGGTGGTATAAGTGAGCAAAAGAGATTGAATTACTGCAGCCGCTTTACAGGATCCCAAATGTCGCTGTTTGTACCACATACCGTGGCGTGTTCATGTGTCGCTTTAATGCAGTATCGCTATCCACAATAAATGGCATGACCCTTATCCTTGATTCCCTGGAACTTGAAATTTTTCCAAAGCCAAGTCTTTGAGTATAAAACATACATCAACATGCGAAAGCTTATGTACTCCTCGAGTATGATGAAATGGGCTGCTTTGACTTCGTGTGTCCCAACATCCTCGTATCATGGAAACGTATGGCTGATGTTGATTCTCAACGTTACTTTTGCATATCATTTTGAATACCGTAATAAAACCAACGTACCATCCATGGTATGGGACTAATCACTTTGTTCTCACAAGGGCACCATGCTTGTTTGTAAAATGATCCGGATGGGCTATGTACCATAAGCACTACGCTTAAGCATTTGACATTGACCATAGTCGTTGATGCCCTGGGACCATGTCTTCGCCTTTTTATGTACTCAAAGCATTGCTATATCCTAATTTCGCCAAGCTGAAGCTCCACAGCACCAAAGGGTGCAACGTGCTAGTGCAAATCCAAGTCCTCGAGCCAAGCATAATAATACCCCACCATTATTACTGAGATGGTCGAAACTATATAGTGTATATCCGATTGGTTGAGAAATTAAAAGACAACGCTAATAAAGCGCAACTAGTTTGCTCGTTTCAAAGGGTAGATGTTGGTAATCATGGTATAGGTGTTATTTTACAATAGTTGATTGGCATCATCATCATGTCTTATTCTTGCAGAATTCCTTACTGAAAAAGGTTGATGCATGAATTTCCCTTGTTACCTTCACAACATGTCACTTTTTTCGTTTCCATACATTGCTCAATAAGGGCACCACTACCCTTTAAGACGACCAGAAGTCATTGTAATCATTATATGGGGATGGCGAGCATTGTCCAAGGGTAAAAGAAATCGTGAGACTATTATGCGGCAAGAAATTGATTGGCTCAGACCTCGGACCTACCACGGAGGTCATATTCCGATTGCCGTAATTACTCATCTGTAAGTCATCATCCTCAAATTCAGGGCCAATGGGCATATAAAAAAGCAGAGCGAGACTTATCCTGTAGCCCATTCCTAAGACACATACATACATACATACATACATACATTCCCTACAACAACATGACTATTACAAGCAAAATCTTTCAACCTCTCAAAGTTGGTGCTACCCAATTATCGCATCGCGTGGTGCTTGCACCATTGACACGTTTGCGAAACGATGATAACCATGTGCCTACTGAGATGATGGCCAAAATGTATCAAGATCGAGCCACTCCTGGTGGTTTATTGATTACAGAAGCTATCCATCTTTCCAAGCAAGGTACCTATCCACGAGCTCCCGAGATTGATACACAAGCACAGATCGAAGGTTGGAAGCGTGTGGTGAAAGGTGTCCATGACAAGGGTGGTATTTTCTTCGCTCAGATCTGGCATAGTGGTAGAAGCACCAATGCTATATTTCGCCCTGATGGATCCAAGCCAATTGCTCCTTCTCCTATTGCTATCAATGGTCTCAATTCGGCAGGTCTTCAAGGCGAGGTTCCAGAGGAAATGACCATCGATCAGATCAAGGCTGTGTCTCAGCAATTTGTGCAAAGCGCCAAGAACTCCATGGCTGCTGGATTTGACGGGGTTGAACTCCATGGCGCTAATGGATACTTGATTGATAGCTTTATCAACACATCCAGCAATAAGCGCACCGATGAATATGGTGGTTCTATCGAAAACCGATGCCGCTTTGTACTTGACCTTGTGGACCAAGTCGTCGATGCTATTGGTGAAGAACGTGTTGCCGTGCGCTTTAGTCCTTGGTCCGAATATCAGGTATGTACGACAACGAGTCATTTTGAAAGATAACACCACTAATATCTGCTGATTTAGGATATGGAAGATGAGACACCTTACGAAACTTGGGGCTACATTGTTAAACAGCTCCAAAAGAATCATCCCAACTTGGCCTATTTGCATTTCATCGAACACCGTGAACGACCCGATCCTGAAGATCCCAACGTGATCTTGTTCAACTCGCTTGATCCTATCCGTAAGCTATGGAAGGGTCCATTTATGTCATCCGGCTATACCAACAAGGAAAAAGAAGCCATTGCATTGTCGGATCGTACAGGCGACATGGTATCATTTGGACGTGCATTTATTGCTAATCCAGATCTTGTCGATCGTCTCAAGAACGAATGGCCTCTCAACAAGTATGATCGCGACACATTCTATGGTGGCGATGATCGTGGATACAATGATTACCCTTTTTATGATCCCAAGAATCCTCCTCAATAGCAACCTTAATGTTATTTAAAGCTATGTAGTTTATTCAATAAACATAAAGCTACATATCATCAACCAATTGATACGTATGTTGTGGGTGGTGATATCGATGTCATTGCGTGGATCATGCATCAACCAATGCGATGGGCACCTTGTACAACGTTCTTTTTGAATTTGAGCTTGCCTTTTTGGTCGAACACCAACAACAGCGCTTCTTCCTGCAACACACACACACACACACACACGCACAACCGACAATGTCAAAGGAATGGATTCAACAACGCATGGCACTCTTACGGAAGCAAGCTGGATTTGCCTTTCACCAGGATCTTGCCATTTCGATTCTTCTGTGCCTAATGTCTGGCAGAGATAAGCACCTTGTCTTGACTGCTGCACCTCATCGATTACAAGAAGTGGCTCAAATGGCAACCATGGTGAGTGGGTGTGCTTCTAGCAACATCCATATAGACTTACGTCCTCGTATTAGTTATCACGATCTCTGTTTGGATTCTCTACGGCCAACGTCGTATGTCAAGAGCAGCAGACACCTTCTGATTTGATACATTCGCTATTCGCTGCCACGCTTGAAGATTACATGGATGTTGCCTCTGAGCATCGGCACAGCAGCTATCATCGCATTTATGGCGACTCGTTACATCCATCCGACTCGGGTCCTTCTTCGATCAACAATCGTTCTCATCGTCAAACACAATCCATGTTCCATAACGACCATTCACCTTCATTATCATCGTTTCCTAGTATCATCAGCAATCGAAGCTATGTAAGTATGCATCAAAGGAAGGAAGCTTGGCAATAATGACTCATACGCAACCCACATGAAAGCATGATGACGATACAAGGAACATGAATCCTGTGAGTCCAGTGGATTTCAACGTATCATCGAGACGACGCACACCTGCACCACCTCCACTTTCACGATATACCCAGCACAACTCATCCGATATGGTCACCTCTCGCCGTGATACCCTTCTTGGTCCTCAACCTCCTTCTACCACAAGTGCACCTTCGCCTTCCATTCGTCGAGATTCGGATTTAGATATCACTGCACGATCGAGTGGAAAACTCGCACAAGCGGTTGTTATACAGCGTCTCGATGAAGCCGATCCTTTGGTTCAAGCTACTTTACTCGAGGTGAGTGGGTGTATGTTTGTTATCACGAGGGTGCTATGAAAGCTCATCACAATGGGTCATCCGCTAGCTCATTGTTACCAAGGAACTCAAGATGGGTAATGCAAGGTACACGGTACCCAAGCCGCATTTTCTCGTGATTCTAGTACTACCAAGGACCCATGAGCGATCCTCAGTATCCTCACAGCTGGTAGGTTGCTTCTTTTATTCATATCATCTATGGCTAATGAACCTTTTATCTAAAGCTGGACAGGTTCTTTGTGAGTTTTGATTTTGATGAGGATACATTTGGCAACTCTTTTTCATCAGCTCGAGGATTTGGGCGACGTATGGCGCTTATCAAGAATGAGGTGGGGTTAAATTAAAAAGTAGGTGAGAAAAGTATCATCTAACTCTGCTACACATTGAAGGAAATTGCAAGTTTGGCGACGCAAGCATCACGTGTGTTCATCAACATTGACATTACCCGGTATATACGAGACATTGTGGTGGGTGTAAGAACACATCCATTGGTACAAGGAGGATTGACAGCACGTGCATCACAAGATCTGGTCAAAGTGACAAGGTAGGAGGGTGGGATGATGTGCTTTATCCTGCACGCTTATTCAATGGGAGGGAATGCATGATGTAGGTCACTGGCAACACTGTTTCAAAGGGATTATTTGACTCCTGATTTGGTATCGATTGCAGCAAGCAAGGTGCTGGGTCACCGGATCCGACTTTTGCCTCAAGCACTGGATGATCAAGGCACACCTTATCGCACAACAGCAGATGTAGTAGCCGAGGTCTTACGAGTTGTCTATGTACCCATGTAATCCTTTCATTTGATAAAGTACAACCATGGAATGATGGTGATGCATTTAAAAAAGCTCTGATTTATGTAATTCAACACTATGTTGAGGGAGAAAACGTTGGTGGGGATCGTATATGAGTGATTGTTGAGTGAGTGAGAGTGAGTGTGTGCGTGTGTGTATATGTGCGTATGGAAGAGAGAGAGAGAGAGGAATGCGAGTGTACTATATCCAAGGGGAAACTACTTTTCACCTTCATTCTTCTTTTCCTTATCCTGCTCATTGGTTGTTGCGGCATTCTTTTCCTTTTCCTTGTCAGCTGCAGCGGCATTGGCTGATGATGGTGCTAACAAGGTTCCCTCTTCGCCCTTGAGATTATCAATCTTGTTGTTGATGAGGTTGTGGAGTGCAATCACTGAACGAATCAAGCTGGAAAGATAGATCATAAGCAATTGATCGTTTGTCTTGGTGCTGAAAGCGTTGACCATTTCCTGGACCTCGAGATTTGGCAACAGGTTGAAAATGTCTTGAAGGTTGTAAATGATCTGATGATTGACGGGGAGTTTGCCAGCGACGACCTTTTGAAGATAATCCCTAATCTCTTCCAATCGACCTTGAAGACCTGCCAACGATCCCAATTGGCCACTGATGCGGGTAGACAATGTTCCCACAGCATTATCCTTGATATCTCTTAGCAAATGCTCCACACCAATCTCCTCGGCTTCTTCTGCAACAATCTCGGAAGGAACGTGCATAAATGTCTTGGTGGTTGCTGTGCCATCCTAGATTACACCGGACATAAAAATTAACCTCTATACATACACACACACACCTCATTTTGCACGCATCCCCATACCTCCTTGATTTCTTCAATGGCAAAATAAGCATCCGTGGGTATTTCAACATCCTTGGGCTTGACATCCACAATGACAAGAACCGGATTGGGTGTGTACCGCTTGAATAACTCATTGATCTCGAGGTCGGATGGGCGTAACTTGGGTCCACTATGATACCAACCGATCATCTTTTCTTTGGCTATTGTAAATGAGATATAGATAGATAAGTGAGATGAAGACAAAATACACGTTTCTATATGTATGTATATGACGTACCGTTGACCTTCTTAAACATGTTGTTCATGCCTTCAATGTAGTTGTGATCGAGAAACCATACAGAGGGATCCTTTTCATCTTCTTCAAAGGGAACTACCAACGATGCCATTCGCGTGAGTGAAATGGGTTACTCGTGCGTTGTATTGTCAATGTGTACCTGCAAAGCTGTTGGAGACGTTTACAGTCTTGCCCTTGTTCTGACCGAGCAAGACGCCGACAACGCGTTTCTTTGTATCCTTGGCAACACGATTGTAGTGATCGGTAGCTGACAAGAGCACCAAGGGGTGTACTTGAACAGTGGTTGACGGTGAGACGGTGGTAGTGGTTGGCATATAGGTAATAATAAGAGAGAGAGAGGTGTGCGTAAATATCAGTCAGGCGGGACGCGTGTATACTTGAAGCCCGCTCACATTGTATGGTAGGTGTCTCCCCCTCCCACTCACACTCACACATAGGGTGGTGCCCCCCCTTGCTTCAACCAATCATATCAGTTGCTGTTGTAGCTGCCGGCTCGCTCGCAGCTGATGATGCTGCTGCTGCTGCTGCTTATTACCTGCTGCAGGTTTCATTACACTCCACCGCAAGCCCTTTTTTTTCTTCTTTCCTTTTCTTTTTTCTATACCTGTACAACCCACCCTTTCTCCTCCCACCCCCCATATGTCCAACTACAACTACAGCTACGTTATCAAGGTAATTGTCACTCTTCATGGTATCCATGACTACCATTGATCGCCCCATGCTCATTGACCCTTCGCTTTACAGTATATTATCATCGGCGACACAGGTAAAACGGGAACGGAAATACCAGGTCTATGAGCTCAACCTTTGTTTCTACTTTTTACACCTCTCTCTTTTTCAAGGCGTTGGCAAGGTAAAGTGTGCCAGGTTATTTAAAGGCGTCGAAAATAGGTCTATATGCAGATACTTACATACATCACATTATCCCTATAGTCATGCCTTCTTTTGCAATTCACGGACAAACGATTTATGCCAGCCCATGATTTGACCATCGGGTAAGAGATACTCTCCCACACATCCCATCATTGTATTTGAGAACCAAGATTTGCTTATTGTGCCTATGTTTAGTGTTGGATTTGGAACGCGTTTCATTACAGTGGTGGGCGACCAGGGTGCCAAGCAACAAATCAAATTGCAGATTTGGGATACGGTATGTGAATGGGATGTTGTTGTAGGAATGGAAGGTATTCATGGGGGATTGGTTGGGTGATTGTGTAGGCTGGCCAGGAGTCTTTCAGATCAATTACTCGAAGCTACTATCGTGGCGCTGCTGGTGCTTTGCTGGGTAAGTTGGGAAAGGGGAGCGAGACACATTTTTCTCCTGTTGTTTCAAAAAAGTAACTTTTTTCACATTATGACTCTTGTCATCATCATCATCATCATCGTTGCTTAACTATAGTCTATGATATCACAAGGTAAGCATACTTTGTAAGCGGAACATGCATCATGTATTAGGGACCCGATTCATTGACCGGTGTAAATGTTGTAGACGAGACACGTTTGAGAACCTAAAAACCTGGTTGCAAGGTATGTTGTGTGGCTCTGTTGTTTTGGGCTACCACCACCACCACCACCAAATGTTATGTGACATGTGATGGATCCTAATGATGTAACCTTGTATCACAAATTTTCCAGATGTCCGTGAACACGCCAATCCCAATACAGTGGTGACAGTCGTAGGCAACAAGAGTGATCTCGAGAGCAAACGCCAAGTGTCACGAGAGGAAGGTGAACAATTTGCAAGGGAACATGATTTATTCTTCATGGAAGCATCAGCCAAATCTGCCGAAAACGTTGAAGATGCCTTTGTCAAGACGGCCCAAAACATTTATAAAAAGATTCAAAGCGGTGTGATTGATTTGTCAAGCGAGGTAAGAAAGAGAGAGACATGGATGGATGGATCAAGGAATAGAAGACTAATGAAATGGGTCATCATCCTACATAGTCGAATGGTATCAAGGTTGCACCTCCACAAGGTGGATCTTCGTTGCCATCTGCGAATGCGTCCTCGGGTGGCGGTGGATGTTGCTAGAGCTTTCTTTTTTACCATCCCTTCTACCTATTTTCCCCTCGATAGAAACAAAAAACATTAGCAGCACAATCGCTCTTTTGTTCTTTACCCATATTCTTTGTCTCATGCTTACACACACCCACACACACACATATCTAACCCATCGCTTTATTACCATGTCAATTTACGATTGGAACTACCCTTTCCTTTTTCTTCGATTGCTCATCCACCCCCTCCTTATTGCTATTTTTTGAATGAACGACTATCCCTGAATATGCATCATTGTTTATGCAGCTTTGGTTACCGTGCAGCATCAACATGGGGTCATTTCATGTTACACGAGATACATCTTGGCTTATAAGCATCTTTATTTTGGATAACATGTGTGCATGATGAGAAAGAAAAAAATTGGGTGTGGCCCAACAAGATGAAAAGAGCATGGTAATACTATATATGTATGAAGAAAAAGGGGGGAGTGCAATGTAAGGAGGGCAATGGGTATACACATGGAGCAAATGGAAACAACATGGTTACTACTACTATGGTCCCAAGGAAGACTCGACCATGATGGCAGTAACACGATAAGGATCCATGTTGGACGCAGGTCGACGATCTTCCATGTATCCTTTTCCTTCTTTACCCACATGGCGTGGAATACGAATGGATGCACCACGATTGGCAATGCCATATGAGAATGCGCTAATATGACCCGTTTCATGCAACCCTGTGAGACGTAAATCATTGTCTTCGCCATACACGTCAATGTGCTCAGAGTGCTTGAGACTCATCTTTTCAATGGCACGTTCGATAGCAGCTAGACCACCTTCTTGACGCATTTCCAATGTTGAATAATTGGTGTGTCCACCTGTACCACTCCAATCATCACTTTCAATGATAGGCTTTGGATGTAATGAGATGGCGATACCAAAATCTTCAGCAACGCGTTCCATAATGTACCGAGCTATCCACAATTGGTCGCCTGCATCAATGCCTTCACAAGGTCCGACTTGGTATTCGAGTTGTCCTGGTGCACATTCAGCATTGACACCCGAAATCATCACCCCAGCATATAAACAGGCTCGATAATGTGCTTCAATGATATCACGTCCAAAGATTTTGCCTGCTCCCACGGCACAATAGTATTTGCCCTTTAGCATAGGCATTAGTACTCAATCATGATGATGATGATGATGACTCCTTTACCTGGGGTTCAGGATAACCATGACGAGGCCATCCATAAGGGCGTTCAGTTTCTGGATCCATCAACATGTATTCTTGTTCAATGCCAAACCAAGGATGTTGATCAGCAAACGTCGTCATCACTTTTTTACACGCATGTCGGTAGTTGGTCGGATGCGGTGTGCCATCTGCATGTGAAAATTGTCATCAGCTATCTAAGTATGTATCGACAATAATAGCTTTTCCACTTGCCTGGATTGAAAGTCTCGCAAAGAACAAGCTTGTTATCGCCTTGACGGAAGGGATCGGGAAACATCGTGACAGGTAGGAGCAAAATATCCGAATCATGACCTTCTGCTTGTCCCGTTGAGGAGCCATCATAATTCCATTCCGGTAAATCATGTACGCTTTTAGGTATCGTGTGCACGGTTCTCGTTTTTGATCGCAGTTGATTGTATCCATCAATCCAAATATACTCGACTTGGATGTTGCCACGTTGATCAAGTTGCATGTATTTTGAAAGAAGGTCGGGTTTCGAGGTGATAGCCATCATAGTGCGTCTGTGTGTATCGTAAATGAAAATGCGGGGAAAAGAAAAGAGTTAAAGAGGGAGAAGAAAAAAGAGTGAAGGGTTTATTTTAAAGATCAACGCAAGTGATACGGGTGTTGTTATCAGTGAAGAGAGTCACTGATATAGAAAGCTGATATCGCTGGGTCGCTAATCGGACATTGCCCTTATCGCAGGATCCGATTGATCATCTTCCACCATACACACACACACTTCACACACAAATGATGGATTGCATAAATACTCAGCTCTTGTGCATACAACAATGATCATGATAAGATTAGGCAAGGCACTACGTAAGAGATCAAGTTGTCATGTGAATCAGTTGGGATGTGGTATGTATGTATTGTAAAAGGAGCGATAAGAGCAAAAAAGTAAGACATGTCCGTTATGTAGGTAGTAGAAAAAGTCTTATATATGCATCAGAATGCAAGGGATTAGATAAGCGGCGGCGGCGACATCCTCATCCTCACCAATAAGTGCATGCATCAACCAACACAAACAAGATAGGTATTTAAACATCATTGGGTAAAAGAAGAAAAAGGGGATAACGTCATGTCACCATGTGTCAGCAACAAGCAGGTGGGGGAGGAGGATCGTCATCATTTGAGGGTATACAATAATAGTAAGTAATAGGGATGGTGGTATATGAAATCAAAGTTGGTCTGTGTGAATTGAGAAAGAAAAGAAAAGGAGAAAAGAGAGAAGAAAATGCTTAGTTACAAGTAGCAAATACGTCAGCAGACATGAATGGGTGGGGTGGGGTGGATGGATGGGCATAAGGAGAAATGTCTAAAGTCAATGGCAGCAGCAGCAGCAGCACTGCACATAGAACGAACAACAGCTTGTTCGTCGGCAGTTGAATATAGGACTCGGGTCCACTCGCTTTTCTCTAACGAGGTATCCAACCACTTTGCGGGGGGCGTGCTGCTGTTGTAAGAAGTTTTGTTTTCTCTCTCTCATCTGGTTCTTTCTATTGCAATCACACCTCAATCGATAACCCCCTTTTCTTGTTTCCCCTTGACAGGTAACTCCTCTTTTGTCAACTTGAACGCCTCTAATCTCTTTATTCACTTGCACTTCTTCCCGCATCATGCAGTGAATTATGGCTGCCACCACTCCACAACAGCAACATCAGCAACAGGCGCCTCCACAGCAGCCACAACAACCTCCTCAACAACCACAACAGCCTTCTACTGCTGCTCAGAAATTAGCTGCCATCAATGAACAGACTTGGCTGTCCATGGGTAAGTCCATCGTCCTTTTCCACTCGTCCCATCTCTCAACTATCCGGCTTTCCGGCTTTTCCCCCCGTGTGTGTGTGTTGATCCTTTTCCCTTCTTCCTCTTCTTCCTCCTCCTCCCCTCCCACCCCCAAACATCTTTTTATATAACAAGTTGTCAATATATACTGATGATGATGATCTACTCTTAGGCAACCTTGCTGAACTCATGACCGATTATGACAAGGCCACTAGTTGTTACGAGTCTGCTTTGCGACACAACCCATATTCTGTACCTGCGTTGACCCAAATCGCATCTCTATGTCGAGGACGCGAACAATTTGGCAGGGTAGGAAGACAACATTTCAATCATGCTTCAGATCTCCCCTCTCTTATTATGTATGTATGTATGTTATAGGCTGTTGACTACTTTAAGCGCATTCTCGCGATTCAAGAAAACAATGGTGAAACCTGGGCTGCATTAGGCCATTGTTATTTAATGATGGATAATCTTCAAGACGCATATCACGCATATCAACAAGCATTGTATCATCTCTCCAATCCAAAGGTAATATCATCATCACTTGATACAAGAATGATCCCCTAATCCCGCGTTTATGTCATAGGATCCAAAACTCTGGTATGGCATTGGTATCCTGTATGATCGTTACGGCTCCCTGGAACACGCTGAAGAGGCCTTCTCGGCAGTCATGAAAATGGATCCCAAGTTTGAAAAGGCCAATGAGATCTATTTCAGGCTCGGCATCATATACAAGCAACAACAAAAGTTTGATCTCTCTCTTCAGGTAAATCTTTTTATTGGGAAAAGGGTTGTTGGATAAATCCCATTATTGACATTGATCTCTATCTATGGCTAGTGTTTCCGATACATCCTTCACACTCCTCCTCGTCCATTGACTGAATCTGACATTTGGTTCCAAACTGGTCACGTTTATGAACAACAAAAGGAGGTGGGTACCATTATATATAGACACACACACGCGCGCGTGTATACTCATATCGAATCTAGTATGAGCTTGCCAAGGAAGCATATGAACGGGTGTTGGCTGAGAATCCGGATCATGCCAAGGTGCTGCAACAGCTTGGATGGCTTTATCATCAACAAAATACGTCATTCTGTAATCAGACATTGGCCATTCAATACTTGACGCGATCTTTGAAATCTGACAGCAATGATGCACAATCATGGTATTTGCTTGGACGATGCTATATGGCAGAGCAAAATTACAACAAGGCATACGAGGCTTATCAGCAAGCCGTGTATCGGGATGCACGCAACCCCACGTTCTGGTGCTCTATTGGTGTATTGTACTACCAAATCAACCAGGTATGAAAGATTTTTCCTTTTTGTGCTTCTCCATCATCTCTAACTTGTCAAATTAGTATCGCGACGCTCTTGATGCCTATAGTCGTGCCATTCGATTGAACCCTTACATCAGTGAGGTGTGGTATGATCTTGGTACCTTATACGAATCATGCAACAACCAAGTACAAGATGCTCTTGATGCCTACCAACGTGCCGCTGAACTTGATCCATCCAATCCTCACATCAAGCAACGTTTGGAATTACTTCGCAAATCTCAATCAGTGCAATCGTCACAAGGGTAACGTATTAGGATCATGAAAAGAGAGAGAGAGACAGAGATGATGGGAGAGGAAAAGGGTATACTCACACACATCTCATGTAGAGTGGGAAGTGCTCCTGCACCACGTGATGTTAGCAATCCAAATCAATACCAAAATAACCCTGGCACTCAACCTTTGAATGGTGGCTATAATCAGGTAAGCTTTTCTTTGTGGTCAATGCGTGAAAGGAAATAGTACTTATGGTATGTATGCATGTTTAGCAGGCTCCAGGACCTGCATTGTCAAGCATGTCGTCATCCTATGGTAATGCTCCTCCTCCACCACGCCCTGATGAACGAGGTGGTATGCCTGTGCCTCAGGTAAGAATGTGTGGTTATGGATATCTATAGTATCATTGGGAATTAATGTGTATTCCTTATTAGACTGCACAAGAGAATGGTAGTGGACCTGGTCGTGATCTTCCAGCACTTGCAACAGGTCAAGGAGAACGAGCACCTCCTGGATCTCACCAATATCAACCATCACCATCACGTGAAGATGTTCGTATTCCTGGTATTGGCGGTGGACAAGCCCCTGCACCATCTGATCGATCTCAAATGAACCCTATTGTTGCCGATGATGCTAAACAACGCGTACGTCAAACACCACCACCACCTCCATCAGCAGTATCAGATCATGCACCACCACCTCCACCCCAACAACAACAACGTCATTCACCTTTTATGAAATCTGAGGAACCACGCACTGCTGCACCACCACCACCTCCACCACAACAACAAGCTGGATTGCAACCTCGTGGCGTATGGCAACCACCATCCGAATCACCACGTAGTGCTCATGCACCCGCAACACCTTACGATCAACATCATCGCTCACCCGTTGCACGTGAACCTGTTGATACACGCATGTCATCTCGTCCTGAGGGTCACCAATCACCTTATGCACGACGTGATTACCCTAATGAAGGTCCTCGTACACCAGTGATGAAACATGAGCATCCTCAACAACAACAGCAACCTGAGGAACCTGGTCGTGGATACCATATTGAACAACCATCTCAAGAGAAACAACAACCTCAACCACAACAACCATCTCCTCAACCTCAACATCAGCAACAACAACAGCAACAGCAATCTCCTGCTCCATCAGCTGCAACGACAACACCTGCTGCACCTGCTGAAGATCAACAACAACAACAACAACAACAACCATCACATGTGCAACCAATGGATACCACTCCTCATGAACAACCCCAACAGGAGAATAAACCCGAATCAAAATCGCATGAAGAGCAACAACAACAACCTGTTAAAGAGAGTACACCTGCACCATCACAACAACAACAGGATACATCTGCTTCAGCTGCTGCAACGAGTCGAGCCCCTGTCGATGAGGATTATGATGAAAGTGCTGCTAGTGCATTGTTGAGTATGGGTGGTAATCGTGATAATGGTGCTCAAGGATACAAGAATGAAGGACAAAAGCGTGCCTATTCTGCTGAGGAATCGGATGTGTCTCAAGAAGGTGTCAAACGTGCACGATCGGGTGAAGAAGAATCCAGCAAGCCAGCTGCACCTGAGACTACTACCACTGAAAAGGATCAAAGTGTGCCTTCACCCAAGCAACAACAGCAATCATCACCGTCTCCTCAACAACAACCTGCTACAGCTGCTGCTAATACTTCATCTCCTCCTGCTTCTGAACAACAGCCACAACAACAGCAGCCAAAGAAAGAGGAATCACCAGCACCAGCACCAGCAACACCATCGTCAACATCAGCACCGTCTACAACGACGACGACACAACAACAACAACAGCAGCAACAGCAACAAGAAGAATCACCTGTTGAAGATGCTAAGGAAGAAGGCGAAGTAACAGACAAGACCCCAAGTCCTTCTGCATAAATTCCCCACCCCCACAATTTGTCCCATTGTTCCAACCCCATCATTACTCTCTTTTTTTTATATCTCTTTGTTTCTCTCTCACACACATACTTGTCATCACCTTTCCCCCCATCAACCATCTCCATGGAAAAAGAAATCAGTTTAATATTAGCCCATCAGTTCTTTCCAGAGTGTTGTTTATATATGCCCAAAAAGAATGCTTTTATACTCGGATGGTTATGATGTTTGTTTATAATAATGGCTTCTTGTGTGAGTGAGTGAGTGAATGAGTGTGGAATGTGTGTGAGTGTGTGATATATATGGCGTGATATAGGATGGTGTGTGTGTGTGTGCATGTAGACAAATGAAAGAAATAGATTAATACATGATTTAAGCAAACTCGTCAGGCTCGATAGGCATTTCACATGCTAATCCTTGCAAGACCTTCCAATTATCGCCCAATTGTCGTGAAAACTGCAATTGCTCGGCGACGTAGTTTTGGTACATGTGTGAAATGAATGCTTGTTGCTTGTGAATATAGGATAATTCGGATGCCACGCAATATCGAATGTGGGTATCACGCTCTTGTTGGTATATCAATTTAGCTTGATCCTATATCAAAACACACACATTCCATATGAGCTATGTTGTCAACGAGAGAGAGAAAGAGATACAACGTACCGATGCAATGGCATTATCCAATCGCTCCACCTCTGCCTCAAGGCCAGGAACACCACGATTTTGATTCACCTTGGCTCGATTGGCTTGGATCTTTTTGGAAAGACTATCGATTTGATTGATTTGAAGTTTCTCTTTACGTTCCAACATCTCCTACAATCTCTCTATTAGTATCATCTTCAATGTAGAAAGAGTGACAATGACTTACCTTGAATGATAAAAAGTGATCTCGATGACGCTTTAGATTTTCCAATACACCGTTACTTGTTGTCAAGGATTGGTCGTCAAGGATGGATCCTGCACGCTGCATGTGCTTGGCAACAGCATCGTAACCACGTGCGACTTGGGTGCATGATTGACATCCCGATACATAGCATTCTCCTTCAAGATCGCTCATGGCACTATATTCGAAAACTAGATCAGCAAACAAGAATACTAGGATGGGCATACAATGCCAACTTACTTTAAGGTGATGCTGTATCGTGTCAATTCTCTAGCTTGCATTTCACTCCATCGTATTTGGCGATCGAGGGTGTTACACATGGCGCTGTAATGTTCAATAAGATTGGGAAGTCTCGCTTTGATATTGTTGAGGCGATCATCGAGGTCTTTGGGTATCGTCGCTGCGAGGTCATTGATGTTGGGTGATTCACGCACAAATTCCTCATCATTGGCAGGTGGATTGGCTCTTCGCCATGCTAATAATTCCTATCATAGACAACATGCTGGGAGATGAGCAAAAAAGACGATTCAAAAATAGAGGGAGGTGCATAGTATTACCGATGGCTCTGTCAAGAAACGATCCACCACCTCATCGCGTTTCAATTCTGGATGTCGAACAACAGCATTGATAAATCGTAATAGACCTTTGCGTCGTTTTTCCAAGAATGAATCATCCTTGCCGCCCACTTTTTTCGGTGGTAAATTGGGTACTGCACGTATGGGGAATCGACGTGTTAAGATCTCCCACAACCAATAAAAGTCGCTGTATCGTCGCAACACCTTGGATGAGCGTTGTTGGCTCTCAACGACATAGTTGATGTGTTTGAATATAAAACCTTCTCTTTCAGGGGCAACCGTAACTGAAACAACGTCCAAATCCAGGAACCATTCACTTGCCAAAGCACGTTGGATGGCATGATTGTTGCTGTTACTGCTATCATCAGAGCTGGATGTAAGGGAATCGTGGGATGGTGTTCTTTTTACTGCCATGTTGCGTGTTGCTGTTGTAGCCGTAATGGTGGTGGTGGTGGTGTCTTTGTGTAAACCATGGTTGCCATTGGGAACAGGGGTGTTTGGAATAGCCGTTGTTGTAGTAGTTGTTGTAGTTGACCAAGGATCATCGACAGGAGCAGTGGTCGTATTTGTTGTAGTCATTTTTGGTGATAATCCATTTCCGCCTGTAGATCGATGTTGTTTTTGTGATACTCGTTTCTTTACATCCAACTGGTCGAGATTGAGGAGGACAGGGCTGGGAAGGTCTAGAGTCAAGGCGCTAATTAATGCACGTGTTTTCATTGTTTCATAGTCCGACTTACCATTGCGATGCTGGTACACGTTGTGCAGGGAGACCTCTAAGAGATGTCAACTTGTCAAGTTCAATTGTCTACCTTTCATCCTTTCTCTTTCTCTCCCTCTCTCTTTCAACTTACCCATGCTCTTTTGTGCGCATGCTGCAAGTGCCAATGCCGTATTAAATTCATTGTGAGTGACGTACATTGCTCCCGCTGGAACCACCATATTCATGATCTATTATTTTTGAGGATCAGCAATAAAGCAATTGTATAACATTATATACGGGGGGTTGGTTACCTCTTGTACGGTCCTTGGTGGTAATTCAGCCAAAGCAATTACTTTTTCCAATGAATCCAGGGTCACCCGTTCGCCTGTGGGACGAGCTCGTAGATAAGCATGGTTGTATATTTCTGGAAGGTCGATACCCACTGTATGTATGTACCAACAAAGGATGAGTTTGCCAAGCCCAATGATGGATAGATGGATGGGATGTGTGTGTATTTGACTTACCAAGCACACTGGCAGCTGTCACGCCAGCACCTAAGATATCATCATCGACGGCAGCTGTAGTCGAGTGCTGACCAAGGTCTGAAACAACAGGTTCAAACTGGCTGTCGGTGTTCCAGGGATTGCCTAGCTGCAAAGGCATGGACAATGACCGGTTGATAGATGAGGATGTCGTTGAGCTGAGCAAGTATCTCGAAGCGTCGGGATCGAGAAAGCCATTGCCAAGAACGTCTTCTTCATTCAACATGACGAAAATACAAAGTAAAGGGCGAGAAAGAGAAAGAAGGGAAAAAAGAGAGTGTGTACAACTCTTGTCCTATCATTTGAGAGCTCTTGTTGGTCCTCCGACCCATATAACATCATCCCATCCCATCCCATCACCCTCCTCCCCTCCTCCACCATCTCCTATGTATGATGTACACACTTCCATCCACACATACCCATTGTAGTAGGGTATTCCAATGCCTCATTATCATTACTACAACATCCCCATTCATTCAATGGTCCATTGTACCTCATGATACGAGCATACAAGAAAAAGAAAGGCGATGGTGATGGTGATGATGATGTCAAGAATAGAATTCAAAGTTCAATTGAAATATGCATGCATGTGATATGCAAAAGAAATGTGTATGTAGGATATTGGGTGGTGGGTGTGGGTGTGATGAGAGAGACACGCGATCCGCAGCGTCCGAGAGAGCGAGACAACGTGTGACGTTGACATGTCGCGTTTCTTTTTTCAGTTTCACGTCAATTGATTTTCGCGTCTTTGGTTCCCAACTTTTTTTTTTCCTGTTCCCTCTCTCTCTCTCTTCAACAAAACACGCACACACACACAAGTAAGTCAATGTCCTTTTTATACTCGAAAACAAAAAGACTCATAGGAGGCTATAGCCATGCTCGAAGCACGTCTCCAACAAGCCAAGGTTCTCAAGGGTCTTCTCGAGGCTATCAAGGAACTCGTTACTGAATGCAACTTTGATTGTAACGACTCTGGCATTTCATTGCAAGCTATGGACAACTCCCACGTCGCTCTTGTTTCTATGCTCTTGCGAAGCGATGGCTTTGAACCTTACCGATGCGATCGCAACTTGCCCCTTGGTATCAACCTCACCAGCTTAAACAAGATTATGAAGTGTGCTCGCCCCGACGATGTTATGACCATCAAGGCTGATGACAATGGCGATGTTTTGAGCTTGGTTTTTGAGAGCAAAGGTAAACTTGGGGGATAATGATGATGATGGTTTACATGTCGACACGTGTATGCTCATACCCCATTCATTAGATAGCGACAAGATCAGTGAATACGATCTCAAGCTCATGGACATTGACAGTGAACATTTGGGTATTCCTGATACTACTTACGATGCCGTCGTCACCATGTCCTCGACCCGCTTTGCAGAAATTGTTCGTGATTTGTCAATGATGAATGACTCTGGCAAGTATTCCTTCTACATACATCATCATCCTTCTTCCATCATGCTAACTTGATCATCTAATAGTGACCATCGAATGTACCAAGGAAGGTATCAAGTTTGGCAACGAGGGTGAAATTGCCAAGGGTTGTGTCACTCTCAAGGCAAACAGCATGATTGATAATGTAAGTTGTATGGGTAATTGCCAGGGATCCAAGGTGGTGGCTCATAGGTGTTGGATAATGATAATAGGAGGATGATGCTACCACAATCGAATTGCAACAAGCTGTCTCCATGGCCTTCTCCATCAAATACCTTGTCAACTTTAGCAAAGCTACTCCTCTCTCGTCCCGCGTCACCCTCAGCATGTCCGCTGATGTCCCACTCCAGGTTGAATACAAGCTTAACGAAGTTGGCTATATCCGATATTACTTGGTACGTATTTCCCCACATCCAACGTACTCATGACAACATGATTTACTTATCTTTTTATCCCATTTTATACAGGCACCCAAGATTGGCGAAGAGAATTAGGTTGTTTATCATTACTATTATACAAAAAAGGAACAAAGATATCATTGTGCATACAGGGAATTCACAAATCAGGGTTATTGGAATGCAAAGTGTGTATTTATTGTGTTCTGTAAATGGCTATGTCTATTCTTCTTCATCGTTTCCATCATCATCATCATCGTCATCACCATCTTGGTCATCGCCGTCGTCGTCCTCATCATCTTCATCGTCCTTGCCATCCTTGTCATCCTTATCACCCTTGTCATCTTCATCATCGCCATCGTCTTCATCATCACCATCGTCTTCATCATCATCATCATCCTTGTCGTTTTGGATAGACTTCTGCTTGTTGTTCGTTGCTTTATCGAGAACATTGTCTACCCGAGTGGTTGTTTTCGATAGGTCCGGTAGATTCAAGGGAAAAAGGGGATCGACAATGTTGCCAGTCATTATGCGAGATACCACTCCTTGTTGTTGCTGCTCTTCTGAATCTTCATCCCTACGATGAACAGGTGCTGCCAATGTAGAGACAACCATCATAAGGGTTGTGGCCGTGGTGAATAAAGCATAAAGACGAGTCATGGTGGAAAAACGTGTGTGTGTGTGTGTGATGCTTTGTAAAAGGGATCGAATTGATATGGACGCTCTTTTATAAGGCACGTGTAGTACGCATTTTTGTCGGCATCAACTACTGCTCCTGAAATTAGAGCTTGTCAGAAATGCTTTCATTGTCAAGCATGAGAAGGTAGAAACACAACCACATAGCTCGCATTGGCATTGTTCTCGGTGGATTTCAGGAGTATGGAAACCTACCACGCCTCACCAATCATCATTGTCGTCGTGGTCGTATAGTTTTAGTATTTCATTATTACAGTAGCAGAGCGATCATTAAATGGTTATCTTGAGCAGTGAGTAGTAAACTTTGATCCACGTATGGAATGAAGATACAGGAGAACCCTTGGTATTAAGCTTAATGAAATTGGTATGCAAGGTTTCAATGATCATCATGACAGTAGGAGGAGGAGAACGGGGGTGGCTCATTGTAGTATGATTAAACTCACGACGATGATGGGGACATGTTTGATCGCACATACCAATCCCTTGGTAATCCATATAGCATTCTCATTCAATATATATATACTTTATTGTTCTGCCACATAAATTGCATCTAAACCAGCCTTGAAATTATCAGGCAATGCCTTTACAGGTCTACGATGGATGGGATCGACAAAGACATGGGTAAAGCCACCAACCACGCACGCTTGTTCCTCATCGCCCTCAAAGATACCGACACGGTAAGTGACACTGGAACGGCCGATTTTGGTGATGCATAATCCTGCTTGCAAGAGATTTGGATAAGATGCGGGTGCATAAAAGTTGGCAGACGAGGCAATCACCAATCCAATTGGCTTAGTCTTGGTCGTATCCAAGGGATCCAATCCACAGTGTCTTATCAAGTATTCGTTGACAACCGTATCAATGTAGAAATAGTATATCGAGTTGTTGATATGGCCATATTGGTCATTGTCACTCCATCTAATAAAACGGCATGAGCCACATGCAACATCGCATCAGCTTTGGATTGACGCTACTACATGCCTTGACTGAATCGGCAAGAAATGCTTGTACTCGGCACGGCTACGGAATGCGGGTGGTTTTGCAACCTTGGTTGAAACTGAACGTGCTGCTGCTGTGCTGTTTGTAGCTGGCGAAAGGTGTCGGGTCACTTGAGCTAGACGTGCGTTGCTGGCCATGGTAGTAGCTGCTTGGTGGAACAAGTGGAGGTGGTCAATGGCATTGGCGGAGAGTGGAAAGAAAGGAACATCTAATGCGCATGCTGCGCTTACTCATCATAAAAGCATCCCTTTTCGTTGCCACTTCTTGAGTACATCATTATGCCCTTGTTCAAGTCATACATCATTACATGCATGGATCGTTAACAGCAATAATGATCAATACCCTAAATGGAGGAAAGGAAGAGACCATACGATACTTCTTGCTCTTTCCCCTTGGCATCTTTATACTGCATGATGCCTAAATATGAAGGACTACGTGTCCCTTGCAGGATTCACAGGTAACAGACGACTCAAAAGTGATGGAAGGCTTTGGGTTTTCAGGGATGTTGCATGTTTGTATGCATCTATGGCTAATAAGCTTCGTCACGGCGTATTTAAACATCTGCTTTGAGGTTCTCAGATTGCACCTTTTTTCTTTACCACTGGTTCCTATCGCTTCTACTTGCAACTCCAATGAAGATTTCTGGTATCATTATTACGCTGGCCTTTCTAGGCGCCTCCAATACTGTCGGCAGTGCTAGCAAGATAGGTGATGCCTTTGAAAATGGCTTCTGCTCCTTTGTCAAAACCTTCAAAGTTTGTCCTCCCATATCGCTTAAATGCGCTTATGAGACCATTACGACCGAGAACGAAATGATAAGTATGTATCTAATTTGAGGTCAACATCGTCATGTATATCACTAATCCTAGATTTTGTTCCAATGTGGGTACGTAGTTCATACTATCGATCAACCTTGCGCTCCTCCAAGCGAGCAGGCCAATTGCGATGCTACTGAAGAGGAAGCATGCAAGAAGAATGGGTGTATTTTCATTGAAGGCAAATTCAAAGGTGGGTAGTTTATACGCAAACATGAGCATTCAAACATTAAACGACAACTTTTTGCATACACAGCTGGAAACCGACAACCATACCATGGGTGCAGGCACAAGCTTTATTGCATGGACATTCTGGACGAGGATTTATGCTCCAAGCATTCAGACGAATGCATGTGGGACACACACTACAAAACATGCAGGGATAAGAAATGATATTTGGAACACTAGCAACCAGTACATCTTGCGAATAAAAATGTTTCCTTGACAACAAAGAAAGTTTGTTCAAAGTCTCTTGAGGATGGATATGTAGTATGGTGCTATCATAAAGGAGATCTACATACGTAGGTTGCTTCTTTTCTTCTTGATCAAACGATATTAAGTCATTATCTCTTGCATGCACGCACCGTCATATATGAACACATAGCTCATCGCAACAGCAATGACCAACACCCTACGAGGAGGGAAAGGAAGAGACCATACGACACTTCTTGCTCTTTTCCCTTGGCATCTTTGTACTGCATGATGCCTAGATATGAAAGAATACAGGGTCCCTTCCTTGCAGCATCCACAGAAAGCAGAGAGCTCAAAAAAGTTATGTACTCCTTGGGTTTTCAGGGATACATAGATGCATGTTTGTATGCATCTATGGATAGTCAGCGTCTTCATGGCGTATAACTAAACATCTGCTTTGGCGTTTTCAGATCACAGGATATTCCTTTTCTTCTTTACCACTGGTTTTCATGGTTCATTTCTACTTGCAACTCAAATGAAAATTCCTGCTACCATCATTACCCTGACCTTTCTAGGTGTCTTTAATCCTGTGAGCGGTGCTACCAGCGAGATTGGTGATGCCCGTCAAAATCGTTTCTGCTCATTTGCCAAACGCCACAACTTTTGTCCTCCCAAATGCTATCACGATACCTTCACGAGTGAGAACGAAGGCCTTGGTATGTATCAAGTTTGAGGTCAACGCCCTCATGTATGTATCACTAATCGTGGATTTTTTGTTCCAATGTGAGTAGTATTTATTATCGACCAACCATGCGCTCCTCCAAGCACGCAGGCCAATTGCGATAATCACGATGAACAAGTATGCAAGAAGAATGGATGTATTTTTATGGAAGGCAAAATGAAAGGTGGGTAGCATATATGGAAACATGTCCATTCAAACATTAAACAACCACTTTTTGCATACACAGCTGGAAACAGGCACCTGTTCTACGCGTGCAGGCACAAGCTTTTTTGCCTTGACATCCTGGACGAGGATTTATGCACCAAGCACTCAAACGAATGCGTATGGAACACACAGCATAAAACATGCCGGAATAAGAAATGATGGTTAAATCCCTAGCAAACAGGCCATCTTGCGAATAAATGCTTCCTTGACACTTGAAGAAGGTTCCAATCATATCAAGATACGAATACAAGAGAAAAGAATCTAATCTCTTGTTCCCATAAGCAACCGATCATACGTTTTTTATTGTGTTCGATTGATTTAAAGGCTTCCTTGCGTAGATATTCTATCCCTTCTGCTCGCATGAGACATGTACGCTAGAAATATGATTGTTCAAACCCGCTTCATTGTGCCGATGCTGATGCAGCTCGATCTCTTCATGGCACATGATTCCATAATGATGAATAGTCTATGATCACGTGATTCTAAAAGCTAATGCTGGCTCGAGTAATACAAGCTGTCATCAATGAACGTCTTTATTCAAGGTATAATCAATATGGGAAGAGATCGTTATCTTCGAGCATCCTACGTAATTCGCCGCTTTGATGTAGCTTTATCAACTCGCTTGCACCACCAATGCTTTCTCCACCCAAGAATACATTTGGAAATGTGTCACGACCCGTCCACTCTCCTAGAGCATGCTTGACATCCAATGCGTCATCTATATTGGATATGTATGAGAAGTTTGTATGCATGTATACATCAAGGGAAAATACGCACCTCGAAGATCCACCTCCACAACATGATAAGGATTCTCAAGCTCATATTCATCCAAGATCTCCTTTGCTTTCCGTGAATAGCTATAATCCACATTGCAAGATGAGACACACGGCCTTTTTTTCAATGAGAACATCACAACTTACGGGCAATAGGTCTTTGAAAAAACAGTCAGCGGATGCTGTGCAACGATCGTCGTGAGCTCCAAGGCGAGAGGTGACATGTTGGATGGTGTTTCATCTTTGACCACGTTGTCATGTGCAACCACAGCATTATTATCCTCGGCATCCATAGCAGCCACAGCAGCACCATCGTCCTGATTCCGTAACCGCTTGAATCCCGGTACTTGAGTCGGATCACCGAAATGCAGCATCAGTGCGAGAGTGCCCATGAACAAGATCCCCACAATGCAAAGCACACGCATGCGTCGACTATGCAACCATGATGACCGGTGACGAGCAGCATATCGTTCCTTGGCTTCCAAATCCTGTATGGTGCGTGGTAGTGAAGTGCTCATTCCTTGGAGGACGGTGTGTGCGAGAAAGAGAGCGTAGGAGAGATAGAAAGGCTAGACCAACCTTAGATCCGATACACTTTGATTGTGTAATAATAATATTCCAAATGGTGGATGCTACACACGTTGCCTTGACACATGTTACCTTAACCACTACCCCGTATCCATGTTATCAATCAGTATCATGCACCCACGCTTGATTAATGGATTCCCCTTTCCAAAGTTGTATTTTTAGCCACCACTACAATAAACGCATGAATTGAATGTACGACACCAGCATGCAGTAATGCGTACTATGAATGAGGTTAGGGAGGTCCTTTCAGTTCCATAAAAGACAAACGTTGATATTCATTATTGCTGGCATGTCTTTCTTGAGATTAAGGGGTTTCTTTGACCAACAATGTACAAATGCATCATCACCAACTTATGAATGATGTCATGCCAATATCCCACAAGCTGGAGCACTTTACCAATCCAAAGACAAATACAGCATCATAATTCAGATTCCATAAAGCGTTGCTTGAGAGATCGACCGCCACGAAAACGATGATGATACACCTCTTCAATTCAACATCCGAGAGCAACAACAAAAGAGAGACACCAGCCAGAAGACCATTCCCATTCATTATTGAATTATTCATATACTTAGCAATGGCCATTAGGAAAGGAGACTGCATATAGGTTAAAACGGGTGAGACGCTGGAGCGATTACGCTGTATTTCAGTAAGGGCGCATGAGGATAGCGCACTATGAAGAAGGTCGTTGTCATTGTCTCTCGAGATATCGTTCTATCAATAGTGCTCTCACTAGCCAACAAAAAACGACTCGACACTGGTTAAGAGAAATGACATGGTTACCGGTTATGAATTGGACAATGACCAAACATTGTTGTAGGATGCTTTATTGTGCAACATGACCATGGATACGTTGGGCAAATAATGGCTGAATGAGACTAGTTCATTATGCAGTGCTAAACCCTGCCGGTTGTACCAAGCCATAGTCCACACTCTTCAAGCAAAGGTATAGTATGTAGAGTTGAGCTCACGGATATCAATCGTTCTCCATATAGCGTCGTCAATCAGCTAAAGGATGGCTTTGATCGTGATTTTCTAGAGACATGATAAGTAAAGGTTCAACTCCACCTTCTAGGTTTGGTTCTTACCTCGTTGCAGTATGGGCAATTGCCGAAAAGCACGTTAAAGCTACGTGTAGTCTTTGGATTCGATCGTAACCACTAAATACAAAACCTGGTAAGAAGAATACTCGCGTCATAAGAGAATCAATGCAACGCACCTCGTATAGACAACTTGGATGGAAACCCCGATTACATTGATCGTTGGTGCAAACAACATCCGGATTTTGATCACCGTGGGTTTCGTGGTGCAACTTGTAAATGTAGCAAATACCACACTCGATATCAGCGGCTGCATTATCAATAGACGCGTTGCCTTGCCCAGACTTCAACACCAGCTTGTCGCCAAAGATTGACTTGATGTTCTGCAAGGGAGTTGCTGATGGATCCCTATAGCAACGCCATCATGTTAGCATGATACCACGCATCCTTCTTGCTTGATCCTATCAACCTACCATTTGTTGCCTTGCTGCCACATGTCTCTGAGGATCTTTGTGCTCTTTTCATTTCCAAAGAAACGTATCACCTTGGGTTGCTCTTGTGGTCGATCGGGATGTAATTCAACATGCAACGAACAATGATTGATAAGAGCCACACGTCGCCATACATCACCATAACTTGGGTTCTCAGGGTCCAGAATTCGTGTGTGTTGATCCAACTCATCCAAACATGAGAAAAGCGGTTGATATCTTTCAATGATACGATAGCATTGCTCCACTGTATTCGTCAACGTGGTGGCAGAAATGTTGGTGATTGGAAGTTGTGCAGTGATTTTGGGTGTTGATAGTGGATAATTGGCAGGAATGGATGCGTAGATCGTATGGCGTCGTTGTTGCATTGAATCTGTCAACGAAAAAGCGACTCGATCATTGCTGAAATCTTGCACCTTATCGAATCCAATGCTCATCAATTCGGTCATAATCGCTTTATATCGTCGAGAAAAGGATATATCCAACATGTCTCCATCACCCATTGTTTCTTGTTCCTTTCATTATGCAATGAATAAAGACACCCAGACTCCTTTTTTGGGTAACTTACCAACATTTCCTTGAGTTCTGCTAGTAAAGGATTGATATCACCACATTGTGCGAGTCTCCTCTTCACTTGCTCGGTGTCACAACGTTGCAAAAGGCGTTGAATCTCGGGTTCGCCGTAAATGAGAGGTACGTCGTTGTCATTGAGGAACTGGACCTGGATCAAGTATTCTTTGTTCTATTGACGAATGTTAGCAATCGCCAATGGGAGACCACCACAAGACTACGTTACATGAACAGGTAGGAATCCTCGATAAGCTTTGCCTTCAGCGTCCAAAGGAGTGAAAAGAGGGTATTCCATTTATAGACGTGCTGCTAGCTGTCGCGTGCGAATGTGGTCGCGTTTTTATTGTCGCGTTGAAGCGGCGCACCTTGTTCGTTTCTTTTCCACATACACCACCACCACCACCCGTTCAACATGGCAGGCAACGATGCATTCCAAGTACAAAAGCCGAGAAGTATGATAGCAGGTGCACGCAATGTGCTTCGAACCAACGACTCTGCCAGTTTGTGGAATTGTACCTTGTCTCCAGGTATGAATACAATGATCGGTTCTTTTTTGACTTCTTTGCTGATCAATGGACGACGACAGGTTGGAGTCAAGATGAGTCTGAAACGCTGAGAAAGGCTTTGATGAAGTTTGGTATTGGCAACTGGTCAAAGATTATCGAGAGTGGATGTTTGCCGGGCAAGACCAACGCACAAATGAACCTCCAGTTGCAGCGTCTTCTTGGACAACAAAGTACAGCAGGTAATGTATACCTGGATCACGTGCATACAGAGAAGATTCTGATGGCAACATTTAGAGTTTGCTGGTCTTCATATTGATCCCAAGGTCATTGGTGAAAAGAATTCCAAAATCCAAGGTGCTCATATCAAGCGCAAAAACAACTGTATTGTCAACACAGGAGGTAATGTCAAGTAGACATCTATCATACGAGGTGCTGAATGTTGATTTTAGGCAAGTTATCAAGAGAGGAGCTACGAGAACGCATGCAAAGGAATAAGGAGATGTAGGTATACGAGAAAAAGCATTGACAGAATTGCTCATATCATCTTAATGGCTAGGTACGAGCTACCAGAAGAGGAGTGGAATTCCATTGAACTTCCCAAGGTTGAAGATGTGAGTAGAGTGAATACGTGTGTGCATGTGAAATCGTGGGATCATTGACAACGTAAATGTATATAGCCCGTGCTTATGCTTGAAGCCAAACGCGAAGAGCTGAGGAGGTTGCAAAAGGAGCTAGCAAAGGTTCAAGGCAAGATCGAACAAATGCGTACTATCCAACCAGCACGTATGGACAAGCTTAAGGTATGGTATAGGATGATTCAGATGTGGGAATTTGTAGCATGGCAAGAGGTGAATACTGATTGTTTGCATACAACAGACCACCGTTGACAACGAGACACAAGTGGCAGAAGCAGCAGCGCAGTAAAAAGTCATCTTCGTACATGTCCCCTTTTCATCCTTTCTACTTTGTATACCGCATCTCCTTGTTTTCTTTTTCAATTCAATGCATTCATCCAAGCTATCAAAAATCGAGCGTTATTTCTCTGGCATGGTTCATGATGGGGGGTGTTGTGAAAAGATTCTAGCTCAAAGAACATTTATTGGTGACAAACGATCAAAGTCTATCGTTGTGCCTTGCGTGTGAAATAAACAAGGAATTGGAAAAGGATGACATTGAAAGCAAAGTAGCAGATAATGATACCCAAGTTACGCCATTTGTGAGCGGCATCCCATTGGAACATGGTTGTGTAGTATTCACGGCCGGAAGAATATGAGCAGTAATTGCATGAGCTGGTTGCACTTGGATTGGCTATATAGCCAGTGGCTCCTGAAGCAAAAAAGTTGGCCATGTACTCCCCACAGGTTTGGCCAGGTGGTGGGTTCAACGTTGAAAAGTCCTTGGGTTGACATATAACTGGCAAAGACTCCATTTCATTCACCGTCAATCCTTCAATGTAATAATGGAAGGGATCTATAACAAGACATCAGCTTGATCCATCCACTTTTGAAGAAGGATGATTTCTCTCTTACCAAGCCAATACATCCATGATGACCAAAAGCGTGGCATAGCTTGTGGGGTTTGCATTAAGCCTGCGAATAGAATCAATATCGAGATGAAGAGCGGGTTGATGACAGCTAATGAACGATAATAAAATAACCCATATTAGCATCCTTTGTACATGTGAAAAGCAATTTTGGTAGCTGACACTTACATGCCATGACATGGTTTCTCGAGATCGCAGCTATCAGAAAACCCAATGTAATAGCCCAAAAGATGAAAAAGATAACAATGAGATAAAAGTAGCCGCAATTTTCGGGTCGATTGACAAGTCCTGCTGTCCAATAAAATCCACACATAAAGAAAGCCGAGAATACCAACACGTAAGGTATCTCAACAAGGATGGATGTCAAGCCGAAGGGAAGCCAACTGTAATAACGTGATGCATACTCTCGACGGAAGTAGAGCCGCTCTGTCATAAATTTGGGTTGAGCAAGGATAATCTAAGTGCGTATTGGTGAGCTCGTCAGCTATGTGATGGGTGATGGTGTATGTAGCTTACCAAAGTTTGCGCCATGATAAAGGTAGCCAATAGCACAAAGACTCGATTTTGCATATCGGATGATGTGTATGACATTTTCCAATAAGTGAAACCATTGAGCAGTGAAATACACATGATGGTAAAGAACCGGCCGATGTTGTAATTGGGCGAACGCCAATAAGCGAGAGCCATACGTTTGTGTACAAGCTTGAATTGGGTCCACAAATTGGTAGCATACATTTTAGCATGGCGAGTAGGATGCTGATCAGCATTTTGGTGGATTGCCTCAAGTTCATTTTCAAGTGCTTTGGCTTCATCCGATTCCTGCCAGATCTTTGCCCAATCCATGCCGCTCGTTTTGGATGCGGCCACTTCAAGGATGTACTCTGCTGGGTTTGCATCTTGTGAACATTTTGGCCCTCCTTTGGATTCAAAGTAATTGATCATGGTGCTTGAATCCTTTCCGATTTCACCATAGTAGGCTGTTTTGCCACCACGTACAAGCAACAAAAGATGGTCAAAGTATTCAAATAAGATGGCAGACGGCTGGTGGATGGTACACAATACTGGCCATCCTGCATCAGCAAGCTTGCGAATAAAGCGTACAATGTTGAAAGAACTTTGTGCATCAAGACCTGATGTTGGCTCATCCAAAAACAGCAACCGTGGTTTGGCAACGAGCTCCATGCCAATGGTGAGTCGTTTACGTTCTTCCACCGAGATACCAGAACCTTCATCGATATCACCAACTTGGGCATCTGCAATGTCTTCCATCTCAAGGAGTGTAATGATATCTTCGACATAGGCATCCTTCTCTTCCTTGGATACTTCTGGTGGTTGTCTCAAATAAGCTGAGAATCGCATACCTTCACGTACAGTAACTGCAGGTTGATGCACATCCATTTGCTCACAATAGCCCGTGATACGCTCAAAATCTTTCATCAACGCTTCACCATTCAAGTATACACGGCCGTCAACCTTGCCAATGGTCTTACGTTTGGCGAGTACATCCAATAATGTGGTTTTGCCAGCACCAGAAGAACCCATGAGTGCCGTCAAATGACCAGGCTTAACAATCCCCGAAACATCATTAAGCAATTGAAGTGGTCCACCCTTGTATGGCACGGTATAATCCACGTGATGCCAAGAGAACGTCGTGCCTTCTTCACCTGAAGCACTTTTCATTTGCTCGGTGATTTGTGCTTGTCGATCACGTCGTCTCTTATCTTCTTCTTTGGTCAATGGTTGTGGAGCTTTACCAGGCAAATACAACTTTGTGGTATGTCCACCCGACTCTGGCGTCAGTTTTTCCATTGCTAATGCTGTCAAAAACGTGAAGAGCAACCAAAATCCAATGATCTATAAAAGGATGATTCAGCAACCATGGATTAAATGATGCATGAATGCATAAGACTTACCACAACAAAGTTGGGTGCCCAAAGCTGTGAGGTGTAATAGCTGTATTGTGATCTGAGATAGTCATCGCCAAGCACAAAGTTTTGTCCTGGTTGCCCACCCTTCATGGTGCACACCTATTTTGTATACATGTAAGCCTTCAGGCCTTGATTGACCAAAGGAAAATTGGCTCACCTTGTAATCCCAATTATCATAACCAGGGCCGTATGGCACTGCATTGCCTGGTCCTTCGCATGAGTATATTTGACCCATCATCTCGTTGGAAATCATGGTCTTGTAATGAAAGGTGTGTTAGTGCGTCATGGTTTTTGAGGTTGCCATGGATACGTACCTTAAATCCATATGCCAAAGGGTTTATCCAATATATCCAATACAACCAAGGATGCATCGAACCATGTGGGATAACATAGCTATGGGGAAAATGATAGATCAATAAATGTTTTTGATATAGCAAAGCGGCATGATCAGAATACAACATACCCACTGTAGGTGACTAAATAAGGTATGGCGGGTGATCAGCGTCCATGAACATTACACTCCACCACATGCTTTGATCCTTACCTAGAGCAATCAAAATGATACCGGATATCTGAGTGGCAATGTAAAGGCTTTTTGAGACAGCTCCAAAAAGCCTAAACAACCCGTTCATCATCATATTAATGAAGAAAAGGGTTGCGAATAACGTAAAGAAGCGCCCAGCATCGAGGTTAAGACCCATCATGAAATAAGCACACACCAAAAACAGGGCAACTTGAACAAGAGCATAAGGGATATCCATGATGACTTGTGCAACATAGTATGCTGAAGGACGATACATAGCAAAGTGCTTGTGTTTCTCGAGCACAGGACGACCCATCATAAAGCGACTCAGCTCAGATTGACTAATGAATGCATTGAAAAGAAGGGAAAAGAATAAAGCACCACCTCGCTATAGAGCATGTCAATCATTGGATGCTGATAATACCGTCATTAAAGTACTTACAGAGAATGCACCAAGACCTGTAGTGGGCATCTGAAAGAAGCAGGAGGCTGTGATGAGACCTTGGATAAGAATTGTACCATAACGTGAGATGAGCGTTTGCTTGTCCTTGATAAGTAAATGATGTTGTCGAGCTGTGAGAGCTTTAACTTGGTGCAAAAAGCTTGCTGTGTAGGGTGCTTTTTTCGGTGCACGCTTTTGATGTTCACGACGTACAGCCTCTTGAAATTCCTCAGCTGGCTTTGTGCGCTCTATGTGTTGCTCGTATTCTTGAAGCTCTTCCATCATGCGTTGATACATGTTCGATTTCAGGTATGTTTCCTGGAATTCATCAGGGTGCTTTGGTGCTGTTTCCTCATAGCCAGGTTTAAATTCACGCTCCAAGGGGTTACATAGACCGGTCAAGAAATCAGGTTGCGACTTGCGAGCAGGACAATGAAATCCAAGGTCTTCAAAATAGCGCTTAGCATCTTTGGCGGGACCAAAATACAAACAATGACCCTGATCAAGCACAAGAACCTTGTCGAACAAGTTGTAGATGCTATTGGATGCTTGATACAATGAAGCAACAGTTGTCCTTTTGAAAATATCGGTCATGATGCGTAAAGAGCGTGCATAATCGAGTGCTGAAGCAGCGTCAAGACCACGGGTGCTACAATCCTAATAACAAACAACCGGTAAGAACTCACAAATCGCTTCAAGAACCGCCAATCTTATACTTCACCCAGCAGTTTATAGATGAAAGCGTAGTCATAACTTCCGCAATTGATAATCTTTTACGCTCTCCACCTGATAAACCTCGAATGAAAGCATTGCCCACCATAGTATTCATTTGCTTGGTAAGACCAAGCATGTTACCCAAGAGATAAATGACACGATTTACAAAATCCTTTTGCGTCGTATCAGGTAATCTATCACCTGGTGTCTTGCAACGCAGTGCAAATTGCAAAGTTTGCTTGGTTGTAAGGGTTGGGTAATGTTGATCCTCCTCTTCGTTATATACAACTTGACCACGATAGTGCTTGGCAAAATAGCGTGCATCAATGCCGCCATAGCTCACTTCACCGTCAACCTTGGTATATGCTCCACGGACATTTGCCAATATTTTCAACATGGTAGAGCATCCGGAACCAGGACGCCCTAGCACTAGCATCATCTCGCCTTCTTTGCAACAGCCACTCAGCTTGTCCAAGATCACCCTCTTGGTTGTCTTGACGCCATAGCCAAAGTATTTCCAAGGCTGAATGACATTAACAAGATCACTCAACACAGTGGGAATAGTATGCGCATCTGCACCAGCTCCCTATTGTTGATGAAGCGGCCATGTTGTGTGTTAATGTTTTTTCCTTTGATCGAGGTAGCACATGGATACATACCTCAACATGCAAATCCTTCCAAATCAAACCCAGCTTTTTGGGTACTTTGCCTGCCTCTTCCCATCTCACAGCTACGCTTTGAAGGAAATCATCCAAATTGAATTCTTCTTCCTTGGGAGGTGAAAGCTTTCCCTTTTCCAAATCGGTCGGCGGTTGTGGTTTTTGCATGTCTTCCTTGACGCTTGCTTTTGTCAACTCACGCTTCAATTCATTGTATTCACCAATAGCAGCTACGAATGCAAACGTTAGTGTGCTTTTGAAAATACAGGTGTATTACATACAATTCACGTTGACTTGACCAGCGTTTGGCTCGCCAAATGTACCACAATGACCTGCACGTTCCACGGCCGTGTTCTCGGAAGAGGATGTCTCGTACGATTTACGGTAATCATTGGCGGTGGTTGGCTGTTGTAGAGTATTCTCATTGTTTGATGAAGGTTGGCCATTCGCATTTGGTTGTGATGATGTTGATGCATTGTTGTTGTTGGTAACCAATGAGCTTGGTTCCCCAGATGACATCATTATGGGTGGTTGTTTGTCGCCACTGTTGTCACCCATATTTTTTGATGACTTGTGGCGAGCGTAAAGAAAGAGGAAGAGGTGTGCGTTACCATAAACTCCTCCACGCCCACCCCAGTAAAGAATGCATCTACGCGTTATCACACCACTAGATGTGCTGAGTTGTCTATTTACTGGGGTTCAGGAAGCGGTGAATTTCTATGTTGCGATGGTGTCGGACATTCTTGTTGCATGAAACTGCTTTGTGTCACGTAACTGAATGGCTCACGCAATTCTTTGCCATTCCCACACTTATTGTTGTTGTGCCGCCTACTTTGATAGTATCAAATCAGCAGAGTATCATGAAGCGGATCAAGTGATATTACAAGTGTAATGGTTAATAGCTAGATGCCCCATATAATATCCTAACGTAGGAAAACAACGAAGAATTGTTGTTATACAATGGTGGATACACACCTATACTATGGCCTCGTATGATAGCCCTGATCGTTCTTATATAAGGTTTCATAAGGATGCGTTAGCTGAAAGGTGTCGTGCGTAAGCATTGTATGTTCATCCACGTTTTATCATAGCTCACTGTTTCTCGGACACAATGAAATAAGCTTACAACAATGAACCATGCTGGTACATAGGATGTTGGGCACCCTCACTCTAAACTTATTGTCTTTGCAATACAAGCGCTTGAGAATTGCCACTTTCTTTTTTTTTCTATCACCATGTGAACAAGGAAGCTTAAAACGAATGTATACTGTCACAAAAGAACAAAGCCATCTCGATACATACGATGATGTCAATGATCCAATCTCAATTTCTATTCCCTCCCTTTTAATCCTGAAACCAATCAAGTGGTCCACATCTCGCACATGTGAGCCGATAGCACAATACCTTCATCAATGTCATGTTGAATCCAATTTTTTCATTCAATGAGTAAGTCGAAGAATAAGACATAGTAGTGTGGACGTTTATCAAGTAAATACGATAAGGGAATAGCATTTCAAATTGAATAAGATAAAGGGGCGAATTACATAGAGGGCAATGGGGATAATTGTGTCATTGTATTCTTGGTAGCTGCCGTCATAACCATCCTTCATCCATGACTGAAAAATAGCTGCTGCATGCATTGCATCGAGTACTCCAACGTCATCCATCCATGGCTGTACAATACCTTCCGTCAAAGATACAAACCCTTTGCACAATCCCATCCAATCCATCATCATCCTCAGCCGTATCCACGTGACACGATCCATCCTTCCTGCTGACGACGCGCCAAGTAACCAAAGCAACATCCCATTGTACTTGATTGCATCCATCCATCATAACCATTACAAACCCAATACGTTGGTTGAAAAAAGCCATGTGATTGCTTCCTTTTCCATCCGGCTGCTGGTCTACCTCTTTCTTGGTCATTTTGCAACGCGGCTCATGTAGGTGAAGCTTGTTGTTTGTGGTGTACTTGATAGCTGGTAAGGCATCATCCATAGGATTCCATATGTATTGAAGCATGTTGCCACCTGATAAAGCTGCTTCTATACAACGGCTATTTGCTGTTCACGTGGAAAGGCTGCAAGAGAAGTTGCTGCAAGTAAAGAACGCTGTTTGAGACAATGGAATAAAGGCCATGCTAATGGCAACCGCTGGATGAACATTGTTACGATTGGACACGGCAAAGAAGTGTGTACAAGAGAAGACGAAGTGCCAAGACAAAGCGCGTATTGAAGAAGAGCGACATGAAAGCTGTGTATACGCCATGGACTTGCCATTCAATCAAGGCCAATCGGATCAAGACATTCGTAGGATTGACATGATGGGTGGAAGCAGGACAAACGTTCGCAGGTGGTAGTTGTGTACTTGAATGGGGCAACAGTTGAGATTGGGAGCAAGAGGGAAGAGGCTGAGAGTGGAAGAAGTGGAAATTAAATAGTTGCACACCTCTTGTATAAATGCATGAACGTTGTACATCCAAACCTTGATTATGAGATTGCCCCTCTCGAACCTCAAACTTTCGCACAAGATGCCCTTGAACATGCTGATTATGTTGATCTAAAAAAGATATCATGTTTCATTTGAAAATTTGGAAAGGGAGGGTATTTTGTGGGGTTTACTATGTAAGTCGGAATGGAGGTCAGTGCGCAGGTTCATGATTTATGGAAGTAGTATGTATTACCTTGGGATTCCCCATTTCGAACATGAAACTTTGTCAGAAGGTTCGCTGCAACATGCTGATCAACTTCATTCATTTAAAAACCATACACTTCATTAAGGATGTCTTGAATGCGGGAGGGCCCAAACGGTGGATGATGGACAACAAAAGAGCGGACGGCCCACCGCCCCGAAGTTGCTCACTTCCAACTTGAAAATTGGTCAGAAGGGTGCTCTCGAGCATGCTGATCAACTTTTTCTAATAAAGACCTCATGCTTCATTTGAAAATTTGGAATGAGAGCGTCCAAAAGTTTGAAAGACGGAGACATTCGCAGGGTCTGCGATTCATTAATTTACATGTTAGCTGTTCCAGCGTAGCTCAGTCAAATCGGCTCGGATCAAGAAACTTGAATGATGGAAACGCTCGGCTAGAGTAGGAGAATCGTTCACATGAAGTGGATTTTGCAACAACGCTGTTTGTGAAGAAATAGCTGCTAGCAGGCAATGATGAGCTATTACTGAAAAGTATACGTTGACCCTTCCAATCATGCATAATGAGCTGAGTTACACAAAGAGGTCCTTCTGCATCTTTTGCTCTGCCAGGGTCCACCTACTTGACAATGAACGAAGACTACTCTTCATATAGCATCACGCTTACAAACATAAAGGTGCCTGTATCTCCAAGCTTTACAATGAAACGTGGGGTTTTTATTAGAGCAATGTGCTCGGCTTGGCCAACCGCACCTTGGGTGTCAGTTTCACGTTCATCGTGGCCAATCCCGGATTTCGCAATGTCGCTACCAGCCAAACTGGATCCTGGGGGTCGACCTCTTCGACGACGACGACCAAAAAAATATTTTTTGGGCTAGTTGCGACATTGAACGCGACACTTTCACACAAGGTGCTGTTGGCCAAGCCGAGCCCATTGCTCTAATAAAAACCCCACGTTTCATTGTAAAGTTTGGAGATGCAGGCACCTTTATGTTTGTAAGCGTGATGCTATATGAGAAGTGGTCTTTGTTTAATGTAAAGTAGCTACACCCTGACAGAGCAAAAGATGCAGAAGGACCTCTTTGGGTAACTCAGCTAAAAAGTCAGGATTTCAGGGACAATGCATGAAAAGTACGCAATCCTCACTTTTATGTCATACATTGGCAGCTAATAGCCACTTTTGTGCATTCCCAACTTTTGTGCATTCTATTGTAGGTGGACATTAATAACATACAGACATTCATTTCCATGATTAAAGTAGGTTGATCGAGCTGATTTGGTTGAGTTACGCTCACAAGATTGCATCGGTTGAGCTACATCAGGCGTGCTTGATGTCCAGGTGATGTAATCCTCTCGACAGCTCAGTCAAATCAGCTCGGATCTAAGCAATCATGGAAGTGGATGTCTAGAGCAGGGGCATCGTTCCCATGCGGTGGATCTCGCAACAATGATGATTGGATAAAAGTGGCCGTTAGCTAGCAATACATGCCTGTTCTGGTCTCCATAAAGTAATTATACGTGGTACTATTCATGCAAACGTATAGCTGTGGTACACAACACGGCACCCTCTGCATCTTTTGCTCTGTAGGTGTAGCTACTTTTTACGTTAAACAAAGACCACTTCTCATATAGCATCACGCTTACAAACATAAAAGGTGCCTGCATCTCCAAGCTTTACAATGAAACGTGGGGTTTTTATTAGAGCAATGTGCTCGGCTTGGCCAACTGCACCTTGTGTGCAAGTTTTACGTTCATCGTGGCCAATCCCAGATTTCACAATGTCGCTACCAATAAACTGGATCCTGGGGGTCAACCTCTTCGACATTGACTGTAATATTTGATGGAAGAAAAGGGACGAGGTAAAATCCTTTAGGACTCTTTGATATGCTTTATGTAAGAATGAGATGTAAGATTCAAAGATGATGATTTCTAACTGCTTGGAGGATGCCTATTTACTTACTATTCTATGTTGTTGTTGATGTATCATGTGCTTGTAAGGAACGTTCTAATGTGTGATGGAAACATCTATCCTACGCTTCTATGTATCGTATCCATAAACAAATATCGGGCCAACAGCGACGACCAAAAATATTTTGGGCTGTTTGCGACATTGAACGTGAAACTTTCACACAAGGTGCAGTTGGCCAAGCCGAGCCCATTGCTCTATTCAAAACCCAACGTTGTTGTAAAGTTTGGAGATACAGGCACCTTTATGTTTGTAAGCGTGATGCTATATGAAGTGGTCTTTGTTTAATGTAAGAAGTAGTATGACTATAATAGAGCAAAAGATGCAGAAGGACCTCTTTGATGCTCAGCTAAAAAGTCAGGACTTCAGGGATTGATACCATGAAAGGTACGCAATCCTCACTTTTATGTCATGCATTGGCAGCTAATAGCCACTTTTGTGCATTCCCAACTTTTGTGCATTCTATTGTAGGTGGACGATGCTCCTGCTCTGAACATTCATTTCCATGATTAAAGTAGGTTGATCCGAGCTGATTTGGTTGAGTTACGCTCACACAAGATTGCATCTGTTGAGCTACATCGAGCGTGTGATGTCCAGAGTGCTCTAATCTCTCTTTGACCACAGCTCAATCAAATCAGCTCGAATCAACCTACTTTAATCATGGAAATGAATGTCTAGAGCAGGGCATCGATACAGTGGATCTCGCAACAATGATGATTGGATAAAAGTGGCCGTTAGCTAGCAATACATGCCTGTTCCTAGATGATCTATAAAGTAATTATACGTTTGTACCTTTCATTCATGCAAATGTAGCTGTGTTACACAACACGACCCTCTGCACCTTTTGCTCTGCCGAAGTCCACCTACTTGACAATGAACAAAGACCACTCTTCTTATAGCATCACACTTACAAACATAAGGTGCTTATATCTCCGAACTTAC